AGAGAGAGAGAGAGAGAGAGAGAGAGAGAGAGAGGAGGAGGAGGAGGAGGAGGAGGAACAGGAGCAGCAGCAGCAGCAGCAGCAGGACGTGGTGGTGGAGGGAAAACTTGTAACCTTCACTTCAGGGATTTTGCTCAGTCCAGTCGGCGAACGGCTGATGATTTCTCTCGACGGTGACCCGGTGAGTGTGCAAGGAGAGGAGGAGAAGGTAGAGAGGGTTGAGCAAAGGGAGGAGGACGAAAGGAGCGAAGGAAGTGAAGTAAGAAATGATTGCTTGCCAGGTCGCCGTCCTCTTTGAAGAGCTTACAGTGCCGCTGGAAATTGACAGAGACAGGCAACGCGATGATGATGATGATGATGATGATGATGATGATGATGATGATGATGATGATGATGATGATGATGATGATGATGATGATGATGATGATGATGATGATGATGATGATGATGATGATGATGATGATGATGATGATGATGATGGAGATGATGATGATGATGATGAGGAGGAGGAGGAGGAGGAGGGCGAGGGTATTTTTTCGTTCGCCTTTCAAATCAGTTCTAAAGTGAGGAATGTTATTGCCGACTGCTCAGATATAGATGCAACTCGATTCATCTCCACCTGTTGTTTCTTCTCCTCGTCATTCTTTCTTTGTTCCTTCAGATCTCTCAGACCATTCGGATTGACTTGGCATTCTCTTCAAGTAGACGTCCTCGACGTTGCAATGCAGGTCAGAATTCTCACCTCGCCTTCCTCCTCTCTCCTCCTCCTATCTCTTACCCTCATGTCCGACAGCCGATTGGCGTCAGCAGCTTTACCAAGTTTCGGCTTGTTGGTCCGAAGGCCGTGACAACAGGTGAGGAGCAGGAGCAGGAGCAGGAGCAGGAGCAGGAGCAGGAGCAGGAGCAGGAGCAGGAGCAGGAGCAGGAGCAGGAAGGGAGGGTTGGGATGGGGGGTGGGATGAAGTTTGATAGCTGCCTGCAGGGCCTGCAAGTGAGCAAGACGACATGCTGGCGATACCAAAGAAACTTAGAAGAGGTGAGAGAGCACAAGTGCAACTCCTTCACTCTCCTCCTCCTCTTCACTCTCCTCTTCTTCCTCCTCCTCTTCACTCTCCACTTCTTCCTCCTCCTCTTCACTCTCCTCCTCCTCCTCTTCACTCTCCTCTTCTTCCTCCTCCTCTTCACTCTCCTCCTCCTTCTCCTCACTCTTCTCTTCCCCCTGTTCTTCTCCTTCTCCTCTCTCTCTGACGCGTCTCTCCTTGCAGACTTTCCCGTGAAATCTCCTCGCGTCTGCTTTGCTTTCTAAGCTGCGGTCGTTTGAGTCTCCTGCGTCAGACCATGTGAAGTTGATGAGAGTCTCTGAGAGCAGACGCTGACTCCTCCTCCTGCTCCTGCTGCTGCTGCTCCTCCTTCTCCTCCTCCTCCTCCTTCTGCTCCTGCTCCTCCTGCTCCTCCTGCTCCTTGTTCTTCTCTCTTCCCCTCCTACTGCTTCAGGTCAAGTCTCATCGAGCATATGGAGCAGCATGAGCCCGACGTCCCCTACGAGGTCTGCGATGCTTCAATGCTATCTCCCCTTCCTCCCTTTATCTCCCTCCTCATCTCCTCGTCCTTGTTCCGCCTTCTCCCTCCCCATCTGATCTGCTTCAGATTGCCTGGGTCGATCAAGGATCTGGTTCAGGAGCATTGGAAATTGCCAAGGTAAAGAAAGGCTGCTGCTGCTGCTGCTGCTGCTCCTTCTCCTGCTCTTCCTGTGCTCCTCCTGCTCCTCCCCCCTCCTGCTCCGCTGCTCTTTCTTCTGCTCCCCCCTCCTGCTCTTTCTGCTGCTCCTCGTGTGCTTTTCTCGACGTGTTTTTCTCATTTGGAAGCAGACGATGCCTGTGGAGCACGTGCTGCTCTGGAGATTGAATTATGGTGAAGAAAAGGGGGGGAAAGAGGGACGAGAGAAGTGTGGAGAAGAGAAGAGGAGGGGAGCGAGAGGAAAAGGAGGAGGAGATGGTGGTAGGGAGGCGGCGGCGGAGAAGGAGGACGAGCAGCAGGAGCAGCAGGAGAGTCTGAGACTTCTCACAGGGCTGACGTCTGGATTGAATGTTCTTCTCTTTGAGTTGTGTCGCTCCTCGAGGTTTGTCGTCACCATGGAGGAAGATTGGCTATGGGCTGAGGTATGGGCCTCTTCTCCTCCTGCTCTCCTCCTCTACTTGCCTCTGCTTCTTTTCGCCGCCTCCTCCTCCTCCTCTTTTCCTCTCGTCCCCTCCTCCTCTTGTCCCCTCCTCTCCTCCGCTTCTCGCCTCCTCCTTCTTTGGCATCTTCTTCAACTTCTCTTGATTGTACTTGTGCTTTCTCTCGTGACCGATGCTTCCAGAACAAGATGAACGTGTCAGCGATCGCCATGGCGATGCAGGAAAGTGGAGGAAGGGAGGAAGAGGAGGAAGAAAACAGTTGTGCGCGTGTGCGTGTGTGCGTGCTGTTGGTCGGGGAGGGGGAGGGGGAATGGAAGGCGAGGAGGAAGGAAGAGAGGAGGAATTCACCGGGTGGAGGTACAGGGGGACTGATTGTACCCTGCAGGTCATCCAATATGATCCTGCCGTCATCGGTGTTTTCCTTCGCTCTGTTGTTCAGTTCGGAAAGGTTTGCGACCCGCTTACTTCACTCCCCTGCTCTCCTGCTCGTCTCTGCTCTTCTGCTGTTCTCCTCGCTCCCTTCGCTTCCTCGTCCGCTCGGGTCCCTCCAACGCACCCACAGGAAACCTCTGAGGTCGGCGAGTGGCAGCGAGCAGGAGGGGAGGACGCGGTGGAGTATCGACGGATGTGCCAGAAGAACGGCAAGTGGGGCTCCTGGACCAATGGTAAGAAGAGCGAGGAGGAGGAGGAGGAGGAGGAGGAGGAGGAGGAGGAGGAGGAGGAGGAGGAGGAGGAGGAGGAGGAGGAGGAGGCAAGGGGAAGAGAGAAAAAAGGCAGGCAGAGGTTCAGGAGGTGCGAGGAATTCTTAGAGGAGGGAAGGTGCTGCTCTTTGGGATCGCCGGAAGCTCGAGGAGCATGTCGGAAGGTTCAACGAGCAGGTAGAGGTTCCCTCCTCCTTCCTCCTCTCACTTGCTCAGTGGGGCGACGCGTCCGAGCAAGAATATGCTGAGCGAGTGGGCAAGGTGAAGTGCCGATTCCTCCTTCAACTGTCCTCCTCGTCCTCGTCGTCCTCCGTCGCCTTCAGCCCCCCCCCCCCCTTCACCCCTTCTTCCTCCTTCTCCACCAACGCCACCGCCACCTCTCCCTCCTCCTTTTGCACCGTCTTGCTGACAAAGTCATAGAAATTCTGCGCTGCCATCCTGAGGACGGAAAGCGGGTGTGAGACGTCTGAGGTAAAGAGGGGCCGAGAGAAAGCAAGTGGGGAGGAGGAGGAGGGAAGGGAAGCAGACGATGAGGAGGATCGAGCTGATGCTGCTTGCAGTGCAATGCTGTCGCTGTTCACATTGGTGACAGTCGAACTCCAGGATGGGAACCAGAGATAGAGTACTTGGTGAGGAGAGGAGCGGGGAGGAGAGGGGGAAGGGGAAGCAGAGGATGTGCAGGTTCAAGGAGGAGGAAGAGAGGAGGAGGCGCCAGGCGTCTGACCATGGGCAAGGGGAACAATCGCTACGAGTGTCTGAGCTACGGGAGGAAAGTGAGCTGCAGTAGATGACGAGACGCGAGGAGGGAAAATCAACATCATCCTCTCATTTTACAGTCACAAAACTTGACGGCTGATCCTCTCCCCCCCCTCCCCTCTACTTCTTCTTCACCACCGGATTCCTCGGAGGCGTCCCAGGACGAGACGCCTGCATCCCGCTGTAGGTGTACTTGCTCTTCTTCTCCCCCGGCTTCAGGATCTGCTCAGACTTCAGCTGCGGCATTGGGGAAGGGGATGCAAAGATGGAAAAGGAAGGAGGAAGAGGAGCAGACCTGAAAGGAGCACATGAGAGTGTCGTCGACTGACATCATCGCCCCGGCGTTGTCGAACTCTCCGCAGTAGTTTGGAGCAGAGAAGAGAGTGACGAGCTGCCTCTTAGCAAAAAACTCGTATCCATCCTCGACGACCTGGGCAGGGAGTCACACGAGGGGGTGGGGGGCGGGAGAAAGAAGAAAGGGCGGAGGAAGCGAGGGGGCAGGAGGAGGGGCGAGGGAGGGAGGGGGCAGGAGGAGGGGCGAGGGAGGGAGGGGGCAGGAGGAGGGGCGAGGGAGGGAGGGGGCAGGAGGAGGGGCGAGGGAGGGAGGGGGCAGGAGGAGGGGCGAGGGAGGGAGGGGACCTGGTGAGCTCTGCAGATGAGATCCAAGTCATGCTTGTGGAGGAACTTCTGCACCACGTCAGCCCCGAAGGTGAAGGAGACGCCGCGCTCGTTGTCCCCCCATCCCGTGATCTTCTCATCGGGGTCAGACCACAGCAGGTCGCACAGCAGCCCCGTGTCGGGCACGTCGGTGGGCCGCATGATTCGTCGGATCTGCTCCATGCTGTTGAGGTCAGGGCTCAGTCCCCCGTGCATGCAGAAGATCTTCTCGTCGATGATGGCGGCCACAGGCAGGCAGTTGAAGCAGTCGGTAAAAGTCTTCCAGATCTTGACGTTGTACCTCCTCTTGCCTGCGATCGCGAGCATCTCAGTCACATCCGATGCCTTCTGTCTCCTCTCGCGCCTCCTCTCCCTCCCTCTTCCCCACTGTCCCTCCAGGTCCTCTACATCTCTTACATTCATCGTAGAAGCCATAGATTCGATTGATCGACGCACATTCGTGGTTGCCTCGCAGGATGAAGAAGTTTTCAGGGAATTTGATCTTGAAGGAGAGGAGGAGGCAGATTGTCTCGAGGCTCTGCTTCCCACGGTCTACATAGTCGCCAAGGAAGAGATAATTCGATTCGGGAGGAAAGAGTCCATATTCAAAGAGTCTCAGCAGGTCATAGTACTGCCCATGGATGTCACCTGTATCAGGGTCAGAGCCCAGCCAGGCCCGTGCAGGGAGGCATATCTCTCACCGCATATCTTGATCGGAGCTTCCAGCTCTAGCAGCACAGGCTGACTCATGAAGATTTCTCGAGCCTTGGTACACAACGCTTTCACCTCTGACTCCGTCAAGTTCACCTGCCGCCCTGGTCGGCTGCCTCTGACTTCGAGCAAGCGCTCGATGATGCTGTCAACGTCAAGATCTCCCATGTTGTCTGTTGATCAGCAACTGAGCGCAACTCCAACGATTTCAAACCTGGTAACCATGTTGTCAAAGTAACGCTTATTACTTCAAGATGGAGAAATGTGCTCCGAGACAATGAACTTTCAGAATTTGTTGCACGACCGCATTGGGAAACAAGAACAGACATCAATCTGATATGACATGATCTACATGATATGTTGGAATATGCGAACGCTTCCAGCAAGTTCAATGATTCCGAGCACATCCACATAGCGAGATATTCACCAAGTGACAAGGCAATGATTCTAACAGAAAGCATTTGGTCTCCACTGGCTATACCAAATCTTGACATGTTGTTGATCTGCCCTTGCTCATTTGATATTATCTGATTGGAAGAGTATCTCACTCCAAAAGAATCTATCATGACCGCTGTCTTACCGAGCCTGCTCTATTTGATTCTCACTTCTCTTCTGACTGCAATCTCTGCGCAATGAAAACCCTATTCATCCCATCCACCCATAAAATTCTCTACACCTGTCTTCTCTATGTGCTACTTCAAAGAAGTCCTTCTTTCATCTCCCTCTGCTTCAATCCTCTCTCTCTCCCTCCTGCCCGTCCCCTTCCTCGTCCTACTGTAGCACTGCCATCGGCAGCAGCCGGAGCGGCAGTTTGAATTTTTTCTCGGCGGGGGCTCTGATTGACGATCAGGTTCAGGCCAGCTTTGGACACTTTAGGCCATCTTTTCATTACACCCCCTTTTTCATTGAGAATATGATGGGTAATATTCGAGATTTTTCTTCCTCGCTCCCACAAATTTTGAAATATTTCCCCTCCTTCCTGAATTCTCACCCCGACCCCTGTCTCTCAGGGTTTGAAAACCCGTGCACTTATCCGTTACAAAAACGGTTTCATGAAAAATTGTACGTTCAGGCGCAACAGAGATCGTTGCTTCTGCACCTGTGCATGACCCACTGGTTCGCTCGGGGGTGAGGTACTCAAAAGTACCGGGTACTTTCAATAGTTTTAGAGGTAAAGTGAGGGGTACTTAATGGGAAGGGTGGGGTGAGGTGACCTGTATACGTGTGGGTCGCAGACGTGAACAGAAAGATTGGGGGTGTACAAGGAGGGGGTGGTGGACAGTCAGGGTACTAAGGGGTACTTTTTGGTACTGGATCACCTCTTTGACAAGGGTAGGTGGTAGGACGATGTTGGAAGATAGGGGTGGTGGAGGCAGAGGCAGAGCATGATGCACAAAGCGGGAAGGAAACAGTGCGATGGAGAAGCGAAGGGATGAGAAGAGATGAAGGGATGAGAGGAGAGGAAGTGAGGAGAAGAGAGGAAGGGAGGAGAAAAACACATGTATGACAATGAGTTGCGCACAGAATGAGGTGTAGTGGGAAACACGACGGTCCAACAAAGCATAGGGAGGAAGCAGTTTCAGACTTGAGACCGTGTGATAGCAACAGGGCAGGCGATGCCTCAAGTTTCGACAGGGGAATAAGGGATGGTTCACAGATAGAGTGAAATTTTCCTCCTACTTCTCAATCGAATTATTCTTTTCTGCTCCTCGTCCTAGATTCTTCAGATCAACGTAAAAAATGTTGGGTTTCATTAGGGCATGTTTACTTTCGGCACCACCTGTTGTGCAACTCATCTGTTCTTTTGTTGACTTGTTCCTGCTCAGGTTCACCTCTGCTGACTCAAAAATGCAAGCAAGTCAGGAGCAAATTGCGGTGTGAATTGTTGTGTATTGTTGGGTTACAGAGCGCCTGATAGTGGTTTGCAGGAAATGCTGATGCAAATGCATCAGCAATGTCAATTTTTCGAACAAAGAGTGTAATTGTTCTTCTTTTCTTTGTAGTTTTTGGACTTATTTTGATGGTCAGGAAATATGATCCCTCGTCTGCAGAATCTTTCGCGTCCTGGGGTTCAACTCTGATGCACTTGGCCATGGTTTGCGAAGAACAGGAAGCGAAGAAGGATTACTTGAAGCAAAGTATTGAGAAGCTTGAGAAAGCATACTCCATGGATGATAGATGCAGAACCCAGGATGGAGAGCTTGCTTGCTTCTGTCTTGGAAATGCTCTCTACTTCAATTTCTTTCTTGAGCGCGATGACTCAAAGGCCGAAAGTCACTTGAAGTGTGCGAAGGAGAAGTTTCAGATTTGCGTTCAAAGAGAACCAACGAACATTTCCTACAAGCAGATGATTGACCAGCTTGAAAGTGCACACGAGCAAAGAAGGGCAGCACACGAGCATCTCGCCCGTTTGGAAGGCAAATCAGAAGACGAGCGGAAAGTTGAAATAAGGAACATGCAGAAGCAGATGCTTGAGTCTGTGGTGGAGAACAACAAGAGGGCAGTCGAAGTTGAGCCTCAGAATGCGGTGAACCTCGCTGAGCTGGCCAAGAGCATGTTCGAGCTGGCCATGCTCTATCAGAGGGCTGATGCTATCAAGCTGCTGCGTGAGGCTCTCTCGGCTATTCAAAAGAGCATCGACTTGGCCAACGACAGCTCGTCGGTGTGGGTCAGAGCTGTTCTGAAGCAAGCCTTGAGCATCGTCGTTTCGAATACAGAAGAATCTTCCAAGTTTTCTTCTGAGTCCAAGCATGATTTTGATAGAGTTTTGGTCATGGAAAGGGACCTGGACAAGAGAAATGCGTTGAAGAAGGAAAGGGAGTTGTTGGATGCAACAATACAATCTTGGTTCGAGTGGATTCAAGAATGCGAAGGGAGTGCAGGAATAGCTCAGAAGAAGAATGTTGGTTCGGGGGTTTCTAAGAGTGCCGTGCAAGCGGCTTCGAGCAGCGAAGCACACACCGACGATGCTTCTGGATACATGGTGCTGGTTGCTGGGGCTCTACTTGTTGCAGGAGCTGTCTGGTGGTTCAGCAGAAAGCGGAGTTCATAGAGATCTGCGGAAGTATGTGGTGACTGAGTGCTGTTTATCCTTCCGCACTCACACCAGACAGTCTCGAACTTTTGGCTTGGAAGGATTTTCTTTATGTCAGTTCGGTGCAAGAAAGAAAGAGAGAGTCGTGTGGTATCTGTGAAGCATCAAGTAATCATGCTGCTTGCTCACTCTCATTTCCTGCCAGCGTGCACTTATTAATGAAACCACTCTAGATTAAGTGAGATCGGGCCTCCCGGTCGCTGTACTTGTTCTCATCAGTCCTTCCTCCTCTTCTTGTCCTTCTTGTGAGACTTCTTCTTGTCTTTCTTCTGTCAGGTTGTCAGCTTTCCTGAGGCCGGCCAGCGCCAGACGTGCTCGCACCTTCTTGTCCTTGGACTTCTTGTCCTTCTTCTTCTTCTCCGACTTCTCCGACTTGGACCTCTTGGGTGATCTTGATCGGTCGCGATGATCTCGGTCTCTCCAGTGCTCCCGATCTCTCTTGTGCGGGAGCTCCGACCTGTACAACCCCATTAGCAGCGCCAGAGAGTCTCAGAGCGACGACCTCTCGTGCTGCTGCCTGCTCTTCCTCCTGGGCGACCTGACCAAGAGGATGAGAAGCAGCCGATGCCGGTGGGGGGGTTAGCGAAGGGATGGAGGGAAGGAGGAAAAGTGAAGGAGGGAGAGGGAGGTCAGGATGGAGGGATGCAAGAAGGGGCTCCAACCTTTCTTCAGAAGAGGTGCTGGAAACAGTGCTGACAGATCTGCGATCCTCCTCGCTCTCATCGTCGTCGTCACTGGAGGTGCTGCTGACATCACCAGCTTGTTCTTTCTTGCCTGTGTGGCCCTTACAACGACGAGCAAGAGCGTGAGACGAGAAGCGAACCAGTGAGCATGTTGAAACACTGGAAGGCAAGGTGACCGATCTCCCCACATTTCTTGCACCTACACATGAAGCTCGTCATTGCATCGAGAAGTTGGCTCCGAAGGCCAGCAGTGGGAGGGCAGGATGCGAAACTCACGCTCCTCTGTTGGCACCTCCTTTGGCTGCACCTGCATGGACGACAGCATGTGAGGCTAAGATGCACGAGGAGAAAGGATGGGGAAGGGGGAAGGGGAAAGAGAGGAGAGAGGAGAGGAGAGAGAGTAGAGGAGAGAGAGGAGAAGGGACAAGTCACCGCTCAACTTGGCCAGGGTCATGAGGTTCTGACTCATCTCGTAGGCGTTCTGACCGGAGCTTGACTGCAGGGGGACCTCAAGTCAGCGCGCGAGAAGCTTGAGATCAGCAGGTCTCCCTACCCCAGCAACAGCTCCAGCATCGTTGGCTTTGCCGAAGTCATTTCCAATCACCTGATGGCTCATATGAACAGCGAGGGCAAGCAAGAGGTGTCTCTTACGTTCGACCACATGTCCGTCGTCCTCAGTGCAGCGCTGCTGTGCATGCGATTGTTGGCCTGCGCGCGCAGGCGTCAGGCGGTCGCGATGAAAGGAAGCGAAAGAGCACAGGCATCTTGATGCGAGGAGCGCTCGCTGGCATCCCTCCTCTCAACCTGCCCAGCACGAAGATTGTGGAGCCGGATTTGATCTACCAAGGCAGAAGGATGAGAGTTAGAGCAGTTGACGGAAAGACTTGACGGCCAGCGTGACGTCGATAGAGGAGAGGAGAGAGAGATGGGGGGAGGGGGGAAGAAGGAGGAGCAAACTCACATTGTAGTCTGAGAGCAAACGATCTGGTTGTAACTCGCAGCAGGTCGTCGCGAGCCTTTCCTCGGCATCAATCTGCTAGGTCTCAGCACAGGAAGAGGACAAGAGGCAGCTTCTCGCCTGCAGTATCTGAGCCAGGAATGCGACTGAGGAGGAAGGCAGAAGCTCCTCCTCCTCCCCCACCACGCGCCTCCTCCCCTCCCCGCACTCCACCACCAACTGCATCCTTCGCCACTTGTTTCCTCAAGCCTACCCACCCCTTGGTTTCTAAGTCGCAAATACCCCTACCTTTTGCTGGTAAAATACCCACCATTCCTCAAGTTGGAAATGAGACCAAGTCCTAGATGAGAAGGGGAGGTAAGAGGAGACGAGGAGAGAAGGGAAGGTAAGAGGAGACGATGAGAGAAGGGAAGGTAAGAGGAGACGATGAGAGAAGGGAAGGTAAGAGGAGACGAGGAGAGAAGGGAAGGTAAGAGGAGACGAGGAGAGAAGGGAAGGTAAGAGGAGACGATGAGAGAAGGGGAGGTAAGAGGAGACGAGGAGAGAAGGGGAGGTAAGAGGAGACGAGGAGAGAAGGGGAGGTAAGAGGAGACGATGAGAGAAGGGGAGGTAAGAAGAGACGAGGAGAGAAGGGGAGGTAAGAGGAGACGAGGACAGAAGGGAAGGTAAGAGGGGACGAGGACAGAAGGGAAGGTAAGAGGAGACGAGGAGAGAAGGGAAGGTAAGAGGAGACGAGGACAGAAGGGAAGGTAAGAGGAGACAAGAAGGGTATCAGCGACAACGGGTCACACAGTATGGAGTCAAACTTCAGCTCATGTTACATACTACAATACACGGAACTCAGGCATCGAGAACCCATCACTCCAGAAGCACATCTCCTCCACGTCCTTCCATCCCACACTTCCTTTCTTCGCGTTGCCAGCCAGCATGATGAGGATCGCAAGCTCTGCTGTGCTGATCTCTGTGCGAAGAAGCCGCTTGAGATTCTCCAGGAAGATCCATTCCACATCTTCACAGCATTGAAGCGACTGGGTGTGGAAGGAGAGGGAAAAAGCGCCGGTGAGCTCGAAATCTAGCTTCCATTGCAGCTGACGGAATTGCTCATCCCTCCCAAGAATCGAGCCCGAGAAGAAATGCCGAGTTGACAGAAACTCCATCGAGCTCGATCCTCCGTCCTGCCCGTCTCCCACAAAGCTGAACTTGGTCCTTGTAGTCTCCCACCCCGCGTGCTCCTCAGCCCCCACCTGACCTGCGTCAGCATGCATCTCTCGCTCCTGATCAAAGCTCTCGAAGAATATCCGCGACGCCAGCCGTTTGATCTCTGACTGGAACTTTCCTCCATCGCTTCTGGGAAGAGCGGCCCGCGAGGACATCCATCGCTCGATCGCGAGCTTCAAGCCCTGTTCCAGCTCTGTTGACATGGCTCCTCTAGCCGGGGAGGACTTGCCACCTGCCTCCATCCTTGCCTTGAGCATACCCACGCCACCATCCATCCTTCCCTTGAGCATACCCACCCCGCCATTCACACTCCCAGCTTTCGCCCCCATTCCGTTGGCATTGCCTGCCAGTCCAGCAGCACCAGGTCCCAAGTTGGTCACATGCGGACGTCTGGCCTCGACCAGCTGCTGGTAGACGTGAGACTCGTGACTCAGTGACGAGGAGGGCCCGTTCTGTTTCTTCTGCGGGAGAGTCAGAGTCACGTGGCAAGCCTTGGATCACTCTTACCGCCATCACGCTCTCATGCACAGGTGCCGCTGCCTTGTTCGCAGTGACCTTCTTCGCAGGGTTGGTCGGCTTCGGCATGTTGAGGGCATTGAAGCTAGCTTCTTTCCTCGCTTGAGCCGCGGCCAACACTGAACCAACCGAGGTGCGAGGGGACGAGACGAAGCCTGTGCCGTCGCTTGACAGAGGCTTCCGGCTGCTCTCACGCTCATTCGGAGTGTGTGTGTTCGCGTCCGAGGCAGTAGAGGACGCGTTCGGCTGAGTTGAACCAAGACCCTCGTTCAACGCGGCTGCAGGAAGGGATTGCCGGGCAGGTGAGTTTTTCCGGGCGGAGGAGGAGCCAGCATGCAGCGGCAGGCGGAGGATGTCATCCTGCTCGTTGGCAGCTGAGGGTCTGCCTCGTTTTCTTGATTCATGCTCACGGACTTCTTCCTTGGCTGCCAAGCGAGAGCTCCGCTTCGGATTCGCGTTCTTGTTCATGTTTCGTTCAGATGTCAACCCTTCTCATTCAATTCCCTCGAAAAATATAGCGTGATGATTAGCTTGTGTTCGGTCAATCATGTCGCAACACGACGACCTTCAATCATGGATTCTACCACCTTCAATGGTGTCATGTCAGTATGCTAACACGAAGAAAACAGATATTACAAACAGGAAATGAGGGTTGTATGAACTAAGTAAACAACATCCATATCATGTCAAGTTCCTCGTCCAATGCTTGTTACCATTCTTTTCACATGTCCCTACCCACCAATCATCTTCATAATGATTCATGAGTCATACACGAATTTCTTCACGATAGATATAAGTTAAGTTCAATTCCTTGTTGTACTATTTCCATGTTCCAACCTACAAACCCGCGCCTTTCCCTTTAGCCAATGCTCTTTGAAACAATGTTCTTGTCTGTACACAAACACACCTTTCTCACCCCATATTCATCAAGATGGTCTGTCAGAGAGAATATCTTTACCTCATGCATTTCTTGCATTTTACACCACCAAACTCTACTTGTCCTCTTCTTCTCGTTGTGACTATTCCGAACGCTACCATCATCCCCAGTTGGACCGTCACTCGCAGTATTCCTTACATGATCGACTTCGTTTCCTCTCTTCTTCTTTCCTCACCAGCTTTCTATCTCTGCTTTTTCTCTATCACACACACATTCAATATTCTCTCCTTCTCACTCTCTCACTCTCTCACTCTCTCACTCTCTCTCACTCTCTCACTATCTCACTCTCTCACTCTCTCACTCTCTCTCACTATCTTACTCTCTCACTCTCACTCTCTCTCACTCTCTCACTCTCTCTCACTCTCACTCTCTCTCTCACTCTCTCTCTCTCTCTCTCTCTCTCTCTCTCTCTCTCTCTCTCTCTCTCTCTCTCTCTCTCTCTCTCTCTCTCTCTCTCTCTCTCTCTCTCACTCACTCTCTCTCTCACACACTCTCTCTCCCTCTCCCTCCGGTCCAGCCCCCCCGCGGCGGCGATGCCGCATGCCCTTCGAGGTTCGATTCGGTTCTAATCAGTTCAAATCGATCATTCTGTTCTGAAACCAATCCAAGTACGGATTTAATCGATTAAATACTATATTTCTTTGCTGCCACCCCCTTATAATCCTTGAGTACCCCCTCATATACAGGTCAAAGCCAGGTGATACCAGGGGTACCGTATTATAGAATGTTGGGTACGGTAGTCTGAATTTCCGTTACAATACGGTTATCTTTTTTATACGAGCGCGAAGAGGCAGCCGACGATGGTCGAGGAGGGGATGGAGGCGTCGAGGCTGCTGCCTGCAGACTGCCTGGCGATCCAGGAGATAGGAGCCTCCGGTAAGCTCTTCCTCTCCTCTTTCCCTGCTCCTGCTCCCTGCTGATGCACAGCTCCTTCCTCGATCCTGTGGGAGAGGGCGAGAGGGGGGTATGAGGAGGCACACGCAATTAGAGGGAGACGAGGGAGAGGACGTGATTGTTGATAACAAGTTAGGGGAGTCGTTGAAGGAGATCACGTGTGATGATATGGAATCAGAACCAGTGTACCATCCCATCGTTGTGAATTCCATGTGTTGTCCACGAGAAAGATTTCCTTTCTACCGCTGTGATTGGGTGGTGAACGACCCCTGTGTGCCATTGGGATGTTATACTTTGATGGGAGACATCATAGTGAAGAACTTTCGTATCCAGCTTGATGGTCAATAACATCTCTTTGACATGTGATTGCCATTGATCTATGAAATCCCCATGATGGTCTTGTCACCTGTCTTGCCCTTTCCGTCCGCTCTGGTTGAGTTCAATCCTCTGATACGGCGCTGCAGGAGCCATCTTTGATGTGCTTGCATGGATTGCACTCCTCTTTACGGCCCTCTTCATGGCATTCAAGGCTGTCAATGCGGATCCTGTCGTCCGCAAGTTCTATTACATGTATTACTGACCCTCTTTCTCACAACGGAGTGCTGAGTAGCTGTGTAGAAACGCATTTGTATGCGGAGTGGCGTCCTTCTCCTATTTTGCGATGATCAGCGGAATGGGATGGGAGACTATCATGGGATGTCGTCAGATGTTCTACGTCAGGTGGAACGGAGAGGTTGAGGAAAGAGCTTCCCCTAACAGTCTTCAGATATATCGACTGGTTCATCACAACACCTCTGATGATCTTGAACATTGGGCTGCTGGCTGGCGAGGAGCAATGGATGATCGCGGCCATCATGGGCGCGGACAGTAAGTCTCTTGCTGCCTCACTTAGTGTGAGGTTGCTCTCGGATGTTCATGTGAACCATTTGACTGATGTGACCTGCGTGAAGATGAAGTTAGAGAGTGTGTTATGCAAGCATACACTAATCACTTTTCTTAATTTCTTGGGCACATTCGCATATTTTTTGTTTCTTTTCTCAAGAAGAATATATCTGACATGTTTTGGAACAGTGGGAATGATTTTTGCTGGTTACATGGGTTCTGTTGCACTCGTGCCCACTGTCAAATGGCTTTGGTTTGTCATCGGGCTTGTTGTCTACATTCCCGTTGTCATTGCGCTTGTAAGAATCTTCCGTCAGTGTGTTCTTGGTAATTTGATTGATTTTGGAGAAGTTGAAGTAACGACCCTTGCAGACAAATATGACATGGATAGAATCGAACTGTAATTTTACTGCTCCTTATATGCTTCTCACTCACTACTTGACAGGTATGGCAAAGTGTCTTTGCTCACTGTGGTTTCATGGTCAGTTTATCCATTCGTATGGTTGTTGAGTGTGGGGACTGGCGGATTGGGAGTTAGCGCAGAATCAATCCTCTATGCATTGCTTGATGTTACTTCCAAGTGCTTCTTCTCTTTCATGATCATTCAGATGGATGTGAGTCATGGCTTCCTCTTCTTCTGATCGGTACTGATGAATTCCAAACTTGCAGGTTTATGAAAGTGCGTCAGCAGAAACTCAAAAAGAATACGTGTAACTGGGCCCAGGGTCTTTCACGCAGGCTGCCTCTGTGGTTGTTTTACTGTAGATTTTTCTCATTTAAGACTTGGAATGAATTCTTAGCTTCATCAGAGTACAGCTTCAAACGATTTCACTGACTTAGCAGCGAACGAAAACCAGTCCTTGTTAATTCATCGATAATCAGATTGGATGAGGGAGCAAGATAGTCAAAATGCATGGTAAATGACCCGCTTGATGGAATATCAGTGAAGCTCAACTTCATTGCTCCGTATCGTTTCGTGCCAGAACCAATCGCGACTTAGATTGCTCGATGTGCTCCAGTATCTTGGAGAGATTCGGAGGAAGCTCACGATGTTTGAGCTGTAACAGGTGCTCACAGACAGCACTACAGTAAGGACATAGAAGTTCTATCTCACCGCGTAGGACTGCAATTGTTGTAAAATCACAAAACTTTCCTCCCGGGTGAGTTTGACCTGAAAACACTTTGTCAAGCAGACCTTGTTTACAGAGGGTACAAGAACGACAACTTACAGGCCATTCCAGAACGAAAGGGTAGCGAGTAGACAGATACTTTGTCATTTCAGGATCAGCGTCGTTATACTGTACCACAAATTTTAGAAGAGTCAATCAGTGAAATAAAATCTCACGATCTGGACATTCAGACTGGAGTCTGCAAAGTACACCACAGATTCAGAAGCCTGCTGTCAAGCACGATCGATAAGAGTTCTGATCCCACGTGAAACATTTCACCTGATACTCGTGGGAAAACTTTCTGAACTGGAAGGGCGGTTGCTGCGCCACCGGAGTTTTCCGTTCATCCACGTTGTCGTACTTGGGCTTTCGGGTGTCGACATTGTCCTTGGCGAGGATCACTTGGGGAGCCTCAGGCGGCGGATGATTCGATGGGATTGGGGTGCAGCATTCCCAGATGTCTGTCCATATGTCTCGCTTCTCCCTCCTCCCTCCTGTCTTGTTGGGTCCTCCCATCCTCTCCTCTCGTCGCCTCCAGTTTCGACTACCTCTTTCCTGACAACCCCTTGTGTCTTCCACCCCCCACACAGATTACTTCGTTTGCACTACCCCCTCGAAAATGACCCCACCCTACCATCCAAAAGATTTTGCTCATACTGAAATGAGTTTGAACCCCCTGTCATCGGATGACCCTACTAAGGTAGTACCCCCAACACTACCCCCTTACCGCACCTCTTCGTGTTTACTTCCCGATGACCCCACCTTCCGGGTATCGTCGGAGTTCATCGGAATGATTGAAAAAAAATCTTTGACAAGCGTCGGACGGTCACTGAGGCTAGGCTCCGACCGCCGAGACTGGCGGCCCGGTCAGGGGGGCACGCCGGGGCCTGGAAGCGCCGGCGCCCCTACTAAGTTGCCTTTGAACTTCCGAACCGAGCTGAGTCAGTTAGCTCGGCGGAGTCACTCGATCGTCGGTCCGATCCCGGGCCCTGAGTCCGCCCGGCGGCCTGCCCGGCCGGAGTCGGAGCCTGAGTCGGCCATCAACTTGGCAGGCCCGCCTCGCTTTCGGGGGGAAATGCGATTCATGCTGGCCTTGGTGTTGGTGGTCAGCGGAGCGATAGGAGGGAGGGAGGAGGGAGGGGCAGGGGGAGAGGAGGGAGGAGAAAGACGCTGGGGAGAAGTGGTCGAGCCGAAGATGTTCAGCATACATCATTCGGCAAGAGGAGTCCCAATGAGATGCGAATTCCGGTTCAACGCGCCTGAAGGTAAGTTAAGGGAGCCGCAGGCTCAGGTGTCACAAGTGCTGCTCAGGTTTCAGTTTCGCTCTTGCAATCAACAGGCACATAGTGATCAGGACGAGGACGAGGCGAATAGTCACCATCCTCTCTCAACCACTGGAAGGCAGCTGGCAGACGGTTTGGCGTCTGCCTCAATGACTAGCACTGAGCTGACGACCGTCAGGTTTCATGCCTGGTCGTCAATGCGAGCGACTCGCCCGTGTTCTCCTCCTCCGCCGTGTTCATTGTATCCACCCGATAGGGTTGTTGGCTCACGGGTCAGGCAGTGACTGTCGGTGACAGGTTCGGTTCAGCACCAGGGGGGATAAGGGGCTTCTTCTGAGCGAGCTCCCGCTCGCTGGCAGACTTCGAACATGGCAGCAGCATCATGATACCTGCTCCTCCTACCGGCATGATCCCTCCCGGTGATCATCATCTCCAACCCATTGAACGTGCTGCTCTCCTGCCCTCCCCCTCCTGCTCCTCCTCCTGTGGCCCGATCCTGATCTCGACATCCCATGCTGCATCAGCTCACTGTCCTCTTACCTAGCGGCGAGGAGAACTGCAGCAAGAACGGAGAGACTGTGAGGAGGACGTGGCAGAGCTGCTCTGCCGACTTCACGTCGCATGTGGAGGGGCTGGTCTTGCACGACACCCACTACCCTCCCCATGCAGAGGAGGTAGTGTCGGTGACCTCCCTCTCTCCCCTCTGACTTTAACTGGGGAGCTGCTGGAAGAGCATTTCTTTCATTTTTTCGCCAGCAACCATCGCAGGTTCCCCAGTGAAATCACGTGAGTCAGCCTGACCCCGAGCCTCCCTCCCTCACCCTTGACTGACGCTGCTCTCCATGCTTTCAACCGTCCCTGCTCCTCATTGATCGACCTCCTCCGCCTCCTCTCGGTTCTCCTCGTTCGCCTTCTCGTCCTCTTCCTCGTCTTTGTCGTCCTCCTCGCCCTCGTTCTTCTCCTCCTCGTGCTCATGGATGAGTTGGCTTGCTGCAGCTATGTTCCCATCATGTGGATCAGTCACATGCACAACCTTCAGCTTCACAGGTATCCGAGAACGGAGGAGGGAGAAGGGGAGGGGGGAGGAGGGGAGGAGGGAGAAGAGGAGAAGGGGGAGGAGGGAGGAAGAAGAAGGGGAGGAGGGAGGAGGGGAGGAGGGGAGGAGGGAGAAGAGGAGGAGGGGAGGAGGAAGACGGTGCTGGCAGACCAACGTATCACCCAACGGAAGAAGAGCTTGCGGAGATTATTTCCTCCAACTTCTCTGACCCCTCCAAGAGATACTTCACAGTAATGCAGGTCACTCCCTGCTCCCTGCTCCCTGCTCCCTGCTTCCTCCTCCCTCCTGTTGCTTCCTCCCCCCAACGCCGGATTTCCACTCACCTTACCATCAGGCAGACAACTGGGGTCGTGTTCTCAATCATTCCATCCCAAGGAACTGGCTGGTGATCTCTTCCCCGCCCCCTCCTCTGCTCCTCTTCCCTGAGACCCTCACAGGTTTTCTCTGCCTCCTGCCAGGGCTCGTGGCCCCTCCCGCTTGTCACGCAATTTCACTCTCATCCTCCTCGCTCCTTTGAGCGCCAGGGCGACAAGAGGGTTTACAGGAAAGAGGTGAGAGGGAGGAGGAGGAGGGGGAGGAGGAGGAGGAGGAGGAGGGGCGGGGGCGGGGGGGGGGGGAGGAGGAGGAGGGGGAGGAGGAGGAGAAGGATCGGTGTCTTCTTATTCCGCTGCTGCTCATCAGATCTTCGCCTCTTTCTTGGGCCGGGCGACGCATCCGCTCAGGACGCGTCTGCGGTCGTTGTTTGCTCATGACGGAGGTGTAGCAAGCAGACGAGGGAAGGAGAGTGACGGGCTGTCAGATTTCCTCATCATCTCAGATGATTTCATGATCGACAAGAAGAATCAGCAAGGTACCCCCGCTCTCTCTCCCTCCCTCCTGTTCCTTTTCTTCCTCCTGCTGCTCCTTGTCCTCGTCCTCTTGCTCCTCTTCCTCTTCCTTCGTTGCATTTCGCTCTGTTTTACCTCTTCCTCTGATAGTTTTGCAGCGTTCAGAGACATCACGGCAAAAAGCATCTTCACTTTGAGGTGATCGACGTCTGAACCTCCTGCTCCTCCCTTCTCCCTTCTCTTTCCCTCGTCCTTTCATCATCCTCCCCCTCTCCTCCTTCCTCCCCTCTCACCCTCTCACCGCCTTTCTCCTTGTTTTCTCTCCTCCTTGTCCGACTCCTCGTGGTTTCCTTCTCTTCCAGTCCTCGTGGCAACGGTCCGACAAGCTTCCGGATCTTTGAGGCGTTAGAACACGGTGAAAGCAGCAGCAGGAGGAGCAGGAGGAGCAGGAGGAGCAGGAGGAGCAGGAGCAGGGGGAGAGGAGAAGGAGAAGACGAAGGAGGAGGAGGAGGGGGAGGGGGAGTGGAGGGGGAGGGGGAGAAGGGAGCGGAGAAGGAAGATGATGACGTGAAGATGCTCAGGTTCCATTCCCGTCTACATCTTCGACGATGATTGCTGCGTCCCCTTTGTTGAGGTGCCTAACGACTTCAATATGATGCCCTCATGCTGAATTTCTTCACCATCCTGCTCCTCCTCCTCCTCCTCGTCGTCGTCCTCGTCCTCGCCCTTCACCTCGTCCTTCTCCTCGCAGGATGTCGACTGGAACAGCTTCTCCATCTTCGTGCACGAGTCTGAGCTGGCGCACCTGCGTGACATTCTGTCCTCGTTCGACGCGCGGGAGGTCGAGGAGATGGAGGAGGAGGGCAGGCGGCTCCTCCTCCACCACTTCACTCTGGAGCGAGTCAGCGAGCACATCCTTGGCCGCCTCCTCCTCTTCTCCTCCAACTTGTCGAGCTCGTGGGGAAGGACGTTTGACCCTCCCACTCCCACGGTAAGGAAGAGGGGATAGAGGAGGAGAGGGCAAAGAGGGAGCGGGAGCAGGAGCAGGTGCGGCAGGTGCGGCAGGTGCGGCAGAAGTAGCAGCAGAAGGGGAGGAGAAGGAGGAGGAGGAGGTGGTGGTGGTGATGGAGGAGGAGGAGGAGGAGGAGGAGGAGGAGGAGGAGAGGAGGAGGAGGAGGCATGTGAGTGACGCGACGGAGGTCTCTCACGCATGCGGCGCTACTGCCATTCCTCGCGTGATCAACAAGCTACTGGCAAAGTTGAAGGAGGAGAACGAGGGAAACATACAAGAGCGAGGAAGAGTCACGTCACGGGAGCTCAGGTTTCATCCTGCTTCTCCTGCTCCTCTACCTGCTCATCCTCATCCTCATCCTCATCCTCATCCTCATCCTCATCCTCATCCTCATCCTCATCCTCATCCTCATCCTCATCCTCATCCTCATGCTCTTGCTCTTGCTCCGGCTCCTCCCACTGATCCTCCTCCTCTCATCGCGTTTAGATCGATCGGGAACATCCAGCTGAGGAGGTGCATCGAAGAAGCTGCCGCGTCAGCCGCGTGCGACGATGCTCTGTTCCTGTTCCGTGAAAGTTTGGTGAGGAAGACACGAGGAGCGAGGAAGGTTTGGATGATTTTGAGACGCAGAGGAGAGGGAGGGATGCGGAGAGTCTCTCAGGGACGGCCGTCACTGTCGCTCTCCTGCTGTCCGAGGAGGATGAAGCTGTCCGTCTCCTCCTCGAGTCCTTCCAGTCCTCTCCTGACGAGAGCAGAGCGTACGAGGTGAGGGAGGAAGAGAGGGGAGTAGTGTAGTAGTAGGTGGTGGTGGTGGTGGTGGACGATGAGGAGGAGGAGGAGGAGGAGGAGGAGGAGGAGGAGGACGAGGAGGAGGAGGAGGAGGAGGAGGAGGACGAGGAGGAGGAGGAGGAGGAGGAGGGGAAGAGGATGTGGTTGAGGTTCTCTGACTTCCTTTCAAGCTGCAACGGGAGGCGATCGGGCGATGGATGGACCGAAGCTCCTCGTCTCGACCCTTGACCGCGATGTGCGTGAGAGGAGAGATGGAGGGGGACAAGGAGGGAGGGAGGAGGAGGAGCATCGAGTTAAAACTTGATCAGCCTGTCCTGGCGCTCGGGATGCTACGGTGGAGGAGCGAGATGTCTGGACAGATTTGAAGAATTTCTTTTCGATTGGCAGGTAAACGGAGCGAATGGTGGTCGACATCCACCCGCCAGGAGGAGGACGAGGACTAGGACGAGGACAAGGAGGGGGAGGATTAGGGGGAGGAGGAGGTCCAAGAGGAGGAGGAGGAGGTCCAAGAGGAGGAGGAGGAGGAGGAGGAGGAGGAGGAGGCTGGACCAGGGCCGAGAGTCTGACATCTTTCGCAGGATTTCCTTCCCTCTTCTCCTCTCGTGGACTTGAGGAGGCGCATGCAACACAGGGAGCCTTACCCGGTGAGAGGAGGAAGCAGGAGCGACTTCCATCCTCCAGCTGACAGCGAGCTGGGAAGGGCGACGAGCTGAGCAGGATGCTACAGCACAGCGAGCACGACGTGGTGACCGATAGGAGGAGGAGGAGGAGGAGGAGGAGGAGGAGGGAGGGGGAGGAGGAGGGGGGAGGGGAAGGAGGGAGGAGGAGGAAGAGGAGGAGGGAGGGGGAGGGGAGGGGAGGGAGGGGAAGGAGGGGAGGGGGAAAGACTCGCTGTTTTTGATGATGATGACTCAGGTTGCCTTCGATCAGCTGCCGCAGATCTCTCAGCTTTCTCTCCTCCACTGCGCCTCAAGGTCGACCGCCTGCTCCTCCTTCTCTCCTCGTCCTGCTCTTGCCCCTCCTCTTCCTGGACCTCCCTCTCTTTCTCTCCTCCTCCGTCTCTTCCTCTGTTGTTCCCTCCTCCCTCCTGAGCTCCCCTATCAGCTGGACTTTCGACTGGATCTCTCTTGAGTCCACCTGCGAGGATGCGAAGAGACAGCAGGACAGTGAGCATGCGGTGAGTCTTGAGACAGACTGCACGCCATGGCTGATCCTCATCTCCTCTCCTCTCGTCCCTCTCTCCCTCCTCTTTTCTCTCCTCTCTTCCCTCTCTCCCTCCTCTGTTCTCTCCTCCCTTCCTCACCTCCCCTGTCGCCTGTCCCTTTCCCCCATCCCGCCGTCTCCCTCTGCTATCCTTGGTCCCCTGGCGCGCCCCCCCCCCCCCCCACTCTCTTCTCTCTCCTCTCTAGATCTTCGCCAAGGGGCTGCCGACTTTGCCATCGGGGAGGAAGCCGCAGCTCTCAGGAGGCTTCACCTTCATCTGGTGGGACTACGAGGACGAGCAGCATCAGGCGCTTCACTCCTGCTTCGACAGCAGCGTGCTGGTTCACTTGCAGCCAGGAGGAGGAGGAGCAGGAGGAGGAAGCGAAGTCATTCTGCTTCATCCCCATCACAAGTTGGCCCCTGGAGGAGGAGGGGGGGGATGGAGGAGGCAGCCGGTGGACCTGCAGGACTCGGAGGATTTTCTGCTGCTCATGGTGAGGGTTTACATGTCAAGTCCCTCGCTGACAGGACGGCAGGAGCTGGCGGCTGCCGCTGACTCTCTACTGGTGGCTGGAGGCTCCTCAGTCGCTACCGCCATCCTCCTCAAGCGATCGGGGAGGCTCGGGAGGCCCCAAGTGGACGCAGCGGTCAAAGTCTTCTCCTGCTGAGGCGAGAGACAGAGAGGGAGAGAACATTTGGCAGAAGAGGAAGGAGGAGGGGGGGCAAGGGCAAGTCAGGTGGGGGGGGAGGGGGGGAGGAGGAGGAGGAGGAGGAGGAGGAGGATCAGTAGAAGGTCGTCCACGTGCGGTGATGAGGAGCGATCAGCTTCTCGATATGCTTCTGCTCTCCTTCTTCCCACAGGATCCAGTCCACCTCGCTCGACGTCATCCCCCCGCACCCGCAGGCGTCTGCAGCTACCTGGATGCTCCGCACGTGCGGCAAGCCATGGTCCTCCCGCAGCATCTGCGCCAGCTGCTCGACTGCCTGAACTGACCACGCGCGCAACTCCACTTCCTCCTCTGAGCTGAACAGGCCAATCATCTCCAGTCCTCTCCCGCGATCCCCTCGTGCCCACCTTGCCCCTCCTCCTCCCCCTGCCTCCTCCTCCCCCACTTCCCCTCCTCCTCCTCCTCCTCGCCCGTACCCGGCTTCAATGATCTGTCCTGCCGATATCTTTGCCACCAGTGCATCTGAGTAGGACAAGACTCCTTCCGCCTAGACCATCTTGCGATGAGAAAAATACAAGGACGAGGACGAGGACGAGGACGAGGACGAGGACGAGGATGGGGACGAGGATGGGGACGAGGGCGAGACAGGGACAAGGAGGAGGAAGAAGACGAGGATGACGACCAAGAGGAAGAGAGGAGGAAGATGAAGGAGAAGAACGGAGGGAGGAGGGAGGAGGGAGGAGGGAGGAAGGATGGCTCTTACATGAAGGAGCTGCGGCACGCGGTAGTCGGCGAACATGGTGAGGGAGGAGATGTCGTCAAATTCCCCGAGGCCCCTTCCTCTCAGTGACCTGCGGCATCTTGTCAGGAGGAGGCAAAACTCGCTTCTGCCCTTCACCCCCACACGTCCCCTACGAAGATCTGAGCTCTCTTGTAGAAGAACACCTGCGAGGCTCCTCATCCCCCTCCCCCGAAGCTCAAGAACCCTCACCTCCTCCTCCTTGTACTTCGTCTGATCTCTGAAGCCAGGGAACAGGTCCAGTACCTTGCTGATCAGCACAGTAGCGCTCTTCCCTGCCGACTTGACCAGGTTCGCCGCCTCCCCGTCATACTGCTGCAGCCCCTCTCCCACCTCCCGCAGCAGCCGCGTCCTCTCCTTCATCAGCGGCATCGTCCGACCATCCAGCAGTACTTGAAAGCTCTCTTCGGTCTGAGGGCAGCATGGGGGTGTGAGAGGAGAGCAGATCGGGAAACATTAACCATGGCAGCTAGTCTGCTGGCGCTGAAGGCCTTGTCGTCCTTGAGGAGAGCACTCCTCAAGCAGAGGGAGAGGTCTGAGTACTCCCATGCTCCCTCGCTCGGCCAGAAACAAAAGTTGATGGCTGATATGCTTGTGAACAGGAGCACAGAGAAAGGCAAGGGAACAACCGTCGAGGACGAGCAGGTACTGAATCATCAGCTCCTCCCTCCCCACCTTGAGACATGGTAACTTCCATCATCCTCTCGGAGAAACACGTGTCCTCACAAAGTGAACGTTCAACTCATCCCATCCCACCCCATCCTCCTCCCTTGGGTTCGAAGCGAGTCGCTTCCTGTTGTCCTGGGCAAGCCGGTCGGCCATGGAGCGCAGCTTGTCCTGCGGGAGTGAGGAGAAAGGAAGCAGAGCAGAGAGAGCGAACCTTGTGCAGGGAAACGTGCGCTGCTCGGGAGCATACCAGCCGCGTGCTGCTCCGTACCAGCTCGCATGGATTCGCTACCGCTCTCATTTTTTCCTTCGTTAGGTACCAACGGTCGCAACAGATTTGAAACGGTTTGAAACGGATTGAAACCTCCGTGACGAATCACGCTATGCTTTTAGAAAGATGAGGGAGGGGGAGGGGGAGGGGGAGGGGGTGGAGGAGGAGGAGGAGGAGGACAGCAGCAGCAGCAGCAGCAGCAGCAGCAGCAGCAGCAGCAGCAGCAGGAATAGGAGATATTTCTAACAGAGTAGAGACGAGGATACGCAAGCAGATGAAAGAGCATGTTGACGGTAGATGTCACGCTGTCCGAAATGACCGTCAGTGAAGAAATGTGGAGGAAAGAAAGCGCAGACAGGTTACGCGGGAGAGAGGGAGCAAAGAGAGTAGAGAGAGAAGAGCAAGATCAGATTGTAGACGGTGATTGTGATAAAGTGAAGAGAAAGAGAGCGAGAGGTGATTACGAAGAAATGAGGAAGCTGCAGATGCTTGAGGGAAATGGTGGTGGGGAGAAAGAGTAGAAATTGAGATCATTGACGTTCCCATGATGCAGGGAGACACCATGGCAAACAACAAGCAAGTGAGAACGAAGGCGAGGGTCGGGCAATCAAACTTGCGGTCGTTGCTCAGCGCTGGAATGGTCATGCTTGTTCTCAAGATAGTTCTGTATGCTTCTGCCCCACCGCCTGTTGAGGTACACTGAAGTGCGGTCACATTCAAAGTAATGTTTGGCTGCAGGCGTACAACATCTGTACTTGTCAGTGCTGCTATAGCGGAATATGTATTGATAGACCGAACAGCGAGGAATGGAATGGAACCTTTCGCGTGCCTGGTTGCTCGTTTTGTACCAAGTCACTTTGCTTTGAACACATCAAGAAGGTGAAATCCTCTCCTCTCCTCTCCTCTCCTCTCCTCTCCTCTCCTCTCCTCTCCTCTCCTCTCCTCTCCTCTCCTCTCCTCTCCTCTCCTCTCCTCTCCTCTCCTCTCCTCTCCTCTCCTCTCCTCTCCTCTCCTCTCCTCTCCTCTCCTCTCCTCTCCTCTCCTCTCCTCTCCTCTCCTCTCCTCTCCTCTCCTCTCCTCTCCTCTCCTCTCCTCTCCTCTCCTCTACTCTCCTCTCCTCTCCTCTCCTCTCCTCTCCTCTCCTCTCCTCTCCTCCTCTCCTCTCCTCTCTCCAGTCTGTTTGACATGCTGTCAGCCTATCGGCTCTTGCGATGAGGTCTCGGCGACGTGCGTGGACTACGACACCTACTGGCGGCTCACTGTGATCCTGCTGATTCTCTTCCTCCTCGCCTCTCTCCTCGTCATCGGGTGCCTCCGAGATGTCCCAGTGGTGAGCACGTCAATCATGATCGTCTGTCGTCTGATGAGCCTCGACCAGGTCAAGAAAGTCTTCAAGCTCGGCGAACCTGGAGGAAAGTGAGCGAAGCTGCAGGAAGGAAGGCAGAATCTGACTGACGGTGGTGGTGGGGATCGAGGGTTTTCTCTTCAGCGCCGTCTTGTTATTCTTTTGCTGTGTGTTATTCTAGATAGACTGAGAGGGACGTGCGAACTATTCGTGCCCGTTGGCTCGACTCATTCCATGGGTGAAACTTGAAATCGAATGAGTAATAAATGAGACTGAAGGCACTCACAAGTTGTAGCCTTCAAGGGACGAGTCTCACTGGCCGCGCGAACTTGCGGTCCTGCTCCTTCATCCGTTCTCAGAGGGCCAGTGCAGTCACATATCTGTGGCCGGGATCGAGTCCGACGTATCGATCAGGGCGGCCCGGTGGCCCGCGCCCGGCCGGCCACTGCCACTCCGAGCCTGGACCCAGACCGGCGCGCCGGCGCGCAGCGCCGGCACTGCACTAACTCAAAGTTAAGTTAAAAATCAGTACGAGGACAATCAGGAGAGCAGTGGAGGAGAGGGCCTTGACGGGGGGTCAACAGTGTCGGCAGTTTGACTGACGGTTACAAGTTAGGCCGTTGATCATTCAGGATGGGCGAAATGGTGAGGCAGGAAGAGAGGGACAGAGGAGGGAGAGGGAGGAGGGAGGGCAGGAGAGGGAGGAGCGCAGACGAGTGGGACTGAGGTTCGTGATGGGTTGACTCTCACCCAGGAAGAGAGGAAGTCACTGTCGAACATCTGGAAGGGATGCCATGCCGTTCGTTGCCCTCCTTGATGTCTTCAGCAAACTCTCAACCTACAACAGGATGCGACATACATGCATTGCTCTCAGCGCACCATCGCCTTGAATCCTGCACAAGCGAGGTGAATCAGTCGGAAGTCAGTGCGAGCCCTGGCTGAGAGATGGAGCAGAATCGACGAAGAAGGGCAGGCCGAGTTGAGGTTCATCAACGCTGGCACTAGAGGAATCTACCTGGACTTGTCCAAGGTCCCCTCCTCCTCCATCACCTGTATCGAGCTCACGAGCCTACAGGCGACGCGAAGAGAAGACGCAGAGGCGGCATGTCGCTCTGCTGCCCCGCTAGTGCTCACCCCCTTACAGACTGATTGTCGATGGAGGCAGCGGACCTGGCGGGCGATCTTCTCCCCCATGCCCGACGTAACGAGCTGGAGGGTAGCGAGCGGCGCCTGACATGCCGGCAGACCCGCCGGATGGAAAACTCGCGAGTGGTCCCTCCATACGCCATCAGGTTTGTGAGAACGGAACGAGTTTCAGAGGCAGCAGCAGGTGAGAGGAAGGAAGCAGCGTCTCTCCCCTCCTCTTGCCGCTCACTCTGCTGAAGGGAAGAAGCCCCGCAAGACCACAGCAGAGATAGGTGACTGCCTTCCTCCGGCCGCTTGCTCGCTCACGCGGGTGACAGTGGACGCGCTGCGGGAGGAGAGGAGAAGAGAAGAAGAGAAGGTGTGGCAGCAGCAGCTGACTGCTGGAGATTCTTGTCAGACTTGACTCGCAGAAGCTCTCGACGTTGACAAGTCCCAGGCAGAAGCGAGAGAACCTTGCTTTCCGGTAGCGACTCCTCCTCCTCCTGCTCTCCCCGCTTCACCCCCACTCTTGTCCTTGTCCTGCTCCTCCTCCCCCTGCTACTTGTCCTGCTCCTCGTCCTGCTCCTCCTTATGCTCATGCTCATGCTCCCACCCTTGTCCTCCACCCTTGTTCTGCTCCTGCTCCTCTTCCCCCTTCTCATCGCTCAAAGTTCGGGCAGGAAATACGCGGAGACGCTAACGGTAAAGTCGAAGATGATTGCCTCCACATCGCGGTAACACTCGTGAGGGGAGAATAGGAGGAGGAGAAGGAGAAGGAAAATGCAGGGAAGGGGAAGGGGGGGAAGGGAGGGAAGCAGGAGGTAGTTGTGGTGGTGTGGAGGAGGAGGGCAGGAGCTGACAGCATGCAGCCTGTCTCACGTCGACCTCCTCCTCAACTCTCCGCGATCCCTCGCACTCAAGGGTCGAGAGCTGGTCCCTCCTCCTCCTGCTAGGCGGGGGGGATGCCTTACAAGCATTGCAGGAGCGGCTGCCCCTATGGATGAACGCGCCAGCTCCCTACAGCTGACGGGAGGGGGTCAAGTGCGTGAGGGAGGGTGGATCGAATTGAATGTAGATAAAAGAAGGGACGCAAGAGCTGGCGAAGCTGTTTAGACAACGGGAAAGGAGGGAGGGAGGGAGGGAGGGAGAGGAGGGAGGGAGGGTGAAGGGTAAGTTCAACATAGGACTTTACAAACATGAAACAAGAGCATCTCAGAGCTCCTTCACTTGAAATGTTCCTCGAAGAGTTTCCTCCTCATCTTCCGGGTCATCCTCTGCGACGTGTCAAGACAAGAAAGATGCGACAGCAACTGCATCACCATCAGATCCTGTGGGTACAGCGGCAGGGCGATGCTGCTCTCCTCTCCCCTCTTCCCTCTGCTCCTCCTTGCCTGGAGCTCGACCTCGAACGAGCTCGAAGTATCTCCTCCTCCCTCCTCTCCGTCAGATGCTTCTCCCTTGACCGTCTTTCCCCCCTTCCCCTCCTCCTCTCCTCCTCCTCCATCAGTTTCCTCGCTTCCTTCCTCGCCGTCTAGTCCCTCTTGTTCCCTCGCTGTCTCGTCCTCGACTTCTCCTGTCCCTCGCTCGCTTCCTCCTCGACCGTCAGAGGACAGCACCAAGTCGTCGCGCAGGTCTGGTCGTGAGGGAGGAGGAGCAGAGCTGGAGTGGTCCGTCGACCCTCCCTTCTCGCTGCTCCCCTCCTCGGTGAGGGCGTCTAAGCTGCAGCCATCGTTGGGCGTCTGCCCGCTGCTCTCCTTCGGGTGCTCCGGCTGGTCGTGCGGCTGAGGCGCCTGCTCGCGGTGAGGAGGAGAGAGTTCGGTTGGTTCTTGAAGGTCAGCAGGATGATCTTCTTGTTGTGTATGAGGAGGAAGAGGACGAGGAGAGAGGGATGAGGGAAAATCTGGCGGACGCTCGTCTCCGGGTGCTTCCATCATACTGAAAGGCCAAGAAACCGCATGGTACAACTAGCTCAACGATCAAGCGAAGAGAGAGCAGAAGGAAGAGAAGGAGAGCAGGGGGGCCTTTGCTTACCTCTATCACCTTCTTCTCTAGTCTGCTGATGTACTTGTCGTCTTCTCTTCTTCTTATCTCATACGCTCGCAGCTGCTGGCGTTGAGCTGCAAGCTTCCGCTGGCGAGTCGCGTCGGTCAACTCCCTCCCTCCTCCCTCTCTCACCTGCATCCCCTGCAGACAGACCTCACTCGTTCGCAGCACCTTGCTCGAGTCTTTCTTCATCGTCGCCCTCGCCTGAACCTCTTCAGATCACTTGCTCTCCTCCACTTCGTGACGAGACAACCAAACTCTGCCCCCCTCCCCTCCCCTCCCCTCCCCTCCCTTCTCTCTTCCTCTTCCCTCTTCTGCTCCCATCCCCACTCTTCACGCGAGCTCTCACATGCTTCAGGTCCATGTTCTCCTCCTCGAGGCAAACAAGTCTTCGCGTCAGAGTTCTGTTCTCCTTGCCGAGCTCCTCGCATCGCAACCTGCGGCCTCTTCTCAATTGTCAACGGTCAACCAATCGGTCAAACACCTCCAGCTCTCGAGCTCGGACATCCTGTGAGCAATCGGGTGAAGGCTGCGAGCAAACAGCTGCACGGGTTGCTCGACCTCCTGCGAAGTCTGCTTGCTCCTCGAACGACACGAAGTTTGTCGGAGGCAGCTCGACTCAGAGGATGCAGCTGCTCTCGCACTCCCTGCCCCCATCTCAAGGAACTTGTCTCTGAAGTAATCCAACAGCTCCCTCGCCTGGAGTGCAACATGTCAGGAGGCCCTGCAGACATCAAGAGCGACAGACTTCTTGTTCCTCCCTCCGACTTGCCGCAAGTTCGACTCGCAGTTGTTCTTCCGCGTGCTGCAATCAAGTTGTCAGTGGGTAGACCATTTCTCACGTCCTTACCGCGCGATTTTGCTGTTTCAACTTCATCTCGTCGACTTTGCTCAGCGCGCCTCTCAATTCTTCTCGCGCAGCTCTGAGCTGATCGCAAACTCACAAGGGCGAGATGAAGAGCACAAACAGGGAAGAGAGCAATCAAGTCAAGCAAGCTTCTCAACGCACGACCAACCTCCTCCTCCTGCCGCGCTCTCTGCTCGCTCAGCTCCTTCTCGAGAGTCGCTCTCTCCTGCTGGTACTCTTGCGCTACCGTATGTACCTGACAGGCATCGCATCACGAGATTCCCTCTGCCCCCTCCCCCATCTCACCACTTGCAGCATGTTCTGCATGCGAGCATGCAAGTCCACGATGATCTCCTCGTACTCATGGAGCCGCTCAGCCGCCTCCTGCCATGGCTGCTCCCTGAGGCTGCTGGCAGCATCGCAACTCTGCTGATGGGAAGGAGCCGCGTAGAGGGAGTACTCTCCTAGAACAGTCTCCTCCTCCTCCTTTGTCCGTGGGATTTCCTCACCTGCTGATTCATTTCACATTCGGCACAGGGCGAGAATCGAGTGCCTTGAGATGTCAGTGGAAGATGCGGGGGAGCAGCCTCGTCTGTTGCCTCATCCCCACCTGACAGTTCACCTGCTCCCACCTGCTCCTCCTCAGCTCTGATCTCAAGTTTGTTTCCATGAGCTTGCATATGCGGAATGCCGCCTTCCGAGCCAGTTGTTCTAGAGCTTGCATTCTTGCTGGACTTTGCTTCTATTGCAAGCCTTCAGGATCAAGTCAGAGAAGCGGGTAGAGGAGATGAGCCGCGTTACAGCTCTTTGCGCAAGGACTCAAGCCTTGACTTCTTGGCCGCTGAGTTCCTCAGGGCTTGTTGAAGCTTTCCTGCAAGATTCATGCTCTGCAGAGACAGTTACAGTTGGCAAGATCCATCCTATGACCTTTCCCTTCCTTGGAATTCCTCTTCTATCCCCCTCCTGCTCCCTGATCCTTCTCTTCTTCCTCTTCCTTCCCCTCTCTCCTGCCCCCCTCGCTCCTTGCATTTTTCAAACTCAATCATGTCCATTAAACTTGCAATAAACTATAAAATTGTCAAAAACCCGCCTAGTCCTGCAATATAAACCGATGGCGCCCCTCATACCACAACAATTGAATCCAACAATAGACTATAAAAATAGTCATTTACCTCAACTTCACGTGCCCGGTTAGCTCAGTCGGCAGAGCGCAAGGCTCTTAACCTTGTGGTCGTGGGTTCGAGCCCCACATCGGGCGAAGCTCCGACTGAAACTTTTTGTTCACACCTGCTAGGCTAGTTCATCATACTGTAGAACCATACGCGCGTGAAGCCATGCTGCCTCAAACACCCGGCGCTCGTGTGCCTTCCCGTCGGCCTTGCAGGCAGGGCAGGCCAGCTCAATGCACTTTTAGTCGCAAAGAGCGACCTTCCCGTTGCGGGGTCACGCATTCGCAGTATGCCGCCTCCTCTAAGATGAGACAGTCTCCCCCCGTACCCTTCGTGGTCCCAATCAATCGGTCAGTCTCTGTCTGGCATTGCTTGTGAACGATTCTGTCATATCGAAATAAACGACTCGTTTATTATTTCCTTTGGATAAATTACGACATCTACAAAACCTTCCGAACAAGGGTCCGGCGGAAAGGACCGTTAAAGAGTTTCTTCTTGGCATGGAGAAGTTTGCGGAACAAGCACGCGTTGAGAAAAATGCGACGGTAAACCTGCTTGACCGGAAAGCGTTGCACCGAGTTGATATCAAAAGCCGGAGGCTGTTCCATTGCTAGAATGTCCATCCATTTCTTGGTTACCGAGATGATGGAGGCATTCCATAGTATGTCAGGAAAGGCAAAAAGTTCAGCGATGGGGTCTTCGACTGATAGCGCGGTGGCGAGCCAGTTCTTGTCCTCTTCTATGAGGTGACGTCGAAGGGAATCAATGACAAAGTCGTAGGAGTACTGTTTGGTCTCGAATTCGGGAAAGGCCGTATCAGCCTCTATGGACAGACGGTAGTTGTTGAAGAATTGGATAAGCTTGCCTTGAATATCCGATGAATCAACGGGGATCCGGCTCAGTCGTTGCAAAGCAATGCCCAACATAGAGACACTCAGACAGTCCATTCGAAACTCCAACCTGAATTGGCGAAGTCGCATCTTGTCGTATCGCATCATGAAGGGTAGATTCGTACTGGTAGGATAATCCTCGCGGGTGATCAATTGCATCATGCAAGCATTCATGACCAGATCATACGCCTTGCACTCACCAGATAATAGCCTGTCCTTGATAGTTGCATCGCCAGCAAGCAGGGAGTCAAGAGAGATTTTGATCCAGTCACACATACTGTCCACACGAGATGGGTCCTGATGAAGGTCCTTGTGGAAATGATGGCGGATGAATATTGGGGTTCCGTGAAAGATCTTCATGTTGATGTCCAACATCTTGAAGTTCAACTTGATCTCGTTGCAGTCATGCACTGAGGCCAGCACCAATGCGAGGGCATCGGCAATCACTTCCAATCCATTGTCAGAGGTCATGGTTCTCAACCTATTCTTCATGACGTTCCACTTCTCTTGGATCTCTTGGAGTTTCACTCTGTCCCAGTTGTTCTCGTTCGGATCTGATTGCCGTATGTTGGAAAGCTTCTTGCGGCCACATCTCTGGTGGGTACAAGTGGTCTGAGGCCCTTGATGAAGGCTAGCGCACTTGATAAGCAGGGCCATGGTCTCACGAACAAACAGAATCATGGTTTCGACGTTTTGCAGCTGATCCTCGAACTTCGCATCATCCTTGGTATCAAACATTGTAATCACTGGATTTTGTTCATCCTTGAACAAGAATGCAGGAATAATGTCCAGAATGTAACGGATCACACCCTTGGTCTCTTCGAGTGTTCTGGGGTTGTAATTCCATTCCTTCCGAATGTTGTCAATGCAGAGTGTATCCTTCATGTCGCGGATCTTACGGAAGAGGTGACAGGGCTCGTTCATGTTCCATCCCTTGTACACAACTTTTGGATTCAAAAACACCTCGTAGGCCAGCTGGTCCTTGGTGGCAAGCGGGCAATATTCCTCAGGAAGCAGGCAAGCGGATGTGTTGCGTTCTGACTCGACTGGAAGCTTATCCTCGTCTTGTTCCACGTTGAATCCTTTGCTCTTCAGTTCTAAGTCCAAAATCTGCATTTTTCTGTATCCATTGAGAAACATGTATTCCTTCCGTGTGAACAAACGTTTCTTGTCAAGATCCATCTTCCTCATCTTCAAGTCTGGATTGTTGTGTGGCCACAGTGCGTCAATCTGATATTCGTACTCCAGTTGACGTTTTAGCCTTTCGGAGCGAGACTCGTCGGTCTTGGTCCTGTGCAGACAGGATGTCGCATTGAAATCCAGTAGAGACTGTAGAATATCCCACCAATTGTAGTGGTTTCGCATATTGAATCTTTGCTTTGTCTGAAGGTGTAGATCCTGCAACTTGGAAAAGACAATGTTGGCCTTCTCTATGACATCGCGTTCGAGCACGGAGTTCGATCCAAATGTCTTGTCGGGGTGGTAGTGTATCAGAAACACTCGCATGCTGTCCGTGGCAAAGTTGTAAGTCTCGAAGAGTGTGTAATCACCTGGAAATGGGAGCCCAAATTTGGTTCGGATGTCGCGAACAGTTCGCACCAGGCAGGGGAGCAAGGTGTGCCAAGACCAAGCCAACTCACTTTGGCCAATCTTCAATCTCATATCGTTGTAGGACAGCTTGGCAAACTGGTCATCGAAGACTTGATCGAGGAACTGCGCAGCCAGTTTCTTCAACCGAGTTACGTTCACCCTTTGCGTGGACATTACCCAGTTTCTGGTAAGGAGGGAGAGCAGAAGGCATTATAAAGGTCAGAGAGGGGAAGGCGAAATGTGCCAGTAATTCACTGTAAACTTCCTGGTAAATTTCTAGCCGATTTCAATTGTGCTCAGTATTGTTCAACTAGTGTGCCATCTACTCCAGGTTTGATGCTGTTTGTGTGTCAATTGTGCCAGTAAATTACTGGCTGATTTCAATTGTGCTAGTATTGTGCCGGTACTGTGCCTGTATTGTGCCACTAAGTTTAGATTTGATTTCAATTGTGCTGGTATTGTGCTAGTAAATTATTGGCCGATTAATAGCCTATTTCAATTCCCCCCTGCGGAGGGTACAAATTATGTTGACTGACAGTGACCGTACGGCACTGCATGCCGGCGGCGGGGGGGGGCGGGCATACTACTGGGCCAGGCCATTATGCCATGATACCCGGAGTTAGGCTGAGGTGAGATGGTCGACTGAGTCAGTTGTTGTGCTCAGTGTTTATTGCCAACAGAACTTCGGAAAGCCTTGAAACAAGCACTGACTTCAACTTTGTCCGGCAGCTTCCCCAGCTTTGGGTTTGCTCGCGTGCTCCTACAACTTGGCGGTTAGAAGCAACAGAGACGATGAGAAGGAGAGGACGGGGGGAGAGGCTGACGGAGGGGAAGGATGAGAAGGAATCAAAACCTTTTGCAAGTTCTCGAAGCGATCGACCAAGATGGCAGACAGGAACGCAGAGACCCCGGCTGGGGAGCGATGGTCAACGAGAGCAGGAGGAGGAGGGAAGTAAAGATGTGCGAAGGGGGGAGGATAGGAAATGTTGATAGAAGGGGGAGCAGAAGGCATAGGAAGGAAGGAGGGGGGGGGAAGGAGAGGCGAGGGGGGAGGTAGGGGATGGGAAGAACCTTCTTTCAAGGGACTGGAGGGCTCGCTTAGGAACTTTTCCTTGTGTTTCTTGACGTTCTCCGACTGCCCGATATGAGGAGGAGGAGGGCAAGAGGAACAGCAGGGATCACCTCGCAGGCGTTCTGCAGGAAGAGAGTTGGGTCCTTGCTGGAGTCTGCCGGCATTGACGCTCTCAGCACGAAGGATTCAGACTTGTCCTGCTCCGCAAACTTGGGGATGGCCTGGTAGGAGATCAGAGGAGGAAAGTACGAAGATATGGAGAGGTGAATGAGATCAGTTGGAAGTGGAAGAGAAGAGAGAAGAGAGGGGAAGAGAAAGGAGGGGAGGCAGAGGAGAAGAGAAAGGAGGAGAGGGAGAGGAGGAGTGGAGAGAGCAGAGGAACGCGAGTGAGAGATGAGAATGAAGGTGGGCAGCAAACAACCTTGATGATCGCCTGGTAGTCTTTTCCTTCCACCTTCTTCCCTTGAGTGACCGTGATGACGTAGCCGAACAGCAGCGGGACCAGCCGGACGACCTCCTGGCAGCCTCCTCGTCAGCCTCCCGATACCACCATCAGCAGCCTAGTCCACCTGCGCCTGCTCGAACTTGGCGCGGAGCTTCGCAAAGTTCTTCTTCAAGTTGTCGATATCTGGAGGAGGAAAGGAGGAGATGTCAGCGCACACGTGCGGTGCGGTGGGACATGATGGGTGGACAGCAGCACCTGTGGTCGACTTCTGCAGCGAGGCCTTCAGCTTCTCCTCCGCCTCCTTGTGCTTGCCCTCTAGTTCATCGACCTTACCTTGGAGAGCAGCTGACTTGGCTACTTTCTCTTTCTCCACGCGGAGCTACGGGAGGAGAAGGTCAGATCTGACGGCGGCATGAGGGAAGAGACGCTTGCCTCCTCCTTCACGCCCGCGCTCTCCTTCTTCAGCTGCTCCAGCTCTGCCTTGCTGGACTCTAGCAGGGCCTCGGACTTCTCGAGGCTGGTCTGGTATTTCTCGAGGTTGCTCTTGTACCTCTCCATCTCGTTCCTGCATCGCTTCAGCTCCCCCGAGTTGTTGTTGAGCTCGTCTTTGAGGCTTCCGATCTCCGCCTCCAGCTTGCTCGTCCTGGCTGAGTGCTGCGAGGCGTTCGACCTGAGCTGCTCCTTGTGCGCCTTGATCTGCGGGGCGAGGTGAGAGGACCACATCAGCATTGCCGTCCCGCTCACATCAGCTTGCAGCTTCTCGATCGTCTTCTGCTGCTCCAACACCTTCTGGTCTCGAAGGAGCACCTCCTCCGCCTTGAACGATGCCAGCATCTCGCGGTCCATCGAAGCCAAGTAGACCTCTCGCTCCCTCTGCAGGACATCCAGCGAGTTAGCAGCCACAGGAGAAGCCCGAGGGGAGCATACAGCAGCCTTGGCCATATGGAGCTCAGTCTCCAGCTGTTCCGCCCTTCCCTTCAACGTCTGCACCTCTCCTTGGAGCTGCACATTGTTGTCCCGGAGAGTCTTGGCGCTTCCCTCAAGGCTTGTGACGCAGTCAGCCCCTGCTCCTCTCACATGCTCCTTCACACCTGCTGCACTTTTCCCGCAGAGAAGCCACGTCTGCCTCCAAGAGCAGGTTCCGCTGCTGCAGGTTGCGGAAGCAGTTCACCACGTCGGAAGGGGATCGGCAGTCTGGCATGCACAACTTGAGCGATACCTGCACGTCTGTCAGCCCGAGCAGGCGACCAGTCAATGAGACCTCCCAATCCTGCAGCCTTTCCTTCTCCACCATCAGCTGCGACTCGTTGGCAGTCGAGTCCTTGAGTTTAGCTTCCAGCAGGGCGCATCTGGAGTTCGCCTCCTCGGCCTCGAACTTGATCGACCGCAGACTAAGACAGGAAGGTCAAACACAGCTGCACGCCTTCCTCCTCCTTCACCTTATCAGCTCCTTCTGGAACTCCACAGCCTTGGCAGCGTCGGCCTTCAGCTGAGACACCTGCAGTCGGAGGTGCTTGGCCAGTATCTCTCCCTCCTTGACTTGGCTTCTCAAAGACTCTTCACTCTCCGGGGCCACTAGACCATGCTCCGCTGGCTGCTGCAGGCTCTGTGTCAGGTTGCTGATCCGTTCCTCCAGCCGAGTGACGGTCTGCTTCAGATCACTCTCGGACATGCGAGACAGCTCCAGCTCCTTCTGCAAGGTCATGACCTCCTTGGACTTGTCGAATAGCTCTGACTGCATCTTGCTAATATGCTCCTTGTGCTGAGCTTCAGCTTCACTCGACTTGTCCAAGAGCTGCCTCCTCAGCTCTGAGATCTCTGCCTCAAGGCTCTTCAGCAGCAGGTCCTTGGAGCTGCTGCTCCTCTGGTACTCAGAGCACCTGACATTCAGGTGCTCGTTCTCAGTCTGCAAGGATGCGATCCTTGCTGATGCCTTGGCATTCTTCTCCATCTCGGCTTCTAGCTGCAGCTTGTACCTGTTTCGGTTCCCCACCTCAACCACGATGGACTCTTCCAACATCCGCACATGCGACGACGAGCAGGCGTTGGAAACAACAGAATCGTCGACATCGAAACTAACGTGATGTTGTGTGGTAGGCGACTGGGCCTCGTACACAGCAGCATGACCTGGGTCCTCGCATTCATCTGCCGGCTCTTGATCCCCACCCACTTGCTTTCCTTGCCGGACGTCTTCGATTTCCTCGTCAGAGCCATCGTTCAACTCTTTCTCGAGATCAACATGTTCTGCATCCTCCCACCCATCATGCAGCTCATGTTCATGTTGCACATCATGCAGGAGGTCTGAAGATCCTGCTTCGTTGTCGTCCAACTCGTCTTGTTCACTACCGTCACCCCTACCGTCACCCCCTGGAACAACCGCGGACAGCAGGTGATGCTGATGAGCGAGGTCATCCTCCTCCTCCTGAGGGTCGATGAAGCTGTCTTGCATCTCATCTTCTCCTTCTACCTCCACCACTTCCTCCTGCTCCTCCTCTTCCTCCCCCTCCTCCTCTCTTCGTCGCTTCATGGTCTGCTAGCCTTCATTTGAAGCCTGGCGGGGCAGCCATGTGAGCGTCTAAAATAGCGTGATTTTAAAACAGCGTACCTAGAAAACTTTAGTTATTTATACTGTTTTACGATAGTAGTAGTCATTTAAATCAATATATAGTCATTGTCTACAATAAAACTTTACAAGTAATTTTTAAATTGTATGGAAATTTCACTTCTTCGTAGGGAGGGCTCGACCCGGCAGCGGCCGTCCCGGACCGAGCGCGGCCTGGCCCGGAGGCTGTGACTCGAGGCTCACGGTGCCAGTCCCGGCTGGTGGCAAGTGGCGCGCCCCCAGGGGGCACAGAACTTGTCTGTCATGTGAGAATGATGCGGCAGAAGTTCGGCCATACCACGGTAGGTGTGCAACTTCACTACTGAAATCAAGTTCTACTGAAAATCTCATCGTGACAGGCTCTACTCTTTAGATATCTGCTCCCAGGCTGCTTGGATCCTAATGAAAGTCTCTGCCATTTCCTCCAGTTTCTCGGGGCTGCAGTGCAGGCACTTGTCCGGGTGGTATTGCTGGGCCAGCCTTCGATATTGCCTCTTGCACTCGGCCTTGGAAGTTCCTCGTCTGACTCCTAGAATCTTGTAAGGGTCGTTGGACCCGAAGCCGCCTCCCCAAGAGTTCCTCTTCTGCTCTTCCCTTCGCTTCCACCTCTCCTCCCGCTCCCGTTTCTCCTGCTCGTTTCTCGCTCGCTCCTGCTTTCTCTTCTCTTCCTTTTCCTTCCGCCGTTGCTCTTCCTCCTTCTTTTTCTTCTCTTCCTTCCTCTGCATGCACTTGCAAAAATTGCAAGCAACCTTCATGAAGTCAGACATCTTGAACAAGTTCTGTGCATTGTTGGCCAAACTCTCCAATGCTTCACAACCTGCATCTTGTATGCCTTCGTTGGCTTCGTGTCTGTTCATCGCTTTCATCACCAACCGGATCCCTCCGAGCTCGGCGATCTTGACTTGGTTGTCCGGGTTCTTTCCTAAGGCTTCGAGTGCGCGGCATCCTTGCTCCTGTACGCCTTCGTCCATTTCATGCTTTCTCATCGCTTTCATCACCAACCGGATCCCTCCGAGCTCGGCGATCTTGACCTGGTTGTCTGTGTTGGTAGCCAGGCATGATATCGTCAAACATGCATACGCTTGTATTCTGCGGTTGTCCTCATACTTCTCCATCGCACCGACAACCAAACGGATTCCTCCTAGCTCGGCGATCTTGACCTGGTTGTCATGATGTGCAGACAAACCCTGAAGCGTTTGGCATCCGCTTTCTTGTATATCCGCATTCTCCTTGTGCAACTCCATCGTATGTACCACCACAGGTATCCCTCCGTATTCTGCAACTTTGGGTTGATAAACAGGATCTTGGCAAAAAGGATCAAGGTATGAAAGTCCCATCTTCTGCATCTCTACATTGTTGTCCAGGTTTTTCATGGTGAATATCGCGAGTCTGATTCCTTGCTCAGCGCCCAAGACCTTGGTGACACTTACGATCACGACCTTGTACAATGAAGCACTCATGACGTCCGTGTCCATCACAAAGTGAACCAGGACAAGACAACAGCATAGGATTGACAGCTCAAGTCTGTGCGAAATCGTTGACACAGGCATCTTCTTTGCTTGTCTTAGCAGTAACAAAGTGAGGCTGGGAGTATATTTATCGCAGTGAAGTCAAGTGGATTTGTCGAGAATCAGCAAAGGGAGCCTCCAGGGAGTGACGAGGAGGACGCCGAGGATGAGAAGAACAAAGATGAGATTGAGGAGAAGAAAAACGAGGAGGAGAAGGTGTCTGTGCGTGGGAGGGGCGAGGAGAGGACGAGGACGAGCAACCAGGATTCGGGTTTGCGATCTAAGAAAGGGGATCCGAGGTAGTAATTGGGGTGGTCCACCTTCAATCTCAATGGACGGGTACTACCCAGTACCCTTATTTTTGTCATCAACTATCGGTCTAAACGAGGGGTTATACTATTGAATTGGTGGGTACTGAATCACAGTAGGGTAGGGTGGTGTTCCGATGATGGCCGCTGGAGTTCCTGCCTGAAACTTCCCACAAACCGTTCACGTTTGAACCGTGAACGGCGGCCCGGGCCGGCCCTGGGGCCGGGGCGCCCGCCGCCGGCCAAGTGATTCACTGTTGCCTGCCATCGGACCGGTTTGAATAAACTTACTTTACTCAAAGTGAAGTTAAAAATCAGGACGACTCGTGCCTCGTCAGGACAATCCGATGCCAGAGAGTCGAGGCCCTGAGGCTTGACCCTGGCCAGTGACTGACACTCAACTTGGCAAGGTCGCACAGGCCAAACTTGAAACGGCGAGAAGAGAAAAGACACTGGCGATACTATAATAGCCGCGGCGACACACGGGCCCGCTGCACCGGGCCGCCGGGCCCGGGTCGGAGGGCCCGGCCCGCGTGACGCCAAAGTTTAACTTGCCGCCTTAACTTTGAGTAAAGACGCCGCGGCCGGAACTTCGGAACGGCGGCGTACAGCAGCGCCGCGGCCGGGCCGCGGGCGGCGGCGGGCCCGCAGTCCGATCATCGGGCCGCAGTAATGAAGTGCCATCAGTGATCCGACGATCACTCACAGTCGGAGTTCAAGTTAAAATATGTTCGACCCCCGAGAGGGTCATTGATCAGGGAAATGGGGGGGGTGGTTTCGGGAAAAAGACATAGTAGGGGTGGTATCGAGTGGTGGGTGAGGTGGGGGTCCGGGTCATAACCGTAGGTCTCAAAAAACTTTTAGGGACGAATTGAACGTAAGGTAAAAGTGTGGGTGGGGTGGGGGTCGGAATTTGAAATAGGGGGGTGATGGCTAATTGAGAGCATGGGGATGAGGAGGTAGGGGTCAAAAAGTGTCAATGAGAGAATGCGGGGGGTGGGGTGGCAACTAAGGTGCTGTACTTGAAAGGAAGCGACGGATGCGGCGAGGAAATGGCGGGCGGGGCGATCAGGCGGAAGAGGGAAGGAAGAAGGGAGGAGAAGGACGCGAGAAAGAAAAGATGAGAGGATGTTGAATTGAGTGCATTCAGTTCAGGGTGCCGCTCGAAGACGATGCAGCTGTCGCAACAGAGAGGTAGACAGACAGGCGAGGTCAATTGGATGATGAACATAAATATCGTAGCCTAAGGAAGTTGTTGAGGAAGAAACAATTTAGAGTATCCTGCTTTCATCATTCGATAGGGCACCCATGGCGTATACGCGAGACTCTCTGGAGACACAGCACCACATAGCTGATTCACTCGAACCTTGCTTCTCTCGCAGCTAACTGTTCTTCAGGGGGTTCAAATCGGCGCAGCCGGGACGGGGCCCTGTAAACATGATAGGTTTCCCGTGTACCTCCTGGGGCGTCAATTGTTCATAGGTGCCTTTCAGCCATAACTCAGCTTCTGGGTAGCCATGTTCTTCCTCGAAGACTTTTGCATGCCCTTCCGTGACAAGGCTGGGGAGACGCCAAGCGTTGATCAGTTGCAGCAGGATTTCATTGAAGCCGATGAACACAATAGCCACGGTCACGTCATGCACCAAGGTCTCTTCAGCGATGAATCAGGGAAGCAGCACGAGACGTTTGGGAGTGTTCCAAGATTTGTTCCACTCAGGGCAGAAGATATGGTGGGAGGCAGCACGCAAGGAGGGGACAACTTCGACTACGGGACGAGCTATGCGAGTTTTTATGAGTCGTTTGATGGGCATGAGCAAGAAACAGAAGAAGCTGGAGACGTTCCGAATCAACGCGGTTTGATTTACCAACCCGAGGTGAAGGAGGAAGGCTTTGTTGAGCCGTGTGGTTAGCAGACTGTTTGCATGCAGGAAAGGCATGCGAGTGGAGGCATCCCAGACATGGAGAGGGTGAATCAGGCATATGACGAGGACAAGCTCTCGATCTTCCAGTAAGTTTCCTTGCTGCAAACTGCGAGGTCCTCACCTTGTAACGAAAGATACGATATGGAGGAACCTCAATGGACTTCGGTTGGAGCGTTAGGGTAACAATCCTTCATTCCATTCCTCTCAACTTTCTTCGAGATTTCTACACTCTCCCACTTCTCTGTCCCCCTCTACTCTTCTCTGTCATCGCCCTGCTTTGGCATCTTCTGAGATTTTCTTTCTTTCAAGCCACTGGATGATAGCACAAACCATTGAGGATCACCATCAATCTTTGAGGATCGACGGCGATCCTCAATACTGTCATCCTCAAGACGGCGATCCTCAAGCTTCGCAGGAGCATCAGGAGGCAACTACGCTCGCACGGAACCCGGAGATACCTCGCACCGCCTCCTCCCCCTCCGTCAAGGAGCCATGGCCGCAGCTCCGAAAGTCTCTGCCGAATTCCACCCCCAAATCTCGCCCATCGAGGTGAACAATAATTAGTTGGTGGCCTCAGTCAAGATTTTCATCCCATCCATTCACCATGTTGAAGCCTTCTTGCAGTGTTGTGTATGATGTACAAGATCTCAAGACTGCTCCTTCAGTCAGGTCGGACATGTCTCCTTTTCCCTCCACCCCCCTTTCCGTGCTCAACTCCGAACCTCTCCAAAGTTGGACATATCAGAGTGCGACGCTCTTACGCGTGCATCTCTCAGGAACGAGCTGGTCTCTTCGAGCTTGCTGGTTGCCTTCCAGACGTTGTTGTCTCGCCGTCATGACATGCATCTCACAGCTGAGCTCGCCAGCCCGCGCGTTGAGACTCCGACGCCGAGGAAGTCGAGGACGAAGGTTTTCAGCAAGGTGTCCGAGGAGGAGAGGAGGGAGCCGTCGAGTGACGAGAGGTGACGTCAGCTGCAACCTCCTCGCAGCAGCTCGCCTTGACCCCTCATGCTTGTTTCGCAGCGCGGGTATGGGCCAGCAAGAGTCCATCAAAGACATCATGCACAGAATGGTTGAGGTGGACATGCAGCTCTCCTCACCTCCTCACTTTTGCTCCAGAGTGCTGCCATAGTTTCCGCCGACATCATCATCCAGCAGGTGCCGAGGAGAAAGTCAATGGCTGACGAGGACCGTGACCAACAATCGCAGGACACCCCGCGAGGAACCCGAAAAGTTGCAAGCGCAGTCCCGGAGGAAGACGCGCGAGAGCTCTACCGACAGGTGAGCTGGGGACGGGAGGATTTCAAACTTGACAAGGGCGCAGATGTCTCCCTCCCCAGCCCAGCGGATCCAACGAGGAAGGATGATGGTGAGGGAGCCCTGAGCAGTTTTGTTCCTCCCGCCCCCTTGACCAGCAACAGCAGCGAGCAGGCAACGGGACAAGGCTCCAGTCCTCCTCCCTCCTGGATGACATTCAAGAATCCCAGGTAAGGCAAACGCCCTCCATCCTCTCAGCTGATTCGACTTTCTTGACGGTGCTTCTGACAGTATTCCGACTACCTCGCATTCCGACCTGACGGGTGGGCTCCCCCGAAAACTCTTGTCGCACAAGAAGTCCCTTGCGCTCCAGTCCGTCATGCTGTCGCTGTTGCCAACCCGAACTTGCAAGAGGAGGAGGTGGACGTGCTCCCGCTTGCCCCTCGCTCCTGATCCTGTCTTTCGCCTTTTTTTCCCCAGGAGTTCGTATTTATGATAGCAGATGAGCCCAACCAACCTGCTCCGAAGCTACAAGATGTGAGTTGCCTCTTCCAGTCATCTTTTCTCTCTCCTCCTCCATCCCTTGCCATTCGCTGCTGCGCTCGCCTTGCCGGTCCCTGTACCCTCATGCGCGCCTTTCCCGCTGCCTGCTGTCTCACCTCCTCTTGCACCTTCCAGGACGACGTCTGGAGCTTCAAAGTGCAACCTTCCTTCCCCAAACTCTCCGAGGACGAAGCAGCTGGAAGAGTAGACAAATGGATTTCTCCCGTCCACGTCACTCAGCTTCATGCTTGATAGCCCTCATGATTCTTGCGATGCTCCCCGCCCCCCCCCCCCCCTCCCCCCCTTTTCCACTCCCTCACGATGTCTGAGACTGCTCCTCCTGACTACTGCTCTCTTGTGGTCCCTCGTCTTCCTCTCTACCTCCTGCGGCCTCGGTGACGAACACCTTGTTGATGTCTCCCTCCTCCTGTTCTTGTGTGCTCTCTGTATCCTCCTTCCCTTCAGCTATCGATTGAACTTGAGGGCTTCTTGCTCCCTCCTCCCCGCAAAGTCTCAGGCTGCTCTCGATCACCTTCTTCAGCATGTCCACATAGGCTTCGTCGTTGCAGTTCTTGCGGTAGCCCGGCCTCACCTCTAGCAGGAAGTCTGGCGCGTAGTCTTCGTAGTCGGGGCAAGTGCCAGGGATCTCAGCTGGGGCCTCATGTCCTCCGCACTTGAAGGTCAAGATGGTCCAGAGCTTGGCGACGTTGACGGCATTGTAGCCTCCTCCTCCCAGCACGAGCATCGGGATCTACATGAAAGTAAGCGGCAACCTGAGAAGTCCGTGGAGTGAGTTTCAGGGGTAAGGAGCAGGGGATCGAGCAGGAGCAGGAGTCAGGATGCTGCTGTGGGAAGAAACGAGGCTGAAAAAAAGAGCAGTGCGTTGCCTTGGGACTGACCTTGAGCTGCTGGACCAACTCCAGGCATCGGACATACCCCGAGGAGGAGAGATTGAACTCGCCAAGAGGGTCACCATGAAGCGAGTCCGCACCACACTGCATGACCACCATGCTCGGCCTGAACCTCTCCGACGCCCTGCTGATCACAAACTCGAACATGCGAGTGAAAGTTTCGTCGTCGCACCCTTCCTTGAGGGGCACGTTGATGACGCAGCGCTTGCCTTGATGCCCGCTCTGCTCCATCAAGGCCCCAGAGCCGGGGAAGAAGAGAGGAGCGAAGTGATGGAAGGAGATGGTGAGGACCTTGTCGGAACTTGAGAATGCTTCCTCGACCCCATCCCCGTGATGCACGTCAATGTCGATGTACATGATGCGCTCGAACGTTTCCAGCAGCTGGAAGATGGCGAGGACAGCGTCGTTCGCCTGCTCAGGCATGTTAGTCGCTTCTCAGACCCACACCCGTGCTCACGTAGCAGTACCCCGCTGCTACACTTCCTTTGGCATGGTGCCTCCCTCCTCCCCACCAGATCGCCACCTGGTACTCGCCCTGCGCGAGCAAATCTGCTGCTTTCAACGACCCTCCTGTCTCGAGGAGAACCAGATCAAGAAGGTCGTCAAACACGCTGCAGTCATCGGTCAGACCGAACCGGAGCCTCTCCTCCTCCTTGAGCTTCGAAGAGTTCCTCAAGGCTGCCACAAAGGATCGCGAATGAAACGTCTGCAGCTGCTCCGGACGCGCCGCCACCACCTCCTCGACGTCCATGAGCCCCATCGCGCCTGCACTCTCCAGGAGCCTCCCGACGTATCCTGCTCGCTCTCCGTTCCGAGGCAACTTTCTAGACACGATCTCATACTGCTGCGAGAGGAGCAGCACAGCTCTCCTCCTCCCTTCGGCTGAGCCTGTCAACGGAGCCGAGAGCTGGGTGCTCATACCTTCAACAGGGATGCTTGGATCTGCAGGACGTGTAAGAAAACTCAGCGAGTCGGAGCATGCGAGCCAGACGATGGCGTTCATGTCATCCTTGTGCAGAAACTCAATCGTGGAACTTGATGTTCTGCCAGCTAGAGGCATTCATGTGCTGCGTCCACGAGCTTGCCTTGCACGAATTGGTTTTCAAACTACAATGTTCTAGACACGTCTTGTTCACATTCTATGCATCAGCTACTTCCCTTCTTCTCTCCATCAGCTACATGTCTTCTCGTTCCTTCTTCCCTGCAAATGCTCTGAGTCTGTGCACATCTCGCCCGCCAAACGCTGCTGTGAGCGCAGCATGACGGGATCGGGATCGGATCTACTCAGCTCATCCGATGTCAACTTTCAGTGAACCGGGTACCGGGCCTGCCCTTTGTAGTCCGAGAGCTGCCGGGCCGGGCCGGGCCGGGCCGGGCTGTGTGTCCGCTGCGGAGAAACCCGCAGCGAATTAAAACTGTATTGTACACGTCCTCTAAAACAAACTAGCGGCCTCAAGAGCGTTTAAAAGTATTGTTTTGTCATCTATCCAGATCGAATCGCTCCTAGTTTAGCTACTAATTTCATGAAAATATGATTTTTCACCTATGAATAATACTTTTATTGTCCGATTTATTACGGCAGCTTTTTAGAATCACATTTATAGCGACCGGATACATCGGGGGGCGAGGAGAACGGGGGTAGAAAGGGGGTGGGGGTACATCCAATCGCTACTGCACCCTTCACATCAACTTCAAAACTTCACATACAAGGGTGGGTCCAAAACCTATCAATGTAGGGGTGTTTTGTATCATTGTGGGTTGTACCTTTCGAACTACGGTACCCCCCAGGGGTGGTTTGCGGGGGGGAGCGAAGGGGCTCTAAAAAATAACGGCCTCCAGAATACCCGGGCCCCGAGGGCGAGGCGAGGGGATGCGAAGTACCCCACCCATTGAGGTATTATATCATAGTGAAATGGGGGTGTCGGTTAGTGCTGGTTGACTGGATTCAGGGTTACACAATGATGGTGGGGTGGGGTTGGTGGTCGTAAAAATTTCATTGGGAGGGTGGGTACTAAGGGACACAGGCTGTGCAATACCACCGGTGGATGGTGTAAAATATGGAAGGGTACTTTGTGGGATGGAAGTGAGGGTCATGGGGTGGTACTCTGGCAGGCTCAGAGGTACTCGGGGTACGTTGCCACCAGCATCCCCCTGACCGGCTGCCGAGGTTTCGGAATATCCTGTACCCCCACGCCTCCCGGTCTCAATTCGGAAATGCTCTTATCTCGGAAGGGTGGTATACGACACTACGGGTCGCACATCACACAGTGGAGGGGTACGGTGGGTATGTAGGGTGGGTACTGTGATATGCTTGATGGGGTGTAAATCAATTTTGGGGGCTGAAACCCAACGGGGGTTCTTTATAGGGGTGGGGTGGTTACGATCATCCGGAAAGAACAAGTTCCAACTCAAAGTGCAGGGGGTCAGCCATTAGACTACGGGTGGTATGATAGAAAGGACTAGGACGGGGTCCTTTTATGGATTTTCAGTGGTAGTGTGACAATAGACTCTAAAGGGGTGGGGTGTGATTCAATAGGGCACCAAGGGGTAGTTGATGTAAGGGCGATCGGGTACAGACAAAGGGACAACACCGGTAGTTGTCAGATGAAATACCCCTACTTATGGCACCAAAAAGAACTAAAGAGGACCGGTGTCTCAATTGACTACCCCTAGTGAATTTCACTCAAGTACCACCCTTTCACTCTTGTATGACAGCTACCCCACCCACGACCCATTCCGTATCCTGGACCCCACCATTCACATAACCATCTATACCCCACGAGCCCGTCGTAGATATCGTGAGTTGTATCCACCCCTCTTTTTACACATAAAGTACCCCACCTGGTACTAACATATTCCAACCATCCATTCCACCCACCCCTTTAGAGGACAAATCACGTCTACCCACCCCACATATAGCCCCCGATAGGACCACCCCTACCCATTCTCCGTGTATGTACCTTGCCCCCATTGTCGCTGTGCGTCTCCAGGAGGGGGATGAAAAGGGGGGTCAGGGAGCGCAAGGAGCGCGAGATGGGAGTAGGGGGATGAGGAGCGGGAGCGAGAGCGAGTAGGGAGCGAGTGGGAATAGGAAGAGGAACAGCTGCGTAGAAGGTGGACTAAGGCCAAGCAGAGGAAAGCAGCATGCGAATACAGGTTGCAGGGAAGGAGGTGATGGAATTTTACGGTGGAAGCGGGGCAAACGATGTGACCGGAGAAACAAGATCTTCCAGGAAGGAGTGGGACAAGCAACTCAAAGGAAAGATACAGGATCTCTTGGCGAGCACCTTGAGGGCTGGAGAACTCACAGGGTGGAAGGATAGGGAGGGAAGGGGGTGCAGTGTTGTTCGTTTGGACAAAAATACGACATGCAGTGGTTGCTGAAGAGGGAAAGTGGTGGAATGCCTGCATGACTAACACAATGCCCTGCAGGCCAACAACAGAAGCATAGCAAGCATGCTGATGAAGATCGCCCGACTCTGAAGGGTTCCTTGCTAACCTTGCACCCGTGTGCAAGTGCGAAATGAAGCGATCCTTCAGCTTGAAGGAGCTGCAGAACGCGATCGAAAACCAGTCCGATGCTGGCAGCACGAAAGACTCTCCACGCTCATCGAGCGGAGCGACATTCACACCCCTTGCTACCATGCGCAGGTCCAAGTCACTCGGTTGCCTTGAGGAGCCTGGGAGCACCCAGGAATTGGACGCCGCGAAGCTGCCGTCCCTGGCTTCTCTCGGGCTCTCGTTCAACCCTTCGGACCAGCATGGATACGAGGAGCTGAAACGAGGGAGGGGAGAGAACGGAGGGAAGCTGGCGACCAGCTCGTCGCACTCGAACCTATCCGCCCTCGTCGAGTCCGTCCCGAGAAGTCGCTCCAGCTCCCTCTCGGACGGGGGCGAGAACCAGGCAGCATCCGCGCTGATGCAGCTCAGCTCGACTGAGAACCAGTCCACAGCAGCGAAGAAGGAGGGCAACATCAAGAAGGAGAGTAACGTCAAGAAGGAGAGTAACGTCAAGAGGGAGAGCAATGTTCTGCCTCCTGATGTCACTGAGAATGTGGGTACTCCTATCGTGCTGCCGCCTCTCCGTGACCTCATCGCTGCTACGCAAGCCAATGCCTGTGAGTAGTCGTGTGATTCATCTGATCATGAGCTGACACCTCTGACAGTGAACGATGACGTGGCGAACCAACTCAAAGCTCTTTCGTTCTCCCCCTCCCATAACGTGAAACCCAGTCAACCTCCAGACCCCCGACCAGCAGCGAGGGAACCAGCAGTCAGCTCATCGCCGAGTGTGAGTGCTCCAGTGAGCCAGGTTTCTGCGCAGAGTCCTGCGGTTGCAAGCCCAGCTGCTACTGCAACTCAGGCTTCAGCGCACCAAGCTGAGAGCCAGGTACTGCTTCATGGTTGAGGTTAGTTCAAGCGGGCTGAGTGCTTGTCACGAAAGGATGGGGAGTCGGCCGATGCCAAGCACAACAAATACTGTCACTTCTGTCAGCATGTGAAGGTGAGCAGGACGCTTGTGATGGGCCGTGATGATGACAAGGAACTGCAGGTCAAGAGGATCACGAGCATGTTGGCTTGCGAAAACATGGAGTGTGCAAGGTGACTTAAGAAGTGAGATCGTCGGAACATGCGCTCATCCTACTGCCAGGCGCTTCTGTGAGCATTGCCTGATGACGCACTTGCATGACGTCGTTCCTCCTGATGGCCGGTGAGCACCTGCCCTGTGTGCTTTCTGCTCGTCTGATTTCGCTGCAGGGGGTTGAAAGAGCTCTGCGACGGGAAGTGGTTGTGCCCGATATGCCGCAAGGTCTGCTGCTGCGCTATTCAAGTTTGTAACCGCGCGCACCGACACTGCAAAGGTGAAGATGGAAGTTGGTCACGGGGTATTGCTGACTATGTCTGTAGCCTACAGGTATCGACAGAGAAGGGCAGAGCAGGCGGCAAAGCGAAGTCTCGGTATTAGTGACGAATGTCTGCTGCTTCATCTCCTGACATGTGCGGTTGTTAGATCATAACCTCGTGCAAATGGGGATGGTGATGAACAACGACATTCGAGCGATGCAGCCCAACGCATGGCAGGCATACGGTGAGGAGGGGAGGGAGAATCGTCTTCAATCCGACCTAGTCTCACTCACGTACTGCAGGACACATAGCCGGCCTCCCCCAGCATGGTCTGCCCCTCTCGGCGACAGCCGTTGTGGGTCCAAGGCCGCAGGTAGAAGGATACCAGCGAGTGATGGGCGCCATGAACAGCGCGGGGATGGCGAAGGTAACGCGTGCTCCAACTTTCATGTGCATCCTCATGACTGCTAGGTGAATCCCATGGACTTGAGTCAGGCTTCGGCGTACAACCTGCAAGCAGCCTCCGCATACCTGCAGCCTCACCCTGCTGTGTTGGCCCGGAATACCTGAAGCCCTCGGGGGGTGGCGCGTGTTTCAAGATGTATGGGGATCAAGGGGGATCGAGGAAAGAGCAGAGTGATCCCATTGGTCGTGTCAATTTAGTCTGTACAATCTGTTATTCCCTCCATCCGGGGAGGGCGGTTGGCTTCAAGAGCAGCTGCTGATGGAGCTTCTTGTGTAGAATAATATTGAAAAGATTTTCTTTGTTCGAATTCCTGGCACACATCCCATTCATCAACATTCCTCGTCAGTCCTCCGAGCTTGCAGGCTCCTCTGCCGAGTCCTTGGTCACTAAAGTCCAGGCTTCTCCTCCAGAGCTTCCCGTCCACTTCCTGCAGCCAAGTTAGACAGCATGCGGGACACTCTCAAACTCGCGACCTGCTCATCTCGGACTGCGACAACCACTGGCTCCCCGCCTCCTCCTGATTCATACATTTCTTCTTCCACTCCTTGAGAGGGGGCAGTCTCTTAGACTTGATATCACCTCCTGCCTCTTTGCTCTGCAACAAGTAGTGAGACTAGGTCCGCACACTCGAGTGGCTCCGCTACCTTGTTCCTCCTTTTCTTCGCCTCCTCCTCCATCTTCTTGGACTTCTCCGTCTTGTACACCACGATTCTTCCAGAAGAGCTTCCTGGCCTCTTCGAGCTGAACGTCGGTGTCGCTGGGATCGCTGCCTCCTCCCGCTCCCAGTGCGGGACGGTGTCGTTCCTTACAGGGAGGGCCATGCTGTCCACATCGCTGGGCGGAGGAAGAGGCTCGATGATGGTAGGAAGCTCTCCTCCATCTACTTTGGGATACAACCCGTGCTTCTTCTCTTCAGGTGAGTCTGTAACAAGCACATCTGCTGTCGCCGGGTCTCGATCGCAATGTGCAGATTCGCGGTTTGGCGAGCCTTGAGCACGATCGTGGTCAAGTTGGGTTTGCGGTGTGCTTGTTCGGGATCGCTCCTCATCCGTCATCTCGGCATGTCTGACTTCATTGACTTCCTCCTTGCTGGCGAAGGCAAGCTTCCTGTGCCCTTCATCTCCTGTTCTTGCCATGGGGATGATAGGAGCGACTCTCGCAGATGTACTTGATCCACAACCCATCTTCACTGATGGTAATCAAGGCAAGATGGTACTGTTTGAGATTCGAGGATTAACACTTCTTGCTTGGGAAGACGCAGACGAATAAAATGGAGGGTTGAATTAATATTGGATGTGTCAATGAGATTAGTGAAGGGAAGAGAAGAAATCAGTAGAGGAAGAAGGACGTGAGTGAAAGATAAGCGGAGACAGACTTGTTACACAGTCGGAAACAATATGTAGGAGGGTAGAGGACGGAAAAAGAAGGAGAGGAGGAGGGGGGGCAGGACGAAAGGGGCAGAGCTCGAACGAGCGTGAAGTTTCTTAGGGGAAGGAAGCGTTGGAGACAGTGTACCCCTGCAATGAACTCTTTCTACCCACCCCTTTGCCATAACTGAGGCATATTTGGAAGGGGTACTTGGTAATAGAGGGTGGGGTACTCCATCGGTTTCCGTTGTAAACAGGTGATGATCAAGAGGGGGTGAGGATTGTGGGGGGTCTACCAAGTACGGGTGGTTTACGTGAGATTAGTACTAAATATGAGGGGTACCATTAAAGGTTTCTTGCTCGGTGGGGTGAAATAAAATATACCCTGAGAATTGTAGTCGACGAAAGCTTAAAACATCAGGGAATGTAGGGGTAGGGTGGTTATGAAAATGCTGGAATGGTAGGGTAATCAATACTTAAAAGAGGTGTAATGAAAGGGTGGGGGTGGTGGAGGCGACATGGGGTTGGGGTTGGGTACAGTGTCAACTCTGCCAGGGGAGTCAACTTAACCCGCACGGCCGGCCGGTCGCCCAGCCGCGGCCCGGGCTGCCGCCGTTGAGTCGCCTGGCCCGGGGCCCGGAGGGCCCGGAGCTTGCGCACACGGGCGGCAGGCTGAGCAGCACTGAGCAGAGCATAAAACTTCGCCCCACTTGTAGCAGGGCGTCATAGGAGGGACCGTACCGTGACGTTGAACGGTAGCCACGGGGCTTACGCCGTACTGCCAGCTCCCCGCCCCGGCTCTCTTTCCCCAGCACGGCTCAGCGGCTAAAGTTTGTCTCGAGCCAGTCTCCTCTCTCTTGTTCATCTTCAAGTCGTTCGAGGGCTCACAAGGTCTGCTGCTCTGCCCTGGCAAGCGCTGAGTGAGTGACGATCCGATCAGGCGGCTCCTTGCCCGGCCAGGCTTGCGCCGCTTTCTGATCTGCTGAGCTCCAAGTTTGTGTGAGTTGAGTCATCGAGCACGACATTGCCTTGACTCTCCTTCTCTTCCGCTCTCAGGGCTCATGCGCAGATAACCTCAGAGTCGCCCCTCCTGTCACCTCCTTGTACTTGCGTTGCAACTTGTCCCATGCTCGACGAGCAGGACACGCCAACGTCGCCAGTACACGCGTTCGACGTGTATGATGCCGTGGATTTCTCGGGCTCGCTGCTTGTGGAGTCGAGCGAAGAGACTGAGGACCGGGTGGATGTCGCAGCAGAGGATGACACGTCAACCGAAGAGTTTCTTGCAAGAGGGACGTCGATAGAGAACAGCCGGTTCTCCAGCGAGCATGATGATTCTGATCAGCTGACCATAGCGCTGGTGGACTCTGTGCGCGAAGGTGATGAGGGAGGCAGGAGCGAGAGGACGGTGACGTGTATCCAACAGAACTAGACAAGACAGGAAGGGGGTCCAGTGACAGCGAGCTCTTGCTCTCTCCCATGCAAGTTCGCCTCAAGTGCCTGAGACCAGCTGATGGCATCCCTTCCACGCCTCTCACTGCCCTCGGCCTCAGGTAGCTCTCATGGATTCATCTCCCGCTGACTCTCTCTCCCTCCCTCCCTCTCCTTCTCATGCTCTCTTCTAGCTTCGAATGGCAGAGACACTCTGAGCACCTGGTGATCTCAGAGATCATCCCAGGTAAGAGCAGCTGCTATCCGCGTTGGCTGACGTGGAGGAAGGAGGGCCTGCGGACCTCAGTGGTCAGCTTGTAGTTGGCGACATGATCTTGGCGATCAATGACAAGGAGGTTCGCGGGATGGACTTGATCTCAGCATTTGAGCTTGTTGAGAATGTTAGCAAGGAAATCACTCTTCTAGTCCTCCACAATCGATCTTCTCCGTCACCCTCCGGTGAGAGAGGCTCTTATGAAGCCACCTGTATGATGTGCTGACGCCGTTGCAGGCAACAGGAGCACAACGCTCCTGCCAAGCCCTCAAGACAAGATGGAGGCGCTGATTGACGACATTGAACGTCAACTGGCTAAGGAGAAAGTCTTGAGGGCGAGGAGAGAGAGGAAGCTGAGGATGGCGTCATCGGACAAGTTGAGGCTGCAAGGGCCTGGGGATGGAAGGGAGCCCTGGCACCAAGACAAGAGCCCATGGGAGGTCGCCAACATCTTTGACAGCATCACGGAGATGATCGAGCATCAGAGAAGACGCGTGGAGCTGCTGCTCAATGGCCTCGACTTGGACGTCGCTGGCATGGATTATGAAGCAGAGACAGCAGCAGAATTGGACGCAAACGAAGACGAGGCGGTAGAGGAGGAAGGGCCCAGGACTCGCTACAATCCCCTGGCCTCCCCTTCCTCCAGCTGCCTCAAGAAAGTTCACCGAGCAACAAGAAGCGCGTCTCCTCCTCCTAACGACAGGCCAACGACCAGCTCAGACTCTGCCACGCGCAAACGAAACCTGCTGGGAGCTGCCATGGCTGCGGTGAGGGAAGTGCTGGAGCCTGGGAAGCGATCGCCCTACTCCCCGCAGCACGTGGCAACGGCTGACGGGCCCCGCGTGGTGGGACCCAAGGGTCTGATGCCTCCCAGCGAACATCCTTTCGTGCAGGAGCAGCTCCTGACCATGCGGGTCATCAAATATCGACCCCAGCTGACAGAGAAGCCGCCTGAAGTTGTCAAGGCTGCCGTGCTGGCCATCGAGCTGGGGAACGACATAGACGAGGAGCAAGACAAGAGAAAAGGGGAAGAGCTCCTCCCTTGCGATTATCAAGACGACTCGACCGATGAATCTCGACCTGCTGCTTCCAAAGCAACCAAGCTTCGCTGGTCCGACGACGTGGCCCAAGAAGACGGGCACAGCGCGCGTCGGTACCGCGAGGTGAGTGAAGGGCTCTTGGTGCGTCGTTGACCTCCATGTGTTGGCAGTACTCCATCAGGAAGAAGCTTGAAATCATAGCGGCAGCGCAAGAGGAGGCCCAGAAGAAGGCAGAGTTGCTCAAGCAGCTGGAGAAGCAGCAGCAGCCCTCCCTGCCAGCACGAGTTGCTCCTCTTCCCTCACGGCAGGAGCAAGGGCCCCAGGAGACCTCACCGCAACAGAAGCTCATCGGACCAGCCATCCTCTTGCAGCAGAGCGTTGCAAACCCAACCATCGCGACCTACGACGTTGGCTCTCCAAACTTGACAGGCCCCGAGAGAGGGCCGAGCAAACAACCAGCAGCCCTCCTGGTTCATCATCCATCTCCAGCACACAAACCTCCGAGTCCGTCACAGATGCTCTTGACGCCTCGTCAGATGACAGGCGTCCCCAACCTTCTTCTCTCTCACCGCCCTGTGCCAGGAGGAGCCGCCGCCCTCGCCCTCAACTTCTCTCCTCGACTTCACAGGTCACAGCAGCGGGAAGACAACACCTACGTGTCGATGACGGAGCAGAGAGCATCTCGGGAGTCTCAAGCTTCAAGTTCGTCCTTCACCGGACGCCCCGGGAGTAAGACTCCCCGGGCCGGGTCGGGGCCCGGCGGGCACAGCAGCAGTCACGGTGCGGCGGGGCCTGGGGATCGCAACTGAGCAGCCAGCGGTGGCCAGGTTACAGCCTGTGGCAGCGTGGCCCCCGCGACTTCGTTGACCCGCGCAGCGCGGGCTTCCGCGGCTAGTAGTACTAGCCTACCGTGGCGCCCCCGGGCCGGTACTCGCCGCCGGGCCCCGGGCCGCCCGGCCTCAGGTGCTTAACTTGACAGTGACATGAACTTCGGAACCCGGCCCGGGCCGGCCGGGCCGCAGCCCGGGCCCCGGGCTGTCCGACCCGGCGTTCACGGCACACTCGTGACTAGCCTACTGTTCATTCCAATCCTTCCACCCCTGGAATCACACTACCCCTGCGAGACTACCCTCCGTCAAAGACCCCTTTTAAATTGAGTACCCCCACTTATCCCATTAAATGAATCTGAAATGCAGGGGTTAAAATACGAGTAGGTGCCTCAATGTGGGATGTAGCATGCTGTAGGGGTGATATGGCAGAGGGGTGGTAAGTTGCCAGCTGATAGGGCTCCATGGCAGGAGAGTTGGCTGAGCAAGCGGGGATGACCTGAAACATCCCTCGCCTCAGTCCTCCAACCCTCCTCCTTCGTCCTTCGTCCTTCGTCCTTCGTCCTTCGTCCTTCGTCCTTCGTCCTTCGTCCTTCGTCCTTCGTCCTTCGTCCTTCGTCCTTCGTCCTTCGTCCTCCCTCCTCCCTCCCCCCTCCTTCGTCCTTCGTCCTTCGTCCTCCCTCCTCCCTCCTCCCTCCTTACCCATCCTTCTCCCTCCTCTCCCTTTCCTCCCCTCTCTACTTTTCCAACTTCTCCTCTGCCTCCTCGTCATCTCCCTCGTTGATATTATCACAATCATCCTGGTCAAAGTCTTCATCTTCCCGTGTATTGCTTGCCTTGCCTCCCATCGCGTTGGCATCTAAACCTGTTCTCAACTTGGAGCTGCTGGTTCCAAACATCAGTTCCAAAGTTGCTGTCTGGTACAAAAATCTTTGCTTCCATTCGTTTCGCATCAAGTTTTCGTTCAAGTTCAAAATTCCTGTGACTGTTCTTGCTGGCGCAACGTTTCGCAAAGCTGGGGAATAGGACAAGATGGGAGAAGTTGGGTGAGATTAGATACTCAACTATGTTTTGGTCCAATTTTGATGTTTGGTGTTTCCAGCCCAAAGATCGATTCGGACACGTCTCAAAGCACTGACTCAATCTCGTTCTCTCAAGCTAGGGCTGTCTTTGCAAATTCGGCAAGCATGAAAGAGGATGAAACAGCACGAAGCAGCAAGTCGAACAGCCCATCTCCTTCCACCTCAAGAACAAAAACGAATGCTCTTGATGCTGGTTGGACGACGCAACTAGATCAACATTCAGGTGTCAACTCAGCCCATGAGCACGCATCGAACGGTCTTGCTGTAGCATACCATCCCGGTGTGCACCTCAACAAGTGCGCTAGCGGGGCATACACGATAAGAAGTTCTGAGTTGTCGACTACACATTATGACGCGCTCTCTGTCGGCGTGGAGGTGACCAATCTCAGCCACTCCGTTCCTGTGAACTCGTGAGGTGAGCTGTACAGGTGCACGCAATCAACGGGGAGATCCTCAGAGGTTTGAATGAGAAGGAGGTGAGAAGCGAATGCCACATTCAGCAGCTGAGACTGTGTTCTCAGGTAGCCAATCTCTTGTCGGGGAGGGAGGGATCACTTGTAAGCATGGTGATATGTACAGCTAGCATGGTAATCGAGATCGATCATGGACGCAACAGTGTCTCAATGGCTGGCAGGGGTTTGAGACTACGAGTTTAACTCTTGTCCGTAGCTTCGAGGTAAGCGGGAGGTTTATAAGATTTGGCTTCAAATCTTCGGTTGAATTGCTTTTCTTCTAAGTTCGATGTTGGGTAGATGCGCGGGCAATCATTGGTTCAGTGTGAAGGCACGTCTGGGAACCACTACAACAAGAGCGGAGTACATCATTCGATTGTGAGTCCTGCATTTACGTGGCGGGCCGGGGGAGGGGGGGGGGCGGAGTTTGCACTCAAATGAGGAGCAGGCGTTTTCGTTGAGTGGCGATCTTGATGCTTCTCCAAGCCTCACAGAGCCCGTCGGAGCCAACGCTTTGCGCATCAAGGAAGAGACTCCTGCAGTGGCAGATGAAAATGTCAACATCGAGCAAACATCAGGAGTTTGTCGAGAAGACAAGGACGCTACGATTGTGCAATCGCTATCAAACGATGGAGACGCCGATGATCTGCAAAAGCCTCTGTCGCAGCTAAACCTTCAGGATGATTTATTCCACAATGGAGAAGAATTCATTCCAAACAGTGTTCCCTTGGACCCCAAACCAGAGGATGCAAAGCCAAATCAAGATGTCGTAGCCCAGTACTTTAACCCAGACATCGATGTTCCACAGCAATTTCATTCAGACAACAGTGTTTCACAGTACTTCAATCCAGACAGCAATGTTTCACAGTATTTGAACTCAGACAACCTTGTTTCACAGTATTTAAACTCAGAAAGCAGCGCTCCTCAACGCTTTAACTCAGATCACGACGCTGTGCAGTCAGAGAGCGTTGAGAGGAGGAAGAATGAAGTGACCCTGGAGCAGCTGATAGCTATCGGAGTCACGGATCCAGAAGAGCAGGCAAGGATTCTTGGAACTTCAGTACATTCCCCACAACCCGCGAGCCAGCCACAGGTCAGCTTGCCGTTGAGGAGTGAGAGGGCAGACGAGGACATGGAAATTCGGCGAGCAAGGGAAGTTGCACAACTCATCGCCATCGGCGTCAAGGACCCAGTGGAGCAGTCGCAGATCCTCGGGTACGACGCCTCCCTCTACTGGAACCCCAAGCCAAAGCCTGTAGAAAGCAACCCGGTCAAGCAGCAGTGCAGTGCCCCCAGCAGTAGCCCAGCTGCGCCCGAGGCTGCGAGACCACCGGAAGACCCGGCGAAGCAGATGAAGGGACAGAAGCAGCAGGAGAAACCGCGAGTGCTGGGACCAGCCGTTGTAGATATGAGGAGCCCGATCGCGTGCGGCTCCTTCAAGAATGCTTACCTGGGGACCATGGGGGATGAAACGATCCTGGTGCTGAAGCATCGAGGAGGAGGATGCGAGGGGAACGCTGAAATCCAGAAGGAAGTCGCGATCCTGGGCTGCATCTCCCAGCATCCCCACGTGGTCCACTGCCTCGGCACCTTCCGCTACGGCGATGGCGGCGTCTGCATAGCGCTGGAGTGGTGCAAGTACGGCATCCTCAGCGACTGGCTGGCGCAGAAGGGAAGCAAGGTGACAGTACCGCAGAAGCACGATATCATCCATCAGGTCTGCCGGGGCATGCGACATGTCGCGTCCTGCAAGATCATCCACCGTGACCTCGCTGCCCACAACATCCTCATCCATAACGAGAACCCCATCGTCGCTAAGATCACTGACTTTGGCATGGCCGTGAAAATGGGCCACCCTATCCCTCCTCCCAAGCCGTTCTCAGGAGGTCTGTCGCCTGTTTGTCTCGGTCGGGGGGTGACGATGGTGCAGCAGGGAGCCAGGAGAAGGAAGTGATTGCTGTGCGATGGGCTGCTCCAGAGATCCTTAGATCCCAGCATGTGTAAGGAGACGCGGGGCCTGAGGAGCAGGAGGTGACTTGCTGGGCAGGTGGTCGGCTCCTTGGTCGGAGAAGAGCGACGTCTGGGCCTTCGGAGTCACGTGAGGAGTCACGTGCTGCCTCGGCTCCCCTAACGTCTCGGCAGGGCATGGCAGGTGTATGCCAACGGCGAAGTTCCTTTCACGCTGTCTGTTGCGGAGTCTGTGGTGAAGGTCAAGGTGAGGAGGCGAGCAGCTGGTGTCTGCTGGTCGTTGAGGAGCTGAGCAGGTGCTGAAGGGATCGACGCTCACAAGACTTGCTGAGTAAGCAACCGGATGCTCGTCCTCGTCCTCATCCTCATCCTCATCCTCGCCTCGTCCTCGTCCTCGTCCTCGCCTCGTCCTCGTCCTCGCCTCGTCCTCGTCCTCGTCCTCGTCCTCGTCCTCGTCCTCGTCCTCATCCTCATCCTCGCCTCGTCCTCGTCCTCGTCCTCGTCCTCTCCTTCCTTCTCCTCTCACTTTGTTTCTTTTTAAGCTGTACGGATGATGACTGGGCGATGATGACGCGATGCTGGACGAGCGATGCGGGTGAGAAGGGACATGCCGGAGCTGCTTGAGTGACCTCCTGTCAGGTCAGCGACCCACCTTCAGCGAGCTGTGCAAGCAGTACAAGAGCGATTCGTGAGGCGGTCGGAGGTTGTGGGGGACGCGAGGCAGGAGGAAGGCGGGCCGGGCGGGACTGGGAGGAGGAGGAGGAGGAGGGGAGGTTTGGTTTGTATTTTACTCGAGTGAATGTGGACGAGGTAGCAGCAGCGTGGCTTGCATCAGTCTATGGACACTTGCTTCGAGACGAGCTCAGCGTACGCTCCTCCCGCCTCCAACAGCTCCTTGTGCGTCCCTTGCTCGACGACGAGGCCGTTGGAAAGGACGATGATCTTGTCAGCTCGCTGGATCTGAGAGAGCAGTGAGGAGGAAGGAGAGGTAGGAAGAGGAAGGAGGAGAGAGGAGGAGAGAGAGGAGAGAGAGAGAGGGCGGGGAAGGAGGGGAGAGAGTGGACGTACCGTTGAGAGGCGATGAGCTATCACGAGGACCGTTCTCCCTTTCATTGATTCGTCGATCGCTTTCTGCACCTGTCGACAGGAGTCAGAGGAGAGGAGGTAGGAGGGGATGGGAGGTAGGAGGGAAAAGGAGAGAGGGGAAGGGAGGTAGAATGGACAGGCACCTGTGCTTCGCTTGCAGTGTCGAGGGCGCTCGTTGCTTCATCCAGCAGGAGGATCGAGGGATTTCGAACCAGCGCACGAGCAATGGCAATGCGCTGTTTCTGCCCCCCGCTGAGGTGACTACCCCTCTCTCCCGCATGCGTTGAGAACCCGTCTTCCATCCTCATGATGAACTCGTCAGCGCACGCCTGCCGGGCTGCGAGGGTGACCCGTCTGCGCAGCTCTGCCTCCTCCACCTCCCGTCCCAGGCCGTAGGCGATATTCTCCAGCAGGCTCCGGGCATAGAGGACGGGCTCCTGCCCGACGAGGGAAATATGGCGGCGGAGGAAGGAGTTGTCGTAGGAGGAGAGGGACAGGCCGTCGAGGAGGACCTCTCCTCCTGTCGGCTCGTAGAACCTCTCGATGAGCGAGATGCAGGAGCTCTTCCCGCTGCCCGAGGAGCCGACGAGCGCGACGACTTGCCCCGGATCGATGTGGAAGGAGACGCGGTCGAGGACGAGCGCGTCCGGGCGGGAGGGATAGACGAGGGAGACTTCTTGGAAAGTGATCGAGCCCTGGAGCTGCTCCTTGGAAAGCTCGCTGGAGGAAGAGAGAAGCAGAGAGGAGTGGGTGGGAGAGGAGCAGGAGGCAGAGGAGAAGGAGCAGGAGCTGGAGGGAGGGCAGGTAGCAGGCCTCCTGTCAATGATGTCAAAGACTTTGTCGGCTGCCCCTGCCGCCTGCATCAGCCCCGCGTAAACGTCGCCGATGCTGTTGATGGCCTGGGAGAGGCTCTGCTGGTAGAAGACGAATGCCACGAGGTCGCCGGGCTGAAGGAGGTGGGTGAAGACCATGTGCCCCCCGAAGTAGAGGACGGCGACGGTCACCAGTAGCGGAGCTCCCGTGAAGCAGAACATGTAGCCGGTGTAGGCTGACGCCTGCTTGATCCCCAGCCGCAGGATCTCCTGCAGCTCCTGCTCATACCTGCGCACCTCCTCCTCCTCGCACCCGAACGACCTCACAGTCCTCATCGACCCGATCACCTCCTCCGCGTCCGCGTTGCACCTCGCCTGCTGGTCCTGCACAGCCTTGGCAAGGAGGTGGTAGTAGTGGCCGTAGACCTTGGAGAGGAGGGAGACGAGAGGGACGGCAATGAAGGTGACCAGGGTGAGGCGCCATTGGGAGAGGAGCATGTAGGCAAGCAGGCCGATGCTCTGCACGACACTGCGCAGGCAGACGTTGAGGTTGAGGCCGATCTGGGGAGGAAGTTAGGAGGAGATGGGGGAGAGGAAAGAAACATCAAAGTCGAGTGAGGGATGGCAAAAGAGGAGGAGATAGAGGAGGAGATAGAGGAGGAGTGAGGGGAGGAATGCACCTGGTCGCTCATCTTGTTTGTGTCCGACGACAACCTGACAAGCTCTCAGCGCCCTCAACGCCATCGGCAGGCTCAGCGTCACCTGCTCGTGAGATCTCCGACCTTGTTCTGGTCGAAGAAACCAATCTCCTGCTTGAGCATGGACTGGTACAGGTCTTTCCTTATCCTGATGTTCATCTTGGTGTTTACCACCAAGAAACACGTCCCTCGCAGGCCGGAGAAGAGCGCGCAGAGGAGCGAGAACAAGGTCAGACTCCTCAGCGCCTCCTCCATGTCCTCTTCCGACTTGTCGATGACGATGCTGTTGATCACGTCGCCCGTCAGGCGAGGAAGGAGAGCCTGCGAGATGGACGCGGCCACGAGGAAGACAAGCCCTAGGGCGAGGTAGGACCATTCTTGCATGGCCAGGCCGAACAACCGCCATAGGATCCTCTTGTGGCTGCTCAACGTCACTCCTCCCTCCTCCTTGGGCGACCCTTCCTTGTCCGCATCGACTTCTTCCTCCTCGAGGTTGGAGCACGAGCCAGGGCTCTGCCCGACTTCCTCCTGCGGGATCAGCGAGTATCCTCCGTCGCTAGAGTTCGCGTCCCCTTGTCCTGGTTGGCTCCTCTGCTTCAGGTACCTTCTTGCTGCAAGAAACTCTGCAAGCATGAACACGGCAGACTGAGCAAGGAGTGCCCAGCTCCATCCTTGATCCGGCGGCATCAGCTCAAGGAAGCAGGCAAAGAAAGCGAGCTTGAAGAGGAGGCCGGTAGTGAACAGCATGAAGAAGAGATTCATCCACACGTCAAGCTCGAGGACGAGGAACGAGAGGTCGACGCAGGTGAGGAGGGAGAGGAGATCTGGAGCGAGGCTCGGCTGAGCGTACCTCCTCGTCACTGCCCGGCATGTCTCCATGGAGAGCAGGCAGCACGTGAAGATTAGCCGAACCCAACACACCAACCAGAGGTCGAGCGGACTGACGACGTTGTACCCGCTGAAGGCAAGGGCGATGCTGGCATGGTCGAACTTGCCGTGTAGGAGGAGGATGGTTGCAAGGACGACATCAGCTGTGGACAGCACGAGGAGTGTAACCCCCCAAAGGTTGACCATCCTGTCTGCTACGAGCTCCTCACATGGTAGCCATCAGATGCTCGTTCACTTCTCCTCCTGTCTGACACTTGCGCTTGCCCACCTCTAGATCAGTCTTGGTACGCTTGTTTCCCTCATCGACACTCCGTCTCTCAGCAGCGTCCCCTCCTACTGTCTCCCTTCTGCACTTTGATGCCCTTCTTACCTACTCCTTGCAGCACCACCCTCGCTCTGGCCCTCCTCCTAGCACTCTCTCCCTCATCCCTTCTCGTCCTCATCCTAGTCTCTCTTCCTCCACGTCCCTTGTTCCCCAGCATCCCTTCCTCTCTCCCTCCCTCCTTTCCCCCATGGCATCCTCCATGCCCCTTTTCTCGTTTTATATGTATCAATTAGCTCAGCCCCTTTCAAGCCTCGTAAACCAATTTAGCTCAATCCTTTCACCGTATCCTCTGGTTGACATGGTACGAGGCGCTGGGGAGCTCCTGAAGGCGTATGGAGGAGGAGGAGGAGGAGGAGGAGGAGGAGGAGAGAAGTTGAACGAGCAGGGAGCAAAACTGGATGACGAGGAGGCTTGGAAGCAACTTGAGCCCAAGGTGGAGGAGGATTGTGCGGAGGAGATTCACAAGAGGAAGGTTTGCTCCCTGTAAGCCCCTCCCCCTTCCTCTGCTCCTCCTCATGCTCCTCCTCATGGCTGATCGGGTTGCAGGCACTGGGCAGCAGAACGAGGATACCACGAGCTCCTCGCTCGCCTCCTCTCCGTCGGCAACAACATCGAGGGCGTTACCGAGGCCCACGAGGGGTCTACCGCCCTCGCTCGCGCGCTGGTGGGAGGGCATGTGGAGTGCGTTCGGCTGCTGATCGACAACGGGTCCGATGTCAGCTTCGTGTATGCTGTGAGTGACGTCGTCCTCTCCCTCCCTTCTCTTCCTCCCTCCTCTCCTCCCATCCTTCAGGCAGCTGACCCTCATTCCTTTTCGCAGGAGCTCCCCTGCCTTCACCTGGCCCTGGCTCAAGCTGGGTTCGAGGAGCGCAAGTCCATCTGTTCGGAGATGGTTCGGATGCTCCTCAAAGGAGGCGCCAGCGCGACTGTCGACATCTCATCCTCCTCCCTCCTGCCCGCTGACCTTGACCTGTAGGCTACCGACGCCATGGGATGTACCGCCCTTCACCGCGCGTGTCTGGCGGGGCACGAGGAAGTGGTCGCGATCCTCCTGGAGGGTTGCGAGTTCACGATGCTCAGGGTGAGCGCTGACGTGATGGCAGAGGGAGGCGACGCTAACGCTCAAGACTTCTCGCTCAGCCTCCCCATCCACTACGCTCTCTTCCATGGTGCTCGCAGTGAGTGCCCCAGGCCTCGTCTGTTCGCTTAGCGCCTGACGGCCTCCTCTAGGCTGCAAGATGGTGGAGCTGCTGCTGCAAGTGACGAGCATAGACATGCTGTCCTGCGAGTCGTTGTCGTACGGGTCGCCTCTCTCGCTCGCACTTCGGTGTGGCGATCAGAAAGCTGCAGGTCCGATCGAAGAATGCTGGCCAGTCTGACGTGACTCTGCGTGTAGATCTCATCTGCGAGAAGTTGAACAAGGAGGCAGAGACAGCGAGCGAGCAAGCAGCGGCTACTCTGGTAACGGGCGAGTAATCAAGTACCCTCCTCAGGTCTGCCTCCTAGGTTTACTCGTCAGAAAAGTGCAGCCATCACGCGGCCTCGAAGCTCCTCGGGCCAGAGAACGCGGATCGGATCAAAGTAGAAGATTGGGAAGTTGCCGGCTGTGTGACGTTCTCCTCAAGGTTCTGCTGGACCCTCAGCTCGGAGCTCTGCGGGGCTCGATCTTTCAGGGCCGGGTCGAGCTCCGAGACCTGGACAAGCCGGCCCTGATCACTGACATCCTCCGCGTCCACGACTACAACTACATTGGTAGGATGCGGCCTACCCGCCAGCACTTGACGGCCTGCTGACAGAGAAGATCTCAAGTTCGTGCGAGGCTCTCAAGAGCAGCCAAGATGCTCAGTCGTCGAGCAAGAGACTTGACGTCGACACCGTCCTGACCGCCGAGTCCTACGATGCCGCTGTGAATGCGGCAGGATGCGTCATCGAGGCGATCAAAGACGTCATGGAGGGGAAGGGAAGGAACGCCTTCTGTGTGGTCAGGTCAGACCCCAGCTGCTGCTTCTTTCCTGAACCCATGAAGGCCTGCTGGACACCATGCTGGGCCTCAAGGAGCCTCTGAGGCGATGGTGGAGCAGGGGAGCAAGACGAGGTCCCATGGCTTCTGCCTCCTCAGCAACGTGGCAATCGGCGCAGCGCATGCCATGGCAAATCGGTTCTTTCCTCCTCCCGTACTCTTCTTCTGATCGCGTCCTCCAGTTTGGCCGCTCGCGTCGCTATCGTTGACTTCGACGTTCACCATGGGAACGGGACGGAGGTGAAGGAGAGACATGAGAGGGAGCAGAGGTAAAGTCGTGGAGAGCAGGAGGTGATTCGAAACTTGAAGCCCTGGAGGTACAAGCACGTTGCAGACACACCACTCGGCGAGGTAGCATTTGACACTTTAGCTGAGGGTGTGCTGGGCTCTGACGGGATTCTTCAGTTCTGTGTGACAAGCTGGAGCTACAAGGTGTCGTCTCGTCTTGTCTTCTCCTCTACTCACCTGCTTTCTCCCCTCCTCTGCTCCACCAGCCCTGGCTCACAGAGCGGGACAGCGAGAACGTCTTCTTCTGCTCCATCCACGGCTTTGGCGAGGTCAAGGAGGATTTGGGTGAGGCCGGTGAGCATCGCAGGACCTTGGGCTGAAGGTGCTCGGCAGGCGCCAAGTACTCGACGGGTTCGCCTTACACGGGCCTCTTCTATCCGGGCTTGGGAGGAGCGACGGAGGAGCCCAACATTCTCAACATCCCCCTCGGGCCCAAGTTTGGCACCCAAGACTTCCGCAGGGTAAGTGATGGCCCATCTTCGTGCCATGACGGCTGATGACGTGGCAGGTGGTAGAGGAAAAGCTCCTCCCTCGTCTTCACTCCTTCAAGCCTGACCTGGTCGACCTTCTCCTGCTTCTTCATTCAGCCTTCGAACCCTCCTCCTCCTCCTCCTCCTCCTCCTCCTCCTCCTCCTCCTCCTCAACCTCAAACTCGCGGGTCCAGGTGCTGGTTAGCGCTGGCTTTGACGGGCATGAAGCGGACTTCATGAACTACGGTCTTGTGTCCCTCACCGAGGACGATTTCTTTTGGGTCTCTGCGAGGGCGTGAAGGGTGTAAAGGGCTGATGAGTCGATCAGGTGACGGACAAGCTCTGTGAAGTGGCCGAGGTCACTTGTGGAGGAAAGCTAGTCTCAATCTTGGAGGGAGGGTACAACACCAACGGCGGCCCCCTGTCTCCCCTCGCCCGCAGGTTCATCTGCTTCTCTCCTCCCCTCCTCTGCCTCTCCTCCTCCACTCTCGACCTTCTTTCACCTCCTCACGCCTCGCCAGCGTGTCCGCGCACGTGCGAGCTCTGCTAGTCTCTCGCGGCCAGTACGAGCCGAGCGCGAGCAGGTTGACCTCGCTCTCTGCTGGGTGATGACCTCAAGGTCCAGCTGGGCACGACCTAACCCCTGCTGCAGCCTCGAGCGAGCACGAGAGCTGAAGGAGGCGATGAAGATGGAGGAGCTGAACCGCTCGGGCAGAAGTGACTACAACCCTGTGAGCGACTCCGACTGACCCAACGAGCAGGGAAGAGGAGGAGAGCGACTGTTGATTACGCTTCCCTCGAGCAGCAGATGAACAAGAAGCCCCACTGATCGAGAGCCTGAGGGCCCGACCTTCTCCCATCCTCGTACATCAAAGAAATCTTTATCAAATCAAGTGTGCATGACGGGCATGGCATGACAGCAGCTGCACCCCCACTCTGTTTCACGCCCTTGTACGGTAGAGCTGAGACGACATCACTTGCGGACGAGGTAGCGCTGAAGTTCTTGGAAGTCCCTGTACAACTTCATCAGAACGAAGAAGCAAAGAGAGGGGAGAGAGAGCCTCACATCTGCTCCCTGTCGTCGTCTTCATACACAATGTTGAAGAAGTCCTCCGCCTCAGGACCCTTCTTTGTCCTGTCGTAGCTGATCCTTACCACCTTGCCGCGGTACATCACTCCATCGAATTCCTTCTGGACCTCCATCCCGATGTACTTCTTGAGAGACTGCTGCCTTTCTTTCTCTGCCTGGCGCTCCTTCTCGATCGTCATCACGCACCTTCTCTTCGATCTTGTGCTCTGTCTTTCTTCCTCGGCTTCGTCGTTCGACTCCCTCCTGTTGCGCTTCTTGGTTGTTTGTTGCTCTTCCTCGTCATGATTGTTCCTTGAAAGTGCGGAGCCCGACTTCCTCCCGCTCTCCGAAGTCTGCCTCCTCCTCTGAGTCTTTGCGCCCTCCGTATTCTCGGAAGAAGTCTCACGAGAGTTTTCTTTCTCGCTGCTGTCTTTTTCAGTCATGGAAGCCTTCTTGTCCGCAGCTGCATGAGTTGTATCCTTGGATTTCTTCACATCTGACTCAGTATCATGACTCATGGTGTGCAATGTTGGTATTGGCTGCTCTGCCGTTTGCTCCGTCACCTCCGGCCGGTGGCTGTCGATAGGCTTGTCCATGCTCTCATCAGTCTTGCTCGATTCGTGCGCAGATCTCTTCCTCTTGGCAGAGTTTGAAGGATGCGACCCGGATTCAATCGATTCAGTTCCAAAGCTTCCCACTTTCCAGTCTCCTTCAGCGGCCTTCTCCTGGTGCTGTTGGTCCGCTGCATGCTTGACCGTCGCTGCTCCAGATTTCTGAAGGTTCTCCGATGTCACGCTTTCTTTTATCTCCTCAGCAGCCGTAGGCTCACTTGGAGCAGGAGCTTTTTCTGATTGATCACTCGCCATAATCTCATCACGAAAGCCACTGATGTCCATGGAATTATCCAAGGAGATAAACGACGCATTCAATCCTTGGTTGGACTGACGTTCGGCATGTTCTTCTATACCGTCCTTGCCAACTTTGGCGTCAGAACATATCTCCTTTTCAGCCTCCTTCCTAGTTGCTGCCTTCGGTTCAACCTTTTTGCTCTCCTCAGGTGTTTCAGCACTCGAAGCACCAGGGGTAACTGAGATTTCGTCGGCCTTGTGTATGAGCGATAGAACACTACGAGTCAATGACTGCTCAATCACCTTTTTGTCACCAGATTCCGACTTTACCGGCGGTAATGGTTGAGAATCCTTGGGAGCATTGGTGGTTGGGTTAACTGCTAATGATTTCTCCTCGACCTTGGGAGCCTTGTCTTCTGGTACCTTGGGAGCTTCCTCTTTTCGAACCTTGTGCGTTTGGTCTTCTTTCGAGTCCTGGGACTTGCGGCTCTTTCCAGCATTTGATGGTTTCGCCGCGTTGTGCTCATCAATCGGAGTTCCGGTCAAGACTTGTGCGGATGTCTTGGCTTCAAGGTTCTGCCCGACTTTCTCGCCCGAGCCTTGTCCTTGTTGTGGCTTCGAATTTGCCGTCTGCTGAGTCTGTCCGGCTTCTCCATGAGGTGTATCGACAACAGAACTGATGTTGTCGTTGGGCTTGCCTGGGGCTTTGCTTAATTCCTCGTTACCATTGTCTTTAGATTTCTTGCTTCGTGATTTTTGCTTATTAGACTTGTCACTTTCTAGTCCTTGATCTCGATCAGACTCGCTACCTTTTGTCCCTACCAAAGTTGCAATCGGTACATCATCGTTATGATCGTCTTCACCAGCCTTCTCCTTAGTCTTAGATTGTACATGTCCTTGCGCACCTGCGGGCGAGGATAGCGAATCAGAGGCTAGTAGAGGGATCGTGTTACTCGTGTGTGTGCCAGGCACGTCTTCAGCCTTGGATTTCTCGTCACTTTCCGCAGACAAATGTGGCTGAGAAGGTTGAGAATTCACTTCATGTGCCACGACCTTGCCCCGAGCTTTCAAGTCTTCTGAAACCTCATGAGCATTGGGCTTCGATCTCTTGACGTTCTTCGTTTGTTCGTGTTTGTGTGTGGTCTCTGCTGTGGTCATGTTGTCCCCTTTGCCAGCCAATTCGTTCGAGGCTTCCATACGCTTTTGAGGACTTTTCTCACGATCCGAAGTGTCTTTGATCGGTGTTGCCCCCGAGGTAGCAGCTTTGTCTGCATCCTTAGTGGATTTGCTCGTAATCTGAGGCAAGCTTTCATCAGCCTTGGATGGTTCCTGAAGAGCTTTGCCATCTTGCGGGCCCTCGCCAACAGCGTCAGCTGATTGCGTCGAATGCGGTCCTGACGCACTTGTCTCCGACTCTTTTGGCAGCTTTGTGTCCGATAGGGTATTATGTGGACCTTCCGCGGGTTTGCCTTTAGCAGATTTTTTGACTTTGTTCTTGGAAACATCCTCTTCTGTGCTTTTCACGTCAACTGTGCTGCCCTCAGTCTCCGACACCTCAGTTCGAGGCTTTTGTGACTGCACATCACTCCCTGCCACCTTGTTCGTACTTACGGTACGCTTTGTCCTCGACATAGGGACGTCGTCGTCTTTCTTCTTCGCAACTTCGGGCTTGATAGCACCATCAATTTCCATAGCAGAAGGGGGATTCGACGAATCTGTTACAACCGATTGTCGGGGCTTGTCTTCTGTAGAAGCCTCTTTCATTTCACCGGGCGATGCTTTTTCAGAAGAAACATTGCGTCCAGCAGTATCTCCTTCTAACTTGGAGCCTGCTGAAATTAGAAGATCACTTCTGGTGTCGATCCAACATACAAGAAGGCTCTATATGAAAAAACTTACAAATTTCTGGCTTCTTGTCTGGATCATTCTCTTTTACACCATCGACACGCTTCGGTTGGAGTTGGCCCGCCGCTTTTGCTGTGCTTAACGTTTCTTGAAATCACATTTCAGCTTCGAAACGAACCTAGAAACACGACCAACCTGAAGCTTCCTTGCTTGACGACTTTGTTCCACTGGTCGCGGCAGCCATGCCAAGATTTGGTTGTGTAGTCGTGTCTTTTCGATCTGATCCAGTGCTAGTAAGATCATCCTTTGTTGCATTGTTTCTGCTCCCAAACCCTGCATCAAATTAGCTTTAATCCCTTCTCTGGTTACCATCATATACCTTTCGATACGTCTACATTCGATTCTGACTTTTGCTCTTGCTCAGTATTCCCCATCTCAAACATAACTTCATCTCCATCAACCACATCGAGTTGTGACAAAATATCACTCAAGGGTAAGGACTTTTCCCCTCGTTTTATAACAGGTTTCTGGCCCTGCTTCGTCAATGCATGCAATGCAGAAAAGCTTCCAGCATTCTCAGTAGTTTCCAAGGCCTGGACTTTGTCTATGATCTCCGACACCTTGCTTGAACTCATGATACTGATTTCAAATTTTGTGTGCTCGTTCAGACAAACGGTGATCTTGATATTTTTGTCTTGCTTTGGTTCAGGAGGATTGCAATCCGGTTCGGGGGGCTGCTGTGTACCATTCGGTCCAGGTACCTTGGTGAGATTAGCAGATTTTAAAGCACATTTCTTTCCCTCGATCAGCTTGACATGAAACATTTTCTTCTTCTCATCCCATTTCTCGACCTGTCCGATTCTATTGCACATTTCAGGATCTGGGAAGCCGTTTAATCGAAAACGCACCTTGAGTTGTAATCCGCATTAGTCTTCAGTGAATGCAGCATGACCCAGTCCCCAACACGATAAGGCTCACTTGCAGGCGGTGTTTTTGCATTTTCTGTTTTCGCTGGCGTCGAATTTGGATGGGGGTCTAAGGCAACCAAGTAGTTAAGCATTATTTGAGCCAAGGGAGTTGCTTACTATCTGAAGGTACCGCTGCCGCAGGGTTGGCTAACTCGACATCCTTTGCCTTTCCAAGAGGACTCGGCTGTTCAGGTTTCTTGGGTTGCTTTTTACCTGAATCGGACTTCGGTAATTTTCTGGGGTTTTTCAAGGAAAGAAATTCCATATGAGATGGTAGTTTCTTCAACAGCTCATCCAAATGCGTTTCCCAAGCCTCCTTCTGTTGAACTATGATGTCCTGGATTTCCTCGACGCGGCTCTCGCTGACGCCCAGACAATTGACAAATGTTTTCCAAAACTTGCTCTCTTTGTCATCTTCCTTCACATCTCGCAAGCTCGCTCCAAGGAAAACTTTCTTGATTCCTTACACAATTTGTCATGGCATGCATCTTCGACAAGAAAAAGTACCTGGAAACACATTCTCTCGGACAGGGAAAAGCTCCTTTGCAAGGTCGTTGAAGTCTTCAATTTTCAAACCGTAAGTTGGGTGAGCACAACTTGGAAACACTGTTCGAAAAAGGTGGAACAATGTAAACTCTTCTCCTTCAGCCTAGTCAAAGAATTGGGTCACAAGACACTTCGAAACAAGTACAACATTACCTCGGCAGGCAGAGAAGTCCTCCACGTGAGGTCTTCATCTACCACAGCCTCCAGAAACGCCCTGGCGGTGTCTTCCATCTTCTCACGTTCGTCTGGATTTCCACAAGGTGTCGCATTTGCAAATCCAATATCTGGCCTGCCTTTCAATTTACGAGCCTGGATTTCTTTGGGATCGGCTTTTGAACAAATCTCTTCATGCTCAGTAGTTTCAGCAAGCGACTGAAAACACTCGTTGCAAAATTCACATCTCCACCACCCCGAGAAGAAATACTTCACCAAAAGTCAGGTTGAAGCAGCACCCACATGAAACAATAACATACATGCAATCTGTCACGGGCGAACTTGAGATCAGATTGAATCAAATCCCTCTCGCGCTGTCCCAAGGACTCGATCGCTACCATGTCGAACGACACCAAGTAATTATCTCGTTGCATGTTCAAAGACTGTAGTAGCATCAGAAAGATGAAATCAATTCATGGTCACTTACTGAGTATGTCTGGTTCTGGGAATCAGTTATGTAAATGTCCATATTTCCAGCTTTGAATGCTTCATCGGTAGTGCTCAACCAGGCATACCAACCCTCCACTGACTTGGGACACACAAGATACCTAAAATCATGAAATCATGCTTTGCATCCCCCTATCATACATGCAGGATGACCTTGTCACTGTTGATACAGGAAGATCTACAGAAATATGCCTCTTCAATGGAGAGTCTATTGGGCATTTGATCTGTAGCATGCTTAGCAATACCAAGGAGGATCTTGATGACAAACGCCATTACCTTACTCAATTTGTAAAAGTCTTTCTTGTTCTGCTGCACGAGAGATAACAGATGCATAGGGTCTACATTGAAACGAGCCTTGAGTGACGCAATTAGGACACTTGAAAAGCGAACTAGTGACACGTACAGCAAGTGTCAAGACTGTCTCATCATCCACATCGATGAGGTGCTTTCTATGTTGAAATTGCCTGCCTAGTTGTCAAATATTGCACGCTCAGTTCCAAACGCAACACCTTGCGGTATCATTCCTCCCCTCCGACTGCAACGTACTCGTTACATACTGTCACAAGGAAAACAGTCTCAGAGGAACATCATTGCAATTCAAAAGAAGAGGGTGAAGAGCCTGAGGAGACGAAATTCTTGGAATCATGGAAAGAGAAAACAAGCAAGAAAATACATCGACTGCTGATGCAGGCACCTCTCCCCCGCAGTTCAAGACCAGCGCGCAATTCCCAGAGTCTTGCTTGCTATCTTTTCGGATCTTGGATTGCGCTTTCAGAGCCTTCGCCACAAGATCAACTCTAGCAATGAAGTACGAATGAGTACCTCGTTGATGCTAGCTGTGGAATTCTGTCCGTCTCCATCAGCATTCAAAGCTTCATCTACGACCATGAACATCACAAATTCGATTTGTCCTCTTGTTTATCCTTCACACCTTGCTCTGCGCTGCTACCCTGTTCCGTTGGAGTGAGCGGTTCATGCAAAGATGAAGGTTGGTGACTTTCTCCATGTTTCGTCGAAAGCTCTTTCTCATAGTCCGCCATGGTCTTGTCTCTGTACAGTAAGCTCGACTTGAGATCAAAGTCTGCCTTGATTCCATTCTTGAAAGTATCCAACCATTCCATCACATCGCTGTATTCTGCAGAAGTATCGATATCACGAATCTTGTGCTCCGCAGTGAGCTCTGCCCATCTTGTGACTTCATGACAATCAAAGCTGAAAAAGCGCTGGGCTCTTTCTTGTTTGTGGCCGATAACTTGCCTCAAAATATCCATGACCATCATTGTGATACTCTATTTTGCTATCAGAGAAGCAGCAATGAGGTCTTTCCAAGACAAAGTTGGTAGGGTCCAATGAACGCCGCTGTGTCCTCCTTTTGGCCGAAACTACGGTATTGTGGAATTTTCCAGTGATTCTGCTACAATTGTCAGGCAGGGGACCATAAGACAGGAAACGCCATGGCACATGAACAACAGGCATCAAAGAGCATCAATTATCGAGAGATGTTACAGAAGGGATCGTCCTCCTCGCTCCTGTACTTACTCCTCACTCCCTCGCCTCAGTCGCTCCTCTCCGCCAGCATCGCGGTCCTTGCGCTTCCCGCTCGTTTTTTTATCACATCCTAGGGGTGGGTGGGTCTTTGGGTAGGTGGGGTAGTGTACCCCACCGTTTCATCGGTCACAGCTACCGGCTTGGTCTTGAGTAACCCCTTCAATGCTAGTCAAAATCACCCCTGTCGCTACTTTCCTTTTGGGGACTACCCCATTTCTTGCAGGCCACCCACCTCAAAGCGTTTTGGGAACCCTCCACCCCCCGAGCTGGTCTCAATCCTACCAAAACATCACAAGGGGGTCCCAGTCCAACCCCACCAATTCACAATCTACCCCTGGAGATCAACATTTCGGACAATTATACCCGTACTTTTCTATCAAAATTTGGACTAAAGTAGGGGTCATAAAGTACCCTACCCTACCATGGTGACCTCTATACAGTCCTCGAGCCACGCACACATCCTCTGTCTGGGGCTAACGGTGAGGCGAGCCCGGCATGAGTCCCTCGCCCATTTGACCGCTCGCCGGACTTCAGAGCCGTCCCGGATCACTGAGGCTTCAAGTCGAGTCAACCAGGCTCAGTAACTTAGTCAAGTCACGGCAAGTGAGTTGCTTCGGCCCCGGAACGCCGCCGTACTGACTTAACTCTCCTGATTGTCCTCGTACTGATCTTTAACTTAACTTTGAGTAAAGTGGCTGGCTGGCTGGCTGGCTGGCTGGCTGGCTCGCCCGGGGCCGCGCCCGAGACAGGCTCTGAGCCTAATCTTTTACTCAAGTTCCCATACTGGGCGATGAGTATTATGCATGAACAAGGGAGGACCATGAGGCATAAGGCGGCGTGGTGGTTGGGTATGGCGACCATGGCGGTGATGATCATGGACACGGAGGGCAGAGAGATGGGGAATGGCGTCAGAAAAGGTTCGCTGAATGTTTCCATGATGACCTGTTGAAGCTTCTCTATCATCGTTGCTCCAGGAACGCATGGATCTGATGTGTTTTCATTATAGGAGCAGGCCACCAGGAGGTGCCGCTGCTGGGAGCTTACTACTACAACTGGTGAGTGATGCTAGGTTACTTGGACCTCTGACGCCTGGCAAGGTACAACCTGGATGACCAATGGAGCCATCACCCGCGGACGCATGAGGTCAGTGGCTGCTGTGAAAGCTGTGGGGGCCCTGAAGACCGTCTACAGCCTGAGCTTGGAGCATACGATCTTTCAGACAGATCGTGAGGAACGGACTTGTAGAGATGCACGACTGACGGCATGTCACAGCACGATGCAGAAGCATCACGAGTGGGCAAGGCAGTCAAACATCGACTTCTTCATCATGCCCTGGTCGGGGGTGGGGGAGGGCGAGCAAGCGGTCTGTGCCATGCATGCTGCCTGATGGGACCATGAACGTGCCGGTGCCAGCCGGAGCGCGATGTCGAGATCGATCGCCGAGTGGAGGAACACCTCACCATGAAGCAAGGAGTCAAGGTTGGACCCTTGCTCAGCCTCCCCTTCGCTCATGACCGTTGGGTTCGTGGACAGGTTGCCTTGATGTACACGGCGTTTGACATCCTAGGAGGTGAGATCCTTGCAGCATGTTGAAGCTCCTGGATGACTCCTGCTGCTTCTCCAGACGCCAGCGAGAATGACTTGGACTTGAGTGTGGTCCGATGCGAGTCCACGCCGTTCCTTGCTGTGCTGACATTACCGCAGCGCAAGAACTGCGACAGGCTGAAAGATCACTGGGAGTACGCTGCCAAGGTCTGTCATGTCGTCTCTTGTCTTGACTGAACTCATGCTCTTTCCCTTTCCTTTGCTCCCTTCAGCACTACTTCTCCAAAGATAATTACCTCCGCATCCATGGGAGCCCTGTGCTCTACGTGTACGGCTTCCGATGGTATCGCAACTTCCAGGCTTGCATGCAGGAGGCTCAGTCCCGCATCTTGTCGGCGACCTCTCACAAGCTCTACTTGGTGGTCGACACGATCTGGTGGTACCCGGCCCCCGAGCAGGCAGACTGGAAGGGGATGCAGGCTATCAACGTGAGCGGGATCGCAGGCTACAACCTCTATGACGCGGCTCAGCCGAGCAAGATGGGCCTCTCGTTCGCGTGGGAAGCGGCGCAGCTGCTGCACGACTTCGTGTCCCTGGCGTGGGATCACGGCATGATGGTCGTGCCGACTGTGATGCCTGGATACGACGACCGGAGGAGGGGAGGGAGCGGGAGGCCGACGGTGCCGCGGGCTAGAGGGGCGGAGCTGGCGCACCAGTGGAAGCAGCTGCTATGGTTCTCTGTGTGCCAGCCCAAGATTCTGAGGGCAGGGGCTGAGAAGAAGGAGAAATATCCGTCCCTTGTCCTTGTCAACTCCTTCAACCAGTGGCATGACGGCACAGAGGTCGAGCCCTCGCAGCACTACGGCGATCAGTACCTGAAGCTGATTCGGGCGCTCAAGAGCGAGGTGGTGAAGGAAGAAGTTCCCTGCGGGAAGGAGAAGGATGCTACCTTCAAGACGCCAACCTACTTCATCCCCAGCATGCGGGAGACAGGAGGGAGGACCCCTGGAGACAAGGCGTTCATACAGGGTCTCCTGGTTGTTGGGACCCTCTTCCTGAGCTGGTCGATGCTGATGGCCTGCGGGAAGACCATCCTCCTCTACACCGGGAAGGCTCCTTCCAAGTTCAAGGACGACGATCAGTCAGGGGAGGAGCAGCGACACTTCAACGAAGTCGCGGCAGGATACCTTGGAGAAGGAGGAGGGAGGGGCAGGAGGAGGTACCCGAAGCGCTCTCCCTCGACGCTGTCATGGGTTGTGGTGGGGGCGATCTTCGTGTTCAATTTCTGCTTCATCTACTATGTCTTCCACTTCTCTCCCGTCAGCGAGTACTTCGACGCCAGGCACGTCGAGTACCGCAAGGCCATCCACGACAACCTGAGGGCTGCACGCGAGGTCGCTCATCGCATGTGCCCGACCCTCTCCCTCTCCCTCCACCAGAAGAAGTTCGAGATGTGGGTCCTCAAGCTCGCCAGCAATCAGGTCCCCTCCTCCTCCTTCCTCCTCCCTTCCCCCCCCCCCCCCCCTTTCCCCTTCCTTCTCCCCTCTCCGCTCTCTCCCCTCCTCCCTCTCCCCCGCTTTCCTTCACCTCACCTCCCTCGTTCTCCGCCTTCTCCTCCCTGAACCTTCCTCTCACCTCCTGCTCCCCCCTCCTTTCTCCGCCTTCTGAATCTCCGCGTCTATCTCCTCTTGCTCACAAAGCTCCATCAGATCTCTCGTGCGGAGTTCCACCAGGAGATGTGTGGGGACCGTCCCTACCACCGCAGGGAGGTCGAGGCGCTCGTCCTCGAGCTCTGCGGCAGGGAGGCGACGGCGGAAGAGACGTCGAGATACGAGAAGGAGCTGGAGGAAGGAAAGTGAGTTGAACATCCTCAGTCGCCCTCCCTCTCCCCCTCCCTCCTCTTTCTCACCCTCCCCCTCACCCGATGCCTTGCAGTAAGACGTTGGACGAAATTCGGCAGGAAATCTCAGAGACCTCTGAGGTACGAGGTGGACAGGGAGGCTTTCTGAGGGGAGGAAGGAGAGAGGGAGGGGAAGACCTGTGCGGCAAGTCGGAGAAGAGTAGGATAGACGAGAAAATAGATAACGAGAGAGAAAGAGGAGGAGGAGGAGGAGGAGCAGGAGGAGGAGGAGGAGGATGCGGGTGTGTGCCTGTATGGAGGAAGGGGAAGGACTGAGGAAGCTCGCCGACTGAAGTTTTGCAGGCTCAGGAATTTGCCCAGCTGAAGCAGCAGAATCACGTGAGGCAGCCAAGGAGCCAACTGAAGTCATAACAAGACGAGAACAAGAGGAAGAAAAAAAGAAATGTCAGAGGGAGAGGGAGGGAGAGAGAAGGGGGAAGGAGAAAGAGGTGGGGAGAGAGGAGAGAAGGAGGAAGGGAGATAGAGAGAGAGGAGAGGAGAGGGGAAATAGATCAGCAGATCGAACGTGGGCAGCAGGAAAAGAGGACAAAAACTGGGAAGAGAAGCTGATTGAGGATGAGGGGAGGGGGAGGGGGAGGGGGAGGAGGAGGCAGGAGATGTCCTATTGATAGTTGAATTCATTTCAACTTTTAAATTACAGAGAAAGTTGAGCAGCTTCAACCTCGCAAGACGTCACCTCCTCCTCCTCCTCCTCCTCCTCTCCTCCGTGCCTTCTCCACATCTCCATCCTCGCACAGCCTCCAGGGCGTTACAGGTCTCCCTCTAGAGGCCGGGGAACTGCGGCCCTTCGTGTCCTGTCCCTCCGTTCTGAATCGCCTTGGCTCGAGCCTTCCTCGTCTCCACCTCCCCAATACGCTCGAACAGCTCGCCCATCTACCTCTCGTCAGCATCCCATATCACCTCCTCCTGCTCCTCCTGCTCCCTTCCTCCTCCTGCTCCTCCTGCTCCCTTCCTCCTCCTCCTCCTCCTCCTCCTCAACCCTCCCTCCCTCCCTCGCCTCTCTGTGTTTTGTTGGCTGACTGTCTCCCCCCCTCTCTGTCCTGCCTCGTCCTCCTCGGTTTCGTACATGTACCCTTTCTCGTCTTCGTCCTCCTACATCTCCCACATTCTCTCCGTCTCCTCCTCTCTCACCTCAATCATCGCATTGGACAGCTTCTCCACTTTCCGAGAGTCACGGCTGAGGAAAGAAAGTAAAAAGCAAGCGGGGGAGGAAGAGGAAAGTTGGGCGGGGGAGCAGCGAGGAAGGGAAGGGAAAGGAAGGAGACGCAGAGGTGGACGAGGAGAGAGGAAGAGAAACCAAAGAGAGAAATAGAGTGAGAAAGGAGTGAGGAGGAAGAGAAAGGCGACAACAAGAGTGACAAGGAGAAGGCGAGGAGAGCGAGAGGAGAAGGAGAAAAGGGGGGGCGGGGGGGGGGAGGGAAGAGGTGGAGGAGGAGGAGGAGGAGGAGGAGGAGGAGGAGGAGGAGGAGGAGGAGGAGGAGGAGGAGGAGGAGGGAGACTACCTGAACATGATCTCGCAAACACGTCGCACGCGCTCCTCCAAGAGAAGTTTTCCCATTTTCCACACGACGTTCAACCCGGATCTACACAATCAGTCTCAGAACTGCTCTCCTCCCCCCCCCCCCCCTTCCTCGTCTCCTCTTTCAGCAGGGCCTCTCACCTCATCATCTTCGCCTCCATCTCACGCTGCTGCGCCTGTTCCCCCCGTCAGCCCTCACAGCCCCTGCAGCTTCTCTTCACCTCCGAACGAGCTCCTCGAGGCTCTCCCATCTCCTGCCGACCTCACCCGTCAATCTCCGTTCTCAACCACCAAGCTCCTCGTCGTCGCCGTCGTTCTCCTCCTACCTGTGCCATGTTCGCAGTCCTCACGGCGTCCATCAGCACGGAAGCTCCAGACGAGGCGACGTGAGCTTTCTCCTACAGCATCGTTTTACTCCCCCTCCCTCCCTCCCTCCCTCCCTCCCTCCCTCGCACGGACCTGAACCTGCGCGAAGAATCCCTCCAGCCCGAACCATCGACCAGCGTGTTGCTTCCCTTCCTGCGAGTAGACGTACCCAAGCTTGCAAGAGCAAATCAGGCACTCCTTTTTCCTTTCATCCTTCCTTCCTCGATCTTCTCTCCCCCCCCCTCTCCCTCCCTCCCTCTCTCTCTCCCTCCCTCCCTCCCTCCCTCCCTCCCTCCCTCCCTCCTTTACCATGCAAACAAGTTCAACGCCGCCTGGTGCCTCGCAGAGCTCGGTTGCCTGCTTCTCGAGGGCCTCGGCGAATCCCTTGGCTCCCAACGTGTCGATTCGCTCGAGGCTGGTCATGAGTTTCTCGGAGAGACCCTTGCCTGACGACGCTGTCAGAGGGCGCGGGAGCTCAAGGAGGAGCAGGACGAGGGAGACGTGAGAGGAGGAGGGTATGGTGGGAGTGAGGAGGAGTACAGAGGTGAAATCCATAAGCCGTGCGCGTGGAGGAGGAGGAAAGTGAAGTACGATGCTGGTGAGGGGCAATAGAAAGAAAGGGCGTGTAGGAGAGAGTGGGAGGTAAGTCATACAGTAGACATCCTCCTCCCGCTTCAGCTTCTCGATGTCTTGGAACCTGTCCTCATCAGGCCTGCCTTGCATGTGCCTTTCCATCGAAGAAAGCATCTGCACCACATCCTCTTACTTCCACGAGCTCGACGGGGGGTCCGGGGAGATTCGAAGGAGGAGCATGGAGGAGGAGAGAGGAAGGCGAAAGATGAGCATGAGGAGAAGCAGGAGCACGAGCAGAAGGAGTAAGTGGTGAAGGAGGAGGGTGGAGGAGGAGGAGGAGGAGGAGGGGAGGGAGAAGGAGCAGGACCTGCTTCAGCATTGGCAGCTCGCAGACATCGCCGAAGATTTCGTCGAAGGCTCCTCCGCCGAACATGAGCCTGAATACCATCTGCCCTCCACTTCAGCACGTGGACACCAGACTCTTCCTAGCCCTCAGCACCTTGATGTCCACGTTGCCCGCTGCTTGCGCCATGTGTACCCCATCCTTGCCCCGCTCGTTGTAGATCTGACGCTTCTGGGGGTCGGACAGAACCTCGTAGGCCTCACTGATGGCCTGCAGCAGGCGGTTCAGCCCCCAACGCAGAGCAGGAGGGTCACCTTGAACTTGAGCTCTGCCTCAGGGTTGTCCGGATTCTGCTCGCCCACCATGCGTTACTTCGTCGGTCCTGGGGGGAAGAGGGGAGATAGCGAAGGTGGAAACAAAAGTGGAAGGGAGGGGGGGAAGCAGGGAGGGAGAGAAGGAGGGAGAGAAGGAGGGAGGGCAACCTTGTCTGGATGCCACTTCCTTGCTTGCTTGTAGTAGCCCTTCTTGATGTCGTTGTCCGACGCATCTTTCGTCACACCCAAGAGCTCTGCAGGGCTCAGGTTGAGCAGTCGAGAGGGTTCAAGGAGGGGCATGGACAGAAGATTTTAGGAGGAGATGAGTACAACTGAATCCTGGGAAGAGGAAGGAGGGAAGGAGGAGCAGGAGAGGAGGGTCAAGCATGGTCACCGTAGTAGTCGTCGTCTCCTGATGCAAGCGTTACTTTGACCCCGCTGAAATTGCCACTGCCTCCTCCTCCGAAGCCCGATCCAGCTCGATTTCCATAGCCACCAGAGGACCTTTGGGAGCCAGGAGGGGGGACCTGCCAGGGAGAATAGGAAGGAGGGTCAGGAGGCGGGCAACAGCAGCATGCTTGTGCGGCTCGACCTTGTTCTCCTTGGCGAGGTTAACCAGATCAGCCTTCTCGGAGACCCAGGTATGGTTGATGCCGGCCTCGCTCAGAGCCTGAGCACGTGAAGTGAGCAGGGTCAAGTCTGAAAGACTCCATGGGAGCAGCAGCAGCAGCAGCATACTTGCTTCAGCTCCTTCACAGACCAGGTGTCGTATGCCCCACTGGCAGGCGTTTTCTGCCCACCTTGGCTCCCTGTCGGGCCATGTCAGACCCCAGCCTACCTCCAGCAGTGCATGCACAGAGCTTCACCTTGATCCAGAGCTCCAGTCCCTCGAGCGATCCTCAGCTTGATCTCACCAGTCGCGCGCCTCTGAATGACGAGGTCGATGAACGTTCCCTCCTCTCCCACGATCAGATTCTGCGCAAGGGATCAGCATGCTGCAAGCTCCCAGTCCTCCTCTTACCTTGGCTTCCTGAATGCTCGTCACGTACTGCCCATCGATGGAGACGAGAATGTCGTCAACGCGGATCTTCCCACATCGATATGCAGCTCCGTTGGGCACAAGCTTGTTTGAAATCACGAGAACGAACAAGAAAAGGAATAGCAGGAAGGTAGGAAAAGGAGGAGGAGGAGGAGGAGGAGGAATTAGGGAGGAATGGAATAAGGGAGGGACTGATGAAGGGAGGGAGTGAGTATTCATATACCTCAGTGACCTTGAGACCTTCCGGCGTTGCTGCAAGGCCAACACCTGTTGACCAGGTCACTCAAGATCGGATGTGGCGAAAACCCGGCCTCTCAACTTCAAGGTCTCTCAACTTCAATATGGCAAAGAGCCTGAGTCCTTTCCTAGACTACCTTGCCCTTCCCATCATAAATCACGCATCCCCACTCTTTCCTCAACGTCGCCCATCATCTCATTCTTCACCTCTCGAACGCAACCCCAGCTCTATCTTCTATTCTCAACCTTGACCATCCTTCTGCTCTGTGTTCATCCCACCTTCACTATTCTATGAAATCCCCACCCCCATGTCCAATGCTTCATCACCCCACTCGATCTTTCGTCTACCCATCATCTATCCTGCTCCTGCTCCTGCTCTCGCTCCTGCTCCTGCTCCTTCTCCTTCTCCTGCTCCAACCTCCCACCGATCCTCCTCTCCCTCTGCTGCTGCTGCTGCTCCTTCTGCTGCTGCTGCTCCTTCTGCTGCTGCTGCACCTACTCCTTCTGCTGCTCCTGCTGCTCCTGCTGCTCCTGCTGCTCCTGCTGCTCCTGCTGCTTCTGCTGCTTCTGCTCTTGATTCCCTTCCCAGTCCTCCACCCTCGCCCTCTTCCTCCCCTGCTCCTCGTTCTTACCGATGCCAGCTGGTGCCATGTCGGCTCCCACGTTCCAGGAGATTCTGAGGCTAATAGCCTAAATCCTTTCTATATAAGTTAAGACGAAGGCTAAAAATGTAGATTGTGAGGCTGTTATAACTGATATATGATCTATATAGCATGCTATCGGCTATTCCTGGAAGAGCCAACCTCCTACTTATAAAACTATTTTGATGTAATTTATTGTCATACTAACTTTCAGTCATATATAATTTTGGTATCTCTTTTCATCACCATTTTCGTTTTATATTGTGTACCTGTACCACATTCTGTCCTACTGCACTTCATTTTCTTTGCTCAAAGTTAAGTTAAAATCATTTCCAGTCACATACTAGTGCTCAGGGTGACTCGGCGGTGAACGCACGGTTCAACCGTTTTACGGTTCCCGGAGTTTACTGAGTGGAGGTCACTGAGTCAGGCCGGAGTACCAGGGCTGGCCGGCCCAGGCCCGGCAACTTTGCGGCCAGCCTCTCAAGTCCCGAGGATTTTGAGACTTCGGAAAACTTCCGAAGTTCAGAAGTTCAAGTTCCGGGAACCGGGCGGGCCCAGGTCACTCAAAGTGAGTCGGGAGCGAGTCCACTGTGGATCTAGAGCAGCAGTAAGTAAGTGGATAGCCTACTTGGCCGGGCCCGTGTCTGGCCGCACTGATTGCAAGGAAACAGTAGCCGGGCCGGTCCCCGGGCTTAACGGCTCACCTGAGGTTGACCTTCAATGGAAGGCTCCTCCCCCCAGCTATCGTCTGGATTTCATAGGATCCCTTTTCCTTGACAGGCTTGAAAAAGGACGCGTTAGACTGAATCCAGACCTCCCCCTCCTTTCCGATCGAAGATCTATCCTTGGTGCTAGTCGCATCTGATTGCTGATACAAAATCCCATAGGTCATCAGCTTGGTGTTTTTGAGGACCTGCCCAGACCACACTCACGGGTCAGAGACAAGGGAGGGGAGGAATCAAAGTCACCCCATCTTCCAACCCGTGCTCCTGCCCCTTGTCTGAGTCCATCGGCTTGCGGAGGTTCGTGACGGTGATCTCATCCTTGCGCCTCTTGACCTGCACCACCGTCTGTCCCTCCATGCTCATGTAAGGGTCGCACTGGTAGGAAGCTCCTGGTCAGAGGGCAAACAGCAGGCGCCACCACTGCACGGCAAGAGCAGCACCTGGTTGGTCATTTGGGTATGACGGAACTCGTTCCTGTGGTGAGAGTCGATCATGCGGGTAGCCAGCTGCACGAGCATGCCATCCTTCTCTTGCCTCACGTAGGTTTCGTTGGTCAGCCGAGAGTCGAAGTGAGACCATTCATTCACGCGCTTGCAATGGATGAGATAGCTGCTCAACGGCTTCCGGAGCTGCTCAAACTTGAGCAGGAAGTACGTCATGCCTCCCAGCTTGTCGGGCAAGGGGTACAGGCTGACTCTCGCTTCAACCGCTTCTTCAGATTTGTTCGACACGTCAAGCTTGTAGACAATCAAACTTTCGTTCTCCAGCTGCTCTGCGTTCTGCAGGTGTTGCTGCAATTTGAAGATCTCTCTTGCGGTTGTACTCTCTCCGAACAATGCGCTGGCCCACATCATGTCAGATTGACATTCACGGAGACGAGACCAGCCATGAACTACCTCAGCTGAGCTCCCCCTCGAGGGAGCTTTCCCAACTCTCGTTCAAACACGCGGTTGACATCTTCGATGCTGAACCCGCTCGCGTGATGCTTTTTAATCAGCGCGAGACACTGTTGAGACTGCCACATTAGCCTCACATTGCTTTGAACGCTCTGTTGGAGGCCTGCAAACTTATTTGAAGTCTTCCCGTTCACACCCCGGTGGTCGGTAGCTCCGTGTGCCTCCACCCAGCTCTTCTTGATCCCTCTGCTGCGAATCTCGATGCTCCCCATTCCTGCTCGGTAAGAGAGCAACGGTCAGCAGGGCACGTCTTAGATAGAACACGACCTCGTCCCTCAGCAAACAAGTCACGGTCTCTCCTGCTTTCCCCCTGGCAGCCGCTCATACAGTTCTGCCAGGACCCCAAAGCAAAGAAGGGCCATTCCGACGAAATCTGCATGCCTATCGCGAAACCTTCAACACAAGTGTGAGACGATACGGTAAGTCTGCCCTCTTATCTAGAACTCTTATCCTTATGTTGTCAACCATATCGATGATAGTAAGTGGGCCTTTTTTCCGTTTTGTTACCATGTCCTGACTCTTGAACAACTGCTCCTCTCCTTCCCTCCTCTCTTCGGGTATCCCTTCCCCTCCCCTCCCCTCCCCTCCTCTTGTATCCCATCCCTCCTCTCCTCTCCTCTCCTCTCCTCTCCTCTTGTATCCTTCCTCTCCTCTCCTGTGCTCCTTCAAGTGCTCGCTGGCCTCTTCATCTCCCCCTTCCTCCTGCCACTTCACGCCTGCCAACGTAGTGCGCATACAACTTCCGCTATCCGAGTCAGTGAGCCCAGCGACCTGAACCCCTTCTACCCTCTTACCCCCTGACACCACCCCACCACTTGAAAAAAAATTATACCCCACCCCCCCTGGAAAGATGACTGAGATCTTTCCGTACCCCTCCATTAAGGCCATGTTTGCACCCAATGTAAGGGAAGTCTCAAGAAGTCAAAAGTACCCCACCTACTTTTCATACCTTGGACCCGGGACCCTTAGTCACTTCTTCATGACCCACCCCCCGAAATTTCTTTCCGAACTCCGTTATGACCCCTACCCTACTTGTTCCCATCCCATACACCCTCTCACTGAATCCCCAGTCCCCGCAGTGAAAGACAAGAAACGTCGGGAGTAGAGAATGGCTGCGCAAGGGCTACGGCAGGAGGCGGTAGGAGTGAACACGGGCGAGCGAGGATGCCGACAATGTTATGATCAGATGACAATGTCATGGTTTCGAAGAGACGGCCTTAACTTTCATTTTTTGAACCATTTGGACCACTTACGAACACTTCTGACTTAACGTCATTCGTTTTCCGCCTGCAAATCTTCATTGATATGCAAGGCGGCAGCATTTCGGCAGTGAGTTTTGGCATCTCGGGTTGACAACAAGTCTTGAATAGGTCATGGCATAATCCATGGCAGTTGAGATGCGGGGAGGTAAGTGAAGGACGGTGATCGAAGTCAGAACGGCGGGTGCTCTCCGAGCAAAGATCACGACTTCTGGGAACAGATACTGACGACAGGTCTGGCGGTCGCGTTAGGATCTCCCCTCATACACGAGGTTTGCGAAATGATCAGCAGCGTCCCATCGAGAAATTTGACTGACTCCTAGTCCGACAGTAAACTTGAGAGAGCGTGTTCAGTCGCAGTACAAGACCAGGAGAGCTTGGTTCACCTTGCTGGGGGTGGAATGAATGATCTGCGGCTGCACGATCCGTAACCCATACTTGCAAGATTTGCTGTGGACGAGAGGGGCATCAGAACCACTCCACACGCCATGGCAGGCAGCTCAACCGCACCTTTGCTTGGGAACGAATCGGACGAAACTTGAAGGCATGATCCCATGGGAGATTGCACCTGACGCTACTTCGTCCACCTTCTCTTCATCCCATCGCCCGGGGTTACTGAGCGACAAACAATCAAATCAACGACTCGACAACAGGTCTCAGAGGCTGAGAATATTACTCGAGTTGCGAAGTCGAGGCGTCTTGCAAGTCAACGTTCGAGCCCGTTGTCAGCAGTAGCACGCGGCTGTTCACTACTTGCTCCCTCCAAAGCCATTTCCTTGCCGCTGCAATCTGTCGGAATCTCAGTTTCTGCATTTACGATCGAAGTTGCATGCGAGCTCACAGATAATGCGCCATATGGTTCAAGGACAGTCCTGGTGTCCTCATAGTAATCAAGGATTGAATTTTTAACCTCCGTAGAGTCCTGCATGCACGCGAATGGAGAGTTAAGCAGTAGAGCTTGAATGGGGTAAGCTCTTACCACATAAACAACATCATCCAACATGTTCAATAGAGAGGTATGATCACAAGCAAATACAGATTGAAGATCTGAGTTCTGCATTGCCACCCCAATGATTTTGGTCATGGGCTTCAACCGTTTCAAGTATGTTCCAATTGCTCTTGCTAAGTTTCCAGTCCCTGGCAAAGCAAGGTTCCAGACGTCAAATTCTTGTTTGTTGTTGCCAACAAGAATTCTGTCGATCAAGATCACCTATTGGGACGAAGATGTAATCAAAGTTTTGTTTGGATTGGCGGAGAATCTGCAACATTGTGTCATTCAAATTTGAAGTAGAATGCAGGAATACCTCTACTGCTATTGTAGCATGGCCTGCGATCATCAATGGATCGTCAAGGGACACAAACGTATATCCGTTCATCTTTGCAAGCTGAACATCACCATCATCAGTTATTTCCACACTGCAAGCCCCACGTTCGAGTTGCCTGCTTAGCGAAGTTGATCGAATCATCTACGTTGCTGCCGAAAGCAATAACGTCGCTGTTCCTCTTGAGATTTCGTATCTTCACAGCTGTCAACACGCATCAGAGCTACACTCATGTCGTCTGATCTATAATGTGGATACCATTTGAATTCTCTGGAACCACATTCACGCAGTCAATCCCTAGATACTTTGCACTAAGTCCAACTCCATTCCCGTAGTTGCCTGCGCTCGCAACCACAATACCAGTTGGCTTCAACATCAAAGTGACAAATCAGAACATTGACGAGCGATGCTTTCATGTTCACTCACCCTTGTCTTCAGGGTCAGATTCAGGAGGAGATGATGGGCACCTCGGGTACAGAAAGAGAATCCAGTCTGCATCTCCTCCCGTTTCGCAAAAATCTGATTGTTCAACTCGTTTGACATCACTGGCAGGTATTGAATCGGAGTTTCTTTCACGAGATCGTAGACTTGAGATAGAAGTGCTTGTTTCAGGAACCAATCGTAGGCAATGCCTTCCTGATTACTATTTGCAGAGATTCCGCCCCCACGTCGCGATCGTGGAGGAAGTGGCATGTTTACGTGTTTGTTTGAGAGAGATTGGAATGAATTTTTGATCGCGCAGACCTCATTGCGAGTTTCTGCGTCTCGAACAAACGACTTGCGAGGAGGAAGCAGAGCTACAAAGAGAGGAACATCTCGGGGACGTGTCTGAGTTGAGCAAGGCCGGGGATGTATCACGCTATTGATGAGGTTGACATCTGCTTCCATATGTAACATCTTAGCATGGGCCGATGACGATGATGATGTCTCGTTGATCATCATCACTAACAGCATAAGGCATCCAAACATCGCCCCGACCGCACTGCGCATTGCGACCAAAGTGAAGAACGTGGTGAGTACCGGGGTATCGAAAGAAGAAACAAGATGGGGTGGATTTGGGAGGGTAGGGGTACAATAAATAAGGGTAACACAAATAATGGGGGTATCTGATACCACAGGGGTATGGGTGAATAGATGTTCAGACAAGGGGTACAATAAAAAAGAGGTGGGTTATGACAATACAATGGGGGTACCTGAGGTTGCAACTTGTTCTCGATTCTTGGGAAATGCAACATGGGGTAGGGTACTACCCATACCCCCATCCCTACCCCCGGCTGATTCAACAGAGGATAGGTGGGTGGTTTTGTCGAGGTGGACCAGGTTTTACTTGAGGATCAGCAATATCTCGACTAAAGTTGAAAATTGCACTCAAATATTCAGGACCATCACAAATCTGTTGTTGGAACCGCGAAATCTGGGCCAGCCTGCCGCAGTGCCACGGTGCTGCCACAGATTCGCCCAAATTTGCGACCCGGGCCCGGGCCCGGGCCCGGGTGAGTCACTACTGAAAGAGTCATGGCGGGCCCCGGCCGGTGAAGTTGACTTGATCCGATCCCTTGCAGGAAAGCGAAATATGATCAGGACGCCCGGCGGCGCCTCCGCCATGGTAAGGCGCTTCCAGGAAGGAAGGAGAGAGGGAGGTAGAGGCAGGGAGGAACCGGAGAGTGATATAGAGAGACTGAGGCAAGGAAGGAGAGTAGACGACAACCAAGGCTAGAGGCCAGGGGACCGGAAAATGAAAGGAGGAAGACATGAAATGATGGGTCGGTTTGAGGGAGTCGACGGTTCTTGTGTTGCTGACCTTGAGGATCATAGGGCGAGGACGAAAGTTCGAGCAGAAGAGCTCTTTTGAACTTTGTACAAGAGTTGAACCAAACATGTTTAGAGATCCAAGAAAGCACTTCTCAGGCGATCAAAGAGCAGAAAAGGTGGAATGAGACTGCCACGAAGGAATTCAACGAGTAATGTGTCTGTTCTGAGTCTTGCAGGCTGAATGATTTCGGTGGTTTTCATTAGGCTGATGGAGCGTATGAAGAATCCCGTGTCGAAAGTCAAGAATGCAAGAAGAACCCGAAGTTCGGTCCAGGACGTCAAAGTCGATGAAGACGAGCCAGTGAACGAGCCGATCGACGACTCTTTGTTGCATGCGAGCAATTCAGATATCGCAATCAAATCCTTCAATAGTTCGGGTTTTTGCCTTGCTTTCATGACTCTTCATTTTTGAAATATTTTGCAGAAAAACAACAATCTGCTGTAGCAAATGAGAATGCTGAGATACGGGGGATGTCATACGAGGATGTTTTTGCATCACACAAGGCTGTCTTATCAGATGAGACTTTAGTTAACGGTGCTCTTCTTGTTGTTGTCGATATGTGATCATAATCTGGCTCAATCTTCTTTCAAAGCGCTAGGCTCTCGCATTTCCTGTTTGGCTTAGTTTACTGTGTTCCCCATCCTATTTTTTCCCTTGCGAACACTCTTTTTGTTGCTTTTTGATGTCTCACTCTCTTCCTTACTCACTCAATCACTCACGTCCATGACCTCTTGCTTGAATCATGATGTATCTTGATCACCTGTTTCACTCACTTCGCTTGCTCAAACTGTGTTTCATTTTTGCTTTCTGTTTATCTATGCTTACCCTCTGCCAGCTATATTTTTTCATATCGTGTCCCGCCATCATCGTTTTCTTTTCCCCTTTGTCGTGCTGTTCATGGAATGACAGTCATGTAACAACGTAGTGATCACAATTCCACGTTTATCTGGACGTGTTTCATCTCAGCGTCATTACTCCATCTAATGTAAAGCCTCTCAGCACTCTGCCGCTTTCAGCATCTGGAAACATCGTTTGAAGACACCGTGGATATCCTTCTTGATAGTGCTGTTGGAATTGAATTGATCGCGTAAGCGTTGCCGGACCAGGGGGTTGTTATCGATGTTTTCAATGACGTATGAAACAGGTGTGTCGAAAAAATACCTCATGGAGAGGAAGTATAACAAACATCACCAATTCTGATCGAGAGCTAACGATTGCCATGCAGATTTTGAAACAACGGCTTGTCGGTCTCATTTCAGGACAACTGAAAGAATAAATGATCAAATCAATTCACATCAGACATTCAGCACAAATCCATTCCTGTCAGCCAGTCTGTTCGCAATACAACTCACGGACTTTTGGTACAATTCTTCTTTTCCCGATCGGCGAGCAGTGCACATAACAAAACTCCGCAAGCAGCAGTCAGTCGAATTACATTTGTTGTAGTCCAACCATTTATTTCATTGTATGTACATAATCCTACACATTTCATCCCCCTAAAGCAATTTAAAGAATCACTTTCAGTGAAGCTTGACATCTGTTCTCTCCGTAAATTTCATCTTGGCTCTCAAAACATTGTCCAGGCACTCCGAACCATCTGATTTCACAATGCATGCTGCAGGTCTGCCATTTGCAATCGGCGATTCTGTACGGGAGCGATCCAGGAAATCTCGCTGAGAGGCTGTAAGCCGAAGGGAGGGAAGATTGCGTCGTCCTTTCGTGGAGGAGACCGAGCTGAACTCAGAAACACGGATAACAAGTGCAGGAGCCGAAACCATTGCAGTGGGATGTGTGCAGATCAACAAAGAAGCTGAAGACAGTAATGAACGGATGTGAATCTGATTGTAGGAGCAAGGAAAAAATCCAGCTTGATCGCGATCTCTTGTGTGTAAGTTGTGCTGATGCTTATTACAAGCACCAAGTCGTGGCCGCGAGGTTGTGGGAGGAGCAGACGACGACGGGATTATATCGAGGTCCTGCCCTCGAGGGTGGGGTACCGAAGAGTCATTTTCATTACCCCTCTATTTCCCAATTGATAGCCCCAGAATAAGGGTAGGGGTGGTAAGAAGAAACAAGATATCCGGTGGGATAGGTCCAACGAGGACAAGATGCGGAGGTGAATCTCAAGATTTATAGTGTAGCTCTTGAATGAAGAAGGTTTTGAGGGTGGGGTAATCTATCATACATCATTTGATACAGGGATGAAACGCTTTTCTCTCAAAGTTGAAATTCTATGAAATTTTTTGATAATTAATAGTACCTCATGAGAGAGTGTTGGAAATGGTCCAATCGGGATTCGTAGTGGCATCCGGGGCCAGGACCTCCGAAGCAGTTCCAATCACGCGGGAGTCACAAGCCATCGATCTTCCAAATCCCTCTTTTTCGTATCTTTAATCTCCAGATATTCAGATTTTCAGTTGTGAAATAACAACGATTGAGATCTTCTTCGATCTAATTCTGCGTCACGGATGCCACATACCGACTTTCTCGGAGCTGCCTCCGACATTACAAGGTACCCATCAAACACAGTACCCTACCCTCACTTTTCCATACGACAAATAGTCATGGAGATGGTATCCAAACCACCCTACCTACCCTTTTGCTTTTGTTGCGTCTTATTGACACTTTATTATACCTAGCACACATGACCTTCATATTTTCAGTTACGTTGGTAGATGATTCACCTGTACCAGAGTTTGAGATCTGAGACCAGAGCGTGAGCCGAAGATAGTTGCATGAAGCTGGGCAGACACATCCTGACGGCCTGTAGAAACTTTGTCCCCGAACAGAACTGAGCGACAAGCTTGACATGGCTGTGTAGAGTCGATTCGTCGCAGAGGCTGCGATGCTCCGGATCAAAGTTACACGGTTTCACTTTGACGGGGGGCAGACATCGGAGGTCACCAGCTCACATAACCAACGCATCAAGTTGAAGCTGTCTGCGAAGCAGCTCCTTTATCTCAATGAAATTCGTGATCGTCAATCGGCTGACTTCAATGCATCCGAGCTACCGAGGACGCGTGAATCCATAATTGTATCTGGCAAAGAGTGCCTCGAGAATATTATGAAAGCCAAGATGAAGTTCTGCTCCAAACAGAAAAGGGAGGATACTGTCCCTACAAAGCCAGATGAAGAATCTTAAACGTATGGACATATCGAGATATATTGCCAATTACCTCAATAGCGATCGGTTTCCCAACAAGGTTGATGGGTGATAAGATTGAATGAAATCGTATCTCAACGCAAATTCTGCGTAATAGTCCAAAGATTTATCACCCACTGTAGATCTCTGAGTCGACAAGTGTGCAGTTAATTTTTAAAGCTAGAATTATCAATGTTGTTTGTGAAAAAACAAGAAGTGTAACAATACAAGCTCTACGGTTCGGGGAGTCAACGGTGTCGAATGCCACACGCACCTCAACTCAATGTGCTCAATGTTGCAGAGAAGTGATAAGCTCTTGATAGCACAAGGCTCACGTGGAAAAAATGGGTCTGATGTCTTTACAACATGAAGAAATGTCATGCGAGAAGGTTATGATCCGGACCAGAAGGTACAGGACTCTGGACGGGGAGGTACTGATCAGACAGTGACTTAAGGAGCTCAAAGGGCCAGTGCTTTTATTGCTCGAACCTACGACTACAGAAAGACTGCCACTGTGTCACACAGGAGTATGCATCTTAGAGCACAGACTACCAGGCCTTCCAATCGACAAACACTGGATCTAGCTTTGATTGCTTCTCTTACTCGGAAAGGTTCTGGTCTGGGTTGAGACAACTGTTGTAGGCGCTGTATAGTGAATGTCTGCGTAGCATGCTCTAAGAGATGAGACCTTCACTGTATCACTTCTCATGATATCTGTCACCTCGAAAATAGGAATAAAAAGCTGCTGACCTGTATCGATTCAGTCGCGAATGCGAATGTAATGAAAGAACGTTTCGTGACCGAGGTTGTTGGTTGCCCGATCCTTCATGCACATGGTCATCACAGCATTGCTTCATCTGAGGAATCCATCACCGTCACTGTTCCTCTTGCTAAGCTGGAACCAGCCGATATGGGCGATCCGGCGACCTTGAGATCCGGCGACCCTCCTTCGAGACTCATGCAACACAGCCTGACCCTGATCACGAGATTATCGGATCTTGAGATTTATTCCAGTGTAGTTATAAATTTATTATAGCCTCCTTCAAAAGGTTAAAACTCTCCAGCGTGCCGGACGGCCGCCATGCGTAACTCAGTGTGACCGTTGGTCCCGGTCAGGTCACGAGGCCCGGCCCGTCGCCTGAGAGCCGGGTGGCCCCGGCGCACGGTTCGATCCGAAAACTTGAAACTCGGCAGTGACTCCGGCCGCGGCGGCGCCGCGGCCGGCCCGGGCGGTCACCGTACCGGATTTTTAACTTAACGTTGAGTAAAGAAGAGGATCGGACGGGGACCGTACAGTCGGTGATCCGATGATCACCCGGCGGGACTGGACTCCCGGTCGACTGAGGGCCCCCCGGTGGCTGCGGATCCGAGACCGGGTGCGGCCCGGCGCGGCCCCCGAGCGGACTCCCGGCGGCTCAGCGGTCCGGAGTCAGGGAGGATCGTCGGACGTCGGACCGGGAGGCGCGGCCCGGGCCGGCAGAGTGACGGAAATAGGACGATGGCAGAATTTGTGGTGCCGGCGAGAATGGAGGTAAGGAGGAGGAGAGAGGAGGCAGAGATGATACAGTAGGTGTCGATGTGTTGACTCCCTTCACCAACCCCTTGCCCTAGCCGCTCCATACTACTTGTTGATTCGTTTGTCTTCTCAGGCAGCATCGCAGAGGAAAGCTGCTGTCGTCATTTCCGGGATCTTTGTTGCCCTGGCTGTTGTCCTCGCATGCTGTCATAGGTATGCCTGCTCGCGGACTCATTCCCGAAGTCTGCTGATACCCAACGTGTCATGAGAGTTCTCTGACAGGGAGCGAGCAGCTGAGCTCTCCTCGGTTCCTCGTGGTTACATGGACCCTCTTGCATACCTCGCCTCTCAATCCCATCAGAGGTTTGTAGGCAGTGAAAGCGAAGCCATCAAGATGATAGCCAACGACCAGAAGTTCCAGATCCCTTGCGCGTTTGGAGTGCGTTGCCACATCCATGTTCCACCTACCTACCAGGAAAGAACGGGCGGCGCCTGGCTGGGAGAAGGGAGGGTGACGGGGCTTGTGCCTGTCCAGACTGACAAGGCTGAGGGTCCCTGGAACAAGGCAGAGGCGTCGGATATTCCACATCCTGCCTACGTCTGGGGGAATGTTGACCGAGCGACAAGCTTCGAACCGGAAGGGGCGGCAACGAATGCCGAGTCGAGGAGACATCGACCTGACGTTAAGGCACAGACCGCGCAGGCATCACACCAGCCTGAGAGGAACGAGAGGGGGTCGACGGGGAGCGTGAAACAAGCTCGCTTGCACAGAGGTTCAGCGAGCAGCAGTGCAGGTGATGGGATCAGGCTTCCTCGACACTGTCTGACGGTGGCGCAGGTCAAGAGGAGAAGGAGGGAGCACGTGCTGGCTCGGGGGGGAGGTTACCCTCAAAGTTTGACGAGGAAGAAGCGAAGATCGAACAATCCAAACAGCGGATCAAGGATAAGATGGCCAAGTTGATGTCTCAGTACGATGCCTCTCTCACAGAGCCTGCCTAAGAGCACCCGAGTCTTCCTCTCCCTCCCGAACGATCCCAGACATGTCGAGCCGACTTGTTCATTAAGTGTAGATTGATTTCTCTCTCAGCTCCTTGCCTTGTCCTTGTTCATAACAGCCCCCGTTTTCGCGAGTTTTCGATCCCATCAACGAAGAATAAAAATATTCGCATCCCCTGCTCTCCTCGTTCTCAATCGTCGTGATGTACATTCCCCGGCTGAGCGTTGAGCTGCGCCTCGAGCTCCTTCAGCTGCTGCTCCAGCGCCTTCTTCCTGTCCAGCAGCGCTTGATCTTGCACCGTCTGCTGGGGCTTCGAGGTTCCCTCAGGAGGAGCGCTACTTTTCTCGGATGCGGTGTACTTTGCCGCCTCTTGGGCCTGTATCGGACCTCCGGTTGTGGCCTGCTGCTCCAGACCTTCTTCCAATTCCACAACCTTTGTCCTAGAATTCCCCAGAGTTACACCAAACTGGATGCAGTCAAAGGAGCAAAGGCTTTCAGTGTTCGTCACGTTCAACGCAGGATGACAGTACAGCAGCGCATCATCCCCTCTTGCACCCTCTTGCTCTCCCACACCCCACGAATACTCACTCGTTCAGACTCGATGCCTGCTTTTGGGAGCAGAGTGAGCAACGAGCAGGCAGCAGCATGCATGCAATATTCACAGGAGGAAAGTGAAGGAGGAGAAAGTGTGTAGAACGGAACGTGGGCGGGGGGAGAGCAAAGAGAGGAGCGAGAGGAGCAGGAACGAGGTCAGAGGAGGTTTGGAGGAGCGGGAGGGAGGGGGGGGGGAGAAGAGGAACAACCTCTGCACGTGGACGGTTGCTTGCAACGTACTTGAGCCGACTATACCAGACACTCCCAGCAAAGCAAACGACGATAGACATCTGAGAGAACCACGGTGAGGGGAAGGAGACGACACGGCGAACTGTTACAATGTTTGGGATGTTGAAAGGGAAGTCTCCGAACAAAGTCATTCCGAGACCGTTGGTGACCAGATCTTTGACCTGACATTCAGAAGCCGGTCAGAGCCAATGGAGGGCGAGCAGATGGTGGCAGGCAGACTCACAGTGCCGGTCACCGAGGTAATGAGCGGAGAGTTCACTCGTGTGCAGAAGAAGATGAGGAAGTTCAGGAAAAACGCTTGCATGGCTGACACCACAAAGAAGATCTGTCGGAAGGAAAGGTCATACCAGGAGACCGCGCATGTCCATCATACCTGGAAGTCGAGGTCGTGAAGGTTGGGGTATTCTGTGACGTGATTGAGTTCTCCGCTAAGGAAGAGGGAAATGAGCATGAAGGGCAGAGCCAGCAGGTTGTTGTAGAACAGAAGCCTGAGGACGCAGCAACTTCAGCCTCCCCACCGCCTCTCACTCGCTGCATCTCTACCCGAAGTCGTTCAGCCCGGACTCCTTCCCCAGCTTGCTAATGAACAGGAGGTACAAGGCCGTTGAGATGGCGCAGGTAAGGACCCAGAAGTATCCGGGCAGGCTGAACGTCAGGTCGGTGAGCCCGGCAATGGCGGCTCCAGCGGACATAACAAAGACGGCGTTGCGCTGGTCGGGAGGAGGTTTGGTCCCGTACAACCTGTACTCCCCGTACATGACGATAACGGTCGTGAATCGCCTGAATGCGCTGCCGTGGAAGCGCATCAGTCGCCCGAGGTCAAGCGCGGGGGCTGAACCTGAACATGGGGACGTTGAGGTATTTGAGAGCTATCACCCCTGAGATCCCGTAGACCCACCAGCCGAGCGCCATGGGCGTTAACTGGGTGCATGTGAGGGAGAGTGAGGGAGGGGGAGGGGGGAAAGAAGGAAGGAAGGAGGAGGGAGAGAGGAAGGGAGGGAGGGAGGGAGGGAGGGAGGGAGGGAGGGAGGGAGCGGGGGAGGGAGGGAGGGAGGGAGGGAGTAGTTGTTCTTGCGCTAACCTTCTTGGCCATACTCCACTCCGGTCCGGGAAACCCGAATTGCTTGGGAGAGATGATTTTCAACAGGGACACAAAGACGAGGGAGAAAACATCTGCCAACAGAGTGCGAGTCACAAGAGCGTGGGATCACGGTGGCGGCCAACGAGGAGAAGAAGGTGGTGGTGGTGGTGGTGGTGGTGGTGGAGGAAAGGAGAAGGAGAGGAGAAGGAGCAAGCAGGGATGGTGGTAGTGAAGGAGGAGGAGGAGGAGGAGGAGGAGGAGGAGGAGGAGGAGGAGGAGGAGGAGGAGGAGGAGGAGATGGTGGTGGTGGTGGAGAAGGTGCTAGTGATGGAGGAAGAGGAGGACTGGGGAGGCAAGTTCCGTTCACCTGGAAGACGAAGAGGGTCATGGGGTACTTGAACTTGTAGAAGCTGAAGACGGCTTTGTTGAAGAGGGTGATGGTGATTGAAACAATGCCTGCCGGGCGTCAGCTGGGAGAGCAACATGGGAAGCGCCTCTACCGTACGCCGTTGCGACGAAGAGACCATAGAAGGGATGGTCGGCTAGGCGTCTTGCCATGGTTTCAAACTGCCAATGGAGCTACCCTGGAAGTGGCCAACGAGGTCAAAGTTGTTGCGCGGGCTCTGACTTGGCGTCCTCAAACTTTCATGCTTGTGCTGTTTCCCTCACTCCTTCCTCTTCTCTGCCTTGCCCTCAAGAGTTTTCTCAACATACTGAGACCCTGAAAGTTCTGAGCTCGGTAGCGACCTCCCTCCTCTACTGGCACATCCCTTCACCATTCCCTTCCTCCCCTGGTAGTGATCAGACACTCCTTCCTCTCGTCAGCGTTCCCTGCTCCTAGCTATTCTCATCTTGGACTTGATCTCGGATAGTGTCTTCTCAGTCGTTCACCAGCTCAATCACTAGTATGCCTCACTGGAGTCCTTGACTCAAATTTTTATGCCTCACTTCACTCCCGCCTACATGCCTTCCTGCTTTCCGCCCTCTCTTTCTCTTATCTCCTCTTGCCTCATGTCCATTCTAGAATTGCCTCTGCTTGTCTCCTCCCCCCCTCCTCTCCTCCTCTCCCTTTCCCTCCCACCTCTCCTCCCACCGCCGCCATCGCGTTCACCTCTTATCGCATGGACGCCCCTCGGCTATAACCCCCACCCCCTTCTTCTCCCTCTAGTACCCCTCACAAGTCCTAACACCACCCCAGCACGATCTCTTACCAAATGCTTTTACTCAACTCAATGTTGCCAGTCGCCGAGTCCGATCGACCCGCCCGGGTCGGACCGTTGACCGTCGGACCCGTACCGGGCCGGCGGGGCCCCGGCACACAACCGGCCCCGGCCCTCTGAGTGTGCCGGGCCCGGCCGGGCGTCATGGCCGTCGAGGCCGTTCCGAGAGAGATGTCAGCCCGGCCCGTACAGAGTGACCGTTGACTAGAGGCGGAGCCTGCAGTGCCAGCGCCCGAGACCCGGCGGACTCCCGGGAGAGCCGGGCCCGGGCCCCCTACTGGACTGGCGGGAGGCTACTGCGGCTATCAAACCTAGTTCACTTGCACTTTCTCATCAGAGTTAAACTTGACGCGAATCAGTCCAGCGCCTTGCGTCGGAAAGCAGGCTTGGACATCCTCTTGCGGAAGAGCGACCTGCCATGGCGATCGGGTCAACCCGGCCCGGAGACGAGCAGGAGACGGCAGGTACCTCTCCTCCAACCTCCAGCCTCGGACCTGATGATGAAAACAGACAAGAGGAAGGTCAGGAGCATCACGCCGATCCTGCCGCGGGAATCGGTCAAGAGACGAGCCAGCGTGATATTGGGAGAAGAGGATTAGGGAGTAGGGGGAGAAAGATGGGAAAGGAAGGGGGAAGGGGAGGCGAGGGAGAAAGCATGTCTTGCATGCCTTGGAACGTATTCCTCGAGAATTCGCGTGTCAAAGAGATTCAGACTTTCATCTGCAAGAGCAAGTCAGAAAAGCGGCGCGAAACGAGGAGGATGTTCGCGAGGAGGATGGAAGAGGGAGGAGGACGGAGGAAGAGGAGGAGGGAGGGGGAGGTGGGGAACCTTGCTTCAGAAGTTCTCGGAGCTCGAAGGAAGCCCTTCCAAACGTCAGCAACAACAACAACATAGGAGGAGGAGGAGGAGGAGGAGGAGGAGGAGGAGGAGGAGGAGGAGGAGGAGGAGGAGGAGGAGAGAGAAGGGAGGGGAGGAGGGAGGAGAAGAGACGGCGGGAAGGCGAGGGAGAGGAGCGGCGGCGGGGGATGGGAGGCAGGGGATCACTTGAGGAGCCTGGAGGATGCCACCATCGTAATGAACATCCAACTCTCCAGGATGGTAGGGAACATGTTGCCCACTGCAAGCAGACTCAGGGAAACGAGCAGCTGCTGCCGCAGCTGCCCAGACTCACCGATGGGGCAGAGGAGAATCAGAATGATGGAGAAGGCGTCGGCTTGGTTCCACATGACAACTGAGATGAATATGAGGAGGAGGAGGAAAGGAGAAGGAGGAGGGGGGAGGAGGGAGAGAGCAGGACCTGGAGTAGTGATGACCGACATCCTGATCAAGAACAGCTGCGATGGCCCAGTCAGCGAGGAGGAGGAGCTCCCAGGAACTCACAAGGAGTTTGTAGTAGAACTTCCAATGAGACTTGTTCTTGTCATCGGCTGCAGGGCAAGAAGGACGAGTCTCAGTGTCTCCTCATTGCTCGACATCTCTCTCACCCCTGAAAGTCCAGACTACGTAGGCCCAGAGGATCTGGAACAAGGCGAACACGAGAAGGACGCACTGCGACAGGCTCAGGCCTCTCCCACCTCCCCTCACTGGCTGAACGAACTCACTTGATCGAAGAGCTTGTCGGGGAAGGGCATGGAAAATTTGTCGAGGAGGACTGGAGGTCTGTGAGGTGAGGAAAGGGGGAGAGGGTGCGGCACCGAGGGTGGTGGAAACAGGTTGGGCGTATCTCAAGGCGCGAATGGTCTGCCGGAATGTCAGATGAGCAAACAAGCATGTTGGTGTTCACATTCACGGACGAGGATGACAAAGAGGGAGCGAGGGAGAGGGAGGGGGGGAGAGGGAGGGAGAGGGAGGGAGAGAGGAAGGAGGAGAGGGGGGGGGGGGGGGGGGGGGGGGGCACGGAAGGATGGACGGAAGGGATGGGTTCATGAAATGGGGACCTGGCAGAGGGAATGGTACTGGAAATTCTCCTGGAAGGCGAGGGCGAACCTGTTGCAACGGGTCAGCTTAGTCAGCATCGTCGCTCTTCTTCACTTGGCGTCTTCTCGGTCCCATCCCTCGATCTGAATGACCATGAGGTGGAGGCGGATGAGCCAGGAGCGGCTGAAACACTGTGAGCGACAAGGGCAGAGGAGGAGGGAGGTGTACAGAAAGACAGGGATCCAGGAGGAAGCGAGGACGGTAGACAGCCACTGGGAAGTTGCATCCATCTTGTGATCTGGCAGGAAGATGAGACAGCAGGCCGCGAGCGGTCAAGGGGGTCGCACCTGAGTTGCTGCGAAGGAGAACTTTCCCGACTGAGAGGGCGGGAGGGAGGAGGAGGGTGAGTAGGGAGGCATCGAGCGAGGACAGCAGCATGCTCACCGACGGATCTTCGTTCCTTCTCCTCCACTTGCGGGTCGTCGGGCAGGCGCAGGAACTTGAGCTGGGGGAGAGCTGGTGAGGGAGGGGAGCGAACGAGGGTTCCGAGCTCATCACCATCTTGAGATGCAGAGTGTTGAGCCTCTTCTTCGGATCGACCTGGTGGCTCCGTCATGGCCGGCAAGGCGACTTGCTCTCCTTACCCGCAGACACGCCTGCAGGAACTCCCTCGCCTCCTCCCCAAGATTGGGGGGCAGCGGAGGATCGGTGGTCACCTGGCAGCAGGTCAGTGCACAGAGGTAAGGGAAGAAGGAGGGAAGGACGGAGGCTGGAGAGGGAGAATGGAAGAAGAATGAAAGAGAAAGAGAAGACCGTGGAGGTATGGGAAGGGGCAAAAAGGAGGAGAAATAGGGAGGAGGAAGAAGATCGAGGAGAAGGAGGGAGGCAAGAGGAAGTAGAACAGACTTGAGGTGACCTGAGAGAGTCGGTAAAGTCGATGAACCTGCATGGCCTGCGGATCTATGTCCGCGTCCTCGAACGGAAGCTCCAACGTCAACATCTCCATCACGCACGCGCTGCATGGCTCACTCAACATCGCTCCTCCTTGTGCCCCCTCCTCCTCTCCCTCCTCTTCCCCATCCCCTCCCTGCTCTCCTCTCCCCTGCCCTCCTTTCCTCTCGTACCCCAAACTCCAGATATCGCTCTGTCTGATCATCCCCGTCTTGCGCATCACCTGCAGCGGTTTCATTCACAACAACAGATGCGGGGTCGACGTCATCAACATCAATGGATTCAACACGCGCTGCTCACAATCAACATGCTCCTCCTCATCATCGATGTATCATCATATGACGCTGAGAGATAGCAAGGCATGCTCTGTCCTCGTCTTCCACCTCCCCTCTACTCCAGCATGCAGCGCATATTCACCTCAGGCGCGAGGTACCCCGGAGTCCCCTGAAGCTCTTGATTCACGTCGTCTCCTACACTCTGGGCCTGCAGTTCTCACACGTCAACCTCCTCCTCCCTCCGCTCAGCTTCTCCTCCTCTCCTCGCTCCACCTGTTTTCCTCTTCCTCATTTACTCCTCTATTCTGCTTCCTTTCATTTCTTGTCACATCCTCCACGCTCAGACCATCTCATACACTCCACCTCAGCGCGCCTGTTTGTTCTCCCAATAAATCCTGATCTGTCATATTCTTTCCATCTCCAACTACATGCTACATTTTCCCCTCCTCTCCTCCTGCCCACTCCTTCAGTCGCTCCCTCAACTTCTCTCTCTCACCGCCCCGAAGTCAGCGAGCTTCAAAATCCCTTCGTGCGACAGGAGGCAGTTGCCGCTCTTGACGTCTCTGCGCTGAGTCACTCAAGGCAAGAGGAGCAAGCACTGCTCAAGCCTGTGAACGATGCCATGGGAGTGCAAGTAAGCCAACCCCTGCGTTGAAGTCAGGAGGGCTAAGGAAGGGAAGGAGAGGAGGGGACAGGACAGGACAGGACAGGACAGGACAGGACAGGACGGGACGAGACAGGATAGGACAGGAAAGCAGTAGAGCAGAGAAGATGAGAAGAAGAGAGGAGGAGGTAAACCTCTGTCACATCCCGTGCGAAGGCACGAGCTAGAGTTTCGTTGAAAGCTCCACAGACCTCCAGGCACCTTGACAAGCTGGGAGAGGAGCGGGAAACCCTCAGAGGCGTGCGCTCCAGGAGAACAGCGCGAGGTACCTCCCGCCATGGCAGAACTCAAGGAAGAGGTAGAGCTGGTCGCCGCGGAAGCAAGCTCCCTTGTACTGCACGATGTTCTTGTGGGAGAACCTCTGGCAGGGAGGTCACGAGCTACTCCGACTGCAACAACCTCCATGCTGCACCTCCAACATCTTGAGCTCGCGCTCTAGCTGAGTCATCCCGCTTGCAAGGTTCTTCCTCTGCGTCTCCCTTCATCTCCCGCACGCCTTGAAATTTCTCGCCCTCACCTTGACGATCGTTGTCTTCACCGCAAGCTCTTCCCCAGTCTTTATGCTCAGCCCCTGGTTGTTCGACGGCTCTCACACACTCGTTCCACCCCACCCCACCCCACCCCACCCCCACCTCTCCTGCTCCCTTCTCCCCCTTTCCCTTCCTTCCCGTCCCCCTCCTTCTCCTACTCTCCTGTCCTCTTTCACATCATCACCTTGTAGACACATCCATACGTCCCGGATCCCAGCTAAGAACCCAGATGGTCAGCAGAGGTCGCGGCGGCCTCCCTCCATACACACCACTACGTCTGTCATGTGCCAATCCTCCCCGTAGACACCATGCTTCATGCTGCCTGCTGTGAGAGGACGATCATCGTTGAAGGTCCACGTGCCGCAAGCCTTCTCACCTCCAGTCGGAGATCCGCTGTTCCCGTACGTGAAGCTTTGAGCTTGCCACTGGGGGAGCAAGACGTCAAAACTCAAGAGAGCCAGTCCCGTCTTTGAAACGCCGCACACCCACCTTTCCTTTCAACACTTCTACATCTCCTGGCGTGTAATATTCATCTTCTTGCTCCATGAAGCTGGCGTGCTGCATGTTGTTCAACCAGCTCGACTCGGCATTCTTCACGACTCCCCCGATGATTCTTCTGGGCTCGTTGAACATTAGCAGCCAGTTCCGTCTCACGGACATGTGGCTGCGGTGGAGCACAAAGAACGATAAAATCGTGAATCCCACGATGGTTACGAGCTCGTACTGCGAGGAAGAGATGAGAGGATGGAAGGCCCGAAACCAGACATGTCAGACATCAGACAAATGACACATACAAGAAAGATTGGTGAATGCATCAAGTCAAGAGCAGCAAGGCAACTCACAATGTCGTCCGCTGACATTGGAACCTTCTCGTGCTTGGAGAAGATCTTCTTCAGGAACATCAACGCATCTGCTTGTTCCTTCAATTGATCACACAACGATGCTGATGAACATCACCTGTTCTCTGCAGCTCCGTCTTGAACATCTGCAAAGACTGTCAGTCACACGCACCAACATGCGTACCACAGCGTCGATCAGACAAACATCCGCACCACTAGGTGAAACATGGCTCGGAGCAGAGGTTTCATCCAGTTCAAGGACAAGATCCATGCATGGTGTTCCAGTTGCGACCTCCATATGATATGACCGCACAACACCTACAACCTCTTCATCCCCTGCTACTAGCTCCCTGGAGCAACGGCACCTGAACGAGGGTGTGGATGTGCAAGTAGCGCCCCGAGGCCCATTCCACTTTCCCGCGAGAAAGCTGTCCAACGGTGAGATCTTTCAAACCGCAGCCAACACGTTTATGTTGCCTGTTCTTGAAGAGCACAGAAGATGAGCACAACGTTCCTCATTCTCAGAAGCCACCGAACACCTCGGAACCTCGTCCTTGTCTGTACAGAGCATATCAGTGCATGTCAATCCCGCTAAGCTCTTTGGCATCTGAGCTCTATCTCACCGGAATGTTGTCGTAAGTGAGAAAGACAAGACTGGCAGCTGACATGACACTCTGAGCCCCGTTAAGATAGACCTGCTCGACATACTGAGTCATGCATATCGAGCACTGTCACGACACCACCTCCATCCGTGAACTCCAGTCGCTCTTACAGTCTTGCGCGAGGTACGTCTGAACGCAGGAGACAGCAAACAGGTACACCATGGAAAAGCAGTCGATGCTCATGATGACAACACCCCACAGACGCACATGGCCTGGCATGAAGGTCAGCCGCAACAAGGGACGCCAATTGCAGTGCAGCACTTTCAGTCTGGGCGTCGTCGTCAAGGTCGTTCCGCAACTGCTGCTCCATCTCTCTATCGTGGAACCCACCAAAGAACATAATCTTATCCAGGTTCAAGAAAGCACTTGAGGTCTCTTTGGATGGCGTTGCCACTTGCCCTTCACCCTTACAAGCTGTCTCCATGTTTCCGTTGGCTTGTCTGCTCACCGGCACTCCCCGCCCATCTCCTGTATCAAACGAGCACAGACATGGAGACAAGACTCTCCTTCACTCTCTGAACTTCATTTCGCGGTTCCTGTGCAGCTCAGTCTCCTCTCGCATGTCCTGCTACAAAAGCAATCAGCTCTTTTACTCCTTCAAAACTTGAGCAGTTGCGAAGAAGGTGAATGCCCTGCTCGAGGAATCATGGAGGAGGTCATGCATCTTCTCCGGCCATGTTTAAAGTGTTCTGCTCATCAACTCATGGTACTGATGTCTCCCTACCTTATAATTGCTGCTATCCGTGATGCACGAAACGGGGGCCTGCGCAGGTTCTAACATACGTATGGCCTTCCTTCAACACATTTGCCCTCACTTCCATCTCAACTTGTTTTCCATCCTTCTCATACTGATACTCACTTTATCTTCCTCGGCCGAATCCTTCCTGCATTGTTGCGGCTTCGGGACACCCTTCCTCCAATCCTACTAGGCTACGCGCCCTGCATTTCGCAGTGCCTGCCTGGTAAAATCAATTTTTCCGGGTAGTAGTAATCGAAAAGTTCCAGCGATTACTCAAAAGTTCCATTACATTTTCTAATTTGTTGTATAAATATTGAATTTTCAGAAAAGAATTATTGAGAACAAATTTAAAATTAGAAAGTAGTATCGTAAAAGTTCTATCTCATGTGACCACGAGCACAGGGTGGAGGCTCGGGGTGGGGTTCCGCTGTGGTCTCACGAGAAGGTGGGGGTAGAATGACTGAAACACGGGCAGTCTACGGGTGGGGTAGAGCCTGAGGAATGTTGTGCAGTAGGGGTAAGGGTAGAAGGTTTATCTCTATCGCTAGTCTACGAGAGCTCAAGGTGTCGAGCATGGTTGACAAGGGGTTGGAGGTGGGGTGGGGTTACGTACCAATAAGTATTATTCTTATTTTCAGCAGATCTGATACGTTTTGATATCACAGCGTTTGGACCTTCACCTCATCTAACTTTTGACCTCTTGTGTAAAAGATCCTTTTTTAAAGCTTTTACTACTGAAGTGCCATTTGTAGATGCAGCAGCCCGGCCGCAGTGCTAGCGGTGGCCCGGGCCGGGCGGCCACAGGGGCGGCCATACTTGAAGGAGCCTCCGAGGCCGGATGTCACAACTCGGTGGGTAAATACTCCTTTACTCAAAGGTAAATACTCAGTCACGCCGTCGGTCAAGGCTTCAAGTACCGTAGTAGCGTACGGGCCGGATGGCGCCGGTGTCACCCGGGCGCCGGTGCGGCGGGTAAGTTGCCGCCGAGTCGGACTTAACTTCACAGAGTCAACTTAGTCCGGAGTCCGTCGGATCCGATGATAAGGCCGCGCCGGGCAGCCCGGGCCGGGCCGCCGGGCCGGCCTGGGGTGGCCGGTCCGACCGTCCGTCGTTTCAGTCGTGACTTGGGCACAGGCTAATTTGTGTAACGGCGCAGGCATGGCACGGGTGGCGATGGTGGCGTTCGCGGCTCTATTGCTGCCTCACGAGGTTGAGGTCTTGAGCATCCGCCCTCCTCCTGCTGGTCCGGTTGGTCTCCGTCATACCTCGAATCCTCTACGTCTCCTCACCCCGCGCCCCTTCCACCAAAAGCCGAGGCATCCGACGAGGGCAGGGGATGATGTACGTGTTCGGATGGTCGGTGCCGAGTCTCTGTTCGTGGCCAACAACCTGGCTGCTGTTCCTCTCTGGTCGCTGATGATCTTGTTCCCCAAGAGCAGGAAAGCTCAGTCTGTGATGAGCTCCATGGCGATCTTCCTGCCTTTCATCGCATTGTATGTGTTTAACCTCATCACGTCCTTCACCAAGCCGGAGATTTCAGTAGCGGCCTCCAGTTTTTCATCCTTGTCTGGGCTTGCAGCTCTGTTCTCACATCAAGCTGTTGTTTCTTCCAGCTGGTCTCATCACATCTGCTTCGACCTCTTCGTCGGACGCTGGATCTTCTTCGATGCGCTGAGGAACCGAGTGCCTGCCACCTTGAGCCTGATAGCGACGATGCTCTTCGGGCCTATTGGACTACTCCTTCACCTCATCACGCGCATCTTGCTGTCCAAGGAGGGCCCCAAGGATGCCCTGACGGATGGAGTCACCGACAGCCTGTCCGATGAGAACCTTCTTAGGATGGTGGACGACAACTGACGGAGAGGAGGAGCCGCCACACACCGACATCAACTGCAAGAGCGCAAGAATACGGAATGCGGGGATGTAGAATGATAGAACAGTTCATTTTGAATGTTAATATCCCTTGAAGACTACAACCAACTATCAACATGTCTAAACATATATATTCAACATTTGTCATCTCCCTTGATGACCATGTGGCGGCTGAGGGCAGGAGGCCACCTTGTCATGAGAGAGCTTCGACCATCCCAGACGAGATTTCTTCCATGACTTCAGCATAGTTCTGTCCGATCCTCGGCGTCCAGTGGATCTCAGAGAGGTGCAGCTCACAGCTTTTCTCGCCTGCATGGTGAGCCGCCACTATCTCGTCACGTTGGGCCCCAGCAAGAAGCAGAGCCATCGCCTCTTCCACGTACGGTTGTGCCTGTGAGGATCAAGACAAGAATCACCTGACAGGCATGCGCTATCTCATTGACGTTACCTCTGACCAGAAGTTTCCGATGAGCCGCTTGTCTCTCCATACAAATCTGGTGAGTTTCTCCGATCCCAGGAGCGGCCAGCGAACGAGAGAGAGCAACGAGTGTCCCCTCCTTGCCACTCCATTGTTGGCAAAGAAACCCTCTACAACCTCTGCATGTGAGATGTCCTCAGCATCGCCTGAGCACATCCATCGTAGAAGATGTTGATACAAGTCCCACTCCGAGTTCACGTTGAGCTGATCCTGTTTTAGCAGCTCCTCTAGCCTCTGCGATCCATATTAGAGTGCGAGAGAGAGGAAAGCAAAGGGAAGGGAGGATGGAGGGGGAAGGGCAGGGGGGCCAAGCGAGAGGGGAAAGGGGGACAGAGAGCGAGATAACAAGGATAGAAAAGAGACATGTGCATCAAGATGTAAAAATGTGCTTGACTTCGCCACTTCTTCGAAATTGGAAAGTGCGAATCTCCATGCGACATGGAAAGGCTCCGTCCACTGGCAGGCAGAAATAAGACTCTCTAAGAATGCAAAGCCATCAAGATGGCATACCGCTGGAGGACTCCTCTGCATTATCGGTACACAAGTCTCTGCATTCACAGACCGAGAGATTTTGTCCTTCACTGTGTTGATAAGCTCATCAATTTCCAGTTCCTTCACAGCATTTGCGAATAGAAGTAGAACTTCTAAATTTGGTAACGTAGTCTGACCATAGTAATGGTATTCAAGTATGTAATACATAGCTTTTGGGTGAATCTGTCAACAAGCTCAGGCAAAAGCAGCTAAACCACAACACCCGACGTACCTGTGGGAAGTTCAGGACAATGGGCCCACAGACCTCAATACTGGCATCTACTCCCAGATCGACATTACTGATGGATAGAGATTGTTCGTCGTTCTCAGCATGCCTGTTTCTGTCTGTGTGATCACCTGTATTGGTTCCAGGATCGGCCACTCTTGAAACATTCTGAGGGCGCGGAGGCGAGAGTCCCAAGTGAAGATCGTCGACATGATAAGACCCTTGGTGACTTAGAACGGGCGACGAGGCATCACAAGCGCCGGTGTCCATGCTATCTCCAGTACCATACCTTGCTTCAAATGCTTGAGCTATCCATGCCATGTCATGGAAACCTTCGTTAGTCGATGTCTGGTGATGATCATTTTGCTTCCTTTCACTGGCACTCTTTCTCGCATCTGAGAGTGGCTTGTCGTTGCGCTTGTTGCTATCCTGATTGCCACCCAAATGATTGAAACCGTCTAAAAGCTTTTCACTCCCAATATTCTTCCCTCGTTGGCATCGAGCGATGTGCTTAGAAAAAATATGTTTTTCCTGGAAAACCTGCTTGCATGACTTGCAGATCATCTTTCTGGAAGACAAAAGATCTTGTCGTTCAACAATCTTTCGATACACAATCGTCTGGTCTAGTTTTGTCAAAGAATAGGTCTTGTTCTGGGGATCAGTTTCTTGACTGAGCACTATATGGTTCACGAGATCTGTGAAGGGAAAAGTTTTCCTCTCATCACTCAGTCGGAAATATACTTTTTCCTGTGCTGAATTACTTGGACCAGGAACGCTCATGCCATCTACCACATAAAATTGATGACCAGAGATGTAAAACTCAGCAGTCTTGCTTCCCGGGACGTCAGGCATTTGGGGAGAGCAGAAAGGTCTACACATTCCAATCTGTTCTTCATCTGCAGCTGTACGATCTGAAATCGGAACTCCGTTTTTTGCTAGAATACGATCAACCCGAAGAAATACAGGCTCCATGTCGTCTTCAGGCACAATGATCACATCGTCGTCAACTGCAACCCTGGTGGAAGATGATGCGCATTCCGCATGCAAACGGCAAGCATTCACAATTTCTTGCTCTTCGTTTTCTATTTCGCAGTATTCAAAGTTTGCAGAGCCTGGCAGCGTCAGCAACCCGTTATGAAAAGTTTTCACTTCGTATATGAGATCTCCCACATTCCATATCTCTCCGTTACCCATGTCAGGTTGCTCCCCCTCGGAGCTGCATCGGAGAACTCTTCGCAAACGAGGGCTTCTGAAGTATCTCTTTGGGTTTTCGCCTAGCAATTGGTTCGCTAGAGAAGTGTTGATTCCGGTGATGCCGGCTCTATCCAAATCATGCTGAGGAAACCATTCGTAAAATTCAAGGTAGCCCATATTGCTCATGTTGGTTGCTAATTCCATTAATGAATATTTGATGTTGGTGTTTCGATCATCAAAAGCGATAGTATGCTGATTTTCTCTGATACGAATTGCCATACAGTTTATTCCAGGCCCATACGGCATTCCAAACGAATACATTTGATAATCACTCCCATCCAAAATATCGGCAGAATTGGCAGCATGAAAGTCAGAACCCTGTGCATGTTTCCCATTTCGAGATTCATCCTTTCTTTGAACGTTGCCCCGTTGTTCATCTTTGCCAAAATGATTGCTCGCACCATTATGAGCCTTTCCGTCGTCAAATTTGTCCGACTGGAGTTTGCCAGCGGAGTTAGAATCCAGTTGCATGCTCAGCGTAGAACCAGCATCCGTACTTCTGTCTGAATGAGAAAAGTCTGCACCCATGCCATTCTGCTTATGGTTGCGCTTTCTGCGTAATCCTTGGCTGTCTGAAGTTAGTCTGTCAGTTCTCTCCTGTCGTTCTTCATCATGTTCTCGTTTTTGTGCACGCATGGCTGCCATTGCGTCTTCTCTGTCTCTGCGCCTTCTTTCATGTTCTTCTGTCATAATCCGTTTCAGCTTTTCACTTATCATCGACACTACAATCTTGTGAGCTCCTATCAGCTTCGTTTCGGGGTTATCAGAGCAGGCGCCGCCAACTTGGAGATATAAATCTATGAATTCTTCCCTCTGCGACAAAGTTGTCACCAGAACGAATCATTCAAGAGGAAAACGAAGATAAATTGTAGCGAGGGTAGGTTAGTAAAAGAGGGGAATGAATGCTCACCTTCCAGAGTCTGGCAAGCCCTTCGATTATACTTGAGTTGGAAGATCTTTGGGCTTCTAAGCATATCACCGAGTCCTGACCTGCTGTGAAGCACGGTAATGTCATTGCTCTGTTTCCATATCCTCCACGTAAGCATTGGTGAAGCAAGACCAGAAGTAAATTCAAAACAAGCACAACAAAACAAACAGATAAACAACTCTCTTTCCTTCAAAAGTCAGCGAGGGCGCAATGCAAATATTTTCACCGGAGACCACCACACACCAGCACAAGGGCAACAATCAAGAAGAGCCTTGCAAGGAATAAGACACATTCAGATGCAAGACAGTTTGCTACTGAAAATCATGTCTCTTCGCAAGGGTTCAGCATCGCCAGGTCACCATGCTTCCTCACCGGCCTCTTCAGCTTCCATGATTTCTTCGCGCACTTTCCCGCCGATACCAAGTTTTCCGCTGGACGGTACCATGTAGCTACAATTGTTCAAATTTTTGTCATATTTTGAATGTTGATTGTGGTATACTTTCGAAGTTGAATAAATAAAATTGGGGAAATATTTGAATTGTTACCCAAACTTGCCTACCTTTTTCAATGTAACCATTCCTATGGTTTCAAGATCTATGAGCTCCTACCAGCCCTGTAACTGTCATAATAACGGAAAAACCGAATGACCGCCCGTAACGATTAGTAACTAAAGTAACCGGCGGCGGGTCCGGGGCCGGGCGGCCGCCGCGGCCCGGCCGTCCGGCCCGCCGCGCACCGTTCAGGCCCTCAGGCCAGTCACCGCCGCCTGGGGCCCGGCGGGTCCAGCGCCGACTCAGCTTGCGGCAGTGATTACCAAGTTATGCCGACATCCCCGCCGCCGGGCGGCACCGGGCCACCGCCGCGGAGCCGGCGGCAGTTGATAGCTAGTACACAGCAGCCACGGCGGCGGGCGGTCCGAGCCACCCATTCCGACCGTCCGACCGTCACTGGCCCCGGGCTGCACCGCGGGCCGGCCGGGCACTGACCGGCGTCAGTGCCGCAGTCACGCGGCCGAGCATGCGGAAGTCTTTCATTTTATTAGTGCTCACAAGTCGTTTACTCAACCACCCGGTTCATTTCGAGCTGCGCACTGCCCTCCAACTTTAAAGTGGCGGGAATCGGAAGCGATGGCGAGCATAGAAGGAACGCAAGGTGCCTGGTAGGGGAAGAAGAGACACGGCAGCATGCTTCAAGGACAAGTTGAAAGAGCCTTGAAGTGAGACCTAGATGCTTCTTGCTCTCTGTGCAGTGTTTCCTCCCTCCCGGAGTCAAATCCCCACTGAAACATTGTTTGCCCCCTCTCTGCACCTGGCGAGTCGGATTTGGTGGATGTGACACTTTCTCAGGCATGAGTTTGTTCCTCGATCAGGAGGACCTCCAGAATTTCGATATTGTCAAGGTGTGAACGATTGCCACTGTTCGAAACACCTTGCTGTGTTCAAGGTGATTTTTGCCTTGAAACAGGTGAATGGGTCAAGTCGGTGGAGAACTGCGTCATCGATGATCTTCCTTTTGCAGAAGGAGCTCTTCGGTAGGAGCCATCTCTTGTGAAATAATAACGGATTGAGGTTTTCGGGCAGTGAATGCTATAGAATGCAGATCGTGAGTAAGGATGGTACAAGGAGGAACGTGGTAGCCAAGGTGAATCCACAAAACTCTCGCAGCATTTCAGGAATGAATGATTTCTTTATCCCAGATCTCTAAGGACCCAGATGAAGACAAGAATACTTACTACAGAGATGTTCAGGTTCTTGTGATGAGCGCTTATTCGTGCCACTTGCGGTTCACATCTGCCTCATGATAGGCACAAATGTGTGCCAAAATGTGGGCAATTGAGTTCAATGCATGCGATGTGCCAAAAAGTATAGGTATGTGCAACAGCAAGTGCAATCGATTTTGAGCTCATTGAACTTCGGTGTTCCAAGACTTCGTCAAAGCCTACGTGTTTGAATTGGTTGATCGACCTGGTCGGCCGCTGATTGGGGTGGAAGAGTTTGTTGAAGTAAGAGTTGAATCTTGAGGCTCTGCTCCGAAAAATTCCTCATGTGCATGCAGGGAGTATTTCAAAAGCATAACAACAACGTGGGTGGAACAGTTGGCGACTGTGACAGAGCAACACCCAATGCTTTCAGGTTGATGCCATTTTTTAAGATTCCCTGCTTCATTGCGTTTCGCAGCCACTTTACGTGGGAAGCAAGCAACCATTCGCTTCTTGTCTGCGATATTCAGGCACAATTGCCTAAACATGTTGTACGATAGATCGCTGATAGCTTGACCAGGGAGTGGAAGATTTGTACACAGACCCTCAGGTTTCCAGCCACCCCCTCAAAAACCATCTCGGTATATGCTCTGAATGACAACGGTGATCAACAGATTCACACGCAATCTGGGAAGGGATTTGGAAGAGGAAATCTTGGACAAGCGGGTGATATCTGTTTATCTCATCTTCATTTTGATTCCTTGACATGGCAGGGCTAAACGCTTTTTTGACTCGACATCGTTGCACCACAGTTTGTATGCATTTGGGCCTCCCAGCTGTTGGTGTGTAAACAATGCCCTAAAGTGAAGGCAAGTTGATTTTATCTTCAGGGTACAAAGCAGACGAACTGGAGCGCAAAGGAACACCATGTGGAAAGCGATTGGGTGCTATGTCAATGGATGTTGCTGGTCCATGCTCACAAGGAATGCCAGGCCAATCACAGGCCTCACCAGAGTCAGACAAGTCTGAGAATAGTATGTTTTGTTCTTACATGTACAGGGCGTTGACTCAAACTTGTGGGACAACAGAGTCACCTCCGGCTAACCCGATGCCACAACCTGATTCGTAAGAATTTTCATGCAGTGCTGACTCAAAATATTGACGTTGTGACAGGGAAAGCTTTGTTCCGACTCTGGAAGCGGCTCCCTCTAGACGTCAAAACTCACGAGGTGGGCATCTCTTCAATGTCTCTGAATTGCATTTAACTTGAGGAATATGCAGGGCGGAAGTTGAACTTGACAGAGTTCGATTTGAATCCACCCAACCCTCAACTGAGCACGAATGAAGAGCAAGATGGGCCTCTTGTTTCGCAGTTGGATCACCATGATGAAGGTCTGATGGATCAAATACTTGATGAGATTGAGAACTTGTAATTGAATAAAGACTAAGCATGTGAAGAGAACCTACTTTCATTCAAACACCATGTCCTCAAAGGTTTTCTGTGGAACTACACACAACATACTGCTTAGTGGCGGTTGTAGAAGTAGTCCCACTGGTGGCGGGCGCGGCGCCAGTCATCGTAGGAGGCGGCGTCGTTGGCGCGGTAGTAGGTGTCCTCGGACTCCTGGTAGAGAGCACGAGCCTGGGTGTTCTGGACAAACGCCTGAGTGTAGAGGTTTGCTGCCTTCTTGCCGTAGAGAATGGTGCGCATCTGATCACAAATGGTCAGATGCATAAACCAGCTACACAAGTGTTGAAGGCAACACATTTCGAATAAGCAGTATGTCACAGCTACCATGGATCATAACACTTTCTTGTAACTTCACCACATGTTCATAAGATACGGAAAGGAATTCTTCCACACCCTATGATGAATCATACATATATTGACCAAGAGAATTGAAACAACGTACACCGCTTCTACGAACTTCGCGAACTCAATTCAGCTGTCCAGATTTTACACATTTAAGAATGGACTTATCCATCAGGCTATCCAAGGTTAACCGAGGTGATCCTCTGTTGCTCCTTGATAAGGCAACATAACCATTCTCAATTCGTTCCTAACGTGAGCACCGCATCCTATGCTGCATCTCCCCCAGATATCCTACACATCTACCTCAACCAGCCACCTTCTTAGTCTCACTTCATTCTTCTCTCCCTTCACTGAGAAAAAATTGCCTCTATCCTCCCAAGGTCATCCATGGATCCCAATCTCTTTACTTCCTCGCTCCTGCTGCCCTGCGATCCATGCTTGCCGCTGGAACTGCTGCCTCTTCGTGAACAGCCGCCTAGATGTTATTACGACGTTACTTCTCCGTTGCGTATTGACCGTTATATCCGTTACATATCGTTTTTTGGGCTCGTTCTTTTGACTGGAAGGAGTTGGAGCGCTGGAGCAAACCGAGTGAGGAATGGAGGGTGGTGGGTACTAGAAGTGGGGATAACCCTGCGGAAAAAGGGGGTCATTTCAGTATCTACTGGGGGTAGTGAGATGAGTGGGAATGGGAAATTGTCCCTGAGGGGGTGGGGCAACGAAGGGCTAAAAACACATGTGATCAATGACCAGAGTAGGGGGTGGGTGGATTTATTACTAGGCTTGGGGGGGTCTTTTAAAAAGAAATAATCAAATGTTGTCAAAAGACATCTTTTGGAGTTTACAAGAATGTTTTGCTGACGAGAGGAGTAAAGTAACGACGAGGTACATCTGGGGGGAGGGCAAAGCAGGACGAGGAAGACGAGTAGGAGGATGAGGACGAGGAGGTGAGGAGGACGAGTATTGCGAGGAAGGAAGAGAAATGGCGAATGCTGAGGACACGGAAAAGCATAAGGGCAAGAAGGAGGGGAAGTGGATGAGAACCATGAGAAGGACGCAGAGCTTTAGGAGCTTGAAGAGGTCGAGGAGGACGAGGATGACGTGGAGAAGAAGAAAGAAAGAGATGAAAGATCAGGGTATAGTGCGATGTGTCCTTAATGAATATGGAGAACATCAGCAATCAGCGAGAGAGAAAGGGGCTAAGAAGGAAATTGACTGATTGATATTTGGTAGCTCAGTTCTGTTTATTCGACCTAACACCGATGTCAGGGCGTCGAGAAGAACTAAAAGTGAATCTTGCAATAGAATGCTTCTTCATCAAAGACACAGCTCAGCCACGCAACTCAAGTGTTTCCTTCTTGTCATTATCGCCTTTCCATGCTGCGCCCAGACTGTCATCGAGCAGAGCTGTGCCACGTTCACTTTGGATTCCAACGGAACTCTCTCGAGGAAAGGAAACCTTACGGGGCAGTGCACTATGATCAGTCTGTCGGAGCACAACATCGTATCTGTTGATAGATTAGCGTTCTCTGGGATGACGTCGCTGCTTACCCTGTACCTCAACTACAACTCGATCACGTCACTTCCTGCCGGCTTGTTCGATGACCTCACCAGCCTGCAAGCCCTCTACCTCGACAGCAACCAGATATCGGCCCTTCCTGACGGGATCTTCGATTCGCTCAAGCAGCTGACTGTCTTGAGCCTCCAGTACAATCAGTTGACGAGCGTGTCAGCAAGGACTTTCAAGTCCTTGTCCTCCCTCATTCAGATCTACATCAACAACAACAAGTTTTCCTGCATTGACGGCCTTGCATTCGAGAACAGCTTGAAACTCAACCTTGTTTCCCTCAACGGCAACCCCATGAACTGCGTGCCTGCAGTGTCGCTGAATGTCTTACAGTTCAACTCGGCCCAGCAGTATCCCACCTGCCCGTCCTGCTTGTCGTGCAGAGAAGGAACCTACTTCAAGAATGCTACTGCAGCTTCAACGACGCTCTACGGCTGCCCTGCATGTCCCAGTGGGATGTTCTCCAACATCGCCGGTAACGTGACCTCATCATGCCCCTCGTGCCCGCCTTTCTCCACTTCCCCCAACGGCAGCATGTCGCTGGACAAGTGCCAGTGCAACATCGGGTATGGTGGCGTCTCGCCGCTCTCTTGCTCCGCCTGCTCCGAGGGGACGTACAAGCCAACGGTCGGCAACTCGCTCTGTATCCCGCAGGTCAAGATCATCCGGCTGCAGTGCTGCTCCTTCAGCCTCGACGAGCTGGGAACTCTCAGGCAGTACGGAGAGTGCGCATCTTGCACCTACCTGGACTTGTCCAGACAGGGGATCAAGAACCTGGATGCTAACGTGTTCAAGGGCTTCAACGTCGAGAGGCTTGACCTCACAGGCAACGAGCTGGCGGCAGTTCCCTACAGTGCCCTGTCAAGCATGGAGTACGTGCAGACACTGGTTCTAGACAAGAACCGCATCACTCGGCTCAGCTACGACGGGATGTCCTTCCCTTCCTGGATCTACACGCTCACACTCGATGGGAATGGGATGGTGGAGATCGACCCACGAGTCTTCTCCTCTATGACGAGCCTCCAGTACCTCAGCCTCTACAACAACAGCCTGCCTTCGCTCCCTGACGGCCTGTTCGCCGGTACCAAGCAGCTCCTCACGTTCCGGGCGTCCAGCAACAGGATAGCCTCCTTGCAGAAGGGATTGTTCGACACCGCCAGCTCCTTGCAAATCGTCGAGCTCATGGACAACAAGATCGCATCCTTCGGCGAGGGGTGCTTCGACAAGCTCTACAACGTGCTCATGATGTCCCTGCAGCACAACTCCATCTCCATGGTCCCCCCGGCTCTCTTCAAGAACATGACCAACCTCAAGTACCTCTACCTCGACCAGAACAGTCTCACCTGCATGGACGGATCCACCCTAAAAGACCTCAAGATGCACTACGTCTCCATGACCAGCAACCCCCTCCAGTGCGAGCCCCCTCTCAAGGAGGGGGAAGTATTGACTGGGAGCCTTCAGGACCGGCGGTCCCTCCTCCCAAAGTGCCCATCCTGCGTCTCCTGCGGTGAGGGCTCTTACTCGGACACTGAGGGTATCCTAAGGAACCTGACGAGCAAGAAGATGGAGGTAGAACAGTTCGTATGCTCCTCCTGCCCTGCTGGCTCCGTCTCTGACGCCTTCGTTAACGTCACTGACTCTCTCTGCACTCGATGCCCTGCCTTCTCCAGCTCTCCAGCTCTCAGCAGCTCCATCGCGATGTGCGAGTGCATGGATGGCTACACCAAATCCTCACTGGAGGACAAGATGCAGTGTCTGTCCGAACAGGTTGTTCTCAAGGATATCAAGCAGAGCATGCAGACAGCCAGCAAGGTTGTCACTGCTGCGGTCGCCGTCATCGTGGCCACGGCAGTTGCCAACAGTGTTGGGGCGAGTGTAGGAGGCGCCGTCTCCTCCTCCATGGCCTCCTCCGGCTCCGCAGGCACCGGCGGGGGAGGAGCGTCGGGCGCGGCAGTCATGAGCCTCATCTTCCAGACTCAGTTCGTCGCGCTGGCCGGTGGGATCGGAGGAAGGGATCAGTCGGATGGGGTGAAGGCGCTTTCAGACGGCTTGTCCTGGTCCAACTTCAAGCTCTTCGCCTTCTACTCGCACAACTCCTCCCTCCCAGCCCGACGAGGTGCTGCCGACTGCCTGGTAGCACACAACTCGCCCTACGAATTCTTCTCCACAGTCCTCATGTGTTTCCTGGTCTCCTTGGTCGTCGTGGCTGTCCGGTCGCTCGTCGTGGAGGCGATCAAGTACAAGAAGAGGCTGGACGGGAAGGACATGAAAGAAACTCCCATCCCCTTCCCTAAGTGGGAGCTCACTGTCTTCGTCGCCCAGTTCCAGGGTCTCTCACTCGCTGCCTCCAGCGCCATGGCGAGCAGGTGCGCCGAGTATCAGATAGCAGGCAGCTTCCTCTTCCTCTTCCTCCTCGGCGCCTTTGCCTTCTTTGTGTTCATCTCGTTCGAGGGAGTGAAGAAGCAGACGGTAGCATGGAAGGACGTCTCCTTCCGCGAGAACCTCCAGACCTTCCTCGTCACCTTGAGGAACCCGGAGGGCAAGGGCGTGCTGGGCAAGGGTCAGAGCTTCACGAGCTCCCTGAACCAGCTGAGGATGCGAGGGTCGTGGAAGGTGGCGGAAGTGAGGGAGGAGAGGAGCATACTGCACGAGAGGTTCATGGACAGGTACGGGGTCCTCATAGAGGGCAACCATGGCCGAGCCTGGTGGTTCGGCTTGTTCGGCATCGGGACCAAGCTGATCATCGGCCTCATCATTGGCTTCGCCTCCAACGGGCATCTCAACTCAGCCCTGTGTATCACCGTCTACACCATCGAGCTGTTGATCATCCTCCTGCTCCATCCTCAAGACGACTGGTTCGAGTTCATCAAGCAGCTCGAGGTTCCGCTCCTGAACTCCTCCGTCCCTCCCTCTCAAGTCCCTCCCTCCCTCCCTCTCTCTCGTTCTCCCTCCCTCCCTCACTCACTCACTCACTCACTCACTCACTCACTCACTCACTCACTCACTCACTCACTCACTCACTCACTCACTCACTCACTCACTCACTCACTCACTCACTCACTCACTCACTCACTCACTCACTCACTCACTCCATCAATCCATCCCCTCCCTCTCTTCCCTCCCTCTCTCCTCGCCCTCTCTCCTTCTCTCCCTCTCTCTTTGCTTCATCTCCCCTATTGCTCTCTCCCTGTCACTGACGCGCGTGTCCCTGAAGGCGAGCATGGCAAGATTGGGAATCGCAGCCGTGATCTGCTCCTACACACAAGGACTTCTATCTCAACCTTCCCTTGACAAGTCGTTCCTCGCCCTCTCGCTCCTCTCTCTCGTCCCGATGCTCATCTCCAGTCTCGTCGGGCAAGTGGCCTCTGCCATGAAACTTATCACAGTGAGTCTAAAGTCGATCCTGTCCCTCGACTGAGGCGACATCTCTTGCAGGGCTTGTTGAGCAAGCTATCACAAGAACAGGCGGTCACAGATCAGGTGCAGGACCTTCAGGTGGAGGACGACGAGGAGGAGGACAAGAAGAAGAATGACAAGGAGGGAAAGACGAAGAAGGAAGGCGGCGAGAACGAGAAGGAAGCCAAGAAAGGAATCTCCTGGTTCTCAAGCAGGAGAAAAGTCGGTGTGGAAGAAAACTCGTCAGAAAACCTCCGAGAGGTTCGTGTTGATGTCTACCGTCTGCTGGCCCTGATGTCCTCTTGCTCAGAGACGGCCGAGCTCCAGCGTGGTTGTAGTAGAGGTGCTCTGCAATGATGAACGAAGGAGGAGCTCGATCCATCAGGTAGGGAGGAGAGGAGAGGAGGAGCAGAGAGAAGAGGGGCAGAGGACTAGTGCTTTGAGATGGATAGGAAGAGGACTGGAACAACGAGGTGACGAAAAAACGGGAAAGAGGCAAGCTAGAACAAGAGGATGAAAGGGCTGACAAGGAGGAAGGGAGAGAAGAAAGGACACAGAAAGGAAAGATGTGTGAAGGAACGAGCATCAGACGAGAGGGTTTGACGATTCTCGTAGATCACCCTTGTCAACGCTGTACATGATGAGACCCCGTGAACGCCCTCTCCTCACGGACAAAGTCATCGCAGCTGCTCGCCAGTGCGACGTCTGTTCCTATACGTGTTTCATTTCTTTACAACCTCTGTTCCTATACGTGTTTCATATCTTTATAACCTCTGTTATTCTATGTGTTTCATATCTTTACAATCTCCCTAGTTTGCCCGTGACGTCTGTCGGCCGTTACTCATACCGCATCCACTTGGTCTCTCACGCAGCCGCTGTCTCTCTCGTCGCGCTCCTCTCAGTCGACCTCCTCCCTCGTCCCTTCAGCCGTCGCTCGTCACGTCCAGCTTGCTCCTCCCCGTCCTCTGCCTCGCGGCTGATCGCTCGGCGATCAGCGATGGGAGGGGGTCGAGCCGGCGCTTCTGCGTCTGCTCATGGCAGCGAGCGGTCAGGGTCTCCTCGCGCGCGCAGCCTCTCGACCTCTCGGGGCAGCGGCTGCATCGGCATCGGTACCGAGGCTCTCTCGAAGACGATCCGGTAGGCGGGATACGCGCTGGCGCTGTGCTGGAGGAGGCGTGAGGGGGTGGAGGGGCTGCCGGGAGGGGGGAGGGAGGGGAGGTACCGGGATGACGAAGATGGAGGGGTCGTGGAGGGTATCGACCATGCTGTGAAAGTGCTGCCCGGGGCTGCCTGCTCGCGTGACACGTGAGAAAGAAGCCAAGACGGGTACAGGAGGTGCACAACCAGGAGGAGGAGGAGGCAGGGGCAGGGGTAGAGGAAGGGGCAGGGGTACAAGGCAGGAATACGGGCAGGGGCCTGGCGCAAGGCTGCCGTACCGGTCGGGTCGACCGGGGGCACAGCACACCAGGAGTGTCCTTGCGCGTATCGTCCCAGCACAACCTGCCACCAGCCGCATCGCTCAGCCCCCCGTCCGCGAGACGTCAGAGGGCTTGACGCACGCGCGCTAGCAGCATGGAGCAGGGCTGATTGGCTCTCGTGTAGCCGCAGTAGGACAGCGAGTACCTGCGATGGCACGAGCCTCTCACTCCCTCGGTGTTCGCGTCTCGGACTCAGTCGCCTCCTCTTGCTCACCTCGCGTCTCTCGCAAAGTAGGAGCCTGCCCCGTACACCCTCCCGTTGCTTGAGCCTGCTCGCGGGGCGTGAGAGGACGTATGGCTGCTCGCTGCCGGTGTGCCTGAGAGGGTGACCATGAAGCCCTCGCTCATGATGGCGGACTCAGCGTCCTTGTTCTCCCTGCAGCCCCTCGGGCGTCACGCAGCTCGTCTTGTCGGCCCCTCCTCGCCCTCACCTGGTCCCGTCTCGAGGCTGTACCCCGTGAAAGCCCCAGCGCTCCATGGAGGCGGCACTCCACGCCAGCCCTCGTCTCTCCACGTCGCTGCGCATGCGATCTCTCTGATGCGCCTGGTCAGAGCCGTCGCCGACAGCTCGCGGGCCCACCTGCGCTTGGTAGAGGCGGCGGAGACCGGAGTTGCGCACGCGGCTGATGCTGGCGATCCTGAATCTGCGACACGTCGTCGCTGTCAGTCGCTGGTCCGCCCTCGGCGGGCCCTGAGGCCGGGCGTACAGGTACTGGGAGACAGTGGCGTGGAAGAGGTCGGACACCATCTGGTATTCCTCGCTCTCCCCCGCGAGCTCCTCCGTCAGCTGCTCCTCGTCGCTGAGCTGCGTCAGCTGCGGAGAGACGAGACGGGAGCCTACCTGTCCGACTTCCACAGCCTTCGCGGGTCCCCACAAGCACCCAAGCCCAGCAGAGTCACTCGCGTGCCTTACAGGCCTCTCGCACTCTCGCGGCGTCTCTTCCTCCTCGCTCACCAGGGATGTCCGGTCACCGGCGTCTCGCCATCGTACTCAACCTCGAGAGCCCGGCCGTCGGAGGTCTGCAGGGTGCCGGAGAGAGGCATGTCCTTGGCAAAGCTGCCTTGGAAGATACGGCAGACGTGCTCGCTCTCGTCCAGACACTCGTACACTCCCTGCCAACACCCCCACTCGTCACGCGTCCTCGAGCCCCTTCCTCCTTTCCTCCTCCCGTCACCTCGCCGTCCATCATGTCTTCCCTCCAGCTCCCGCTGTACTGCCAGCTTCGCGCTCTGTAGAGTCCTTGACCTGAGCGACGCTCGTCACGGCTGGGGGTCGCGGCCTGACGGGGAGCGGCTCCCTCACCATGGCGCTGATCGTGGACGTAGTCGCCCTCGTAGGAGGAGCCGTCGGGCCAGCGGTAGGTTCCGTGACCATGCCGCTGGCTGCCGCTGATCCCTCCTGCCGCGTCTCTCCGTCAGGTCGCGCTGCCAGCACATGCTCATGGGGGTCACCGTGATAGCTCGACCCGTCCGGCCATATCGCCGTCCCTACGCCTTCCATCACCCCGTCGGTGAACCGTCCCGTCATCCTGCGGGGAGGTCAGCCTTGGCCTTGGAGGCAGCCTCGCCGTGTCGCTCGCTTGCTCGACGACTCACGTCAGTCCCGACGGGAAGTACATGCTCCCCTCTCCTGTGAAGGGTCGCTCCCCTTGCTCCCCCTCCCAGCATCTCCCGTCTGGCCAGATTTGCCTGCGCAGGCGGCATGAGGCATGGGGCATGAGGGGAGGAGGATGGCGTGCCTGACGCGAGCGTGGGGGAGCTTCTCGGAGAAGACGAAGGAAGGAGAGAGGAGGAGCTCGAGGTTGTCAACGTTGACTGCTGTCGTATCCACAACCAACATTCGCTGACGTACACTCTCATCATGAAAGTCAGCGGGTTCATGACGGGGAGAAGTTGCTATGGAACAACGAGATCTGAGAAGGGAAGGGGAAGAGGCAGGTCGCTCACAAGATGAGGAAGAGATGCAGGGGAAAGGGGGAGGGGGAGGGGGAGGGGGAGGGGAGGAGGTAGTGGGGGTTCACCTTTGGTTTCGATGTGGCATGAAATCGGGTAGGGGCATTTATGAAGGCTTTTGCGGGTGAGGGGCAAGTACCGGTTAAATCGAGTGTGTAACAGGGGGTGGTGAACTGATGGGAGCATCCCACAAACAGATCGTGCTACCCGTCATGATCACTCTCAAACCACCGGTACTGATATGATCGGAAACCCCTCCATAAGGAACTTTGCCGTCACCTGTGGCAGCGAATGTTGGTTGTGGATACGACAGCAGTCAACGTTGACAACCTCGAGCTCCTCCTCTCTCCTTCCTTCGTCTTCTCCGAGAAGCTCCCCCACGCTCGCGTCAGGCACGCCATCCTCCTCCCCTCATGCCCCATGCCTCATGCCGCCTGCGCAGGCAAATCTGGCCAGACGGGAGATGCTGGGAGGGGGAGCAAGGGGAGCGACCCTTCACAGGAGAGGGGAGCATGTACTTCCCGTCGGGACTGACGTGAGTCGTCGAGCAAGCGAGCGACACGGCGAGGCTGCCTCCAAGGCCAAGGCTGACCTCCCCGCAGGATGACGGGACGGTTCACCGACGGGGTGATGGAAGGCGTAGGGACAGCGATATGGCCGGACGGGTCGAGCTATCACGGTGACCCCCGTGAGCACGTGCTGGCAGCGCGACCTGACGGAGAGACGCGGCAGGAGGGATCAGCGGCAGCCAGCGGCATGGTCACGGAACCTACCGCTGGCCCGACGGCTCCTCCTACGAGGGCGACTACGTCCACGATCAGCGCCATGGTGAGGGAGCCGCTCCCCGTCAGGCCGCGACGCCCAGCCGTGACGAGCGTCGCTCAGGTCAAGGACTCTACAGAGCGCGAAGCTGGCAGTACAGCGGGAGCTGGAGGGAAGACATGATGGACGGCGAGGTGACGGGAGGAGGCAAGGAGGAAGGGGCTCGAGGACGCGTGACGAGTGGGGACGTTGGCAGGGAGTGTACGAGTGTCTGGACGAGAGCGAGCACGTCTGCCGTATCTTCCAAGGCAGCTTTGCCAAGGACATGCCTCTCTCCGGCACCCTGCAGACCTTCGACGGCCGGGCTCACGAGGTTGAGTACGATGGCGAGACGCCGGTGACCGGACATCCCTGGTGAGCGAGGAGGAAGAGACGCCGCGAGAGCGCGAGAGGCCTGTAAGGCACGCGAGTGACTCTGCTGGGCTTGGGTGCTTGTGGGGACCCGCGAAGGCTGTGGAAGTCGGACAGGTAGGCTCCCGTCTCGTCTCTCCGCAGCGCGGCTGACGCAGCTCAGCGACGAGGAGCAGCTGACGGAGGAGCTCGCGGGGGAGAGCGAGGAATACCAGATGGTGTCCGACCTCTTCCACGCCACTGTCTCCCAGTACCTGTACGCCCGGCCTCAGGGCCCGCCGAGGGCGGACCAGCGACTGACAGCGACGACGTGTCGCAGATTCAGGATCGCCAGCATCAGCCGCGTGCGCAACTCCGGTCTCCGCCGCCTCTACCAAGCGCAGGTGGGCCCGCGAGCTGTCGGCGACGGCACTGACCAGGCGCATCAGAGAGATCGCATGCGCAGCGACGTGGAGAGACGAGGGCTGGCGTGGAGTGCCGCCTCCATGGAGCGCTGGGGCTTTCACGGGGTACAGCCTCGAGACGGGACCAGGTGAGGGCGAGGAGGGGCCGACAAGACGAGCTGCGTGACGCCCGAGGGGCTGCAGGGAGAACAAGGACGCTGAGTCCGCCATCATGAGCGAGGGCTTCATGGTCACCCTCTCAGGCACACCGGCAGCGAGCAGCCATGCGTCCTCTCACGCCCCGCGAGCAGGCTCAAGCAACGGGAGGGTGTACGGGGCAGGCTCCTACTTTGCGAGAGACGCGAGGTGAGCAAGAGGAGGCGACCGAGTCCGAGACGCGAACACCGAGGGAGTGAGAGGCTCGTGCCATCGCAGGTACTCGCTGTCCTACTGCGGCTACACGAGAGCCAATCAGCCCTGCTCCATGCTGCTAGCGCGCGTGCGTCAAGCCCTCTGACGTCTCGCGGACGGGGGGCTGAGCGATGCGGCTGGTGGCAGGTTGTGCTGGGACGATACGCGCAAGGACACTCCTGGTGTGCTGTGCCCCCGGTCGACCCGACCGGTACGGCAGCCTTGCGCCCGGCCCCTGCCCGTATTCCTGCCTTGTACCCCTGCCCCTTCCTCTACCCCTGCCCCTGCCTCCTCCTCCTCCTGGTTGTGCACCTCCTGTACCCGTCTTGGCTTCTTTCTCACGTGTCACGCGAGCAGGCAGCCCCGGGCAGCACTTTCACAGCATGGTCGATACCCTCCACGACCCCTCCATCTTCGTCATCCCGGTACCTCCCATCCCTCCCCCCTCCCGGCAGCCCCTCCACCCCCTCACGCCTCCTCCAGCACAGCGCCAGCGCGTATCCCGCCTACCGGATCGTCTTCGAGAGAGCCTCGGTACCGATGCCGATGCAGCCGCTGCCCCAAGAGGTCGACAGGCTGCGCGCGCGAGGAGACCCTGACCGCTCGCTGCCATGAGCAGACGCAGAAGCGCCGGCTCGACCCCCTCCCATCGCTGATCGCCGAGCGATCAGCCGCGAGGCAGAGGACGGGGAGGAGCAAGCTGGACGTGACGAGCGACGGCTGAAGGGACGAGGGAGGAGGTCGACTGAGAGGAGCGCGACGAGAGAGACAGCGGCTGCGTGAGAGACCAAGTGGATGCGGTATGAGTAACGGCCGACAGACGTCACAGGCAAACTAGGGAGATTGTAAAGATATGAAACACATAGAATAACAGAGGTTGTAAAGATATGAAACACGTATAGGAACAGACGTCGCACTGGCGAGTAGCTGCGATGACTTTGTCCGTGAGGAGAGGGCGTTCACGGGGTCTCATCATGTACAGCGTTGACAAGGGTGATCTACGAGAATCGTCAAACCCTCTTGCTCGATTCTTGCTTGTTTTGCAGTCCCGTTTTCTCTCTCATTAAAAATGCACGCAATGCACAGGTAGCAATAAGACTTTGACTCGTTCTGGATCATAATCGTCTCAGTTCTGACGCTATTCCAATGGTGTGTTCCAAGAGCAGAAAGTGGCTCTCACTGGATCTTATTGTAGATGAAGCAATATGCGTCGACTAGTAACTCGTTCCTCCTCTGCCATATGAATGTCAGCCTCTTCCTCCATCCTGAAGTTAGTTCGTAGACTTGTTGTATCGTCGCACATGGATGCCCGAATTCGCAGCTCCTGACAAGAGACGCATCCCCTGCGGGAGGGGGAAGAGAGGTGCCTACCTGTGATGGAAGAGGTCTCTCCTCCTGGATAAGCTGACGAAAGCTCGTTGTTGACAAGAACTCCCAAGTTGCGTTCAAGGCGCACAAGTCTGCAGGGGCCGCTGCGGTAGTCTCGGTCGAGTTTTCAGACGATGTTGCTGGTAAAGGCAAGGCGTCTCCATAGCACATTCTAGAATCCCTGGGTCCGAAAGACTGTCGAGATGTTGTCTTGAAAGAAAGCTTCGTCAAACTTTCAAGTGACAACAAGGTCAATCTGGTCATGTTCCGGGACATATGGCTGCTCGAACGGGAATCACCTTTGGTTGGAATTATTACAAAGAGTAACTTGATGCAGTGAGGGCCCCTGAAAGACTCGTCGTCTTGCCAGTTAGAAGCAAATGCTGTCGTGTCAAGTGACAAAACTGTCAGGCTCAAAAGCCCGTCGAACACTCCAGCTGGAAGACTTTGGATCATGTTGTGCTCAAAGTGAAGAGCTGACAAGCTCAAGAGTTCGTCGAAGACTCCAACACAAACGTTTCTGATCTCCGTGTCGTATCTAGTAACGCCGCGTGTGAAAGTACAATAAAGGGACCAGCCTTCGCTTGACGCCAGTTGCGATGCACACACGTGACAATTGTTAGCCTGACGAGGGGCCGCATACTGTGCCCAAGCAGTGTTCCGCACACTGACTGTGACTCGGCGATCACCGAGGGTGCCCCCCGGCGGCAGGTGACTCAAATTCACTCAGCCCGAACAGAGGCCCCTCAGCTGGAGCCCCCGGGCCGGCAGGCCGCCCGGCTGACTCAGTGACGGACCGGGAGTCACTGAGTCCCGGCGGGCCGGGCCGCCGTACTACCGAGGCTTGAACTGGAAGTTTGAGTGGCTCTGCGGCTGGGCGGTCGCACTCCTATCGCCGTCCGCGCCGCCGGCGCACCGTCCGGTCACCGGGCCCGGCCAGGCCCGGGCCCGCCGTCGGCCGCCGGGGCCGCGCGTCCGATCGGATCGGACCCGGGCCGGCGGCAGTGACTCTCGGAGTCACTCAGTTCGTGGTTCAAGTTCCCACTTCATCTGACCACCCTACCCATACCGCAGTAGATTTGCAAATGACCCACCCATGGGTCTTATGACAATTTAGAAGAAAACTACTCACCCTTTTCCATATACACCTTGGTGATCATCACCCCACCCCCCGATTTGGATACCACCCCTCCCTTTCCCCTCCCCTCTCACAGTCGCCTCCGCGCGCTCTCAAGTTGAATGCAAGCGGGCGCCAGTCGCTCCGCCCCCTCCCTGCCCTCTCCCCTCCCTTGCCTTGTGTTCTCTTCCCGTCTCTCTCCTCCCTTGCCTTGTCCTCACTCCGCAGATGACATGTCTGAGCAAGACTGATCCTCTCAATCATGTCCTCATCTGATCTATGCCTGATTCGCGAGCCATGAACCTCGAATACTAACCCTCTGAAATTGTATCAAGATTTTCTGACTTTCTTCCGTTCATGTCAGAACCTGGTGTGAGAGAGTGGTTGGTCCTGTTTTGATCAAACGTTCCTTGTATATAGCTTTCAGCCCATCTTCAATGTAATCGCCTTGTGAATTTGAAGAATGTTAGAGTTGATTGTCTGATCGCAGATTTGATGATTTCATGCATTTGATGCCCTGCGGGTGCCATCAAGGATAGATAGCTAAACAACCTTCAGCGCGTGCCCCCTATGCCTCCTGCAACTGCTCCAGTTCCAGGAGTTGGCACAGCCGCTGGAGCGAATCAGAGCCAAACAGCATCAGCGGGCGGAGCTCAAGGAGCTGCCAATGCTCCTAATGCAGCAACGAATGCAGCAACGAATGCACCTCAAGCTCCACACGCGTCGTCCCAGAATGCCTCGCATTCGCAAGGTGGATCTTCAAGTCAATCTAGAAGCTCATCTGGAGCAAGCATGCCATGGAGAGCAGACTCGGAAGAGACTATAAAGACGCGCAAGAATGCTCTGAGAGTTATTGTCACCAAGTTTAGACACTTCTGGCCAACTGAGAGTGAAGCAAAACTTGCTTACAGAGCAGGGGTGGTCGAACATGGAGTTTATGAATGTTCGTCGAGCAAGACTGAATACATTTCGTTGCTTCAGCGAGATTTGAACGTCATAACCCAGAGGAAAGAACTGGAGAGAAAGGCACTCAGATCGCAAATTCAAACATCTGGAGATCTGCATGCTCTTGAAGAATCTCGTGGAAGTACAAATCAGTCAAGCCAGTCCTCGGATGCACGATCCAAGTTCATTCAAAAGGTGAGGAAAACGTGTGCCTTGAAAGGCAAATAAACCAGTCTTGGTTTCCAGATTCTCTACATGGAAAAGAAACATCAGCAGCTGTTTTACTTGCCAGACAGCAAGAAGATAGAATTCAAAACCCCGCAGACTCAACATCCACGAGACAAGTCATCGCAACCTTCAGGTCCCTGGCACAAGCGAAAGACAGGGTAAGCCTTCGCTGTGTCAGGGTTCGCAGTTGACGGCGGATGGTTTCAGGGCCCGTTTGACATAGATCAACTGAACAAAGTTGATGAACACCTTGAGCGCATCCGACTTTCCAGCAGAAGTACAAGCTCTGGTAAAAGTTTGCTGTTGAGACAGTGGGTCTTGGTTGACTGGTGGACAAATCAGGTCGATCTCTTGTCTCGAAAGAGACACTGGAAAAACAAAACGATAGAACACAACAGGTAACATTGTAAACTTGATCCTTGCAAAGGATGGATTCAAAATTTGCCTCAGGTTGGGGCAAGAGCGGTGGAAAAGTTTCGAAAGTTGTGCAAGGAGAGGCCAATCGTTGTAACGGTGCAAAATGTTGATCTATAAGAAGATGTTTGCCTGATCTTGTTGCAGGATCTTGCGTGGAGTGTCGAAAATGAAGTTCCCTCACTTGTGGTGAGTTGTTTTCAATAAGCTGCTGTTGGGCCTGACTATTTCAACCAATAGCCTCCTCTGCCTCCAGAGCTTGTAATACATCACACACCTCTTACATGAATATGTTTCATTCACAAGAATTCAGGTTCTGCTTAATGAAGATTTGCAAAATGCTTTGACAGATGAGTTTGCTAATGAAACACAGGTATGTCAAAACTTGTTTGAGTGCTTTTGACCTGAAACGGACTGAACTTTTTCTTATGACAGCGAGTCACGAAAAGAAGGAAGATTCTGGTTGAGGAGAAGGAGAAGACAAGTGAAAACGAACAGGGCGACCAATTGCTTACACAAGTCGTTCACTCCGGCAGAGTTCGTCCCTTTTGCAGCTCAGGTAAAATCGGTTCATCGATCCCCCACAATTTTCGTCCGCATTCCGATCGACTCTCTCCTCCCCTTCCTCTCTCCCAGTCAAGTTCTAGTGTATGATGTCTTGTACAGGCGTGGACTGTGTACCCTCAGTTCGGGAAAGCCACATCGAGTCTGCCCCCAGTAAGTGCTGCGGTGCCGTATGAATTTGATGATCCTGACATGAATCACAGTGCTGACCGCCAAGAGCAAGGGATACGTCGACCAGGACATACCCAATGATAGCGAGCACACAGATTTTCTCAGTGTGGTAATTATCGCAAATTTTCGAATGCTACAAATGTTGAGATGTTGACAGGTTCCAAACATTCAAATGCCCTTGTCCCTCGAGGCAGCCCTCGAGCAGCTGAAGTTAGCTGCTTTTGTGAGGGTACATCTTTCACTGGCGAAGGTTTGTGAATGTTTTTGTGCAGACTGTCCGAGATGCCGTATTTCTTGACCCGGAACCTCTCGTCGACGCTGATCTCGACCAAGTTGATCGATGCTATTCTGAATGCATGATCCGACAGAAGGTCAGAATATCTCGTGTAAAGTTTCAGGTCTCATTATGCTGCTGTAGGAAAAATCGCGTAGCGGGGATGGAACGTCTCAGCAGCACACTGCCGTACTGAGAATTTTCCGCGATATCGACAAGAAAGATCCTCTCCCGTGGGACTGCAAGTAGATCTCTTGCTCGCGCCCCTCTCGATGTGACAGGCGAACAGGATCACATGCCTTCGGCAACTTCCGCTTGTTGTTTCTGTCTCTCCGGATTGTTTGGTCTCAATCTCTCACTCATCTTGCTGGAAACTGATGTGAATCAACGTAGGTGGATGTTAGTGCCCTGGTTCAGAAGGGTGGGACGAAGTACGAGAAGGGAACGGCAACACCCCATACGCCTGGGCAGTGGCTGGTCAATTCAGCCTCCCTTGAGCAACAATTCTTAACTTGTTCCCGGTGCAGAAGAACGTAGTTCACGGGTTAGGACAACACCTGTCATGTCTTGACAAGATGTGGACCGAGGTTGTCACTTGATCTCAGCATTTTGATGGATGGTGTTGATATTTTGAACAGGTTGATGCGCTCCTAAAGGATTTTTCTCCTTTCCTCTCGGCGAAGTTTTCCAGGCAATGCTCAGTCTTGACACTTCTGTGCCTGACAAATTCGACCAGATGCCATGACAACTTGACCGTGGGTTTCGACATCTTGTTCACATGTAAAGCTGGAGAAGAGAAGATGGGCCCAGAGTTGCTGTTGACGGTGACATCCTGGGACGGCTTCGAAGGGTATCCTCGCCTTCAGCCCCACTACGAGATCCTCGGCCTCAACAAGGTCGGACAGGACCGGGTGACGAGTCGCCTCTATTCTCTCGGCTTACTTTCAGTCTTCCAGGGCCTGCAGTCAGCTCACGTGTTCGAGATGAAGTTCAAGGAGTCGGTTGAGATGTTGGCTGCGCCACTGAGGTGAGGGAAATGCCGTCGACGTGCTGCCTGCTGTGATGCTTTGCGACAGTGTTTCGGAGATCGTGAGGATATTCCTCAACGCGGTGGGGAGTAGCGTCGACGACTGCATCTCCAACTCTCACGCGTGACTGAGGCTGACCATGTTTGATGTGCAAAGAGGCAATGAGAAGCCTTTTCGAACTGAAATGAAAATACATTAAGACTTAAAGATCGAGTCATCAACGAAGGGAGGTAGGAAAATTTTCTTGAGTGACACCCGACGATGCCGGCGGGGCGTCGATCGGCGTGTCAAGGATGCTTTCAGTATCTTTCGAGACGAATGTCGATAGTCTTCGATCAAGCTTCTATTTCTTGCGAGGCATGAGATGCACATTGCCCTCGGCATCTCTTCTCACGACCATGTCCTCGTCCTCATCCGCTTCACTGTACGAGGCGGCTCAGGCACTCGAGACCTCACAGCAGCACGCTCTCTCACCTGGGCTCCTGCAGGCTGAGCTTGTTCAACTTGTCGCACAGGGCGTGCCTGCAACCATCTAAGCGAATCATGTAGAGCATGCGAACCTCCTCACCTGTCCCCCGACAGAGGGCACATGTCGCTCGACCATCCCCCTCCCATCCTCTCTTCCCCCAACCAGCGACGGGAGTATCCGATGGGCTCCAGCTCAAGGTTGGGGATGTCGTCAGGATGCTTGTTGATCCAGTTCCCAGCATGGCAGTGCAGGGATGACGGCTCGTCGTCGAGCACGTTGGTGATGTCTTGCTGCAGCTTCCTGTTGATCGGCGAGTAGATCGGTCTGTTCACAAAGTGCTCGCTAGGAAGCGCCTTCCCTTCATACGGGTTGTAGTGTTCTCCGATCTGTGTGGGCAGATGGAAAAGCAAAACCTCGTCAAACTGTGGCTGGAGGAGAAGACCAGGGTGTAACATCGAAGTGGGGCTTGCGCAAGAAACGCTAAACAAGCAGACAAAAGACAAGAGCAGGGCTGTCCTTAGTCGTTCTGTCATGTCTCTTGGCAAGGAATAATCTGCAAAGAAGCACGAAGACAGTTAGTCCAAGGAGGAGAAAGCCGAATTGAGTTCTAAATCATCATTTGAATAAAACATTCAGACGTCATTACTAACGAAGTGAACGATTGTTCAGAATAATCCTGCGTTGTTTGGCATTGTGCCGCCTGCTTCTTTTGCCCTGCCATCTTCCTCATTATAAATCATTTCATGTGGCGATACAACTAATCACTGTTGCGTCGTCGTTCATGCCAATTTTCCCCTCTCCATTCTTCCTATGATCCTGCATTCCAGATACTTCTAGAATCTTTCTTGTCACCTGATCTGTCTCCTAACTCCACCTCTTCCTCCTAGCCCTCCTACTCCCTCTCCTGCTGTTGCTGAAATGCCATGGCCACCCCCTTAGCGCACAATTTTTCTCCTTCAGGGTCTCATCGTTATCGATAACATATTGTTGAAATTTTAATTTATTTTATTTTGAATAATAACAGTAAGTTTATCAAATATTTCACCATAATTAAACCTCTGTGGCTAAACCTCGGAACGGGGTCGCTCCATTACATGTTGTTTGGAGAAGGGGTGGATTCTTTCCCATCTTTCGCAGACCCGGTCTTTCATGGGATAGTTTTTGGTAAATGGACCGGGTACTTCCAAGTCCAAGATGAAATCAGGGGTAGGGGTAGTCAAGGCAAATCTTGATTACAACATTTCTATAGTCAATAATACTGGTAAAATAGTCAATACATTCCACTGGGACATACGGGGATGAGGCCCAGTGACTCTTGGGCCATCATTTTCATGGGGCTGCTGAGCGCGGGAGGAAGCGGGGGAGTGGGGGGAGAGTGAAGAGGGAGGACGAGGGAGGAAGGAAGAGATAGGGGGAGGGGAGGGAGATGGAAGAATTGAAGGGGAAGGAGGCTGAGACGGGGATGTTATTAAAAGGTGTGAGCTTTAAAGAGAAGATGAAGCAAGCATGAAGAAGATGAGGATAACGAATATTGATTGAAGCTTGGTCAATGTAGAATCCCTTTCTCTCCAATTTCAGTGTGTCAGTTGGACTTTTCTCCTCTTTTATGGGTTGCCTTATGATGCGTGCAGAATGAATGAGATTTTTTGAAGAAAGATAGTTCGGATGTGGGTAGAGCAACTCGGGCAGTGAACTTGTAAGGAGGCTGTGGTTGTGAACATTGAAATGAGAGGACGGCATTGAACCGTTTCATTGTGTGCATCACTGAGTGCGGTATGGCAGAGAAGTAGAAGTGAGCATCCCATGGATTCTCCCTCTCCCTCGTGGCTTGCGAGTGCAAAGCCCGGGAAGCAAGCTTTTCTGTACAGTATACTCGCCCTTGCTTGTTGCGGCTGCGCGCTGCTGCTGCTGCCATTCAGCGGCTTTCATGGCCGAGGTGAAGTATCGTTGCAAGGAACAGGCGGTGGGAGAGAGATGCTGCATCCCTCCATCATCTCCAGGAAAGTATCTGAGGGGATAAAGCAGCTGGACAGCCAGGTACACACTCTGGACACTATCCGCAACAAGATGTGGGGCTCGCTCCACAAGGCACAGAAGATGAGCGCGTACAAGGACGTGGACATAGATGACGAGGACTTTTCGCAGCTGCACAGGGTTGCTCAAGAAGCGCTCCGACTCCGAGATGAGGTCTTGCATGCTGTGCTGCTTCCTCGGGCATGATGAATGCTTTCCAGCTGCAGAAAGCTGCTGCTTCGGAGAAGAGCATTCTCGTCAGGAGCGAAGAGATTCTCGACGGAGGCTGCAAGGATCATCACAAGGAGAGCTGCGGGGGAGAGAGCTGCTGCAGTTTCTGGGCAAGGCGAGGTCAATGCGCCTCGAACAACCAGTGGATGTCAGTCATGTGCTCTAGAAGCTGCTCGACTTGCAGCCAGGACAAGGCAGATGTGAAGAAGGTAGTTTCAAGTGAGCACGGAAAGGTGCATTCGGGCTCTCCCCCAGAGAAGTCAGCTCACAGGACGGCTCCTTCAGGTGGACATGCTTCTTTCGCACCAGCATGAGGCTGACGGGATGATTTCAGATGTAAAAGCCTCTGCTGCACCACTAGCTCATGTGAAGGCCCAGCAGGCAGGAGCGTCTGACAAGCATGTGGATGTCTCTCTCTCCCTGGAAGGAGTTGCGATGAATGGCATCACCCGGCAGCAGCTGGACGAGATCTTGCGGAAGGCAGTGGCGAAGGCCACGAAGAAGGTCGATGAATGAAGGCTTTCTCAGTGCTTGTCTTACATTCCTACAGCCTGCCGACGCGTTGAGAGTGAAGTTGGAATCCTTTGACTTTTCTCCTGCTCGTCATGTTGTGAAGCGCAAAGAACCAATCAGGAGGGACAGGTAATCGTGAAAGATTTATTGCCAACGCTCGGTAATTAATCTCTCCTCCAATCTGTAGGTCGCGCGAGTTCGTGTACGGGGTCGCTCCAGAGGAACCTCGTCTCGACAGTTTTCTCCGCAAGGATGGAGGGTTCTCTCCTAGACGGCGCTTGCTAGCAGTAGGGAAGGACAGCAGGTGGCCCTTGTGAAGTTGTCAAGAGTCCAGCTGATGTTTGTGGCAGGATCGGCACCCTGGACTTGAAGTTTCACCTTCAATTGCCGTCGGGGGAGGACCAGAACTCCATCACGCGGGCGATCAAGTCAGAGCTGCACGACGAGGTGAAAGAGGATCCCGAGCGCTGCGTACGTGACTTTGGGCTCTCCCCAGATCGATCGTCTCGCCGCAAGGCAGGAAGGTGGACATGGAGAAAGGCATGCCGGCTTTGAGCGTCTGAAAATTGTACCACTTTTTGCTGTTGTCGATGCCCAATCTGATTCCCCGATGAAAACAGGAGGAGAAACCAAAAGACATCGCGCACGGAAAGGAGCAGCTGCAGCAGGCTCTCCACCAAGAGACGAGCATCACTAGCTCTACTGGCACTACAGGTGCTGGCGGGGGATCTCATTCCAACTTCGAAGACATCTTAAGCGGGAAAGCTTCCCACCCGGAGGACAGGATCAACTCCATCCCCGTCCACTCGCAAGATGCCTCAGGACCTGCTGAGGAACGCCAGTGGGTCTCCCCGCTGGTCGGCAAGCCGCGCGCTTACTCGAACGGCTACGGGCTGGGGTTGGGGATCAACAAGAAGGCAGCGCCAGCCAGAGGCCAGGAAGGAGAAGCTGGGTGGACTTTCTTGGAGCCCTTTGGGGACGAGGAGCCGAAGGTCAAAGAGCAGAGCCCTTGGAAGAGGCATGGAAGCTTCAAGATCCTCAGATGATGAAGCGAGGGAGCCGACCAGAAGATTGCGGGGAAGCTTGCAGCGAAGAAGCTGCGAGCCAGAGCAGAGAGGATGCGCGTAAGGGGGCTCTCAGAGCTCAAGCGGAGGATCAAGTGAAGCTGAAGAAGGAGCAAGTGATTGAGGACTCTCGTACTCTGAAGCATTTACTCACAGCTATCGCTGAGGAGTCCCTCCTCTTGAACTTGACACAAGCCAACGCCTCCTCCACCTCCTTGCAAGACTCTTCGTCCGCTTCCCCTTCCCAAGTGAGTATGCAGGACCAGACCTCCGCTCAGATCCACAGCCTCAAGCAAAAAGCTTCTGAGTTGGAGGAGGGAGCTCGTCGCAAGCTGGCCGGCTTGAGGGGTCGAGTGCTTTCACAGCGTCAGGAGAACATGCGAAGGCTTTCGCGCTACTATGTCAATCTCGCTCAGCGACTGGCGGCCGATGGCCAGAACCTCCAGCAGAGACTGCTGGATGAGAGGCAGACACTCAGTCGTTTCCAACATGATGGTTATGGTCCCATGTGGATGGGCAGGAGGCGAGAAGCAGCAGGATTCAGAAGAGGAGGAGGAACAGGCACTTTCTTTGTGCGGCCGTTGGAACCTTCCTTGGTGAGAGACTTCTTGTTTTGACACCAGCGACACTCACGAATTTCTCAGAGGTTGTCCCCTGAACGGACAGACGCCGCGACTGAGTCAAACATCCGCAAGATCTCTGAAGGTGACGCTCTTCATCGGCATCTCCGACTTTTCTGTGACTTGTTGCCAAGACCTAAAGGTGCAAACGGCACGAATGAACCGTGAGAGTGAAGACTTCCGCCAGCTGATTCGAAGGATAAGGCGGGAGACAGGGGGGGCTTAACAGCCAGCAGCCGACAATAAAGGACTGGTTTTGCCTTGCACACTGGGAGAAGAGACTTCTTCACTCACGGTTGGTGCGAATTGCTAACCTTCATCGTCACTGGTCCACTCGGCATCCTTGTTGTCTTCATTGCCGGAAGCCTTCGCTGCCCGAGATAGCGCTGCACGTACTGTCAGATACCGAACTTTCCCGTCAAAAATGCCTCACCTGCCTGCAAACCTGCCAAGGCCGCCACGTTGAGTTGCCTCCTAGGTTGGTTGGTCGGTGCTGGACCCTTTACCGAGCTGTTGCGGTTGATTTGCTCGCTCTCACCCTTGTTGCTCCTCGACAGTCTGCGGACAGAACTCCGTAGATGATCCTTACTGAAGTTACGAATCTGATCCAAGAAGTTTGCCACCCCCTCCTTGAGAGATCGCTTCCTCGTTGCCTTCTTCTCACTCGCGTCTAAAATGTTGACTCGAAGGTCATCGGAGCCGAAGGTCTGCTCGTGGCCCTCTCGGCTCTCCTCCGCTGCACAGTCTTCATGCTCCCGTATGCTTGCTGCGGAAGTCGAGACAACATCAAACTGATATTGTTCGATCGTGTATTGTTCCTGGTTTTTTTCGTGATCTTCGAGGGTTCCTCGTAATTCACTCTGATTTTCCTCGTCAAACTCGCTCTCTTTCTTGCTTTCGCCCTCGGAAAACTCCTCATTGTCCTTCTCTGATTTTCCCTCAAAATCATGAGCAGATCCCTCCTGCTGTCTTTCATCTTCTTCGTCGACATCTAGGTCGATATGGCCCTCGCTCTCATCATCTGAATGTGATTGTTCTTTGGTATCTGTCTCAGATTCGTATGCTGTGATCTCCCCATGAGCAAGGACTGTCAACATGGTTTCCTCCTCCTTGAACAGTGTTTGCTCCGCATCTTCTTCTCCTCTGTACTGCTGTAACTCGTGGACGTCGTTAGGCGTCTCGTTCTGGTTGTAATACAATCCTCGGCCCTCACTGTCTTTGTACTCCTTCCAGCTGACCAGATGGCCGGCGCTTGTTGCCTTGTAGCACTTGCCCTGGCTGTTATCATGAGCTCTCATGCCCGGCAGGGGGATAGAGAAGGCGCTCGTCATGGTGACGTCATCATCCGAGACGATCTTGAGGCAATGATCAAAGCCCAAGTGTGACGTTGTCTGAAGGAGCTCTGTGTTCTGTGTAGAGAAGAGCAAGGCCTTGTCCAGGTCGAACTGACGTAGAGGTGACGTCTGGTCATCCTGCCTTGCTGAGGGCCGTTTTTTTCTGCATCTTCCGAACGTTCTTAGTTTGCAAAGACCAAACAATCCGAGGCCAAAACCAAGCAGAGAAAATGTAGCAGCAAAGATCATTCCATCAGAAAACGCATGAACTGTTTGCTGTGAAGGCGAAGTCGAGGGAGAGAGAGGACGCGAAGACACTGGCGAGACCCTTTCAAGCTCATTCGACATGTTCAAGGTAACAGACAAATTTAGCAAATCGTGGGACACATTAGTGAGAAGGATAGTCGTATTGCTATTGATGACTTGAGATTGATTGACCATATTCTCCGGAACATTTGATCGGCAAACTCCTGGTGAAACATAATGATGTCCTGCTGGACAGGATAAACAGTGAATCGAACCAGAATCTGGGTACGAGCCTGCAGGACACGCCGTACACGAAGTCGAGCCCGTGCTGGCCTGCACATACCCTGCTGGACACTCCATACACTGAAACGACCCGGTCGTGTTCTGATACTGCCCCTGCATGCACGGGCTGCAGCTCCCCTGACCAGCGTTGGACTGCAAGGCACAAAGTCAGCAAGCAGCAAGCTAGCAGGTGGCAGACGCCTTGTTTTGACCTGATACGAGCCTGCCGGACAGGACTCGCACTGGAGAGGGGCGAAGCCATTTCTGCGTGAGAAGGTCCCTGGAGAGCATCCGTCGCACATGTAGGTGCCGGTGGTGCCGTCGGGACAGCCTTGAAAGTCAAACAACATCTGCTTGTCCGTGAACAGAGGAAGCAGAGTCTGCGGATCGAACTGCCTGATCTCAACCGCCAGCTCTCCTCTGGTCAAAGCCGTGAGCGAGCTTGCTGCAAGAAACAAAATCGGAGAGGACAGATTGAGGCTGGCAGGGCCGATCCACGTCCAGTTGGAGGAGACCCTGCCGCTCAGCTCAAGCGCCTGCGTGACATTGAGCAGGTTCGATCGCGTCGCGATCAGGCCGGCGGTCGCCGAGTTAGTCAGCTCGAATGAGAGCGAGATGAGGCTCGTGCTCGTTGACCTGAAGGAGCCGACGACGTTGAGACTCATGTTCTCCCCAAACGTCAGCCGTCCTCCTAGATCCACGTCTCCCACGATGCTGCCGCCCGGAAAGAGAGAACCTTGTACAATGCTCACATTGCCCAGCAGCTGCCCCCCGCAGAGATTGAGGACAGCGGCTTCTCCGACCTGGACGAAGCCTCCACGGAGCGTCAACACTCCTCCGCAAGCGACGCAAGACCCGACGTTGCGGAACGGAGCCTCGCTCACTAGCTCCTGGCCTGCAGCCACCGGACCGAAGGAGAAGCTGTGCGAGATCACCGTGCCGTTGCCCAGGAAGGTAGACGTGTTGGCTATCGAGATCGCCCCGAGGAACGTACACTCACCGACACACCTCAAGCTCGTGTAGGAGAATGATACATCACAGCCATGGGTTGAGTCCGCCATCGACGCCTGGACGACATTCTTCATCTCCAGACTACAAACGGAAGTGTTGGACGACAGCGAGATCCAGGATGTTCCAGGAAGGAGGTCAAGCTCAGCGTATCCTGACAACGTGAAGCTTGGACTCCCACCATACCCAGGTGAAGCAGCTACTCGCACACTGGCACTCATGGCGTTATTGACGATTGTGGCAACGACACCTGATTGCTGCATGAAGGAAGCCGTGGAGGACAAGGCGAGCGACAAGGAGCTTGACTGGATGATGATGACTCGCCCAGAGTTTTGTACGGAGCTGAAGGCGCTTGCCGTCATGACGAGCTCGCCCGCATTGGTCAGGAGGAGGCTCGACGCTTGATCCTGCAGTCTTGTCTCTGTCAGGCTTACTACACCTTGAGCCTGATTTGAGATGATAGTCTGGCTCGCAAACGCCATGCTGAGCAACGCTACATTCCCGGCGTTGCTCAGAGTCAGCGACGAGATGCTACAGGCAGTCGACCCGTCAGATCCAAAGACCCCTCCGCTCAAGACGGATATCGAGGAAGCAGACACGCCTGCTCCCTTGAGGGATCCGGCGAAAAGATCTGTCGCCCCCATCGTCACAGTACATCCAGCTTTGACCTGGAAGAGCTGGGCAATGGTGGTGGGCCCATGGACAAAGAGCTTGATGGAGCTGCCGCATGATCCTGCAAGAAGCACGCTGTTGATCGACTGGAGATACACAGAGCCGCTGCCTTGCATCGTGTTAGAGACGAAGTTGTAACTGTTGGTCACGTTTAAGGAGCCGTCTACGCCCAGAAGCCCTGTGTTGGTTCCCCCACCCGCGAATACCACCGTGCAGGGAGCGTCGATCTGAACGGTGCCTGAGTTGTTGAAGGCAGACATAAACCTCATGTAGTACTTGGTCGAGGAGCCATCGTTGGAGAAAGTGATGGTCCCCGTAACATCATTCTTCCAACTACTGTAGGCGGCAGGGATGAAATTGGAGGTTTGAAGATACAGCTTGTTGCTGTTGACCAGGTTCCCTGACATGTAGACGCTTTGGCCTCCGTTGATTTGCATGCTGCCGGAGTTCTTGATATTCATGGTGAGGTAGACTGTGTCCAGGGCGCTCAAGGGCTTGAGCAAAAACGTGCTGTGCCCAGCGACAGTCAGAGTTCCTGTAGGTGCACAGGATGCGCAGCTTGAGCTTCCGATGTTGGAGCCGTAGCAGACGAGCTGCGACTGAAAGGAGGTCGTGACCTGCTGACTTGCAGCGATGTTGAGCGCTAGTGCAGTGAGCGCAATGTAGTTCCCGACTGTGATAGTCTGCACGGTGAGCGACGGCTTATCTTGCAAGCTGGAAGCTTTGACGAACCACAGCTGCAGCGGAGAAGAAGGGATTGGCGCGGAGATTGACAGAGACAGCGTGATCGATCCAACAGTCACAGACGCGTTGCTGAAGGTCACATTGCAGTTACTGGCCAGCTGGAACTGCGCGTCGTCACTGCTTCCCGGCATGTAGTCCCAGCAGTTGGGATCGAACCAGTCTCCGTTGCAGCAGCTCCAGACGGAGCACGTAGCCAGTCGTGCGCAGAGCGCAAGAAGTACACAGCAGAGGGCGCAGGGTCGCATCAGACTGTTCCCTTGAGGCTAGGGCAGAGAGAGGAGGACGCGGGAGGAGAAGGCAGGGGAGGCAAGGAAACAATCGAGAGGGGGAGGAGGAGAGGGGAGGGAGAGAGAAGGGGAGCGACAAGATGTAAAAAGACACCGAGGCAGTCAGGACCGGCTTGACCGTGGCTATGACGTTGGGTAGAAACGCAAGCACTCTCCAGCAAAGAGGAAGAGCGGGAAGGAAAGGATCGCGAGAAGGGAGGACAAGAGCAAGGCTTATCAGAAAGGTCCGGGGAGTCACTAATGCCGTGACAGCATGCAGAGAGGAGTCTTGGTATCTGCTGCCATGGGCTAGGCTCGACAGCTTGCGGCTGCTGCTTGGCTGCTTGGGGGAGCGGGGGAGCATGGTTTGACCGCCCCTCCCACAAACTTTTTCTGGTTCTCCAAGCTCGCCTCAGGTCATTGCTCGAAAGCCGCGAGTGCTGTTTTTCGAACCTGTATTTGGAATCGTTTTCTTTATTTCAAAATGCTCGTTCTCAAGTTTCAAATGTGTAGATGGTTTCATGGTGCTTTATCATTCGCAAAACTGATGACGGCAATCTCACAAACTTGAATCAGTAAAGAGAGTGCGCAAGTGAAATTTTCACGGATTTGTGTCTGGTCGACATGTATATTTCATTTCTGAAACATTGCTCAAGGAACGACTCAGCTGACGCGTTTCAGAACCATAGTCTTCCTAAGACGTATGTGGAAGTCTGTGCTTATGCTAAAATTTCCGATACAACTCCGGCACCCACCGTCTTGCCACCTTCTCTGATAGCAAACTGCAAACCCTGCGATCCAGAAAGTTAATCGCAGAAACAACAATCGATTGCTGAGAGACCTTCTCCATGACAATCGGGCAGATAAGTTCAACAGTACAGCTGACATTGTCGCCAGGCATAACCATCTGGATATCATCCGGAAGAATGATGGTGCCAGTGACGTCTGCAGTACGAAAGAAGAACTGGGGCTTGTACTTCTTGAAGAAGGGAGTGTGGCGACCTCCTTCCTCCTTTGACAGGCAGTAGATTTCCGCACTGAATTTCGTTGCAGTCTTTGCACTTCCAGGTTTGGCCAAAACCTATTTCAGGAATTTAGAAAAGCATCGGATAGCAACAAAAGCAACACTTCACCTGCCCTCTGGTGACATCTTCACGCTTAATACCACGAAGCAAAACTCCACAGTTATCGCCAGCCTGTCCCTGACCAAGCTCTTTCTTGAACATTTCAACCCCTGGATGCAACTGTTAGGAAAAGGAAAAGAAGCCAAAACAAAAATTGAGACATTACCGATGCATGTTGTTTTGACTGGATTCTTGATACCGATGATTTCAATGTCTTCACCAACCTTGATTGTACCAGTTTCAATTCTGCCGGTCACAACAGTACCACGACCCGCAATACTGAAAATATCCTCAACCTGGCAAAGTCAAGTTATTGTGGCATACGAGCGAATTCAAAATCGGTCTGCATAAATCTACTGAGATGTTACCGGCATGAGGAATGGCTTGTCCATGTCGCGAGCAGGTTCCGGGATGTAATCATCAACTGCCTTCATGAGCTCGACAATCTTATCCTTGCCCAGGGAGGGTTCAGTTCCATTCAAGGCGTGCAAGGCAGAGCCGCGGACGATGGGGATCTCGTCTCCGGGAAACTTGTAGAAGGTAAGGAGTTCCCTCACTTCCTACATACCGAGAGTCTGTCAGCGAGATACGAATGCAATGATCAAATCAAACCATTTCGACAAGATCTATCAACTCCGGGTCGTCCACAGCATCGCACTTGTTCAGGAAAACAACCATTGCAGGAACTCCAACTTGACGAGCGAGAAGAATATGCTCCCTCGTCTGCACTCTTGTCAAATTCTAATTAGACTGAACTCAATCAAAGAACCTGTGGCATGGGTCCATCTGGTGCTGAAACCACCAAAATGGCGCCTTCCATCTGGACACAGAAAAATCATTGCCAGAAACATTTCAAAGTAATACTACAGACCTGAGCAGCTCCAGTGATCATGTTTTTGACATAGTCAGCGTGTCCAGGGCAGTCGACATGAGCGTAATGTCTCTTCTCGGTCTCATACTCCACATGTGCAGCTTCAATGGTGATACCACGAGCCTTCTCCTCTGGTGCCCTGGAATGCGGGTCATTCGATTTCATGGTCACAGCTGCATCACTTGTCAATGTCATCAAAAGCCATAGCCTTCACTGTCTTGTTCTGTTCGGCCATGACTCTCGTGATTGCTGCTGTGAGCGTTGTCTTGCCATGATCGACGTGACCGATGGTACCAATGTTCAAGTGGGGCTGAAACTCGGATCAGGGAGATTGTGTTCGCCCAACCAGTGTTTACCTTGGTGCGCTCATAAGTAGCAAAGGTCCTTGAGATCACATTCACTGAAGAAACAGGAAGTCTGCCTTTCAACCAAGATGCGCGCCCCTAATGACGTTCCCAAATCAGACAGGACATAACAAACAGCAACTCTGCTCAAACCGTGATGGTGGCTGCGGCAGGGATTCGCCTGATTACGGCAGCAAGACCAATGGAAACCATCGGAATATCTGTGCGCAATGCTCAGCCTTGTGAGGAAAAACTGTACGATATCTTCATAACGACGAACTATCCTTCTTGAACCGAAACCAATTTGCAACATGATTCAGCCGAAACAGCCATGCTATTTCACACGGAGCTCATGAGACGTATTATCATGAATTGTGCGCCAAAACAATGGCAAGTAGTTGACTACACATCCGCATGGACCTGCTATCTGCCCCTCCCTTCTCGTCCCCCCCTCGCCCCCCTCTCGCCCACTCCGTTATCGAGCATTAGCATTGCCTCTGCGATGGGGGCACGTGGCACGCTTGTTCTCCTGAAAGTTGGCGAAATTTTTCTACAGGTTGAAATATTCAAATTTGAATTTTCTCTCATATTTCAAATTTTAGGTTTCAGTCTGAAATCTAGTTACCCCAACATCTTGCTACCACCCTTGGGGCTGCCTACCAAGATTTCCGGAGACATGTTGTTATTCTGGTGTAGGGGTGGTCCAGAACCCTTCCAGCCAACTTTACTTTGATAATCAATCCTCGCTTTGACCCACACTACTGAGCCGAGGCGTGCTTTGTTGGGAAATGGATGGAAACCGCATCAGACAAAGTTGGAGGAGGAGGAGGAGGAGGAGCAGAGGAGGAGGAGGAGGAGGAGGAAGTGAAGAAAGAAAACAACTAGATAAGGCGGAGGAGATCGAGTACATCAAAGATTGAGAAGGTATCAAACAAGAGTTAGCACTGTGTGGATACAGAAAGCCTTGTGGGCATGGTTGAATTACGAAATAGAATGTATTCGAGTTTCAGTGGTTGAGCTTTCGGGCTGTGGCGTGCTTATGTGGAATTCGGTTTCTGCATACAGGTCGTATTTGGACGCCTGTGGGAATATGGATTTAGCCATCAAGTAGTCAATGGCTAGGATAGATTGTTCACTGGTATTTCCTCTTGAGAACATCTGTACATAAATTGTCACCAATCGGTTCGGTATTGCTGAAGCATCCTTGCATTCTAGATACCAGGTTCATTGGATAGAGGATGATTAGAACTCTTAGGTAGAATCAGGGAAGACCCTTAAATCTTCCTGAACCCCATGAACTGCAAAAGCAAGTTATCACGGAACATCCAATCGTGTTGACAAGATTTTCGAGCAAAGAATGTTACCTGAAGCAGATTTACTGGGTGAGAAAACCAGAATCTCTTTTTCATCGAAATCATTGTTGTATGTTCTGGACTTCAAGCTCTTATTCTCGTCCGTCAGTCTTTCGATCTCCTTCTCCAGCATTTGTATGCGTCTGTTGAGAGTTGCATTCTCTTCCACCATCTCAGAGGTTGCTTGCATGGATCTGTTACGTAGTTTGGTCATCTTCTGCTCGAATTCCAATTCGAGCATCGCCTTCTGCTCAGCTAGTTTCGCAGCACTGTCATTTTGCGAGCTCCGAACGATTGATTCTAAGTTCTTGTGTTCTTCAGTCAACTTGTTGAGAGCAGCCTCGAGAGAATTACATTTGCTCTGTAGTGCGCTAATCTTGGCCATATTAGTAGCATCCACTCGTTTCGCCTCAAGATCCTTTTTCTCCATTTTCTTGATGGTTTGCCTTAATGTCTTGTTTTCTTTTGCTAATTGACTTAACTCTCCCGCTGTATGATTTGCGCTTTCTATTGCCTGATTCCTCTTATTCACAACGCCTTGCATAACAAAAATTGCCTCGTTCATCATGGAAATCAAAGCTGAAGTCTCCATTACAGCCGTGCTCCCAACCTCTCCCATTGATTCTTGAGCACGGGCTATTCTTTTTTGATCTTCCAGCTCTGCTTCCAGCTCCCGCTGTTTCATAATGGTCTCTTGCGTCCTTGCCTTTGCAAGCAGCATGCTTGTTGCTTGTAGCATTTCAGCCACGCGTTTCTCATTGAATGATGACTCCTTCAAACTTTCCTCATCTATTTCGTAAGCATATGTTTGACAGCTTCGATGTATCCTATCGAATTCGCGATGAAAAGCAGAATCAAGTTTGGACAAGGGATTCGGCAAATGGATCTGGAGGATTACAGAACTTCAGATAGTTGTCATGCATAATAACAGAGAATCGACCTGTTTATCAGCGCTGTCCAGCAGGAGATTCGTTACGATCGTGTCACTAATACGACCTCCCTCATTCGCTCCGTACTTGATTCTCTCGCGAAAGCTGTTTGCCAGTATTGATGAAGCAAAAACCATTTTTGCAGAAAGCGGGGCCTGACTGGCCTTTGAAGTAACATCATCCTGTTGAAGATCTGTCGAGCTGCCTTCATCACTGGCGTCGACAGTGATTTTCGATGGGCGCTCATCTTCAGCTGGTTCTTGTGGAAGAGGGAGTGACATAGAGGCTCTTGACTCCTGTGCAACGTCTCCCTTGCCGGAATCTCTGTTCCCGGAGTCTCTTTTGGTATATTCAAGAATCTCGCTCTTGAGCCTTTCGTTTTCTTTGATCAAAGCATAGACTATACTCCGTGGAATTTGATTTGACAAAGCGAGATCACCATGCCGCCCTGATTCTGTCGAATTTCTTACAGTGAAAGGAGCTTGTTGTGGGGTTGCTAAGGTGCTTCTCGTTTTCAATCCTGGCAGTACCAACTTCTTTCTTGGAGATACCAAGTGCTCCACAGACAATAATGCATGTCGCTTACTGATGTTCTCTAAAGAATTTGAACTTATTGCAATGTGATCAGCTGATACACTGTCTGCAAAGGAATTTCTATTGTATACACCTACTCCATCCTTCAGGTCTTTTGCAACTTTAGCATTGGAGCGAGAAGTCGCCGCAAAATCGTCACACGCCTCAAGAAATCTATGAGGAAAATAGAGAGGAAGCGTTTTGCGAGAAGAATTTGTCTTCCTTGCGTCCACCTCCGTTGGAAGGTCAAACATCTGCCGTGCTGGAGGAGGATGGTGCAACCTTTCAGAACTTCAATATCAGAAATGAGCAATCCATCTTGTGCCTCAAGAACATGTCTTCTGCACTGCCCTGAGCAGTCAGTGGTCTCGTTGCTTGTTCCTGCTTGGCAAGGTCGTCATGTCCTGCGGCAGTCAAAACGTTTCAACCGTTGTCAAGGCAATGAAAACGGCTCCGCCTCAGGCTGTAATATATTCCTCCGGGCCCCGGGGCCGATAACGCCGAGTGGCGGTCAGACTGGGCACTCGCCACCTCCGCAAAGTTTGTTGTGGGAGGGGCGGTCAAACCATGCTCCCCCGCTCCCCCAAGCAGCCAAGCAGCAGCCGCAAGCTGTCGAGCCCAGCCCATGGCAGCAGATACCAGGACTCCTCTCTGCATGCTGTCACGGCATTAGCGCCTCCCCGGACCTTTCTGATAAGCCTTGCTCTTGTCCTCCCTTCTCGCGATCCTTTTATTCCGTCTCTTCATCTTTGCTGGAGAGCGCTTGCGTTTCTACCCAACGTCATAGCCACGGTCAAGCCGGTCCTGACTGCCTCGGTGTCTTTTTACATCTTGTCGCTCCCCTTCTCTCTCCCTCCCCTCTCCTCCTCCTCCTCTCGATTGTTTCCTTGCCTCCCCTGCCTTCTCCTCCCGCGTCCTCCTCTCTCTGCCCTAGCCTCAAGGGAACAGTCTGATGCGACCCTGCGCCCTCTGCTGTGTACTTCTTGCGCTCTGCGCACGACTGGCTACGTGCTCCGTCTGGAGCTGCTGCAACGGAGACTGGTTCGATCCCAACTGCTGGGACTACATGCCGGGAAGCAGTGACGACGCGCAGTTCCAGCTGGCCAGTAACTGCAATGTGACCTTCAGCAACGCGTCTGTGACTGTTGGATCGATCACGCTGTCTCTGTCAATCTCCGCGCCAATCCCTTCTTCTCCGCTGCAGCTGTGGTTCGTCAAAGCTTCTAGCTTGCAAGATAAGCCGTCGCTCACCGTGCAGACTATCACGGTCGGGAACTACATTGCGCTCACTGCACTAGCACTCAACATCGCTGCAAGTCAGCAGGTCACGACCTCCTTTCAGTCGCAGCTCGTCTGCTACGGCTCCAACATCGGAAGCTCAAGCTGCGCATCCTGTGCACCTACAGGAACTCTGACTGTCGCCGGGCACAGCACGTTTTTGCTCAAGCCCTTGAGCGCCCTGGACACAGTCTACCTCACCATGAATATCAAGAACTCCGGCAGCATGCAAATCAACGGAGGCCAAAGCGTCTACATGTCAGGGAACCTGGTCAACAGCAACAAGCTGTATCTTCAAATCTCCAATTTCATCCCTGCCGCCTACAGTAGTTGGAAGAATGATGTTACGGGGACCATCACTTTCTCCAACGATGGCTCCTCGACCAAGTACTACATGAGGTTTATGTCTGCCTTCAACAACTCAGGCACCGTTCAGATCGACGCTCCCTGCACGGTGGTATTCGCGGGTGGTGGAACCAACACAGGGCTGCTGGGCGTAGACGGCTCCTTAAACGTGACCAACAGTTACAACTTCGTCTCTAACACGATGCAAGGCAGCGGCTCTGTGTATCTCCAGTCGATCAACAGCGTGCTTCTTGCAGGATCATGCGGCAGCTCCATCAAGCTCTTTGTCCATGGGCCCACCACCATTGCCCAGCTCTTCCAGGTCAAAGCTGGATGTACTGTGACGATGGGGGCGACAGATCTTTTCGCCGGATCCCTCAAGGGAGCAGGCGTGTCTGCTTCCTCGATATCCGTCTTGAGCGGAGGGGTCTTTGGATCTGACGGGTCGACTGCCTGTAGCATCTCGTCGCTGACTCTGAGCAACGCCGGGAATGTAGCGTTGCTCAGCATGGCGTTTGCGAGCCAGACTATCATCTCAAATCAGGCTCAAGGCGTAGTAAGCCTTACAGAGACAAGACTGCAGGATCAAGCGTCGAGCCTCCTCCTGACCAATGCGGGCGAGCTCGTCATGACGGCAAGCGCCTTCAGCTCCGTACAAAACTCTGGGCGAGTCATCATCATCCAGTCAAGCTCCTTGTCGCTCGCCTTGTCCTCCACGGCTTCCTTCATGCAGCAATCAGGTGTCGTTGCCACAATCGTCAATAACGCCATGAGTGCCAGTGTGCGAGTAGCTGCTTCACCTGGGTATGGTGGGAGTCCAAGCTTCACGTTGTCAGGATACGCTGAGCTTGACCTCCTTCCTGGAACATCCTGGATCTCGCTGTCGTCCAACACTTCCGTTTGTAGTCTGGAGATGAAGAATGTCGTCCAGGCGTCGATGGCGGACTCAACCCATGGCTGTGATGTATCATTCTCCTACACGAGCTTGAGGTGTGTCGGTGAGTGTACGTTCCTCGGGGCGATCTCGATAGCCAACACGTCTACCTTCCTGGGCAACGGCACGGTGATCTCTCACAGCTTCTCCTTCGGTCCGGTGGCTGCAGGCCAGGAGCTAGTGAGCGAGGCTCCGTTCCGCAACGTCGGGTCTTGCGTCGCTTGCGGAGGAGTGTTGTCGCTCCGTGGAGGCTTCGTCCAGGTCGGAGAAGCCGCTGTCCTCAATCTCTGCGGGGGGCAGCTGCTGGGCAATGTGAGCATTGTACAAGGTTCTCTCTTTCCGGGCGGCAGCATCGTGGGAGACGTGGATCTAGGAGGACGGCTGACGTTTGGGGAGAACATGAGTCTCAACGTCGTCGGCTCCTTCAGGTCAACGAGCACGAGCCTCATCTCGCTCTCATTCGAGCTGACTAACTCGGCGACCGCCGGCCTGATCGCGACGCGATCGAACCTGCTCAATGTCACGCAGGCGCTTGAGCTGAGCGGCAGGGTCTCCTCCAACTGGACGTGGATCGGCCCTCCCAGCCTCAATCTGTCCTCTCCGATTTTGTTTCTTGCAGCAAGCTCGCTCACGGCTTTGACCAGAGGAGAGCTGGCGGTTGAGATCAGGCAGTTCGATCCGCAGACTCTACTTCCTCTGTTCACGAACAAGCAGATGTTATTTGACTTTCAAGGCTGTCCCGACGGCACCACCGGCACCTATATGTGCGATGGATGCTCTCCAGGGACCTTCTCACGCAGAAATGGCTTGGCCCCTCTCCAGTGCGAGTCCTGTCCGGCAGGCTCGTATCAGGTCAAAGCAAGGCGTCTGCCACCTGCTAGCTTGCTGCTTGCTGACTTTGCGCCTATCAGAACACGACCGGGTCGTCTCAGTGTATGGAGTGTCCAGCAGGGTATGTGCAGGGCAGCGCGGGCTCGACTTCGTGTACGGCGTGTCCTGCAGGCTCGTATCAGGTCAAAGCAAGGCGTCTGCCACCTGCTAGCTTGCTGCTTGCTGACTTTGCGCCTGTCAGAACACGACCGGGTCGTCTCAGTGTATGGAGTGTCCAGCAGGGTATGTGCAGGGCAGCGCGGGCTCGACTTCGTGTACGGCGTGTCCTACAGGCTCGTATCAGGTCAAAGCAAGGCGTCTGCCACCTGCTAGCTTGCTGCTTGCTGACTTTGCGCCTACCAGAACACGACCGGGTCGTCTCAGTGTATGGAGTGTCCAGCAGGGTATGTGCAGGGCAGCGCGGGCTCGACTTCGTGTACGGCGTGTCCTGCAGGCTCGTATCAGGTCAAAGCAAGGCGTCTGCCACCTGCTAGCTTGCTGCTTGCTGACTTTGCGCCTATCAGAACACGACCGGGTCGTCTCACGATGGTCAGGCTATTCTGTGAAGGTATGTGCAGGGCAGCGCGGGCTCGACTTCGTGTACGGCGTGTCCTGCAGGCTCGTATCAGGTCAAAGCAAGGCGTCTGCCACCTGCTAGCTTGCTGCTTGCTGACTTTGCGCCTATCAGAACACGACCGGGTCGTCTCAGTGTATGGAGTGTCCAGCAGGGTATGTGCAGGGCAGCGCGGGCTCGACTTCGTGTACGGCGTGTCCTGCAGGCTCGTATCAGGTCAAAGCAAGGCGTCTGCCACCTGCTAGCTTGCTGCTTGCTGACTTTGCGCCTATCAGAACACGACCGGGTCGTCTCAGTGTATGGAGTGTCCAGCAGGGTATGTGCAGGGCAGCGCGGGCTCGACTTCGTGTACGGCGTGTCCTGCAGGCTCGTATCAGGTCAAAGCAAGGCGTCTGCCACCTGCTAGCTTGCTGCTTGCTGACTTTGCGCCTATCAGAACACGACCGGGTCGTCTCAGTGTATGGAGTGTCCAGCAGGGTATGTGCAGGGCAGCGCGGGCTCGACTTCGTGTACGGCGTGTCCTGCAGGCTCGTATCAGGTCAAAGCAAGGCGTCTGCCACCTGCTAGCTTGCTGCTTGCTGACTTTGCGCCTATCAGAACACGACCGGGTCGTCTCAGTGTATGGAGTGTCCAGCATGGTATGTGCAGGGCAGCGCGGGCTCGACTTCGTGTACGGCGTGTCCTGCAGGCTCGTATCAGGTCAAAGCAAGGCGTCTGCCACCTGCTAGCTTGCTGCTTGCTGACTTTGCGCCTATCAGAACACGACCGGGTCGTCTCAGTGTATGGAGTGTCCAGCAGGGTATGTGCAGGGCAGCGCGGGCTCGACTTCGTGTACGGCGTGTCCTGCAGGCTCGTATCAGGTCAAAGCAAGGCGTCTGCCACCTGCTAGCTTGCTGCTTGCTGACTTTGCGCCTATCAGAACACGACCGGGTCGTCTCAGTGTATGGAGTGTCCAGCAGGGTATGTGCAGGGCAGCGCGGGCTCGACTTCGTGTACGGCGTGTCCTGCAGGCTCGTATCAGGTCAAAGCAAGGCGTCTGCCACCTGCTAGCTTGCTGCTTGCTGACTTTGCGCCTATCAGAACACGACCGGGTCGTCTCAGTGTATGGAGTGTCCAGCAGGGTATGTGCAGGGCAGCGCGGGCTCGACTTCGTGTACGGCGTGTCCTGCAGGCTCGTATCAGGTCAAAGCAAGGCGTCTGCCACCTGCTAGCTTGCTGCTTGCTGACTATGCGCCTATCAGAACACGACCGGGTCGTCTCAGTGTATGGAGTGTCCAGCAGGGTATGTGCAGGGCAGCGCGGGCTCGACTTCGTGTACGGCGTGTCCTGCAGGCTCGTATCAGGTCAAAGCAAGGCGTCTGCCACCTGCTAGCTTGCTGCTTGCTGACTTTGCGCCTATCAGAACACGACCGGGTCGTCTCAGTGTATGGAGTGTCCAGCAGGGTATGTGCAGGGCAGCGCGGGCTCGACTTCGTGTACGGCGTGTCCTGCAGGCTCGTATCAGGTCAAAGCAAGGCGTCTGCCACCTGCTAGCTTGCTGCTTGCTGACTTTGCGCCTATCAGAACACGACCGGGTCGTCTCAGTGTATGGAGTGTCCAGCAGGGTATGTGCAGGGCAGCGCGGGCTCGACTTCGTGTACGGCGTGTCCTGCAGGCTCGTATCAGGTCAAAGCAAGGCGTCTGCCACCTGCTAGCTTGCTGCTTGCTGACTTTGCGCCTATCAGAACACGACCGGGTCGTCTCAGTGTATGGAGTGTCCAGCAGGGTATGTGCAGGGCAGCGCGGGCTCGACTTCGTGTACGGCGTGTCCTGCAGGCTCGTATCAGGTCAAAGCAAGGCGTCTGCCACCTGCTAGCTTGCTGCTTGCTGACTATGCGCCTATCAGAACACGACCGGGTCGTCTCAGTGTATGGAGTGTCCAGCAGGGTATGTGCAGGGCAGCGCGGGCTCGACTTCGTGTACGGCGTGTCCTGCAGGCTCGTATCAGGTCAAAGCAAGGCGTCTGCCACCTGCTAGCTTGCTGCTTGCTGACTTTGCGCCTATCAGAACACGACCGGGTCGTCTCAGTGTATGGAGTGTCCAGCAGGGTATGTGCAGGGCAGCGCGGGCTCGACTTCGTGTACGGCGTGTCCTGCAGGCTCGTATCAGGTCAAAGCAAGGCGTCTGCCACCTGCTAGCTTGCTGCTTGCTGACTTTGCGCCTATCAGAACACGACCGGGTCGTCTCAGTGTATGGAGTGTCCAGCAGGGTATGTGCAGGGCAGCGCGGGCTCGACTTCGTGTACGGCGTGTCCTGCAGGCTCGTATCAGGTCAAAGCAAGGCGTCTGCCACCTGCTAGCTTGCTGCTTGCTGACTTTGCGCCTATCAGAACACGACCGGGTCGTCTCAGTGTATGGAGTGTCCAGCAGGGTATGTGCAGGGCAGCGCGGGCTCGACTTCGTGTACGGCGTGTCCTGCAGGCTCGTATCAGGTCAAAGCAAGGCGTCTGCCACCTGCTAGCTTGCTGCTTGCTGACTTTGCGCCTATCAGAACACGACCGGGTCGTCTCAGTGTATGGAGTGTCCAGCAGGGTATGTGCAGGGCAGCGCGGGCTCGACTTCGTGTACGGCGTGTCCTGCAGGCTCGTATCAGGTCAAAGCAAGGCGTCTGCCACATGCTAGCTTGCTGCTTGCTGACTTTGCGCCTATCAGAACACGACCGGGTCGTCTCAGTGTATGGAGTGTCCAGCAGGGTATGTGCAGGGCAGCGCGGGCTCGACTTCGTGTACGGCGTGTCCTGCAGGCTCGTATCAGGTCAAAGCAATGCGTCTGACACCTGCTAGCTTGCTGCTTGCTGACTTTGCGCCTATCAGAACACGACCGGGTCGTCTGAGTGTATGGAGTGTCCAGCAGGGTATGTGCAGGGCAGCGCGGGCTCGACATCGTGTACGGCGTGTCCTGCATGCTCGTATCAGGTCAAAGCAAGGCGTCTGCCACCTGCTAGCTTGCTGCTTGCTGACTTTGCGCCTATCAGAACACGACCGGGTCGTCTCAGTGTATGGAGTGTCCCAGCAGGGTATGTGCAGTGGCACGCGCGGTGCTCCCGACTTCTGTTGTACCGTGCGTGATCCTTGCAGTGCCTCCGTATACAGTGTCAAAAGCAAGGCGTCTGCCACCTGCTAGCTTGCTGCTTTGCTGACTTTGCGCCTATCAGAACACGACGGGTCGTCTCAGTGTTATGGAGTGTCCAGCAGGGTATGTGCAGGGCAGCGCGGGGCTCGACTTTCGTGTACGGCGTGTCCCTGCAGGCTCGTATCAGGGTCAAAAGCAAGGCGTCTGCCACCTGCTAGCTTGCTGCTTGCTGACTTTGCGCCTGTCAGAACACGACCGGGTCGTCTCAGTGTATGGAGTGTCCAGCAGGGTATGTGCAGGGCAGCGCGGGCTCGACTTCGTGTACGGCGTGTCCTACAGGCTCGTATCAGGTCAAAGCAAGGCGTCTGCCACCTGCTAGCTTGCTGCTTGCTGACTTTGCGCCTACCAGAACACGACCGGGTCGTCTCAGTGTATGGAGTGTCCAGCAGGGTATGTGCAGGGCAGCGCGGGCTCGACTTCGTGTACGGCGTGTCCTGCAGGCTCGTATCAGGTCAAAGCAAGGCGTCTGCCACCTGCTAGCTTGCTGCTTGCTGACTTTGCGCCTATCAGAACACGACCGGGTCGTCTCAGTGTATGGAGTGTCCAGCAGGGTATGTGCAGGGCAGCGCGGGCTCGACTTCGTGTACGGCGTGTCCTGCAGGCTCGTATCAGGTCAAAGCAAGGCGTCTGCCACCTGCTAGCTTGCTGCTTGCTGACTTTGCGCCTATCAGAACACGACCGGGTCGTCTCAGTGTATGGAGTGTCCAGCAGGGTATGTGCAGGGCAGCGCGGGCTCGACTTCGTGTACGGCGTGTCCTGCAGGCTCGTATCAGGTCAAAGCAAGGCGTCTGCCACCTGCTAGCTTGCTGCTTGCTGACTTTGCGCCTATCAGAACACGACCGGGTCGTCTCAGTGTATGGAGTGTCCAGCAGGGTATGTGCAGGGCAGCGCGGGCTCGACTTCGTGTACGGCGTGTCCTGCAGGCTCGTATCAGGTCAAAGCAAGGCGTCTGCCACCTGCTAGCTTGCTGCTTGCTGACTTTGCGCCTATCAGAACACGACCGGGTCGTCTCAGTGTATGGAGTGTCCAGCAGGGTATGTGCAGGGCAGCGCGGGCTCGACTTCGTGTACGGCGTGTCCTGCAGGCTCGTATCAGGTCAAAGCAAGGCGTCTGCCACCTGCTAGCTTGCTGCTTGCTGACTTTGCGCCTATCAGAACACGACCGGGTCGTCTCAGTGTATGGAGTGTCCAGCAGGGTATGTGCAGGGCAGCGCGGGCTCGACTTCGTGTACGGCGTGTCCTGCAGGCTCGTATCAGGTCAAAGCAAGGCGTCTGCCACCTGCTAGCTTGCTGCTTGCTGACTTTGCGCCTATCAGAACACGACCGGGTCGTCTCAGTGTATGGAGTGTCCAGCAGGGTATGTGCAGGGCAGCGCGGGCTCGACTTCGTGTACGGCGTGTCCTGCAGGCTCGTATCAGGTCAAAGCAAGGCGTCTGCCACCTGCTAGCTTGCTGCTTGCTGACTTTGCGCCTATCAGAACACGACCGGGTCGTCTCAGTGTATGGAGTGTCCAGCAGGGTATGTGCAGGGCAGCGCGGGCTCGACTTCGTGTACGGCGTGTCCTGCAGGCTCGTATCAGGTCAAAGCAAGGCGTCTGCCACCTGCTAGCTTGCTGCTTGCTGACTTTGCGCCTATCAGAACACGACCGGGTCGTCTCAGTGTATGGAGTGTCCAGCAGGGTATGTGCAGGGCAGCGCGGGCTCGACTTCGTGTACGGCGTGTCCTGCAGGCTCGTATCAGGTCAAAGCAAGGCGTCTGCCACCTGCTAGCTTGCTGCTTGCTGACTTTGCGCCTATCAGAACACGACCGGGTCGTCTCAGTGTATGGAGTGTCCAGCAGGGTATGTGCAGGGCAGCGCGGGCTCGACTTCGTGTACGGCGTGTCCTGCAGGCTCGTATCAGGTCAAAGCAAGGCGTCTGCCACCTGCTAGCTTGCTGCTTGCTGACTTTGCGCCTATCAGAACACGACCGGGTCGTCTCAGTGTATGGAGTGTCCAGCAGGGTATGTGCAGGGCAGCGCGGGCTCGACTTCGTGTACGGCGTGTCCTGCAGGCTCGTATCAGGTCAAAGCAAGGCGTCTGCCACCTGCTAGCTTGCTGCTTGCTGACTTTGCGCCTATCAGAACACGACCGGGTCGTCTCAGTGTATGGAGTGTCCAGCAGGGTATGTGCAGGGCAGCGCGGGCTCGACTTCGTGTACGGCGTGTCCTGCAGGCTCGTATCAGGTCAAAGCAAGGCGTCTGCCACTGCTAGCTTGCTGCTTGCTGACTTTGCGCCTATCAGAACACGACCGGGTCGTCTCAGTGTATGGAGTGTCCAGCAGGGTATGTGCAGGGCAGCGCGGGCTCGACTTCGTGTACGGCGTGTCCTGCAGGCTCGTATCAGGTCAAAGCAAGGCGTCTGCCACCTGCTAGCTTGCTGCTTGCTGACTTTGCGCCTATCAGAACACGACCGGGTCGTCTCAGTGTATGGAGTGTCCAGCAGGGTATGTGCAGGGCAGCGCGGGCTCGACTTCGTGTACGGCGTGTCCTGCAGGCTCGTATCAGGTCAAAGCAAGGCGTCTGCCACCTGCTAGCTTGCTGCTTGCTGACTTTGCGCCTATCAGAACACGACCGGGTCGTCTCAGTGTATGGAGTGTCCAGCAGGGTATGTGCAGGGCAGCGCGGGCTCGACTTCGTGTACGGCGTGTCCTGCAGGCTCGTATCAGGTCAAAGCAAGGCGTCTGCCACCTGCTAGCTTGCTGCTTGCTGACTTTGCGCCTATCAGAACACGACCGGGTCGTCTCAGTGTATGGAGTGTCCAGCAGGGTATGTGCAGGGCAGCGCGGGCTCGACTTCGTGTACGGCGTGTCCTGCAGGCTCGTATCAGGTCAAAGCAAGGCGTCTGCCACCTGCTAGCTTGCTGCTTGCTGACTTTGCGCCTATCAGAACACGACCGGGTCGTCTCAGTGTATGGAGTGTCCAGCAGGGTATGTGCAGGGCAGCGCGGGCTCGACTTCGTGTACGGCGTGTCCTGCAGGCTCGTATCAGGTCAAAGCAAGGCGTCTGCCACCTGCTAGCTTGCTGCTTGCTGACTTTGCGCCTATCAGAACACGACCGGGTCGTCTCAGTGTATGGAGTGTCCAGCAGGGTATGTGCAGGGCAGCGCGGGCTCGACTTCGTGTACGGCGTGTCCTGCAGGCTCGTATCAGGTCAAAGCAAGGCGTCTGCCACCTGCTAGCTTGCTGCTTGCTGACTTTGCGCCTATCAGAACACGACCGGGTCGTCTCAGTGTATGGAGTGTCCAGCAGGGTATGTGCAGGGCAGCGCGGGCTCGACTTCGTGTACGGCGTGTCCTGCAGGCTCGTATCAGGTCAAAGCAAGGCGTCTGCCACCTGCTAGCTTGCTGCTTGCTGACTTTGCGCCTATCAGAACACGACCGGGTCGTCTCAGTGTATGGAGTGTCCAGCAGGGTATGTGCAGGGCAGCGCGGGCTCGACTTCGTGTACGGCGTGTCCTGCAGGCTCGTATCAGGTCAAAGCAAGGCGTCTGCCACCTGCTAGCTTGCTGCTTGCTGACTTTGCGCCTATCAGAACACGACCGGGTCGTCTCAGTGTATGGAGTGTCCAGCAGGGTATGTGCAGGGCAGCGCGGGCTCGACTTCGTGTACGGCGTGTCCTGCAGGCTCGTATCAGGTCAAAGCAAGGCGTCTGCCACCTGCTAGCTTGCTGCTTGCTGACTTTGCGCCTATCAGAACACGACCGGGTCGTCTCAGTGTATGGAGTGTCCAGCAGGGTATGTGCAGGGCAGCGCGGGCTCGACTTCGTGTACGGCGTGTCCTGCAGGCTCGTATCAGGTCAAAGCAAGGCGTCTGCCACCTGCTAGCTTGCTGCTTGCTGACTTTGCGCCTATCAGAACACGACCGGGTCGTCTCAGTGTATGGAGTGTCCAGCAGGGTATGTGCAGGGCAGCGCGGGCTCGACTTCGTGTACGGCGTGTCCTGCAGGCTCGTATCAGGTCAAAGCAAGGCGTCTGCCACCTGCTAGCTTGCTGCTTGCTGACTTTGCGCCTATCAGAACACGACCGGGTCGTCTCAGTGTATGGAGTGTCCAGCAGGGTATGTGCAGGGCAGCGCGGGCTCGACTTCGTGTACGGCGTGTCCTGCAGGCTCGTATCAGGTCAAAGCAAGGCGTCTGCCACCTGCTAGCTTGCTGCTTGCTGACTTTGCGCCTATCAGAACACGACCGGGTCGTCTCAGTGTATGGAGTGTCCAGCAGGGTATGTGCAGGGCAGCGCGGGCTCGACTTCGTGTACGGCGTGTCCTGCAGGCTCGTATCAGGTCAAAGCAAGGCGTCTGCCACCTGCTAGCTTGCTGCTTGCTGACTTTTCGCCTATCAGAACACGACCGGGTCGTCTCAGTGTATGGAAGTGTCCAGCAGGGGTATGTGCAGGGCAGCGCGGGCTCGACTTCGTGTACGGCGTGTCCTGCAGGCTCGTATCAGGTCAAAGCAAGGCGTCTGCCACCTGCTAGCTTGCTGCTTGCTGACTTTGCGCCTATCAGAACACGACCGGGTCGTCTCAGTGTATGGAGTGTCCAGCAGGGTATGTGCAGGGCAGCGCGGGCTCGACTTCGTGTACGGCGTGTCCTGCAGGCTCGTATCAGGTCAAAGCAAGGCGTCTGCCACCTGCTAGCTTGCTGCTTGCTGACTTTGCGCCTATCAGAACACGACCGGGTCGTCTCAGTGTATGGAGTGTCCAGCAGGGTATGTGCAGGGCAGCGCGGGCTCGACTTCGTGTACGGCGTGTCCTGCAGGCTCGTATCAGGTCAAAGCAAGGCGTCTGCCACCTGCTAGCTTGCTGCTTGCTGACTTTGCGCCTATCAGAACACGACCGGGTCGTCTCAGTGTATGGAGTGTCCAGCAGGGTATGTGCAGGGCAGCGCGGGCTCGACTTCGTGTACGGCGTGTCCTGCAGGCTCGTATCAGGTCAAAGCAAGGCGTCTGCCACCTGCTAGCTTGCTGCTTGCTGACTATGCGCCTATCAGAACACGACCGGGTCGTCTCAGTGTATGGAGTGTCCAGCAGGGTATGTGCAGGGCAGCGCGGGCTCGACTTCGTGTACGGCGTGTCCTGCAGGCTCGTATCAGGTCAAAGCAAGGCGTCTGCCACCTGCTAGCTTGCTGCTTGCTGACTTTGCGCCTATCAGAACACGACCGGGTCGTCTCAGTGTATGGAGTGTCCAGCAGGGTATGTGCAGGGCAGCGCGGGCTCGACTTCGTGTACGGCGTGTCCTGCAGGCTCGTATCAGGTCAAAGCAAGGCGTCTGCCACCTGCTAGCTTGCTGCTTGCTGACTTTGCGCCTATCAGAACACGACCGGGTCGTCTCAGTGTATGGAGTGTCCAGCAGGGTATGTGCAGGGCAGCGCGGGCTCGACTTCGTGTACGGCGTGTCCTGCAGGCTCGTATCAGGTCAAAGCAAGGCGTCTGCCACCTGCTAGCTTGCTGCTTGCTGACTTTGCGCCTATCAGAACACGACCGGGTCGTCTCAGTGTATGGAGTGTCCAGCAGGGTATGTGCAGGGCAGCGCGGGCTCGACTTCGTGTACGGCGTGTCCTGCAGGCTCGTATCAGGTCAAAGCAAGGCGTCTGCCACCTGCTAGCTTGCTGCTTGCTGACTTTGCGCCTATCAGAACACGACCGGGTCGTCTCAGTGTATGGAGTGTCCAGCAGGGGTATGTGCAGGGCAGCGCGGGCTCGACTTCGTGTACGGCGTGGCCCGGCAGGTGTTCCTTGCAGGCTCGTATCACAGGGCGGTCTGCCACCCAAAGCAAGGCGTCTGCCACCTTTGCTTTAGCTTTTTGGCTGCCCTTTTGCTGAAAACCACCGAACTTTGGGGCGCCTATCAGAACGCGACCGGGTCGTCTCAGTGTATGGAGTGTCCAGCAGGGTATGTGCAGGGCAGCGCGGGCTCGACTTCGTGTACGGGCGTGTCCTGCAGGCTCGTATCAGGTCAAAGCAAGGCGTCTGCCACCTGCTAGCTTGCTGCTTGCTGACTTTGCGCCCTATCAGAACACGACCGGGTCGTCTCAGTGTATGGAGTGTCCAGCAGGGTATGTGCAGGGCAGCGCGGGCTCGACTTTCGTGTACGGCGTGTCCTGCAGGCTCGTATCAGGTCAAAGCAAGGCGTCTGCCACCTGCTAGCTTGCTGCTTGCTGACTTTGCGCCTATCAGAACACGACCGGGTCGTCTCAGTGTATGGAGTGTCCAGCAGGGTATGTGCAGGGCAGCGCGGGCTCGACTTCGTGTACGGCGTGTCCTGCAGGCTCGTATCAGGTCAAAGCAAGGCGTCTGCCACCTGCTAGCTTGCTGCTTGCTGACTTTGCGCCTATCAGAACACGACCGGGTCGTCTCAGTGTATGGAGTGTCCAGCAGGGTATGTGCAGGGCAGCGCGGGCTCGACTTCGTGTACGGCGTGTCCTGCAGGCTCGTATCAGGTCAAAGCAAGGCGTCTGCCACCTGCTAGCTTGCTGCTTGCTGACTTTGCGCCTATCAGAACACGACCGGGTCGTCTCAGTGTATGGAGTGTCCAGCAGGGTATGTGCAGGGCAGCGCGGGCTCGACTTCGTGTACGGCGTGTCCTGCAGGCTCGTATCAGGTCAAAGCAAGGCGTCTGCCACCTGCTAGCTTGCTGCTTGCTGACTTTGCGCCTATCAGAACACGACCGGGTCGTCTCAGTGTATGGAGTGTCCAGCAGGGTATGTGCAGGGCAGCGCGGGCTCGACTTCGTGTACGGCGTGTCCTGCAGGCTCGTATCAGGTCAAAGCAAGGCGTCTGCCACCTGCTAGCTTGCTGCTTGCTGACTATGCGCCTATCAGAACACGACCGGGTCGTCTCAGTGTATGGAGTGTCCAGCAGGGTATGTGCAGGGCAGCGCGGGCTCGACTTCGTGTACGGCGTGTCCTGCAGGCTCGTATCAGGTCAAAGCAAGGCGTCTGCCACCTGCTAGCTTGCTGCTTGCTGACTTTGCGCCTATCAGAACACGACCGGGTCGTCTCAGTGTATGGAGTGTCCAGCAGGGTATGTGCAGGGCAGCGCGGGCTCGACTTCGTGTACGGCGTGTCCTGCAGGCTCGTATCAGGTCAAAGCAAGGCGTCTGCCACCTGCTAGCTTGCTGCTTGCTGACTTTGCGCCTATCAGAACACGACCGGGTCGTCTCAGTGTATGGAGTGTCCAGCAGGGTATGTGCAGGGCAGCGCGGGCTCGACTTCGTGTACGGCGTGTCCTACAGGCTCGTTTCCAGATTCAAACTTATCATCTTGTGTTGTTACCCGGACGTCATCTCATCTTCCAATTCCCAATGCATCTATTGAGTACAATTCCTCAACAGCTTTTGCTACGTCGAACGGGACTGCGATTGCCTCGTTGAACGGGACAGCCATGGCCTCGTTCAATGACACATCACTGATCATGATAATTTCTGCTTCAACGACTCCAGAGAAATCTCAAAGAATGCTGACAGATGGCATGATCTTTGCTGCCTCACTCTCATTGCTCACGTTCGGGCTGGGGGTATTTGGTTTTCGCCACTTCTCGCTTTTCAACCAAACTCAGCAACGGACAAGTCAGGATGACCAGACGTCGTCTCTACGTCAGCTCGACCCGGACATGGCGTTGCCCTTCTCTACACAGAACACAGAGCTCCTTCAGACAACGTCACACTTGGGCTTTGATCATTGCCTCAAGATCGTCTCGGATGATGACGTCACCATGACGAGCGCCTTCTCTATCCCTCTGCCGGGCATGAGAGCTCATGATCACAGCCAGGGCGAGTTTTACAAGGCAACAAGCGCCCGCAATCTGGTCAGCTGGAAGGAGTACAAAGACAGTGAGGGCCGAGGATTGTATTACAACCAGAACGAGACGCCTAACGACGTCCACGAGTTACAGCAGTACAGAGGAGAAGAAGATGCGGAGCAATCACTGTTCAAGGAGGAGGAAACCACGTTGACAGTCCTGGCTCATGGGGAGATCACAGCATGCGAGTCTGAGACTCTCCCAGACAATATCATGTAGGTAACACAGAGCAGGAGCAACTGAAGCTTGCTTCAATCCAGCAGCAGCTTGCTCGGAAGGAGAAAAATCTGCGACCACTGGTGCAATGAGGATTCAAGCAGAGGCTTGCCTGCCTGATGAGATGCAAGGTGAATGGCAGGAGAGAGGCGAGAGGAAGGGAACGAGGAAGCGATCTCTCAAGGAGGGGGTGGCAAACTTCTTGGATCAGATTCGTAACTTCAGTACGGATCATCTACGGAGTTCTGTTCGTAGACTGTCATGCAGCATCAATGGGGCGACTACGAAATAAATAATAGAGCTTCAAAGGCTTCAATTAGCAACTGAACGAGGACAATCAGGAGAGTCGAGAAGGCTTGTACCTGACACTGTCAAGACTGTTCAGACTTTGAGTAAAGAAGGGGTTCAGAAGTGAAATCATTCCCGGAAGACAATCACCGTACTCAGGCACTGCGGCAGCGGCAAGTTCCGAACTGAGCCGTGCCGGGCCCGGCCGGGCAGGGGCGAATCTCCGGAGCCCGGGCGGCCACCTGAGGCAGGCCCGAAAAGCGCAGCATGCACTCCAGGGGCGGAACGATGGGAACTGCGACGCATGCTTGCTTCCTCCTTGTCCTGCCCTTGTTGTACGTCTGTCTCTCCTTCACTCGTGTCTGCTCGTCTGTCTCTCCTACCTCCACTGGTCATGCTCTCTTTCTGAACCCTTCCAGTCCCTACAATGCCAAGGTTGGAAGTCTACGCCTCAGGGGTGGTGAGGACGGATCAGTGCGAGCAGGGGGAGATTCTGGTTCCTCGCCTCCAGTTCCCCGAGGTTTCATGCAGAGATTCCTCATCAAGGACGTTTTCGCGAGTGAATCTCTCCTTATCGGCACTCGTCTTGTTGTTTGTGGCTGGGCCAGGACAATCCGTTTGCAAGGGTCGGGCAAATTCGCATTCCTGGAGCTCAACGACGGATCTTGCTTCAAGAGCCTTCAGGTGTTTGCCGACCCAAATACTGAAGGATGGCAAGAGCTCGTCAAGAACACTCACGCGCACACTTCCTGGAGAGTGACAGGGAAACTCGTCGAAAGCCCCGGTAGCGGCCAGAGTGTTGAGGTACAGGCAGAAGGGCTTCAGCTGCTGGGTAGCTGCTCTCCTGACTCCTATCCACTAGCAAAGGTAGCAGCTTCCTCTGTGCGTCTGTCCGGGCTGAAGGAGGCTGCAACAGGCCAGGCTGCCCCTCGACTTCCTTCGTACGATCCCACATCTCCGACCTCGATCCAACACCTACGGAGCTGCTTCGAGGATCCGCAGGTTGATGGCAGCTAATTTGTTTGAGATGAGCCAGTGATGAACCAATTTCTCTTGCAGCACTCTGGCTTTCTCTGTGCATAAATACTTTCAGGAGCACGGGTTCCAATATGTGGTGAGCCGAGTTGTGTTGGAACGACGACCAAGTTGACAAGTCCTGATGGCAGCACACGCCGTTGATCACAACATCAAATTGTGAAGGAGCTGGTGGGGTTTGACATTCATCGGAGTGTCTGTGACCTGGTGGTTGCAATGCAGGAGAGCTCTTCTCTGTATCTACTTTGATGTCTAAGGTGGGTCGACTGAATTTCCTTCGTTATGAGTGGACAAGGCGCTAAGCGGCTGCATGCAGGCAGACACATGTTACACCCCTGAAAATCGATCCTGGGATTACAATCAAGATTTCTTCAAGAGGCCAACGTTCTTGACGGTATCTGGTCAGCTTCAGGTATCACAGTTTGCATGCGCCTCAACCACTCTGATTGCTCTCAGGCAGAAGCCTATGCTTGTGCCCTGGGAAATGTGTACACCTTTGGACCAACTTTTCGGGCTGAAGAATCACATACAAAGAGGCAACCAACCATATATGGAACAATCGCGCTCATGATGGATTCCAACTTTCAGGCACCTTGCCGAATTTTGGATGATCGAGCCTGAAATGGCTTTCTCCAACCTCCAAGTAAATCTCGTGCCTCTCCTTTGATTTACCTCACGTCATTGTAGGACGTAATGGAGAATGCTGAGGGCCTGCTGAAGTTTGTGCTGAAGGAGTTGATGCTGGTAGTGTTATGCAACCCTCAGTCTCGATGAGCCTTATCAAGAATGTCCAGAGGAACGAGCAGGATCTGAACTTTTTTGACAACGCATGCCAAAAGGTGCAGGAGAGTTATTCAAGGAGACTGCTTACTTTTCGTGCTCAGGGCATGAAGGGATTCTCCAACGTCTCATTGACTGGACAGATCCGGTACTTTTTGCACAAGGTTGTGACTAGAACATGTAACTATGATCAAGGGACATCATAGAAAAACCTTTCGTTCGGTTGGCGTATGGCGATGCTATCGACTTGTTGCAGAGGGTGAATAAGGCATACAACCTCCTAGGATGAATCGCTCACGGTGATTCGACAGAGTGGCAAAAAATTCGAAATGCCAGCCGAGTGGGGGAACGATCTTGCTACCGAGCACGAAAAATACTTGTGTGAGGAGCATTTTGGTGGGCCGGTCATCGTGTATGGTGAAGAATATAATCACAGCATGTCATTCTGTGACTGAGATGCAGACTATCCGATGGACATTAAGGCATTTTACATGCGGCTCAACGACGATGACAAGGTAGGTTCCTCCTCGCAAGCCTTCGCTTCCCACTGACGAGCTGCTGCAAGACGGTGGCTGCCATGGACATTCTCTTCCCGCGATGTGGAGAGATGGTGGGAGGAAGCCAGAGGGAGGAGCGGATCGACCGACTTCTCGGGCGCATAGAGGAGCTGGGCCTCGACGGCTCATCGCTCGAGTGGTACAACGACCTTCGAAGATTTGGGGGGGTGCCGCATGCTGGTGAGACGATCTCGACCAGGACTCATGCTCTCTCTCACCAGACAGACTCTCTCTCTCTCCCCCTCCCCCCCCCCCTCTCTCTCCCTCCCTCCCAAGGTTGGGAGCGTCTCACCGTGCCCCTCCAGGTTATGGGCTGGGCTTTGACCGCCTCGTGCAGTTTGCCACGGGCCTGGAGAACATACGTGAGCCAGACCATATGTGGAAGAATCGAGATTGACTCCCCCATGCACTGCAGGAGACGTCATCCCTTTCCCCAGAGCGACTGGACATGCCATGTGCTAGGAAGGGGTCACGTCAGTTAAGGAAGAAAACCCTGGAAGTTCTTTCGATCATCTTTAATTAACCTCATCTCCTTTCTCACAGAAATCTCTTTCCTCATAAAACGATAAAGCTCCCCATATGCATTCGATCGTTGAGACGCACTAGGAGATGAAAAACCTTGGTGAGTTCACTCCTTCTTGCCCGACTTGCCTTTGGACCTGAAGAAGAAGCACCATACAAGGCAGGCAAGTCCGACAGGAGACAGCAGCACCATGACAGCAACAGTGCGCAAAGGGAGGAGAGCTCTCATCTTGAACTCGGCCTGATCGTTCAGCCGAGGGAAAGGCTCAGTGGGACATGACCCCGGCGAAATCTCTAGGAAATCGCACAAAGGCTTCCAACCTTCCTTGCCGACTGCGATCTCCAACTTCCTCCTCTTGGGCAGATTCAACTTTCTGAATCTTTCCGCGTCCTGGAGATATGCTTTGATCGTCTCCTCCTTGGAGTCTGTCGGCCGCCTCCCTTTTCCCAGAACCTTGTCCCACAGGGATGGCACCATGACAGTGAACTTGCGCGAGAGAGGAACAAACAGCCCAAGGATCCTGTGGTGCCATAGCGCCTGAAAGATGGTCTCCTTAGCAGAGTTGTACCATCTTTCAGGGTCTCTTGTACTGAGGATGACCTTTGAATTCGGAAAGGTCTCCAGAATCTCCTTCCACCACGCAGCAGCAGGAAAGTCCACAGCCGCGGTGTAGTTCTCGAAGATGGTGTGGATGACATGCTTGTAAGGCTTGCCTTGGGAATGGAGCTCAGCAAGTTCGATCCACAGGTCAAGATGATGGGAATTGTGCTCGATGATCTCGATCATATGGTAGGTCTTGTACCCCAACTTGTCCAGGGCCACTTTCAGACTCATCGTCCCTGTACGCCCCCATCCTGCACCCACAATGGACAGCTCAGCCCTGACAGGCGAGATCAAGAACGAGATAGTAAGCAAGCTCGAGACGAGGAGGGGACAGCAAGCGCTCCGTGAACAAGAGCTCGGTACCATGCCGCTTCTACTCACGTTCCCCTGGAATGAGGAATCTACAAGTTGCGGGGATGTGAACTTTTTATTGCTTACTACAAATGTCCAATAGAATATCGACATTATCTATTCTTTATTGTCAATCGCAGTTTCAGTCAACATTCATTCCACACATGCGAGCTTCCCGATCACCTTTGTTTAATGCAGATTTCCGGTATTTATTGAGCTGTATTAAACGTCCCCCTTCTGTCGATTGTTTTATGCTCGTTTTTATTGTTTTTCAAAAAAGTTGAAATGCGACCGTCCCGCCTGGGGGCGTAAAACTTGGAGCCCTCCGAAAGATGTAAACTAGGCAAAGTCGCATCACTGTACTAAAACTTTACTCAAATTTAAGTTAAAAACAGTACGAGCCCTTTTACTGTGCAGTGCTGTCCCCCAACTTAACTGATCGGCATCACCTTCACACTTAACTTGGCTGCCGCGGCCCGGCTTAAAGCCGGGCCCTCCGACTCAGTCGAGTCCCCGGCGCCGGGCGCCCTGGGCGAGTGACCGGTCGGACCGTCGGACTGGCCAACTTAACTTTGAGTAAAGACTCAGGCCGGAGTCGCGAGTCGGGCCGCGGCCGGCGCGCGCCGCGCGGCCGGCGGCGGGGGGAACTTTTAGGCTTCAGTTTGAAGTCGGAACCGTGTCCTATATGTCCTTGAAAGTTGAACATGACGGACCAATCTACGTTCATCTGCATCAGTTTCAACCCTTACACTAGGGGTTTTATGGATGACCTTCTGAATAGCGTAGCGTAGTGTGCCCACTTTAGTTAACCTGGAGAAAGGGGTTAAGATCTAGGTTAAATCCATAGGTGATCCCAGTTCAAGACTCCAGTTATCAATTTGTACCACAACCCACTCTTTTTTTGAACTGTTAGGAATTTGTTCCACCGATGCATTCAAGTTCATGAGGTAGACATGCAATGAGGACAGAATGAAGATCGGATTCGCATGCAAAGGTCATGCTACACTTGTATGAGGTTCCAGCATCACGTATATTGCATGATTCTCTCATGTGGTATGCCTGATGCAGTCATGCAGAACATCAACAACATGAAACGGTAGTCTTTTATTGCATGAACTTCGTCACTTCCAGCGAATGTTCTCGATGTCTGGGTCTTCCATTTAGGATTTGCGGTTCCAATGCACGCTTTCCAATGAGCAATTCACTGGAATCTGCATAGCTTGACACACTGATTCTCAGAAAGCAGCGACGTTTGCCCGTTGCAATTTCCGCTTTACCTCTGCTTTTTCTTCAACCTATGTATGTTACTGTGAAAACGTTCTGTATGTGGCCATATGTTCAAGTAAACGATGTCATTCAGAATCTCAGAGCCATTGTCCTCATTGAGCACACAACAGGGAAGCAGTCATCATCAAAATATTGCTGTTTCAGTGATGTTCAACGAGCGACGAGAACCGATTATAAAGAGTCAGGGTACGCTCATGCTTGCATACTTGCACGAGTCTTTTCTGACAGGATGGGTGTTGACGTCATGTTGTCAGTCAGATGGGGAGGCCAAGGTACACGACAAGGAGGTCGGGCGAGCATGCTCACGCCATGTTAACGCGGTGTGGAACGCCCTGTCTGCGGGCGGGTCGTCGGCTTTTACCGAGATGTCGAAACGTTGCGATTTAGCTATTCAAACGCTATTCAGGCCAGAAGATCCGGTGCTGGATCATTACATCAGGAAGACACACGAAGACCTTAAGCACGGGATCCGCGATGCACAAGTGATGATTGATAGAAGCCTGATATCTTGTTGGATCGCCAAGAAGTTCCCAGATCTATACAACCGCATACCAAACGATGCAAGGTTGCTACATCCTAGTATCACCTACCACCATTCCACCCTACCAGATATCGGAAGATTCATATCACAAAGTCTCATACAGAAGGACTGGAAGTCAAACCTCATATTGAATGTGATATGCAACAGTATCCCGTGCTTGAAGAGGAACAGGGTCGCCTTTCTTGCAGAGGAGCTTTTTGTTGACCCTTCTACACCTGTTCTAGTCAACATAATGCACGGGCTCCTGCTTGGCTTGTATCCCAATACTGCGAAGAGGCCATCATTCGAACAGAGGGTGCGATGCGCGAGTGAGTTAAGATCGATGATGACAAGACCATTACAAGAGCAGGCAAGGTTCATCTATTCAAACCTCAATCTTTTAAAGTTGTCGATCATGGAGTACGTCTGGTATGCATGCAACACATTCATAGTGTCGGAGAAGGAGATCATTTGTTCTGTACAAGGCATGCAGACGTTTTTTGACATCTGTCCCAATGTCGCCGATGCATTCCGACAAGAGACCCTACAGAGTGGAGATTGGACGTGGGATAGATTGGATGAAGTCGCCACTGTGTGTGTGGATCGATGTGTCAGGACATGTAAGTTCAGGTCTGGCAGACATGCACCATCCAAGGAGGTCGTGGTAAAATGGAGGAGAATTACGGATGATATGGACCATCTCTTCGATGCAGCAAAATCCATGAACCCTGTGAATATCAATGGCCTGCTCTGGAAAATCTATCACCGTGACAACCCGAACATAACCGTGGAAGAATTCAACATCATAGACCACTTGCATTCTAGATGTAAGGTGTATCCGCTTCCATGTAACCTTACAGCGATGCAATGCTCTGCAATACTAAAGAGATATAGCTCGGACCATTTCCAAATGGAGAACATGATGAAGGTCCACATCTGCATGAAGTGCTGCAACAAACTCAATGGCTTTACCGTCTCATCGAAACTCAGACTATGTATGCAGACCAACCAGTTGCGCTGTGCTTCCTGTGGGCTTCATAACTCTATCATAAGCGTCAACATGCTTGGCAAGATACTCGTCATACAGGGCGCTAGCTACATACTCTGCCCATGTTGCGGCACCTTCAAGAGATGGAACCATACCGGAAATGAGTTCACGAAGCCATGTGAGTTCGCCAATCATTATTCGAACCCAAGGATAGGGACTTCACTCAGCTCCATACTCAAAATGTCGAGCAGTGACCATGGTGGTTATTACAATGACATAAAGAATAGGAAGTCGAGCAAGTCAAGTTACTTCAAGTTCGAGGCATCGGACACAAACTCTACCCTAATCAAGAATGGAAGGGCATGCTGCAAGGAGTGTATAAGGTGTGGGAAGACATCAAACCTTGAGAGGGTGGTGGTATTGAACGCAAAGTACGGGGTTCACATACAGCTCTACTTATGCATGAAACACATGCTCCCAAGGTACATCATGAAGTTTGTGATCGACATCAAGGACCTCGCCCGTGCCTGTGTCAACTATGATAGATCCAGGGAAAGTAGAAGGAGGTGTGGTAAAAAGAGAAGGATCATGACAACCGGGTGATTTAAAGAGCAATCCTTTTTTGATTTGTGATTTTAAACAATAAAAACTAATCTACCGAAGGGGGGCATTGCAGTATGAGTGTAACGAATCTTAAGCCCGCGTTTCAATTCAGACCCAAAGCGGATAGCAAGTATTACAAGAAGAGGGTAGAACTTGACCACAGGGTTAGGATATGGAGGATGATAAGATGCCCATTCGTTATACCCAGGGGTCTTTGTGGACACAAGTGCAGCCATTGGGACATATTCGATATGGATCTTGCAGGATGCTTGGAATGTGGTGAAGTCCATAATTGCAAAGATGAAAGTAGCTGTGACCTTATCGATGAGAACGATAGCCGTGTATGCTTCATTACAGGGTGTTGTGTCAAACAGAAGGTGTTCCCAATGGATGAATTCATGGATAATATGATGCTAGATGAAGACATCTTGGTCTCAAACGTGAGCAACAGGGACTTTTACAACAAGGTCATGTCACAGAAAACAGTGGAGGATAGTCTTTACAGTTTCGATGAAGTGAATAAATGCCTTGTATGGATATTGTCATCCGATGTTTGTAAGAAGAGTTACATGAACGAAAAGAATAGAATGATGCTCAAGCACAGGCAAGTGATGTGGAAACTTTTAAAAGATTTCAAGATCAATAATCCAGGAAAAGTACCGAGGCTTTGCAACATAGTCACCAACATGTTGCACCAATGTAGCAAGATAAGGATCTGTTATCCCGAATGGGACGAAGAGATGCGCAGATCCGTTGCTTCCACCGCTTCAGAATACATTGTCCGATTCTTGAATATGTTGTCACAGAAGTTCAGTACACAGCTTGGGATGTTCAAGAAAAACGTGCTCTTCATAGGGATCGTATACCTGATGAGAATGGGCATCACCATGCAAAACGTTATACTCCTACCCAAGATACACGAGCTACAGCACCTGCTGCCCATCGAGGCCCACCTGAAATGCTATTTTAAGATAAAGTGTAAGTTCATCACCGAGGTTGAAAATCTTATTAAGATGTGCATACGTAATTTGACCAATAAGGAGATAGATGTCATGGGTTTTACTAGTGTCGATATAAAGTACTAAGACCGCAACGACCCCTCGATAGCAAGGCATGTCACCCTACGAAAAGATAAGCAGAAGCGTTCAGAACGTCTTTGGTAGGGTATACCCTAAATCCAAAAGATGCATTTACTGCCCGTTGCAAAGAAAGCCATGTGCAGTGGACGATCTATGCCCTTGCCCATGGAGGAACATGAAGATGGAGGTTGTAGAGGTCATTGAACGATTTCGATCTAAAACACCGCCCAAATCTATACGTCACAACCCAGCCTTAAAGGTGGACAGATTGTAATGAATAGACTATGCCCGCTGAAATATATTCCATATCTTCCTCTTCTTGACCCTTATCACGTCGGTATCCGTGATCACAACGGGTATGCCTGAATTCAATATGATCACATTCACACGAATCACACCTTCGATAACATTCACGTACACGTCTTGAACCCTTATTGGGTTGCAGTCTTTGATAAGTTGCATGTCTACAAGGGATATGCTTGCGTGCGGGGATGTCTTTACACTCATAACATATCCACTATCGTGTTTCTTTATGTCAAAGTCATGGAAGGCATACTCTTTCCCAAGACTCAGGATGACACTCGCAACGTTCTCCACTATAATCTGATCATCATGCTTCACAATATCTAGCTGATTTGATAATAACAGCTTCACTGACATCTATATCTACTTTGTCTCGTTCAATGAACATTATATTCAAATAGTTTTTAGGCACGTATGTGTTAGATTCGGACGTTTATTGATAACTCAAGGATCTGGGTGTTTTCTTACACTCAGATTGCACCTTTGCTACTCCTTATCTTTCGAGTCTGTTCCGATCCCATCATTTGCGCAATGAACATGTAGTTGAGTACAGTCGGAGATTTTTTGATACTATCCCCATGCTTTTCATAGTCAAACGTCGTCGGAACCTTTTTGAGCTGAAACTCACGCACGGTATGCATATGTGTGAATTCAGTTGGGTAATAGATTATGTTTGACTTATTCTTCTCTTCAATTTTCTCACGCGTCTTTATAATGAACCCCCTCCCACCGTTTGCAGCAGTTCCAGTCTTAAGTCCTTGGATGAATAATTCCGCGTCTTGGAACGTTTTCCTGAACTGTTCCATATTATCCCAGTACATGGCCATGAGGATCATCTCATCAGGATTCAGAACGGTGCAATTGGCTGTAGTTATATTTGCATTGATGATCACGTAGAAAGGCGAATTTATATTACCGAAGAACTTTTCAATCCTATCCTTCCTGAAATCATCTTCCATTATGATATTGAAATGTTTGGTGGTATTTTTGAATGCTTTGACGACATCTCGCCAGTGCATGAGGGAAACGTACTCGGATTGATGACCTGAATATTGCATATAGAAAAAGAACATCCTGAACTTGAACATGGATAGGTAGCACAGAGCGACACATACCATGCGAAGTATAAGCAACGATACATCATGCCCGGTACACAAGTAAACCAATTGCATGCTAATGGCGTTCACCAGCATCCATAAAGAAGGGTTTGGTCCCATCCGGTACAGGAAAGTGTTGATGTAATATTGCTTGTTGGGGTTATCCGATTTCAAACTCCCCAGATCTGGGGCAACTTCACGGAGTACGTAAACGATCAGTGCAGTGATGATAATCTGGCATATTAAATCACACACGATAAATCCAAAGAAAGAACTCTGAATCCCTACTTCGTGGTCATAGCCAAAATACATGTCAAAAATGACAAATAACGCATTGACTACGTTGATGAAGTTGATGTTGTAGCAGACATCAAGGAGTTTGTCAGCATCCCTTGTCATGTAAAGGAAGAAAAGCAATGAAAGTATTGCGGCGAAGTGAATACCGTACACGGCACTTGCATGGTAGCTATAACCCTCCAGTGTCGAGAAGAAGATACTGGAAAGTGAAAAACCACCGGTGATACCACGACGGCATGCAAAGAAGTTCCATGTCTTAACTGCCGATGGACTGCAGTTCTTCAACACCTCGATTTGAGGAAAGAAGATACCCAACGACTTCAAGATGGGGGCGATAAGGTTCGTCAACAACGATAAGACTTTAAAGGTCTGTATAGGCCAGGAGCTATCCGACATCTCGACTTTCTCAAACAATGTTTCGTCATGATTCGCTTAAATACAGCTGTTGTTTTTTTTTGGTTTTGATATAAACAAAGGCTTGCATGACAGCTTTCGACTTTCACACATGGATTCAGGCATGTTGGATCGGTTTATTGTGAACATGTGCCTTGCAGAAATGTCGCACATATTCAATATCCCGTTGGAGTTGACAAGGGTTATTGAGATCGATAACAAGCCTTTTAAACGATGTGAAGACGATAGAAAGGAACACACTGCAACTTGGTTACCAAAGAATCGGGTCACATTCAGCCTATACACGGACAAGAATGGATTCACTCTCATTGGCCTGCACGGCAAGGTTTACCTTTCACAGGCCGACATAATGCTTAATAACGCACTCCCCATGGATTCATGCGTACTGGCACACTATACGGAGGATCAAGTCACGATCGACAAGTACATTCCCAAGATCTTGATATTCGATGCAGTCTTGATGGAATCTGTTTACCTGTTCGACACGCATCCATTTGAACGTTACAAGCTACTGCTTTCCAAGTGCGATACAAAGAGGTTGAACCCGGTATACTCCATCCAATGGGTGGGGTTTGAAAAGAGCGTGATCTCTAAGTTTGATCAACTTCGGATGAGCGTGCCACACGATGTGGACCACATAGTCAGGATCAATCAGGACCCCTTTTGCATGTCTAGGTTGCTTACAGTACAGATACCAGAGCGTAGGTAGGTTCATGATTGTAGACATTGTCTTGTCATTTAAATCCATCGCCGTATCCCTTAACAAGAGCGATGAATGATAGGAAAAGCAACAGCATGGAGGCGGGGTTGAGGAGTGCGATTGAGAAAGCACCATCGCTAGACATAAGTCACGTTGATAGGGCTGCATTGGAGGGGCATGTGAAGGAGATCAAGGTTCTTGGCACGTTCAAGATGCCCTTCCGCGTGCTTGGAAAGGATGTAAAGGCAAGATCCGCATTCTCCATCACCCCACAGGAATGGAAACAGGCGGAGAGAATGTGCTCACAACCCAAGGCCGAACCCATCAAGAACTTGTCCGATGAGTGCCTTAGGAAGGTGATGATGGAGAAGCTTGTGGCAAAGTACATTGAGGGTTGTTCGAACATCAGCATAGACCACAGCGATCCAGACAGCATCGTCCCCTTCCTCATATCCTGCATGAAGAACATCAGACATGTCAAGGTACACTTTATGGCGCACAAGAAGAGGTTGGACAGGGGGATGAAACTTGTCGAGGACGCAGATCAGAGCACACCGTCTTTCAATAGAGAAATCAGCATATCAGACCTCGAAAGGAGGTTCAAGAGCCTGACGCGTGAATACGATGAAACGGAATCCGTGTCCACCGAGACAGACACGGGTGTAACGGAATCTATTGATGCGTCATCGGATGCACTGTCCCAAGTTACCGAAACAGATTTGGAAGAATATCCAACCGAATGTGATTTGGATCAATATGCAAACAATAAAAAGGAACCTAGCGAGGCCTACGAAAAGGTGAAACAGATTCTACTAAAAACCTACAAAGAAGAGACAGATAACCTTGGAGATGAATACAGAACCCCGATCTTTGTCAATTGGATGTGGGTCTACGAGAATATTGCATATAGGAATGAAAACACCCTGGGTGATACATCGACGTGGATACAATTTATTAAACACATCACTATAGACAAGGATGATTTGGAGGGTTGAAAAAAAACAAGGATTGCAATGATCTTGAGCAGATCCTGCTCTCTCAATGGGATGATGCCTTGGTTTTCAAGCTGTTGGATTTCTTGCAATGTCATGGCCATTCAACTTTATCTGTGGAGTGTGAAGACGAGAATCTTTTAGTTTCAGTGACCCATTACCTCAAGTGGAGTCTTCGTTCTGTATCCTTGTATGAAGTCCAGAACAAACTAAAGGTCCTCGGAGATGTCTATGGGCCTACATCAGAAGGATTTTCGAGATGTTTTCTCCAGCACTACATGCAGGTTTTCGAACAACAAGCATCTGGCAAATCACATGGAGGCACAAAGGCCATTTATGAGCACTTGAATCGACTTCGTACACGTATTGGCAACGTTCACAGGAAGAATCGAAACCTTCTTTCTCGCATGGAAGAATGGTCTACTGCTCACTTCGAGAATTTGAATTCATTGCAAACTACTATACACGATTACTTTGTGAAGTAAGTCTGAGATGTTGCTTTCTTTCCATGCCAGTGACCTGACGTTCATTGTACAGGTATGCAAGAATGTCGGATGAACATGTTGACACAAGTGAGAGTCTTCCAAACAAACATGCCAAGGCGCAATCCGAACTGTTCATTCAGACAGTCCTTGAAACTTTTAGAACCCTTGACAGCCACACCCGATGTGACATGATTAGAAGGATTTTGAGTGAACACGACTCTCTGTGTCAAACACATGACAAGAATACAGAGCATGAGCTATCTGCGATATGTAAATTCGAAAATGCTGTTTCAAATCTGCATTCTGCTGGATTGCCGGATATACTTTCGGAGTTAGTAATCTTTGCCAGAAACGACATCCAAGCTTTCAAAAGCACACATAGAATCATGCCTTACCTCGTCATGGATTGGTGTCAACAGAGCTTCAGAGCGAAAGATTCGAGGGGCATGAGATTCTCTCCGGAGGTTTTGAGTTTCGCATCAACAATTCTCAATGCTTGCGACGGGAGTACGTTCCGTTTACTGTCAGGTCCAGGGAACAAGTATACGAGAAACTTCCATTCTGATCAGGCTTTGCATAACTTGCCTCTACCGTCCATATCTACTCTTCATAAGCTGCAGAGTGCAGACATGAAGACACGTGATCTAAACAAGTCAAGAATCTGCAGCGAGGTTTTGCATGATTACGGTGAAATGAATTTTAACCTTGTAGATGGTATTCATGTGTTGGCGATGGACAAGACGATGATCAATGCTGGGTTTTGTAAACAGTTCGAAGACTGCGAAGCAGATTTAGGTGGAGTCACGGGGAAAACAATGGATTTGTGTGAACGGCTTGAGATGCGACAGAGACGGTTGGCACAGCTTTGTTTGGAGGGAACAACCGCTGAATCGATTCGGGAGCATGTGATAGGCTTATTGAAAACTGACTTGGATCACATCAATGAAAGGAAATCAACGACTGAACGGGACTACAAGAAAATTCGTGATAAGTATGTTGCAAAAATGATTAGCAACAACGCAGATACGAGAAGGAATGTCTCTAATGAAGTCAGGTTTACGCCACATCAATTGTACATGGCCGGGGTCATTGAGGGATGTAGTCAGATCCAAACTCAAGTGCCGCAACTGATTGATCGTCTGAACAACTACATCAGTACCGCCACACCAAGCGAGGACGAGCAGCGTTCAATTCAAGATGAATTAAATGTATACAATGACTTGTACTACAAGACGGCGATCGCCGAACTAGCAGAAGATGCAATATGTGTTGTTGCACAGGATGGACAAAAGCATATGCCTCCTGCGCCTGTTTACATCGGCTTTGCCCATAAAAGTTTGTGTTCCAAAGATGGAAAGGATATTTTTTTAGCTGTCACCAATGAAGCTTGGAAGAGAGGCGTGAACTTCAATGTGTGGTCTTTCGATGGGGAGTTCGCCTGTATATATCGTTATTTCTACCAAGACAAGCCAAGTACATTCATTCAGGAAGTGAAGGCCATTAACAAGACTGCAACCAGTATGGAATATAGACATTTATGTACATCTATTTCAGCATACATTTCGGGGATATTCAAGTTCGAACCTCCAATTTCAGAGCACGACATTGAGAGTGAGTGCACATTGGACCATCCAGATGAGTACGATGGTGATGACTTGTCGTCATTGCCCATCACACCTCAGCAAGGAATTGTACACATGGATGTTGCTGAAATGAGAGAAATCAAACAGTTTGTTTTGCAGTTACGACAGAACCAGGCCATATGGCAAGTTCAGAAGGAGAAGACGCTACGATGCCACACGAGCAAGAGGCCCAGAGCGACCCTGAAAGAGATGTTTTGCAGGTTTCAAATATTTTGCAGACGGTACGGATATGAAGAAGTTCTTTCATTGGCCAAGCACAATGAAGAGGGGGGGGGAAACATTCACTCCTTGGGAGATGGAGCGAAGAATAGCTGATGGACTAAATGACTTTGATGAACACAAGATCCGCTTTAAATTCGACGAATGGTTATCCAATCCCGTCCTCTCTCCAATTACGAACAAGTTGTTGTTTTTCTCGCCGTGCATCAATCACTTGTTGAAGAATGTCAGGCATTCCATTGGATCAGGGAAGTCTCAATCGTCTTCTACGGAAGCCCAGATATGGCATAAAGCTTACAGTGATATCGCCAAGAAGAATCCTGCTTGGATGACTCAGATGGAAGTCGACGGGACCGCCGATCCACAATCGGTGGATATCATGCTGAAGATGTTCAGTGACAAGGCCATCAGTCTACTAAGGGCAGAAGGACATGAAGCGACAGCAAGAATGGCAGAGGCCATGTCTGGCCTGCACAAAGCATTCGATGAAAGAGGGCTGAAAGTTTCAGAGAGGATACGTCTCGTTCAAGAGGGTCGAAGATGGCTATTGGAAGGCATCGACTGGACCAGTGTCAGCCAAAAACATGTCAAGGGACTATCATCTGTAACATTTGAAGGCTTCATAGTTGCAATTGATACTCATCTGCAAGTACAACAGTATGTGAGGGATAAGAATCATGCGCTGGGTGATAGAGACTATGACTTCAATTCACGAACTCTCTGCACGGATAGTGTAGAGAATCTGTGGTCCTTGATCGGCCATCTGAACAAGAAGGATTTTCTGAGAAAATTCAATCAGGCATGCATAGAATTATCTAAAAAGGTGGATCCAAACCTGCCTTTTGTGTACGAGCATTCGAAGAAGCGAATTGTCCTGAGCAAACCGCACGACCGTGAAGCTTTCAATGCACGGGATGGATCTGATCATGATGTGGAGCCAGACAATAGTACGCAGAAGAACAATCGAAAGCGAGTATATGCTAAATCAGGGCAATGGGATGAAGGATTAACAGGTAATATGCAACGGTTCCGGGGATTGCGTAGCATTGCTGGCTGCAAGTAGAAAAAAGAGAGATACGTATTGTGGAAAATATTAAACACTGCTACGATGCAATTCAAATGATTGATACCATGATATAGATTTTACAATTTCCTGAAAGGCTATGGTGGTTTCACGATTGTCATCATTGCACAGGCTGAGTAAATCATCCTTAAACCTGGTCGCCGCCTTGCTGCCATTGCGATTTCCTGCAAACTCACCCACCCCCTCCTGAAAAGGTACCCCCAAAATATCATAAAAATACCGGTACTAGACCCTTTTATTGGGAGTTCCTCCCCCGTGCCTTACACTAGGAGCTAAGAAGTCGAGGGAGGAGGGGCAACAATCCGAAACGATGCAAGCATGTGAACATGACGGACCAATCTACGTTAACCTATAGCCGGTTTCAACCCTTACACTAGGAGCTAAGAAGTCGAGGGGGAGGGGGCAACAATCCGAAACGATGCAAGCATGTGAACATGACGGACCAATCTACGTTTATCTGCATCAGATTCAACCCTTACACTAGGAGCTAAGAAGTCGAGGGAGGAGGGGCAACAATCCGAAACGATGCAAGCATGTGAACATGACGGACCAATCTACGTTAACCTATAGCCGGTTTCAACCCTTACACTAGGAGCTAAGAAGTCGAGGGAGGAGGGGCAACAATCCGAAACGACGCGATGAATCGATTATTTGAGAGGATTCTAGGTGCAAAGGAGTCAACACCGTGCTAGCAACAATGCGAAAAGTTGAAGCTTTACCAACGGTTGGTCAGCAGATATTTGGCAGAGGAGAAAAAGTTTCTAGCAACTACGCAACAATACGAACCGCTCTATCTTGCAGGAGTTAGGGTCAGAGGTTGACTGGCAACAATCCCAAACGTTGCGATATAAGGGAACATGACATCTCAGCCCTGATTTAGGTTAATATCTGGTACATTTATTATTGTTGAGCAGGCCGGCCTCAGAGAGCGATCCCTCCGATGATACAGATGAGCGCGGCCACATGATGGAGATGAGCGCGGCCACATGATGGAGATGAGCGCGGCCACATGATGGAGATGAGCGCGGCCACATGATGGAGATGAGCGCGGCCACATGATGGAGATGAGCGCGGCCACATGATGGAGATGAGCGCGGCCACATGATGGAGATGAGCGCGGTCACATGATGGAGATGAGCGCGGCCACATGATGGAGATGAGCGCAGATTGAATTCGAGGCGAAAAATGCAGCACGATGGTTTTACATGACTACCTACCATTCCCTATCGAGCTGTCTTGAAACCTGGCGGATCGGTTGGGCGTTGATGATGAATCAAATACAGGTAAAGGGCACAATAATACGCAACAGAATTATTCCTTGCCGTCTCATTTGTATCATAGTAGAAGTTTAGGCCTTGTATTTTAGAGCCCTTAATGACACTTAAAGCCCGAAGTTTGCAGGCTGCAGACGTCAACAATGAATTGTTTGTAAGCACGCATCTCACGCAAAAGGCAGTGATGTGACGTATTGAAAGTTTTTTGGCGATGGCAGCCAAACATGGTGAAATAAACTTGATATGGTTCAACAGAGAGAACAGACTCACCGGGCCGGGGTCAAATTGCCTTGTGTCGATCCAAGATAACCTACATTCCTGGCACAATACTAGTCCTGCAAGACAATGAGATCATCACTATAAGGTTGAAGCGTCCATGTTTGGCTGTTGTCAGGCTGAAAATAGATCCATTCAGTGAGATTTTGTGAAGATGGCGTACAGTCCGTCCAATGCCTGGCTGACTCGTATGATCAAGTTTCTGATGTCGGATACTGCCGTCGATCACTAGAGTCGGATTTCAAGCCTACCGTCTACGGTGACTTGACATCAGTGTCGCGGCGGCCCGGCCTTTGGCTCGGGAGTCCGACTTGCCGGTGACCGTCGGACCGGGTCGCCGTACGGTAGACCGTCCGGACGGTACGGTACCGCGGTCGAGAGTCACCCGGACCCGGCGCGGCGGGCGCCCCGGGCCCGGAGCCTCGGCGAGCCTGACTGAGCTGCCGCTTCTGAGTCACTAGGCTATGATCGGACTTTTAAAATCATGGCAGCGGCCCCAGGGGCGGAAGTTCGGAAGTTGACAGACTCGGCCCGGCGGCGGTCAAACTTGAAACCCGCTGCTAGTCACTGAGTAGCTTCTTTAGTCAAAGTTAAGTTAAACATCACTGTCAGTACCGTAGGACAATCGCGCTGGTAGCAATATAAAGCCTGGGGAGGCAGCCTCAGTACTGGCACTGCGGCACAAGGAGGGAAGCGAAGCACCAGCGGCTGGTATCGGAGACCACTGGCTCAGCCTCCAAGGCTTCGGAGCCTCTTCAAGCTCACTGAGTCAGTCTCATAGTGCTGCAACTGCTGTGACGCCCGGTGACGGGCGCGTCGCCGCAGTGGCTCGAACAGTGGCACGGGTAAAAACCTAGAGACTGGTCGGATTCGAAGTTTGAGCCGCTCGCCTCCGAGGCTTGATTCTGCGAATGGATGGGATGAAGTGAAGTGAACTAAGAAGAGAAATTTCCCTCAGAACACTGATCATGATGCACGGTCATGGAGCCAAGATGGATCAAGAATCGCACCTCTCAAGTTCAACGCAACCCCCTGGTATGGCCGTTCAAGTTCGAACTGATATTGGAGTGTGTGCTGTTGTACACCTGTAATGTTTTGTTGATAGCACGTGAGTCGTTTCCTCACAACAGTCCAAGAAATGACATGAGCGTCGAGGGAAAGGTAAGTCTGTCGAACATTTTCATTCAACTCCTTTGATTCTTTTGCTGTCCTGGTTTCTAGACCGACGATGTCACCAAAGTCAAGTTTGCTCGGTTTGTGTTCAATGGGGTCAACACCACCGTGCTGAGCACCTCGAGCAAATCTCTCGATGATGCAAATAGGTATGAGCTGTGGGAGCGGAAGGCAGGACCCATCGCTCATGGTTGCCGCCTTCCAGATCTCAAGACGTTGTGGAGAATTTTCTGAAGTCTCCAAGGCAGTCGCAATCGAGTTCGAACCGTGACGAGAACGACGAGGAGGCCCCAGAGGAACGCGCGAGGTCGAAGAAAGGCTTCCGACGAAGACTTGAGTTTCCTTCTGACGGCTCGGACCATGCGGTGAGGAGTTGGCAGGAAGGACTGCTACCTCGGCGGTGACATCATGTGACAGGGTTTTCATCAGCTGTGCAGCGACTGTGATGAAAGTCAAAGTGTTGTGCTATCTCACTGATCGGATGTCAGCCATCAAGAAAGTGAGCGATGGAGCTGTCGGGCAGGAATTCATGCAAGTTTACAAGGTGTCTGACTTCCTTCTCCCTGTTGCAACTGAGGTGTCCTCGTAGAAAATGACCAGAGAGTGTGAGGAACATTTGCAGCAAACATCAATGCGGGATGCTGAGTGAGTTTTCAACTTACACTGTACTTGTAATGCTCAGTGCCATGTTTGCAGGTCGCTGCAAACCTTTCAGCTTCGAAGTCAGGCCGTCAGCCGTATCATGTCTATTCTGTAAAAGTTGAGAACTTGTTGTGCCCTGTCACCTGACCTGTTGGATATTTGACAGGTTTGAGCTGCGAGATTCTTCAATCGAACTTACGACGGAGGAGTCAAGAAGGAGCAAAGAATATGAGATTGAAGTCACAAGATCAGAGCTGAATCAACTTCGTGCCGCTGAGGAAGGCATGCCTTGTTCGAGTGTGACAGGTCACCTGAAGATTGCTTTCGAAAGCTCTGTGGCGACAGCACAGCGCATCGGTGTTCAAAGCGGAACAAGAAGCAATCAGGCAGAACGACCTCTCATTCATGTCAAGACTTGTCGGTCAGTCTCGCACAGGAGATGTCCATTTCTTGGATGTGACACCATTTATCGATAGAGTACCTGAATGAGCGTCAAGACCTGAGGACTGACACAAGTAATGCTTTCAACTGTCTCCCTCCCTCCCTCCCTCACTCACTCACTCTCCCTCCCTCCCTCCCTCTCCCTCCCTCCCTCCCTCTCCCTCCCTCCCTCCCTCTCCCTCCCTCCCTCTCCCTCCCTCCCTCTCCCTCCCTCCCTCTCTCCCTCCCTCTCTCTCTCACACACACAAACGTCTGATCCTCCTTCAGCTCTTGGACATGCTGAGCAAACGAGATCTTCCTCAGGGCCCTCGTCGTCAGTTTGGAGGGGGGCACGTGACAGGATCCAAGACCTCAGGAGGGTGCGACAACTTCAGCTGTGAATCCGACAAGCCTGACAAGCGTGTGAACAGTCTGAGCCATCTGCTGAAGTCGAGCATAAGCAGACCTTGAAACAGACAGAAAGACTATCTACAGGCAAACTAAGTGCATTCGAGGGAGTTGACTGACATGTTCGATGCAGATTTCCGAGCTGGAGAAGCAAGGTACTTGTTCTGAGTTCGACATTCGACATGGATTCAATGTGCAACGAAGAGGTAGGGTTGTTGAGTCTCATCGATTTCATTTAACTAGATAGACAACACGATAAGCGGCTTCTACACCATTCACATAAAAATTGACATTGTGAAGTTACTATTTACGATAGAAAGCGAAGCATCTAAGATGGAGCTTTCTGTTAACGATTGTTAGAAGTGCGACGAAGACAGGAACAGGCCCATTCTAAGTGAATTCTTGATTCGGCGACGATAACGTTTGCAGTGCAGATGCTCACGTCTGCAAACGGGCATCGTGCAGCAACACAACCTGACACAGAGTTAGATGCTGGAGGGCATAGCAACGCAAAGATCACTTGAGACAGAGAGGACATTTCCACTCCGCAGCCTCCGCCTCCTCCTGAGTCTTGAAGTTCGTCGGTTTCTCCAAATGAATATTGCAGCACTTGTCACAGAATTTCTGTCAAGCTGTGAGCAAACAGACAGAAGAACGGCTCAGCCTCCTTCACCTGGTCACAGTTGGCACTCGAACACGTGAAGATGGAACATCTCTTGGGTGCATGCTCGCAGAAGTGACAATTCTTGTTCTTCATCTCCCGCACCTCACTTCGCCCGCAAACCATTCCAGCCTCGTCAAACTCGAGTTTTCGCTTTCTCCGTCGACGGATTCCCAGCTGCACCATCCTTCCATTGCTGGACATAGTGTGCACACTCGTATCATCGGCGGCAGAGTCTGAAACCTGCGAAGAGTCTTCGTATTCGTCCGAGTCCGCGTACAGTTGCTCGAAGATGTCCTTGGGCTTTCTTGCTACCGCGTTGCCCGGTTCCCCAGCCTTGCCTGCCTCCCCCAACGCCTTGAACTTGAGAAAGGTTGGCGACTCTGCTGACTGGGTTGCACAACGTCAAATGAGGAGCAAAGAGGAGAAGGCAGCCTGACCTCACAGCAGTTGACCCCGTGAGAAAAGCTGCTGAAGCAAGAGCCCGGCCAATGGAGAGTGATCTCCCCAGCGTTCTGAGTGGTCTTGTGAAGAGGGATCTCATGCTTGCGCAGCACCTGAGAGAGGATCACAAGGTCATCAAGGACTTCACGCGCGACTCACAGCTGGATCCATCAGCATGGCGAACTTTGACAGGATGGAGCCTTGGCTTGCTTCCGCGCTTGGAGTGCCTCTGTGGAGTTGAGTCAGGACATCGGGCGACTGGCACCGGAGGCAACCTGAGCGTGCAAGCAACCTCCTCGAGCTTCTGCCGGTAGGATGCAGGAACGACATACACTGAACGTGGAGCTCCAAAATGAACGTAGGAAACGCTGCACACGTTCTCATCCACCACGCTCCAACCCCTTGCCTGGATGGAGGGTACATCAGAGTCGAGAGAGAGAGAGGGAGGCTTACCGTGGACGCCATGTTCATTGAAAGTCCAGTGATGCCCTGGCAACTGAGCTGCCAACTGTTTGTCGAGGCGCGCTTGTGCTGCATTTGAGCCAGGTTCCATGCACCAGCAATCGGCTCGAAAAGAGTGCTCTGCGAGCAGCTCGCCGCATAGATGACGTTAGTCTCCACGCCGAGGTCTCTCCAGAAGTCCAGCTCGGCCCTTCTCACGTTGTCTTTCCAGTGCTCGGCATCCACAGATTGACTTTCCGTGAGGAGCTGCTTCAGGTCTGACAGGTGCATCGCCCCCGACTCTTCCGCGTGAAGGTCGTAGAGGCCGTTAAGGCCCACATCCCTCGAGTACTGAGACCCAGTGCAGCGGATCAGGAAGTCCACATGTTCATACGACCTCCTGCTCTTCCATCCTTCGGGGGGCAGAATCTTTACAGCTCCATAGAAACTTCCCAAGGAAGCAATCGACGCCATGAATTTCGGCAGGTCAAGGAATTCCGCCAGGGAAGGCTTCACAACCGGGATTTCATTCACAGATGAAATCAGCGAGGGTTTCACCCCAGCGGTTCTCTCATGGAGAGAATGCAGCAAAGAGCTAGTCTTGTCGTCTCCATCCAGAAACAGTTCGTCCGAAAACGATTTATCCTGCATCGGATGACCAAACAAAGCTGGTGGAGAAACGACAACCATACGCGTTCAGCAGGAACAGGCTCTGATGACCTGTCTATGACGAACCAAGTTGATGCAATCCGGTTTCCAGGGGTACTTCCGGGTATGTGCAAAGTCGATCCCCTTGTAATACGTTTTTCGAAAACGCGTGGGACAAGAAGCCAACAAACCAGCCCAATCAATCCAGAGCCTGGGCTCCGAACTTCGATGGTGCAAGCGGACCAGTAGGCGCAGTCTGGAGCAGAGCTACATGAAGCCTGACGTCATCGTCGCTTCGCCTATTCGTAGCAGTCGGGGAGGCGTCTGAAAGTGAGTAGGGGAGAAAGGGAGGGGAGGCATTACCCCTGACCCCCTATATCAACTTGCAATCTGAGGATCAAACAGGGTGGGTACTGGCGCCCCTAGAAAGATCTGGACACACAAATCTGAGGCGTACGGTTCAAAATTCTGTAATGACAAGATCAAATTTTCTCTATGAAATTCAAATTTTTTAACGGGTTAGGTGTGCAGGAAGTGAGGGGGGATGGGGATAGGGGGGGGGGTACCCCTGTATTACCAAAAGTACGAAAATGGGGGTAAATCAAGGGGAAAGGGTGGGTAGGGTATTGTGATACGCAGGTCCACCCAGACACGAGGGGGATCAGGGGAAAACTTCAGGGGAAGAAAGGGGTGGGGGTACGGATGGGACCCCTAGGATGAGGTGAAACAGGAGTGTATTAACAGGGAGGGGTGCCCACGAGTCACTGGGGGTAAAGGATTGGGGGTGGTACCAAGGTCTTGATATTTCCTAAATGAAAGTATATGAAAAAACAGGATACATGGCCTTGAGGACTTGAGAAAGGCATCGCAGGCTTGTTAGGGGTAGGGTGGTGGGGACAGAGAGGGTCCGAAGTGTGTCGTAATCTAGGGTTGTACCCGTGGTATAATTTAGGGGAACATGGGGAAGGATTCCGATAAAAGGGGAAGGGAAATGAAGGGTAGGGTATATTACCCTACCTATATTTTGATACCGAAAGCTGTATGTGAAGCACGGGTGAGTAAGTTCTAACAATGTTGTTCGAGAATGTTTGAGTAGGGTAGGGTGGTTGTGGTCATCCACGGGGAAAGCATCTGGGGGAGAAGGGAACGAATCATGGGGTGGGTGGGTGGATGTTGGGCATGTACCGGTACTTGAATATGAAAGATTGTCGGTGGTGTGGTGGTTGGGATTGATGACTACCCACCCATTTGGGGAGTATTAAGAAAGGCCACCCCCTTCGTTTGACTTGTGCAGCTGTCAGTTTTGGGTTTCGATGTGGGTGGGGTGGGTGGTATCGACCATGAGGGGGCAGGCAGGTCAAAGAACATTGGGCAGGATGGGGGTAATCAACGGTGAAAAGTAGGGGTACGTTTAGAGTATTTCCCGAACGTGTGGAGAGAGTTAGCAGGTGAGGGTGGGGTAGTGAACGAGATTGGGGAGTATCTTCGAGGAAAAATGGACCTGGTGACTTTTTTTCCCTTTTGACTCTTTTTTTCCTTTGAAAGGCTGTCAAGGAATGCGACCTTTCCTTCATCATGGTCGGCTCTGCTGAACGACCTGGCCCGCCAGGCTCCGAGGCTCAGCTCAGGACGCGGAGGGGAGGGGAAGGGGGGGGGGGGCGGGGGGCTCGACTCCAGGAGGAGTCGCAGCAGTACTGACTCATCTGCCCTTGCCATCATGAGAAGGAGCCTACGGCTGAACTTCGACAGGACATGAGAATAACTTTTATGGCGGTGATGGGGGTGAAGTTGCAGTATGTCCTATCAGCATACTAGGCACGGTTCGTCGCTGCCCGGGGCCCACCATCCGATCAACATATGATCCCAACTCACGGAGTCAGAGTCACTGGTACTGCTGCAGCCGGTTCTATACCTCCCGTCAAGAATGCTGAGACTCACTGACATGGCTCAATGGTACGAATGTCATGGACTTAATACTGCAGGATTGAAAAGTGTGTCACAATGCCTTGACGAAGATGATTTGCGACTAAACTTGACTATCATGCAGAGGCTGTGAGAGAATGATAGAAGGTTTAGTGAGAAGAGGAGTAGAGAGCGATTCAGCCGACCAGTGCTAATGCTCACCTTGTCGTCAAGATTTTGCCGTGCGAAAGCCAGGGAAACCAAATCTTAGTCTCACATATGAAACTTTTGTATTCTGCTTTTGGCGAGGATAGGTGGGACCATGTTTGGGTGAGAAGACATGCATGAAGGTACCAAAAAATCACTGAGAAATGACTTAATTTCGATGAGCAACAAGTTCCTTCAACGCTTGCCCTTGACCTCACAGTCTTGCTGTACTCTACTGCACATAAAACATCGAATAGTACAAATGAATAAAAAACCCTCGTGCGCATCAGCACTGAGGAAGGTAGGCCTCCTCTCCGAATGGCGTCCAGCACTGCGATACGTTGTTCTTGCAGCAGTCGGTCGGCGCTGTCGCTGAGACGTTCACACACTCCACGTCCTGCGGCGAGAGTGTGGCAACAAGAAAGAAAGGATCCACAGCAAGATACCGTCTGAACACAAGTCCGTCAGCACACACGCAGTCCTGTTGCTGCCCAGCTGTTGACGAGGAACCTTGAGGACACCGCAGACACTCCATGAATGATGCATCTCTCTTCCAGAGGAAATAGTTAGCTGGGCATTGCCAGTTGCAGGTCAGCCCGGGGCTAATGTACTCCGCGTTGGCCGCACCGAAGCATGCTCCGCAACTGCCGGCGCCTTGGGCAGAGAACGTGCCGTCGGGGCATGCTGTGCAGGTCGAGCTGCCAGCAACCGCGTATGTGCTCGCGTTACAGGGGACGCAGCCTTGCGCCGACTGTGTGCCGGGGAACAGGGAGACCTTTCCCGCCGGGCAAGCAGTGCAGACAAACTCTGTCTGAGCAGAGGAGTACTCTCCTGCTGGGCAGTTGACACATGACTGAAAAAGGGAGTCCGACGATGTTCCCGCCTCGCAAGGCGAGCAGTCAGAGGAGGAGGTCCTGTTCACCTGGTCTGAAAACTTCCCCAGCGGGCAAAAGGAACAGACGGAGGAATTCTGCGTAGAAAAAGTTCCGGCCGGGCATCCAGCGCACTCGAACGTGTTGCCAGGTGAAAAAGTTCCAGCGGGACAAGCTGGGCACTGGCTGGCACCGAGCTCCAACCCTGAGGTCCCCGGGGGACAAGGACTGCAGTATTTGCTGCCTAGGTCACTCCTGAATGTTCCCTGCGGACAATCCGAGCAATTGATCGAGCCCAAGGTGAACGAAGTCCTTCCAGCATCGCATGCCCTGCACGGCAAGTGAGAAAAGAAGGGTTAGCAAAGATGCTGCTTACATGCAAGTCGTCATTCCACTGGCATTCGAGTATTTGCCCAGCTCGCACAGCTCACATGCATGTCCAGACATACTATAGCTTCCCGCCGGACAGTCCTGGCAGGACACTCTGCTCTCATCGGAATCGAACCCCGCCAGACAGTCGTAACAGACGCTCGTTCCTGCTCAAGATTCTTCAATCAAGGACACAACACGAGTTGCCATACCTGTGACGTTGGTGTACTTCCCGTTAGAACACATCTGGCAGATTGATGCTCCGTACGTTGAGAAGGTGCCGACAGAACAAGCTTTGCAGTGGCTCGCGTTCGCTTGCGACCATGTGCCCGCACGGCAGGGCGAGCACATGCCGTTCCCCGTCACTGACTTTGCCGTTCCTGCAGGACATCCCGTGCACGTCGAGTCGCCAGGCATCGAAAAGTATCCAGCCTCACAGGGGCGGCAGAGCTGACCAGGTTCATCCGTGTAGAACCCGATGGCGCACTGGATGCAGAAAGATGCTCCCGGGGCTGACGAATATCCAGCGGCGCAATCGTCACAACCCTTAGACTCCAGCCTGTCGGTGTACCTGATCATGCTCGTCAGCTAACATTGAGATGACCTTGAAACTCTACTCACTTTCCAGGAGGACATTTGGTGCATGCTCCAACCATGCTGGAAGAGTAAGTCTATTTCACATCGTCAATACAAGATTGCAATGAATCAGGTCAGATCACCCCGAGGTCGCAGGGAGAACAGCCATTGTCTTGTCCTTTACATGGTCGGGCTAAGTACTGTCCAGCAGGGCACGAACAAGGCATGCAGACGCCGTTGGTCGAGTTGAACCAGCTGTTGTTGTTGCATCGCATGCAGATAGATCTAGCGGCATCCTTGCAGAGCGTATGGAATTGTTTGGTCCCGGAGTTGGGGCTCGTAGCGATGACCTCTTGACTCAAGGTGATGTTTCTCAGCTGCGGTCGCGTACAGCGCAGGATCTCAGAGATCCCCTCAAACAGGCTGTCCAGGTATTCAGGTCTGAGCCCCGGCAAGACGTTGCTGACGTTGTAGACGATGGTCAAGTTACATTCGATCTGTTCCACAGACTCGGCTTGAAACGCCTGCTTGAGGACGGGGAGAATGACGTCGTTGGAGCAGCTGAATTGAGCTCCTTCGAACTCGATCAGGAAGTGATTCACAAAGGTGCTGTAGTTCCAGACGTGACACCAGTGTCGCGATGACGAGTCGACCCACTGCTGCCCGGTGAAGTAAAACCCCTCGTGTGCTCCCAACCCCTTGAGAGCCTTGACGAACAAGTCAGGATACCTCGACGGAACGATCCAGAAGCCTTCCCACAGAGTCTCGCAGTTGTACGACGTGTTTTCGAACACCTCGATCTGATTCCTGAGAGTAGCATTCAGCTCAGAATAAACCACTTCCTTGCAGTCCGGAGAGCACTGACAGTCGTATGGCAAGAATCTATTGACTGAGCAAGTGCTGCAGTGAGAGCTCGAAGTACTGTAGGTGTACATTCCCTCCGGACACTCTTGACAAGCTTGGAATCCACTTTCTGCCTTATAGAAACCCACTTCACAAGCTGCGCATTCGATGTTGTATTCATCTCCCACATTGTAATGACCAGGGTCGCACAGACAGTCCGACATTGAGCTACTTTCAAGAGATGTTGTGTTGGAGTGCGGCGGACAGGCATTACAGATGTGTTGACCTTGGGCATCAGCGTAAGTGCCTAGAGGGCATAGCGAGCAATTTTCTAGCCCTGTCACATTCTTATACTTCCCCACAGGGCATGCTGAACATTCCTGGGCCCCGAAGAACCCAGCATTACACCAGCAGGTCGTCCTGGAAGGAATTGAGGTCGAATTGGGAGCACAGGGGCTACAGGCTTCGTGACTCCGGTTGTCCTTGTAATATCCAAACATGCATAAACGACACTCCTCGCTCCCCACCCTTTCAAAACCTGCGTTGCACGCACAATCCAAGATTGAAGCCGATCCCCCTAGGCTCCAAGAGTTGTCTGGGCATAGAAGGCAGGTTGACGATGCACTGGAGTTGGCGAAGTTACCTGGCTGGCATGGACTGCACTGATGCGATCCCACATTGTCCTTGTAGTAACCTTCGACGCAGGGAACACAAGTGCCGTTGAAAGGATCGGATGAGTTCAAATGAAATTCGTACCCCAAATCACACAGACAATCGCTGATTGAAGAAGCTCCTTGCAGAGAGACACTGTGTTCAGGACATGCCTGACACGACGACACATTGGTTGCAGCGAGAGCATCGCTGAAGGTGCCGGGAGGACATGAGGAACAATTTCCGAACCCAACAAACGCCTTGTACTTGCCTACCCCACACTGCAAGCACGTTTGGAGGTCAAAGCCAGAAAAGCCGGTATTGCAACTGCACGCTGATATAGAGGTTTGGCCTGCCGAGCTGTACGTATTGCCTGGACAAGGATCGCACTTGGTGCTTCCTGGTTGAGAGCTGTAGTTTCCGGGTGGACAGAGAAGACACTGAGAAGCATTCAAACTGTCTGAAAACTTTCCTGGCGGGCAGATAGCACAAGTAGTTCCAACTGTCTCGTAGCCCCTCTGACATGGATACAAAATTTGCCAAGAGAAATTCAAACCAGAGGTTCCCTGCACGCTTTCAGACCAGAGATTGATGGAGATGATGTAAGAGTTGAAGACAAAGCTTCGCTTGTCGTTAGTCAGGTTGCCGTCTATCACGTACTGAGCCGAGGAACTTGAGCAAGACAATCGTCGCATTCGTATATCGAGATCCGCCCGAGGCCATCGAGAAGGTAGAGACCTTCTAGATTAAGATGAAGTGTAGCTCCTTCACCCCCGGATGCTATCACGTCGAGAGGAGGCGCGATCGTCCAGTTGCAGTATCTGTATCCACTTATCCACTGAACGTCCACGTGGCCCGACAGGGTATCAAGAACAGTGCAGGATTGCTGGCAATTACAGATAACCCTCCATTGCAAGTCGAAACCACTGAAGGTAACGCTATCATCGTTAGATTGGAACTCCAATTTGACCACGCCGCGACTTAGGAGGAGTTCGAGATTCAAAGGAACCTGAGTTGACAAGCTGCCAGAGAGCGATTGCACTGGAGTGACTTGGCTACAACTCTGATCTGAGCACTGCATGATGTTGAGGAGATCAGCATTCAGCTGAGTCTCAAACCGCACGATCGTAATGATCAGTGTTGCGTTTTCACTCGAAATTGGAGGATCGATAATCCACCAGCATGTGTCGTTCACAGGATAGTCCCCATCGCTTGTCAAAATCTGTCCACTCGGAGTCGTGAAAGTGCTGCATGGAGTCAGACAGGAGCAAGTCGAAAGAAGACGACGTGTCATTTTCGGTTGCGCGACTGCAACCTTACTTAAAGTCGCTTCCTTGACATGACTAAACAACTCCTGCGGGATCTGCGATGGAACTGAAAGTTCCTTTTCAGAGGAAGCTGCCTTCTTTCTCAAAGCTTCGGCTTCACCGACAACAGGAAGAACACAGAGGGACAAGTCTGACTTGACATATCCATTGTAACAAGTGCACTCATCGATAGACTTCGATCCAGCCTTCGACCAGGAGTTGGGCGGGCATGAATGGCAGAATGTTGACGATGACTGATTGGAGTACATCCCAGCTTTGCATTTGTGACATTTGGAGCTATGTTCCGGCATGAAATGACCGGGAGAGCAGGCAGTGCAGAGGTCACTCTGTGGAGATTCCTTTGGAATATCGACTGCTTTGTCCAGAGGAGACTTCGAAAGATACTTGTGGGAAAACTGAGTCAAGAATCGTTGAACAGAGTTAGCCCGTTCGAAGCCCCGCATGCATCGGCATGAATGTACAGAGGTACTGCCGGGATCCGAGGTGGAGAACCTTGGGCACTCGATACAAGCACTTTGGTTGGCCGCGCCTTGGACGTTGCTGTACTTGCCTTCAGGGCATGAAACGCATCGAGGTATAACTCCTACAAGGTGAAAATACTTTCCAGGCTCACAGGCCTTGCATCCAGTCCCAGAGTCAACGAATCCTTGAGAGCATGCGCAATCAGCCTCGCTGCTACTTCCCTTGTTGCTGATGGTCCTTGCTGGACAAAGCTTACAGTCGCTCTCGCTTATCGAACCTATCACCGGGCTGTACTTTCCTTCACTGCAAAGGGAGCATGGCCAAGAGCCAGCGCTGTCCTTGTATGACCCAGGCTTGCAGGGATGACACTTGAAGGACGCGGTCTGGTCAGGTTCATGTCCCATGATGCATGTGCAGTTCAACACCGAAGAGCTGCCCAGCAGAGAGACGGTGTGAAGGGGGCATTGCTTGCACGGGTTGCCTCCCCTACCAAATCAGAGTCAGATAAGTCTTGGAAGAAGGTCAACTGCTTACCTGCTGGACTTGTACGTGCCCTGAGGGCAAGGCGTGCAACCGTTGGATAAGGGATCTGAGGAGAAGCCTAGGTCGCAGAGGCAAGAACCGTCGGGGTGCCTGACGGACCCCGCTCCGCATGAAGCTTGCAAAGTTTGTTGCGGCAACTGGTGTATGTCAATGCAATGAACATCTGCGATGATCAGGAGGAGCAGAATGAAAGCAGATCTTCTCCTCTTCCCCATGATGACGAAAGTCCTCTGTTCTGTGCTTTAGCAGCAGCCTCAAGGCAGCCAAGGCAAGCTTCCCCGTTGTCAGCGGATCTTGTAGAGGAGGAGCTTGTCTCTGGCTTCTTCAACCCCCTCACTACTTCTTCCCCTCCCATGCCCTTGGGCTACCCCCGCCATGAACCCCTCGTGCCTTTCGGCGCCAATCGGCATGGAGAGGTCAAATATTTGATGGGGGGAAAGGGGAAGTTGGAAGTAGGTAGGGTGGTAGTAGGGGGATATGATGAAGGGGTACTTTACATATGAAAAACATGGGTACTCATGAAGAGGGGTAGGGTTTGAAACGGTCTCTTTCACTGAGCTGCCTACAGCAACAATGAGGAACGTGAGGAGGAAGACGAGAGGAGGAGGAGGAGGAGGAGGAGGAGGAGGAGGAGGAGGAGGAGGAGGAGGAGGAATGATCAAGATGAGGATGCGACAGCACAGGGTGGGAACAGCGACTATGCTCCTAGCTCTGAGAGACGATGCAGGAGAGCATACTAGTCCTTCCTGGCATGCCGATGTTGGGGGTTGTTAACCCGCCCTTGGAACCACCGTCATGCGCTACAAACTTGCCATTCTCGTCATGGCTCTGTTGGGAGTGAGGACGAACCTGGCAGGAGCTGATTCCTTTGCGCCGCGCCTGCTGAACATCTCTTGGATGGACAAGTCTGCGACATGCCGAGGGGCCTGCACTAGGTCGTCCTGTGGGTCAGGCTCAAGGTGTGAGGATCTTTCATGCGCTGCTCAGCCGATGCTCTCGGCGCTGGTGACGGACAACAGCTGGAGCGGTCAAGAAGCTTCGGGGGTCAAGTACGTCGGCGTCAGGATCGCGAGTCCCATGGCGATCAGAGACGGGGCGCAATCGAACTTTTACTCCAACGACATGGTGGACCTGAATTACTTCAAGATAGCCTCTCTCTCGTTCCCCGGCTGGCTGATCGTGGGCAGATCATCGTTTGGAGACACAGTTCAGTTCCCCGCTAACTTCGACGGGTACTCGGAGCCGGGGACTTGGTCCCTTGACAGTGTGCTTCTTCAAGACAACGCCGGCAACACCGCGCTGCTGTCGAGAGAGGCACTGCAGGCGCTCGGAGTCCAGATGTCCATCCAGGTGAAGACGCTGGAGATATCGAGATGTGAAGGGACCTGTTCGCAGAGTCCCAACTCGTGCAGACTTTTCCGCAACTCTGTGAGTTCGGACACATGGTGGGTCTGCAAGTCTTTTCCCCAGGACGTCGGCGTCTGTTGTTCGACATGTCCCACCCTGCGGTCTACGACCGATGGCTCCGTGCTAGGTGAATGCGAGGAGGCCGGTCGAGCTCCTGTCTGCGGCTGTCGAGCAAACAGTACGAGCAGCTGGACGTGCAGTAGCGAGCAGACTCTGAACCCAGCCTTGGGCGTACCTTCGACATGCTTCTCTTCTCTGCAGGACGTATGAGTTTCTCCTTCCGAGCTTGATCTCTTCACTGACGAACGCGCCTGACAGCCTTCTTGTGGTGACCTCATTGACAGGCAGTACTGCGCTGTTGAGGTAGAGTTGACATCGAGGGGTTGTTTGGCTGATCACATAGACAGGGCCAGCAGACGGTGCGGACAACAGCTCCTCCACCACCTCCTGCGAGCATTGTTCCAGCTCCTGCAATGCCTCTGACCACGCCCAACCCAGCAGGAGGTGTTGGCGAGTACAACACAACGAATGCGGGAACAGAGCCAGGAACCACTCCGCTCAGCCATCCTGCCGGCAGCCCCGGTACCGCAGCACCGTCGGAGCCCCAGAACACGACTGGCGGGTAAGCCTTTGATGAGTAGACGAGTTTGACACAGGTTTTCCAGCTCCTCGCTTTGGATATGGCTGACATCCCTAATCATGATTGTCGTCATGGTCTCAGTTCTGTTCGGCTACCTCTACGCGCGAGGTTACGTGCGCTCGACAGAACGACTCGATGCTGGGAGGACCAGCAGGATTCTTGAAATCTTCAGATCTCACGGAGCGACCGAGAGCGGAGTTAGCCCCAGCACCTTCTTGAGGGAGCATGAGAGAATGAGCGAGGATGACGTCATGGCCTTCGCCTCGCAGACTGACCACCGCAGCCGGAACCAACAGGTTCATCATGAACTTTTCCCTTTCTCGTGCTCAGTGCTGAACTTCTTGGCCCAAGGATCCGTTTGACATAGAGAACCTGGACTGGGTCACACTGCAGAGCATCCTACACATGTCGAGCTTGCAACAGGTCGAGCTGCCCCACGTCCCGCCTCCTCTTCCTCAGGTTCATCACGGACGCACGTCCATCAGCATGATCTCATCCTTGCTGTTTGGCGCAGGAGCCTCCTGCCTCCTTATCAAGGGGCTGGAGATCATCAGGACGCAGCCTGCAAGCTCGGCACCAGGGAGAGCAGCATGAGGATGAGGCATCGCGCACGTGGGCCCCAGGAGACTCCGTCCCCTCGCTGCTCTCCGGCCGTCCAATGACCATGGGCGGACGGGCTCGCATGTCGGCGCCAGTGATACAGCGATCGAGCTCGAGGTGAAGTCTCCCTGCCTCTTCTCTCCCTGCTGACTGCCTGCAAGCGGGATGATGTCGCCTTCGGAGGCGCGGAGGCATGCGAGGAGGATGAGGAGGTTGAGTTCACTCAACGAGCTCTACTCGTAAGCGATCAGCGTGGAGGTCACGACAGTCTGTGACGGCTCGTCGTCAGGTCCTCCAAGGATGCCGACGCCTGCCCTCCTCTCTCCGGTCTACTCCCAGGTGAGCCTGAGGTGGGAGAGGGAGGGAAAGGAGCTTCTGATGCCCTCGCAGGGTCTGTCTCCATCGCTGATTCCGAGTGCTGCATCTGTATGGATGCTCCAGTCCAGATCCGTCTCTTCCCTTGTGGACACGCTTGTCTCTGCAAGAAGTCCGTTTGTGCTCAGCGCCCATCCTCCTGTCCTCATTCTTCCCTCAGGTGCGGGAAGCAGATTCTCGAGATGTCACAGAATTGTCCTCTCTGCAGGTGAGGATGTCGACGAAAAGACTTGGGACTTCAATCTTATGCTGGTTGACATCTGGCCGCAGGTCTCGGGTGGACGGGTTACTTCCCATTGTTTGACTAGTGTACGATACTATCACCTCTTGTTATGTAGTTACATCTTATTCTTTCCTGCTGGCGCTGTCATACATTCTTGCCTTTGCCCTTTGAATGCCCTCAAACCGTGCTCCGACTCCCTTCTTCCCTTTGAAGACATGAAAATTTTTCCCAGCCTTTCATTTACACTCGCCACCCCCATGGGAACTTGTCGTTGTTCCGAGCTCGGAACGACTTAGTATCTTCACATGTCACCGTAAATCCCATCCATGAGATCGTCCAACTTCTTCTTCTTCTTGCCCTGGCTTCAACTTCAGCTGCAGGTATCGCAGCAAGGCAATCGATCACTACAATCAATAGGGAAGGACAAGACACTCAACATCGACCATCACCTTTGGCTTGTCGTCAGCAGCAAGAACGTTCCCTTCCTCCATCTCCTTCTCCTTCTCCTCCTCCAGTCCCGCCTGAATCTCTCCAGCCCCTTTGAACCCTATCCCAACGAGGAATATCTCCGTCGAGCGCCCTCGGGATGCTTCAGGTTTGCGAACTTTCACCTTGTCAGGGTCAGTCTGAGCGAAGGGAGGAGGCTGCTGATACCTCGTTGAAGCGAGCTCGCATCTCGTTCAAACATTCGTCATATCCTTCTCCTCGGAAGACTTTCACTACAGCCTTTCCCCCTAGCAGGCCCCCTCAGTCCCCAGCTGCAGGTAGCAGTTCAAAGGTACCTCGTTTCAGCCATTCTTCCATCATGAAGAAAGCAAGGGAAACAAGGTTGTATGCTCGACCTTCAACCTTGTCGTCATCATCGTGTCTCTATCCTCTCTCTCCCACCATACCCTGATCCAGCAGCGCATTGCCACTTAGATTCGGCGCCATGTCCGAAAGGACCACGTCCGCTCGAGCCCCAGCGAGCATGACGCTCAGCTGCCCGCGCGTCGTGTCCTCCGTGAAGTCTCCCTGCACAAACTCCACACCTGGGAGCGGGCGCATCTCGAGGATGTCCGTAGCGATCACACGACCCGTCGGCAACACCTGCTCGCATGCCGTCAAGGACGCGCGATTGGGCTGATTCCCTCACCCTCTTCGACGCGACCTGCGACCAGCTGCCGGGAGCAGAGCCTGGGGGACCAGCACCGTGAGAGACACCCGAGCGACAACTTGTATCCGTCACCAAGGTCAAGGACAAGTTGTCCCGGCTTGAAGATGCTGTCCTTCTCCTGGATCTGCAGGATCTTGTATGCTGCCCTGGAGCGCCAACCGTCCTGCTGTGCCTGCTTCACCCACTTGTCGTTGACGTGCTCATTCAACCATCGCTTGCTGCTACTGCTCGAGTCTGTCTTCATCTTGAGACAAAGAGCTCGACCCGCCAGCGGCATCTTCGACCGCGACCCTCCGCATGCTCCGGCCCCACCGATGGCCCAACCCGAGGGCAGGTGGTGGAAGCAGGACACCTCCTGGCTGGAGAGAGCGAGGGCGACAACGAGGCAGGAGTATGATGAGACTCTGATCCTTTCAGCATGCACCCGCTGCCTTCTCTCTTCCTCTCTCCCTCGCGCTCCCTCCTCTCCTCCCCCTCCTGTCGCAAAAACCTCCGGCATCGCAATCCGGGGGCCACCGAATTCTTGAGGCGGGCGCGGCTTGGCACTCTTTCCGAAGATAGGGTAGTTGTACCGGTGGTAGTGGGGGTAGGTGTGGAATAATGAGACGGAAGAATGCAGGGAGCCTTTACAGCGACGGGCAAGAGGAGAGGAGGAGAGGAGGAGGAGAGGAGGAGAGCGATGGCAGTATGAGGAGGATGAATGAAGGACCCGGTGCCATTCATGAAACCAGAGGAGGAGGGAGAGTGATATGGCCAAATGGAGCAAGTCGCTTGTCTGATTGCTAGGGTGGAGATGGTGAAAGGGCGCAATGGCGAGTCGGCCGATAGGAAGAACAGATTACAATCGTTGTTGACATATGTATGAGAACCACTACATCTCAGCTCACAGATACAGGCGAAGAGTTGTTTCCGCCGTGCAGTATGAAGGAATAGAGATATGTACAATCGTTGTTGCAGGACGGCAAACGGAGAAGTGGGTTGCCCAAGTGTGCGATGTATAGAAGCATTGAAGTTTAAACCACATGTGGTAGAAGTACGAACGTATCCTCCACACACTCACCATACTCCTGCTGGCATCGTCTGACAGGAACTTTGACCTTGCAGGAGAGGAAGTAACTGTTAGGATGCGAACAGAGACCAGGGTAGGTCACTTGTCGATGGGGTTGGTAACGGCTCAAGACGTCATTGTCCACATCTCGTTGCTCGTCTTCTCCGAGATGCTGTACACTGGCCTGCAGGGCGAGAAGCAAGAGCGACGGAAGAACAAGTCGTTCGCGACCTTGAGGACAGCACAAGCAGCGCTGGCTATCGCCGGCAGGAAGGTGAGGGTGAGGGGAAGGAGATGCTGCTCTTCCCAAGAGGCAGAGAAGATGGACCAGAGCCTAGACAACCATGTTGCCCTGGAAGACTCAGACTCCGAGGAAGCTCTGACCGAGGACAAGCTTGCTGTGGATGAATCCCTTACGAAGTCTGCAACCTCCGACCCTTCAGTGATCGTACAGGACGACTTGGGAAAGCTCTTTGGGTACCTAGCTAGCGAATGTGAGAGATTGGTCATGCTTTTCATTTGACTCGCAGTTGATGTCTTGCTCAGATGATCTCCTGCTTTGGATCCCCAAACTCAATTACAAGTTGCAGGCACCTCCAAGCATGTCGATCATGGTGGGTTCTTTAGAGCACAGCGCTTTCAATGATCCCGTCTGGCAGGATTGGTTTGGCCTTTGCGCCATCATGGTATTCTTTGGGGCAGAAGTTCTCTTGCGAAAGCAGGTTGATGTTCAGTGAAGCTACAAGGAAAGGTGTTGACTTGTTTGTCAGGGGAACGAACCCAGTCGGAGGGAGGTCGTCACGATTCACAATCGAGCTTTTAGTCTGCCTCGTTCTCGATTATGTGCAGGGATTATACTATGAGCCATGGCCAGCTGAACGACGAGCCAAGGTCTTCCAGCAGCTTCATTTCGGGTTTCTGCCCATGGCGATTTGAGCTGCCAAGTCCAACAGCTTTGCCCTCTCTTTGCTCTTGTTGTACGACGGGCCTGCGGCAAAACGTCAGCGACGAGCAGGAGAATCTCCAGCTGAAAATTGCAGACCTGACTTGGCAGTCGTTGACCTCCTTGACACGTCCAGCTGGTTGAGAGGCGGCAGTCAGCTCGGTGCCATTCATTTCCCAGCACTCACCTTGCCCTTGTCAGCCTTGCGGTCGCCCGACGATCTGCTGGCAACTGCGCCCTGACTCCCTTGTCCTCTGCCGTCATTCAGCTCAACCTTCCAGCTGCTCCGAACTTCGCTGGCGGAGAAGGGCCGCGAGGACGGCCGGGCTAGCTCAGGCCTGTTGGGGGGGCAGGTGGGGAGGGCGTCTTGTTTGCGGGGAGTCCACGGCTCGAAGGTCACCTGCAGCTCATTCCCTTCCGACGACAGGTCCTTCTGGATGATGGAGCCTTCCACCGACTCTGCCATGTCCCGATACCTTCCTCCTGCCCCTCCCACCCTGTCGACCTCCACTTGTGACGCCCTTCCTGCCCCTGGCCATCCCCGCTCCCACTCGTCGTCGGACGCAGAGTTCCTTCTTCTCGCATCTTGATCTTGACGAGCGTTGCATGGCTCCTCAACGAGGCCTGTTGCTGCCTCTGTCCATGGAGGCGTCGCCGCCGCACCCAGCTGGTTGCCAGCTCCCTGGCCGTCATCGGAAGAGAGGTCGCTCTGCTCGCAGAGGTCGGAGAAGGGAGAAGCGTCGCGTTTGATCGCGTGATAGCCTTCGTCTTCCTCCGCCAGTGCTTGCAGCCCTGTAGGGCGTGTCTCGGGCGATGCTCGAGAAGGTTCGGAGATGTCGTCCATCCGGATGAGCAGGTAGAGCTGAGAAAGCTTCGCCCACCTGGACTGCACGATGGCTCTATGGACGTTAAACTCGCCGGAAGCCTCGCAGGGGACAGGAGTCTTGACAGGAGTCTTAACAGTGAGCTTTTCGGGAGACAGGGAACACTCGATAGTTGTGGGCTCTTGGAGCGTCGTGAACTTCCACTGGTCGTAGGTAGGCCAGGAGCTGTCGACGATCCTGCTGGACATGGCGAAGCCTTGCATGCTAGCGCTGCTGTGCCTTGCTGCCTGGTCATCGACGCTCCTCTTGACGTCTTCTACGGACCGCAGGACGCGGCTGTGGCGGAAGAGGTCGGCAGCAGCTCTCTGCAAGGACCGCTCATTGATCAGATCCTTCCATGTGTCCAGGTGGAGCAGCAGCAGCCTCCGCATCTGCCGGTTCCGAGCATGGCAGGCCAGGCGCGAGACCCACAGACGTCCCTGCGGCAGGGCAGGAGCGTCAGCAGGAGGAAGCAGATGAGGTAAGATACCTTCACTTTCCATGAAACCACGTCTCTCCACAGCTGGAAGAACTTGGATGCTGACCCCGCTGCCTGTGCAATCATGCCAGCAGCTGGTCTAGATCCTTCAGCTCCCCTGTCCTCCATCGGCCTCCCTCGGAGTGACGGGTGACCCGAGCCCGGGTCACCCCGGCCGTTCCTCGTCTCCCTGAGGAACTGAAAGCTCGACACGAACTTGACGCTGGCTCCCCTGGGGTTCGTCTGGATCGACTGGGCAAAGGTCATGAAGTTGAGGGTGTTGATGCTTTCCCTGCACATCTGGACGTCAGGGTTGACATGACCGATGACGCATATCCTTGAATCAACTCCAATAGCGTCTTTCAGGAGGAACGTCAGCTTCGAGGATCGGTAGGGAACATGCTCTGTCCTCTTTGCGAGGGCCGACAGGACAGCGCCCAAGGCAAGGAGAGATCTGTGTGAGTGTGGTCAGAAGGTATGATACGCTACAAGAAGAAATTCTCCTCCTCCTCCTCCTCGTTCACCTATCATATTCCACTCTCACCCCGTCAACACTACTCCATAATTTCTCTACCATTTTAGTCTCTCTCACCTGTTCACGTACGTGGCCTCTCGGAAGGTCTTTCCTGATGCCTCCGACTTGCTCACCTGGCAAGGCTTTACAGAGGGAGAGCTCATAGCAAGGGACTACCTTCTCATTCCCCGCCAGGTCCACCAGCGTCAACCTTGACTGTCTGAAGATTCGCTCCTCCTTCTTCTCCGCGCTCCTCTCCTCGTCTTCGAGGTACAGGAACACCGTGATCACCAGGTGGGAGCGCGAGCTCCGGAGGTTCATGGCGGTAGAGGAGAACCTGAGCCTGCTCCTTGCTGTCTTGACCACCTTCATCACATCCTCCCTGCGCCTCAGACGCAGCGTCGTCGCCCCCTCCGCCCAGACTCCCTTGCTGGGATCGTCCCTCAGGCAGAGGTCGGACGTCGAACGTGATAGCAGGTCACAGACCGAGTCGTTGTAGACCTCAAGGATGCTGCACTCACATACCCACTTCTCCTCACTGTGACCGAACCTGCTGTGCAACGTCTGCAGCACGTGACTCAGAGCCATGGCGCTGATGCCTTCGACCTCCAGCTTCGACCTCCCCTCCTCTGAGAGACTCCCTTGCCAGTCCCCCTGCATCGTCCAGGTCTTCCCCGAGCCCGTTTGGCCGAAGGAGAACAAGGCCGAGTTGATGCCGCTGAGGAACGAGTCGACGACCCGCCTGGCAGAGATGTTCCAGATGTCAAGGTTGCTGGACTCAGGACCACAGACTGTATCGAACATGAACTCGTGTGCTCGCTTCTCCTCCGTGATTCTCAGCTGCCGGCTAGTTTTTGTCCCTTGCCTCCAGTTCACCGGTGGGCCGACCTGGATGCAGGACGTCCGACCAGCTTCGATCGGCCTGACTCGGAGCAGGACGCGCAAGTTTTCATCTCTTTCCTTGCTTCTTCCTGTGTGGAGGGGATCGGGCCTGTTATTGCACGCGTTCTCCTTGTCGGGAGGGTCGTTGACTTGCCAGGAGCGGTCGAATCTCATTCTCCTTGACTTCCTATCAACTCATCAACCCTGCTGTTGTCTTCTCAACCCCTCACAACGATCATTCTCTCCCTCTGTTCTAACTCTCACTGACTCACTGACTCACTGACTCACTCACTCACTCACTCACTCACTCACTTTCTCTCTCTCTCTTTCTCTCTCCCTCCTCTATCGCCCTGCTTTCTCCTGCTTTCTCCCGACAAAATTCGTAAACCAACGGCCGTCTAGTCAAATTTTCCCTGCCTCTGACGTGGGCCCCCACATCCCCCTCAGCCAGGCTACAGCACCACCGCCAGACAGAGTTCTACCCCCGTGACCGCCAGACCACCGCGCAGACCGTACCACCCGGTGACCGCGGGCTGCGCGGCACCGCGGGCCGTGACCGTGACCGACTGACACTGCCGCGCGTGACTCAGGACAGCCGCGACCAACCGGTGACCGAACCCGACCCCAGCACCGGCCCCCGCCAATGTCAGCCGTCTTCTTCTGCGACGGCTTGCAGCAGTCGTTCAGTACCTGCCTGAGAGCCGGAGGCCGGGCGGCCGCCGGGGGACGGGCCGGGGGAACGATTACCATGATGACTACGGTTAGGCTCAGTCATGGGCTAGCTTGGGACTCAGTGTCGAGAGACTGGATTATGTCGGATATCGGGAGCTTTACTGGCTCTCTGAAGTAAAAGCTACACAGTCACTCTGCCGCCCTCCGAGCCATCTGATGCGAAGTCAGCTTTACGGTTGGGAGAGGAGGAGAAAGAGGAGGAGAACTGAGATGAAGAAGGAGGAAATTTCTGACCTGAGCTACCTGACGACGGCTGCTCCGTGATTCCTCCGTCTTCCGTCGACTGACCGGAAAGAGCTGAGAAGGAAGGCAGCTCCGCTCGGGTCAGCACAGCTGGGCGGGTGGAAAGCTCTCCCTCGGGGGTCCGCCTCAGCAGGACGAACTCAACGCTGGTGCCCTTGGGCTGGAGAAGAACGTCAGATGCCCTTGACAACTTTAGCTGACAACCCCAGCTGGAACTTACCCCAAGCACCAGCTGAGCGAGCTGGGCGTGGCTCAAGTGGTGGATGGACACCCCCGAGACGGAGACGACGATGTCCCCGATGCTGACAAGCCCCGAGAGCTGCGCGGGCCCTCCGTCCGCAAGCGACTTGACATGGTAGTGCCCGTCCCTCCTCAGCTTGAATGTGATCCCTACCCCGCAGCCTGCGCCCTCCTCTCCTCCTCCTCCTCCTCCTCCAAGCTTCCTGCCTCTGATCCCTACCATGGTGAAGGGATGGCAGCCTTGTCGCTCCACCAGCAGCTTTGCGCTGCTTCCCTGCTGTCCTCCCAGCAGCTCCTGCACCTGCTGGATCGACATTTGACGGACCTGTGCAAAGTTCAACGACGGGGTCAGAGGATATGCATGCTAAGAAAGAGGAAACGAAGAGGGAGAGAGGGGAGAGGAGGAGAAGAAGAGGAAGGTAGTAACCTGCTCGTCGTTGATGGAAATTATTCGATCATCCACCCTCAAATCTTCCTCCTCCTCGTCAACCTTGTCCCGCCCGACGATCCTGACGCTCCTGCACTGCAGTCAGCCTGCGGGCGGCTGACAGCAAGACAGCAAGGCACCCGTCGGCGTCCTTCTCGATCTTGATCCCCATCACTTCACACGCTGCTGAGGATGAACCTGTCCCGGCTGCAGTCAGAGGAGGAGGGGCGAGCAGAAGGGCAGGTCACCAGGTTGCTTCCCCCAGCGAGGAGAAGATTGAAAACGGGAAGCAGCGCTCGCTCGCGCATTCTTCACGGCGTTTTCAGCTGCGACCTGACGGCACATGCAAGATTAGAACCGAATTGATTTCCCTCCTTTCCTCCTGCATGTCCTTTCCCAACCTCCTTTCCTCCTGCATGCCTTCTCCCCTTCTCATTCCCTTCCCCCCCCTCTCTCCTCTTCTCTTCCTCCCTTGCTTTTCCTCTCCCTTCCTCTCCGTCCCCTCCCCTCCGCGTACAGGATCGACATCCTTCGCTGTCTCCAGTCGTCTGCTCGACCGCGAGTATCCTGCCAGACATTGAGAAAACGATCGCGACGCTCCTCCTCGTCCTCGTCCTCGTCCTCGTCCTCGTCTTCGTCCTCGTCCTCGTCCTCCTACCTCCTTCTAGCCCAGCGTCTCGCTGCAGCTGGACGCGGAAAATACGAGACTCAGCGCCATGACCCTCCTGCTGCAAGTCAGGTTGAAGAAGAGTGGCAGGAGGAGGATAAGAGCGAGAGGCAGGGGGACCAATGGGAAAGATAAAGAGGAAGAGCAGGAGGGACCAGGGTGGAGCATGACGAGCAAGGGAGGGAGGAGGAGGGAGGAGGGAGGAGGGAGGAGGGAGGGGAAGGCGAGAAAAGGGAGGGAGAGGCGGGAGGAGGGAGGAGGGAGGAGTTTAGGAGAAGAGGGAGGGAGGAGGGTGGAGGGAGGAGGGAGGGAGGAGGAAGGGAGTAGAGGCAGAGAAGGGAACAGGGAAGAGACCTGAAAGACCAACTCGACTGAACTGCCTGGGGATCCGAGAAAAAGCTCTAGTGGACAAATAAGTATGGCAGCTAAGGGTAGCTGCAGCTAAGGGTAGGGAAGGAGAGGAGAGGAGAGGAGAGGAGAGGAGAGGAGAGGAGAGGAGAGGAGAGGAGAGGAGAGGAGAGGAGAGGAGAGGAGAGGAGAGGAGAGGAGAGGAGAGGAGAGGAGAGGAGAGGAGAGGAGAGGAGAGGAGAGGAGAGGAGAGGAGAGGAGAGGAGAGGAGAGGAGAGGAGAGGAGAGGAGAGGAGAGGAGAGGAGAGCCAGACCGGATAGCTCATTGTAGTGCAGCCCTCGCACCCCTTGCCCGTCCACCTGCACGAGGATGTGCCCGACTTGTATCTGCACCATGGTCTCAACCGAGGGAGTAGGAGGAAGGGGAAGGCGCTGGACTAGGCGGAGGAGGACGATGAGCGAAGCGAAGGAGGAGGAGCATCAGAAGGATAAGGGGAAGGAGAGGAGGGAAAATCACAAGATTCGAAAGAACATACGGGGAAGAAACAACAGGAGGCGAGGGTGCTGGAACTCAGGCAGGGCGAGGGATGGGAGGAGATGAGGAAGAGGGAGCAGACAGGAAGGGCTGTTGGCCTGACCTTTCCGCAGCGATCAGCAGGTCCCCCCGGAGCGAACCCCCGAACTCTGATTATATTCATCAATCAACCCCCCCTTCCCCTTGCCCCTCCCTCCCTCATTTCCTTCCCCTTCTCTCCCGTCGCACCCTGCACCCTCCTTCTTCCTCTCTCCCATCCTTCTCCGCCCTCCGCCTCCTCCACAGTCTCCAAGCAGCGACTGGTTGAGTCCCTTCCTCCACCACTTCCTCCACCACTTCCTCCTCCTCCTTCCCCTTGTGTCTGTCAGTCCCACCTGAGATTTCCTCGCGAATCCTTGCGAACCAGAAGTCCAACCGAACATCTGTCAACGAAACGCAATCACCACTAGAGCCCTCCCCGTTCCTTTCCCTCCCACCCTCTGCACTCGTTCCCTCTGCTCTGCTCTGCTCTGCTCTGCCCTGCTCTGCTCTGCTCTGCTCTGCTTTCTCCCTTCTCTCACCGCATGTTCGAAGATTTTTGACCGTTGGATGAGCTCTGCGCTTCTTCACTGGAGGGCTCATGGGGTAAGAAAGCAGCAAATCCTGTTCTCGATCTCTCCTCCTCCTCCTTCGCTTCCTCCTCGGCTACCTCGTCTCCCTCCCCCCACCCCATCCTCATCCTCATCCTGCTCCAGTAACCCCCCTTCCCCTGCCTCCTTCATCTCCTCCGCTTCCTCCTCCTCTCCTTCCCACTTTCAGCACCTCTTCATCCTCGCTTCCGCTACCGATGGTCCGGCTTCCTTGCTCCTCGTAAGGCTGACATACGTCACGTAGAGCAGCCCCTGGCCGTTGACCCGCTGTAGGCCGAGGATGACGGAAGTTCCCTGCTGACGAGATAAGGAGAGGAGAAGGAAGGGAAGAGGAGGGAGGCGAGGAGGAGGTGATGGGACGTTGGCAGAAGGAAGGAGAAGAATTCGCAGGAAATGGCGGGACTGAGAGGTGCGATGCAGAGTTGAAAGAAAGAGGGATGGATGAGAAGGTAGAGGGGATGGGAAGACGAAGGAAGGGTGGTGGGAGAGGAACGGAGCGGTAGATGTTGTCGTTACATGCTGCCCGTCGAGCAGGTCGATCACGTCAGCCTCAGCCATATCTCGAATGGCGATGCTGTCGACTGGAATGTGCGAGGGCGATAGGACGAGAAAGCAGAATCGGAACAGCAAAGTCGTGAGAACGGGAGGAAGAAGAAGCACGCATAAATTGGATAGAGGGCAGAGTAGAAAGTTTGAGCGAAAGTTGAGAGGAAGAGGTAGACACAGAATCAGGGGCAGGAGTACGAGTAGCGGCAGGGGCGGGAGTGGAAGCAGCAGGAAGATTGAGGGAGGTAGTTGTGAAGTTCTGACCGGTCAATAGAATGTCATTAATCTGAACCTGACGGCTGATCTGCGATGGACTTGCAGAAGCATGAGAAGGAGAAGAAAGAGGAGGGGGAAGAAAGTGAGGAGGAGGGAGGGGGGAGACGGGGAACAATGAAGGGGAAACGAGGAAAACAATGATGGAAGATAACTGGGAGGAACAGATCTGAGTAGGAAGAGGACGAGCAAGCGGAAGGAGAAGAAAGGAGGAGAAATCATAAGGAGGTAGGAGGAAGGAGGCAGGAGGAAAGGAAACATGGCGGTACCTCTTGTCCCTCATCTCTTTCACCCTGCAGGAGAGACTTCAGCAGCGACAAGACCAGAAAGATAGCTGACCGATAGATGAGCGGGGGACCTTCGTGCCATAGGACCAGCCCAACTCCCGCTGTTCAGCTGGATGAGAATGACGAAGATGGCAGAATGGGGAGGTGGAGGATCCATGGGAGAAGAAGCAAGTGCAGAATGCTAGGAAAGGAGAGGAGGGGAACAGGCTAATATCACCTTCGCTCTTATCTGCTTCGCTCTTATCTGGCTTTGGCGGAGAGTTGCTGGCACCTGAAGTCTTGAGGTCTGCGGTGGTTTGCTGACTCGGATTGGAGTCGTCTTGTCGAGTAGACTCCACCACCTTGCAGTTCATGTCACTATCTGCTCATTACACGCAGCGTCGTGATATCTCCAATTCATCATCATATCTATCATCATCTCCATCATCATCTCCACCATCGCTATCATCATCTACATCATCATCATCGTCTCAATCATCATCATCGTCTCAATCATCATCATCGTCTCAATCATCTCCTCGTCTTCGCTTTACATTCTGTCTCGCTCCCGTCGACGTGTCGCTCTCTTGCGCTCTTGTGAGGAGAGAGTTGATCCGGTCCAGCTGCGCTCCAGCTCAGCTCCTCCCCCTAGTCCCCATCCCCTCACCATCCCCTCCTTCCCCCTCTCTGCCTCCATCAGCTGCGCCTCGAGCATCTTGATATGCTCCAGCTGCGGTGCTTGTCAAAGTCAAGGGTGCAATGTCAGCTGACCTTCTGCTGTAGCTGGAGCTTCATCGACTCCGCCGCTCCTCGTCCACTGGGGCCCACACGGTCAACAGCTGGACTGCAGCAGGGGGGGCAGCTACGGACCTGACGTCCTGATCGTAGTCCACGTCATCGAAGTCTTCCGGATGCAGCTCGGAGTACTGCGAGAGCACCTTGACAACGACGCGTCATCAGGCTGGAGAGAGCTGGAGGGGAAGGTAGGAAGGGCTCGGGATGACATCTCACCTTCCAGACTCTCTGCTGGGCCTCGTCCCTTTCAATCTCCACGGTACAACGCTTGTCATTTCTCCGCAGCTCGAGATTGACCTGCGGCAAATTCAGACCAGCAGAGTCCCTGCAGAGGGTCGGCGACCCTCGTCCCAGCCGGCCCCTTGAGCAGTCGGATGACGTCAGGCTGGTGGGAGAAAGGTGTCAGAGCAGCGGTCAAACTTTGGCTGGTCAAACGACACTAACAGACCTTTCTCATCGCTTTGATGGGAGTGCCGTCGACGCTAGTGACCACGTCCCCCACAAGAACGTCCCCGGAGAGATCCGCAGGCCCGCCGTGAGTGATGGAGATGATCCGAAATGTCCCTGGGAGGAAGTGTAACAACCATCGGAGCTCGTTGCAGTATCATTAGTCAAATCTCCGTCATCATCGTCATTGTCATCGCAAACTTTAGCAGCATCACCATTACCATAACCAACATCACGCTTTTTCCCTGAACTAACCACTTCATCTCCATCATCTCCATCATCCCCAATGGAAACATTTCCAGCATCGAACCATGAATCAACCAGAAAGACCATCACGAAGCTACCCAAGTGACCCCGCCAAGACTAACTAGCCCCTCTTCTCACCCTCATTATCAACGTGTAGCGTGATTCCGATCCCACAGTTGTCAGGTTTCTTGTCCTGGGCATCTCAACGATCAGCAGCAGCCCACTCCTCTATCCCTTCACCTGATCTTGCTCGTCAACCAAACTTCCCATCTCCGATGGGTCAAACGATCCCTCGGCAAAATCGCCGACCCTGTCACCGTCAACTTCCTGCTCTTCGTCGTTCCTATCAGCAGGTTCAGACCTCTCCCTCCTCCCCCAATGCTCCGCTGCGGCTGCTTACATGTGGAACACAAACTCGCTGGGGTCGAGGCTCGCTTCAGACAGCGCATAAGACTTCTTCAGCACATTCTGCTTGTCCTCCGACAACATCCTTATCTCCTTCCTTAGCCGTTCGTTCTCCTCCGTCAGCCTGCACCAAACTCCTTCATTCCCCCGGTTCTGCCGCACCACCGCCCACCTTTCATTCTCCTCTCGCAGCTGCTGGTTTGACTCGGACATCGACTGCATCCCGTCACTGACACCCTGGGGCCCGGGCCCGCCGAATCTCACCTGACAGTTCGCACAGAAAGTTCGCTCCGACCGCACCTCGTTGCCATTCTCCCCATGCTCGACGTGAGAGTCTTCAGGATCCCACGAGTTTTCTCCCCCCTCGTCAAGCCCATCCTTGACCTCGGGCGAGGCCCCTGGCTCAACCCGATCCTGCTCGATGAGATCCGACGAGATCTCGCAGACAGCGTTGTCACTCCCATCAATATTCTCCTGACGGAATGTGAGCGATACAACCAGGAGGAAGAATGCAGCGAGCGATACAAACAAGAGAATCAATGTCAAGGAACTCACCGTGTTTCCTATGTTTCCAACTTCCTCTTTCCTGTGCATCACGTTACTAAGCTTGACAACGAAAAGAGTTCACAACCCCTTGGACGAGCAGACAGTCCCTTCATCTGCATGAAGTGTCTTACTGAAAGCAAGAAAAACGAATATGTACCTGAGAGGGTGCAATCGTTTGAGGTCGGAGTTCCAGGCATGTTTTCACTCTGAGCAAACCCAGTTAAATGGTTCAAGTGAACTGTACGACTGCAGAGCACTGAAAGCGATGGCAGGCAGGGAGAGGAGGGTGCGTGGACCAGAAAGCGCGACAGACGATGGAAGGAAAGATGGCACACGTTGATCCATACCTCATCATTCTTCGTCCTCCTGACAACGACGTTGCTCCGTTTGCCCTGCAACCTTCAATCACTTACCGCACCATCACATTGCGATCCTTCACCGGCGTTTGGCAGTGTTCGATCTCTAGCTCGACCTGAGATGAGATCAGCTCAGCTCCTTGCAAGTTCGCACGACTCTCAAGGTGTCTGCCCTCACATCGCCCTCACCAGAGTGTCAAGAGGTCCCAGGAGCAGGTCCAAGACCTCGTGCTGCTTCTTCCCGAACACGGAGATGCCTGGAGAAGGAGTTCACAGGCGGGCAATCTACTCAACCATGGATGAAACCTTCCACTGAGAGGATCACGTCTCCGACATGCAACAGCCCAGTCTGGAAGAGCGCTCAGCAAGGCTCCCTCTCAAGGAACGTCGGCGAGCGTTCCAACTCTCTCACCCGTTGGGCTGAGCTGTTTTCCGAGATGTGGGACACCTGAGGCCCCAACTCAGTGTAGCTCTCCTCGGATGAACTAGAAGTACCTGATATTGCCCCTTCTGCTGCTTGACCTCGATGCCGATGCCTGGGTCGGGATAAGTGCCAAAGTAGGGGGAGCCGGATGGCTCATATAGGAGGGGCATACCGCATTCGAGGTCATCGAATTCTCCGCTCTCTTCAGGCCCAGAAGAAGATTCGTAGGAGTGGGAGTACATGCTCTTGCGTTCTCTGGTCGACTGACTACCAGCCCTTGCTTCCCATGGAAGAGGTTCCCTCCGGCTGAGAAGTCCCCTTCACACCGGGCAGATCTCGATGATGGGCGTTCAGGTCAGGAAGCGGGCTTCACCTGCTGCACCTGTCATCGGTGGGGAGACTGAGTAGAGAGGGAGCGGGAAGGAAGGAATGTTACCTGCTCCCCGCTCGCCCTCCCTGCTCCGCTACTGCTTCGAACTCGGGCATTTCCGGCGATGACCGGACTGCGGGAGAAGCCTTTTTAAAAATTATAAAATGTTATTAAACAGTACCTGCAACATAATGTACCGCTACTATGAATGATCGATTATTAGAATTGCGGTACTAATTGTTCCGCCTGAAGCTACCAACATAAAAGGTCATTACTGTAAACAAGTAACACAATAAGAACCAGAAAGAATAGTCAATAAATTGAGAAAAGGAGAATATCACCGGTACTCTTAGCTCTGATATAGGGGGAAATATGGGGGTGGGTAGTTGTTCCCTCCTTCCGAACTCGGAACTCCAACCTATTCCAAACAAAAAGTTGCAAAACTTCCAAACTTTCAACTTTGTGGGGTCGAAGTTTCAAACTTTCGCCCTAGGGAGGCCAAGTCATCATGGTGAGGAACTACGGAAGAGGAGGAGGAGAGCGAGGAGGAGGAGATGGATGAGGAGAAGGAGAGCGAGGGAGAGAGCGAGTGAGGGGAGGAGGAGAGGGAGAGAGGGAGGAGGTATGTATGATATCATAGTCGGGCAATGATGGGAACAATCGGAAGTGATGAGACGTGTTGAATGGAAACAGAAGGCCTCGAGATATTACAGTTATGTTTTGAAGGATCGTTAGACATCATGCTGTCGCTGATCGTGATCTCTTTCTATCGCTAACTGTTCCGCAGTCCTTGGGGAAATCCGGGAGGTCAAAGGTGAACCATTGTAGACCGTCTGTCGAGTGCTCATGGTTGCGCAGGCGCCCCAGCAGGAGAAGGATGGCTTTCACCTGGTGTCGAACAAAGATACACAATGGCATGACAGAACTCAAGCGCAAAACTTCAAGGACATTCGATACCACACGAGCGACGAAGGTATCGCCAAGATCACTATCAACAGGCCAGAAGTTCACAATGCGTTCAGACCTCTCACGATCCAGGTGATGACGCTGAAAAAGCTGCTGGGCGTGAGGGTGAGAGCTGCTGAGCGTGATGGTGTTGGCAGGAACTCCGGACGGCGTTTGCTCTTGCGCAGGACGATGTTTCTATAGGAGTGATCATTCTTTGCGGTGAGATCCAGGCAGACTGTTGCTGGGGGTGAGCTTGCACTAGGGGAAGGGCCCAACGCCTTTTGCTCGGGAGGGGATCAGACGCTGAGAGGAGAAGGAGGGTACGATGACGGGACAGAACCTGTGCCGAGACTCTCTGTGCTGGACCTCCAGGTGGAACGGACGCATGGTCTACTTCGTGCGGCTGACTCGAGAGGCTACGGCAGGTTCAGATGAGGAGGTGCCCGAAGCCTGTGATCGCCATGATCGCTGGTGACGTGGCGCCTGCTCGCCTGCCTGCTGGCTAGCTGATGGCTGCGCTACAGGATACGCGGTGGGAGGCGGGCACATTCTGCACATGGTACTCCTGGTTCGATGGCAACGAAACGTCGAGTGATAGGGGGGCATGGCAGGTTTGCGACTTGTCGCTTGCGGCAGACAACGCTCTCTTCGGGCAGACCGGGCCCAAGGTTCCCTGCCACGTCATTTAGGGAGGTAGGCCTGACCTGCTGGGTAGGTTGGAAGTTTCGACGCGGGGTATGGCTCTTCTCATATGGCGCGGATAGTCGGGCAGAAGAAGGCCAGGGAGATCTGGTTCCTTTGCAGGTGAGCTTGAGGGGCTTGCCTCTTCTTCGCTGCTCCTTCTCCCTCCTTGTTTGACCTCCTCCTTCCTTCCCTCTTTGATCCCTTCTCCCTCCCTTCTGCTCATCGTGCTCCCACGCTCATCGGACCTGGAGGTTGTACAACGCCAAGGAGGCACTGGAGATGAAGCTTGTCAATTCTGTTGTACCTCTTGCCGAGCTAGAGGTGACCTCTGACGAGCTGCCTGGACATTTTCTAACAAGAGAACGCAGAGGGAGACTTTAAGATGGTGCCGGTATCAGCCTCTCCCACCTCCTCCTTCCAACCTCTCCTCACGTTCCCAACAGTCGCATCCTAGCTCTCAGTCCAACAGCTCTGGCCTGTCTCAAAGCAGCGATCAACGCAGACGAGGACGGGCAGGCAGGGATCATGGAGCTGGCCGGCCAGGTGACCTTTGCTCGGCCCGGAAGCAAAAGGAGGATAACAGTCATGGCAGGCCACCCGCTTGTATTATCTCTCCGAAGAAGGGAAAGAAGGAAGAAATGCGTTCGTACAGCGACGCCCTCCCGCCTTCCGCTCTATCCCTTCTTCACGGCTGTGACACGTCAGACGTACCCTCCTAGGTTGACTCGCCGGCGGGTGAGGGAGGAGTTCAAGCCCTGCCGCCACTCGCTGAAGGCTCGTAGAGCCAGCTCGTTGATCCATCGGATAAAGCTGCCGCCTAGAAACGTCTGCTTGAAGAAGATTTTCCGCTGCAGCCGCTCCCATGACGTCACCATCCTCCTTGCCGCACGAAGCTGCTCCTTAGGAGTCATCTGCACAGGCCCATCCTGCTGCCTCCTTTGCTCCTCCTCGTTCTCCCCCAGCGCCTCCCACGCCCAGGCATGAAGCGCTCTCCTCGAAACACTCCTCCTTCCCATCGCCGCTGCCTTGAGCTTCACGCAGGAGAAGAGGAACTTTAGCATGCCCTGCAGCCTCCAGCTTGTCATCGCACGAAGAAGGGGAACCTTCTTCTGGGCATGGAAGCCCAGGGACCCTGCCGCCTGCCTCATCCTGTCCATCTCTCGCCGTCTGGACAGCAGCATCGCGTCGTACTTGGAGTTGCTCTCCTGCAAGTCTCTTGTCCTCTCCGCTACCTCCGCCTCCTTCCTCACCAGCTGGCTTCTCATCTCACAGATGCTCTCAGGCTCCTCGTTCCATTTCTCAAAGCTCCATCGCAGAACTTTCTCACAGTTTCTCCTCCGCACTCTCATGATTTTCCCTTCCTCCCGCCTCTTCGCCCGGCACAATCCCCTCCAATCCTGCAACGCAACCAGTAGCGTGCGGTCACAAGACTTTGACTTGCAACGAGTTGCTTTCACGAGCAAGTTCCTGCTGAGATTCCTGGCTGTAGACCAGCACTGAAAGGCAAGCTGACGAGTGCGACGATCGAGCAGCGATGACAAGAAATCACCCATCCTTGCTTTAGGGCTCCCTGTCAAACTTCGAAAGCTGTCAAACACGATGCGTTTCGTCATCCTCGCCTTGTAGATCGTGATAGAGAGATGTATAGACATCTCATGCATGACTTTTGTATCCTGGGCAGCATCCGGAACACAGACGTCTATCGGACGATCCTTCACAAGGCTCAGCTTTCTGTTGGAACCTTCTGACTCGAGCTCCTTGTTTCTCTCCGTCAGGTTCTTATTGACAGCTTCAAGTATCTTGATCTCCTCGAGGTGGGCAGAAAGTTTCTCCGCACAATTCTGCTCTATCCTCTCGATCTCCCTCTCTTTTACTATCGCCTGTTCGCGGTATTCCAGCAAGTTCTTGCTCCTTTCGTACTCAAGGTCAGTCTCCACCTCATGTAGACGCGTCATGATTGCCTCTATTTCACTCTCATAGAGCTTGACAGTCTCCTGAAGCTGCATCGTCTGCTGAAAGTACTTGCAACGGGTGTTCTGTTCCGACCAGAGGTGAAACATGTCTTTGATAAACTGCTGCTGTTTGTGTACATGATTTCTGCCAATCCGTTGAGATTTTCTTAGCCGACTCAACCAAAATACAAACAACAATGAAAGATCACGAGCACGTTTTTGTTGGAGAGATTGTTCGACCCTCTGGCAACCTTGCTTTCTTGCCCTGCACACCTTCATCCATCGCTTGAATTGCAATCGGCATCTCCTTCTTTGGTGCATAATTTTCAGCCATTGGGCCTTGCGGGTATCAGATTTCACAACTCTCTTCATCGTCATGACATTCTTGAACTTCCTCAGCCACGCGTGAAGACGGGCCCTTGACACTCGTCGAACACACCACAGGTTGCGTTTTTTCCACATCGCGTGGTTGAACCAAAACCAGAAGCATCGCGAGGTGTTCAACCGTGTCCAATGTTTTGCGATGTTATTCAGAGTCATGAGCCAGCTGTTCACCCTCTCGTTTGCAATGAGCTCTTCATACTCTCTCAGCGCGTCCAATGAAACCGAGTACGATATGGACAGTTTCAGCTCTTGAACCTGGTTCTCTAGCTGCTTGGCGATGTTCGACTGATCTTTGACCTGATTGCGGAGCATATCGTTCTCATGCTGGAGGGCAGAGAGGATCTCAACGTGCTTTCTCTCCATCTCCTCCAACTCTCTTTCCTTCATCACGCTTAGTTTCCTTCTGAATTCAAAAGTCTGCTCGACCTGATGGGTCCCGTTGACGCCAATCTTCTCCTCCTGCTCTTCCACCAGCTTGTCTCGCATCCTTTCCTCCTCCTCCTGCATGAAATTCTCGTCGCTCATTTCCTCTCGCGCGCCATGGTCGTCGGCGAGCGGCAGTGACTAGTCCATGATTCAGGGCCAGGAGACCCAAATCTGGTACCACGTCAAAAAAGAAATCAAACAGAAAAGACCAAAATGTTTTCATAGATAATTTCAAATTAAAAGGACACTCAGTTTTTCCTGTCTGAGATTTCGAGGCATCATTTGAAATGATCGGGCCCATCAGATCTGATAGTCTCAGGGAATAATTTTCCGCCATGGCGGACGCAACGGGGCATACGTGGAACAGCGTCTTGACGACATGGGAGGTAGAGGAGGCGACATGGCAGGAGGCAATGCAGGGTAGCAGACGATCCAAGAGCGAGAGGCCTGAGGGGAGGGAGGGAGGGAGGGAGGGAGGGAGGGAGGGAGGGAGGGGAGGGAGGGAGGGAGGGAGGGAGGGGAGGGAGGGAACAAGATAGGTAGAAGGCAACTGTTGGGTTCAGGGTGTCAGGCTTGTGAACATACTCGAAACTGTGAAGCAGGCAGGAGGGCAGGAGCGAGGAGGCAGCAGGGCCGTGTATAAACGTGGGGCAGGCAAGCAGCTCGATTGACAAGCTGTGTCTCATCATTACGGACGACTGGAGTATCGAGTACTCCAAGAACAAGCACAAAAGTCCCTTCCTGATACAAAGTCGCAAGCCCTGCGAGGTGAAACTGGACGCGAGCGTCATCGGAATCGCCTGATGCTCTACAGATAAACTTGGAGCTTGCTTCCTTCGTCTTGAAGAACTTTCGAGACCCAACTGAAATTTTCAAAGTCCATCCTCGCCATTTTCTGTTTCAGGGCTGATGTGTGAGCAACAGGAAGGGATTCGGGTGGGGAGAGAGAAGTACTTTGCTCTTCACTGCAACCCACGTACCATACACTGCAAGTACGAAAGCTTGTCATTCGTCTCATCTTACAACTCATCCAGGAAGGGAGCTTCGGGTATCATCTTCGTCAGGTGCAGAGGAGCATGTATAGTCGTTCAGGTCTCCCTGTACCTCCCCCTGCTCCTCTGATCGCCAAGTTAGTATTCAGCTCCCATCACAGCAAGTCAGTGCCTGTGCTATGTCGAGTCCCTTGCCGACATCGCCAACGAAGGTCCACGCTCGGTTGTTCTTGTCCATAGCTAACAAGCTGCTCTCCAGGTATCGCGGGAGTTCACACCGGGGTTGCCGTCACAGGGGAAGGAGACAACAGCTAGTCTGTAGTAGCACGTGGGGATGAAAGTTGAATCAAGGTTGTAATGTTATCATGTAAAACAGTGATCTTTATTCCGTTTCAAAGAATCTACACAACTGTACAACAGCATACATCTCAACGACTAGTTACAACTTTACAGTCTGGGTCGCGCTTATCAACGCAGGACGACATACTTGGGGCTCCTCTCGACGGGTGTGCAGCGCTGAAGGCTTCATGTCTAGCAGCTCGCAAAGTCGAGGAGGAGGATTTTCCCTGCACTGTAGGGCAACATCAGAGCCATCGATGGACGAGGAGAGGATCAGGGGAGCGGGGGAGGAGGAGCGGGGGCCCGGAGGAGGAGGGAGGAGGCAGGGCAGGGCAGGGCAGGGCAGCTACCTTGACCCAATGGTGCAAGAGACGGTTCAAGCTTCTCTGTGACAACATCAGGAAGAAGAAGGGACGTGTGGAGGGGGAGAGGGAGCAGAGGGGATGGAGGAGACGGAGGGAGGGAGGAGGGAAGAGAGAAGCAGCAAGGGAAGGAGGAAGGGCTAGGAGGGAACAAGGAGAGAGCAAGAGAAGATTGAACGAGCGCAGGGAAGGAGGAAGCAGACAGAAAGAATCGTCACCGAGCTTTCGAACATCGGCTCGTAGATCTCGCACATGGAGGGGTGGGGGTACAAGATCTCGAACTGTGTCGACTGAGGCTCTTGTCAAAGAAGGACAGAGGACGTTTGAAAACTTTGACAACCTCCTGCCGACGGAACTCATCCTCGCTCTGCTGGAGCACCTGGATGTCCAGCTGAACTCGGCCTCGTCAGTTCACAACACACAGCCCGGCGCAGCAACCGGTGTGAGATCGCTGAACCAGCTCGTCGAGGTTGTTTGCAGGTTGTTGCTCGGCTTCCTCCGGCTTTCATCTGCTGATCCCGTCGGCCTCACACGTGTCTCCGGCTGTGACATGTCAGCGAGATTTGACAGGCCAGCTGGGGGTCACCTGGGGGTCCCTGGACCTGCCATGATGCTTCTTCTGCTTGACGACCTCGGCGCCGACGATAGTAAAGGTGTCGGTGAAGAGTGAGCCCTTGATCTCCCTGCTGTCAAGTCAGGCTGCAGCCGTTGAGACGAGCTTGTCATCACTTGTCAAGAGGGCTGCTCGCGCTCAGGTCGGGGGACGTGTTGACCTCCACCAGCCATGGCTTCAGGGCTGTCGAGAGGCCGACGTCAGCTGGGCGCGGTGTGTGTGGGAAGGGAGAGGAGGGGGGGGGGAGCAGGAGGAGAAGTTTGACAACCTGAGTCCAGGAGGATGTCGACTCCCCAGAGCTCGAAGCAGTTGGAACGGTCGAGGTGGAGGAGGGAGGTGTTGATGTTGATGTGAGACTCCGCGGCTATGAAGGTGCGCAAGATCACGCTCCGGATGTCGCTCCAGACCTGCAGGTGATGACGTCATCGCTCCTCAGCGCCTCGGGGCCCCGGTACCTTGTCTACCCTCTCTTGGGTGTAGTCCAGCTCCTCCCGCAGGTATCGCCAGAGGGCACGGATGGACCACCTGAGACGTGAGGTGAGGGAAGAAGGGACGAGCTTCGTCTTTACTTGCTGCCTGTCCATGCATCCATGTCCGCATCACTCCGCACCTGCCGGGCGCGTCACGGTCAAGTTCCCCCTCGCCCTCCCTCGAGTGCCTGGAAGGAAGAAGACTTCTTGTTGACGGAGTAGTTCGTGAGGTGCATGAAGCGCGAGACGGCCTTGGAGTTCTTCTTGATCTTTCGTCGGGGTCAGGACAGGCAGGAAAGAAGCGAACCCATCACTCACTCTTTTGTACTTCTTCGTTGAGAAACGCACGAGCCCGTTGGTGAAGATGTAGAGCTTCAGGGGGTTGAAGCTTGTGGCCTGGCAGAGGCTGTTGAGCTGCGGAGGAGGCCAAGCACGCAAGATGTACCAGAACGTAGACACGAAGGTCGAACTTGAAGCCGTTGATGAGGAGAGGAGAGTTGATGTACTCCTGGTGATAACGTCACAAGGGATTAGCAGGAGAGGAAGGGGAGGGAGGGAGGGAGGGAGGGAGGGAGGGAGAGGTAACGGAATCAAAGATGCAAAGGAAAGAAAAATGTCGGAGATGAAAGATGGATATTACTTGGATGAGCCCTGGCTTCTTCTTCGACACCTTTCATCATGATCCAGTCAGAACGATACCTCGTTCCCTCCCTCTCTCCTCCTTTCCTCGCCCTCCCCACCATCCTTTCTCATCCCCTCAGCTCCCTTTTCATCCTCCAACCTCCGCATCCTCCCCTCCCCCACCTGCTCTAGTCTCGTCACGATCTTGATCCCGATCCCCCGGGCGCTGGCGCAAGGCTTCCAGATCCAGACTCCCTTGCTGGACTGAGCGAGGAGGAGTAAGAGGATACAACATCCCCCAGCACGAGCACCTGGAAATCATTCTTGAACTCCGTGTAGCTCGCAGGAAGAATGTAGGTGGAGGGATAAAAGTCGCACTTGTCCTGCGAGGGAATCGACATCATCCCTCGTCAACAGCAGGAGTGGCCACTCCTTTCCTCCACCTCCTCCACTCCCGGTTCCCCTTTCCTCCCTCCCTCCCTTCCTTCCTCGTTCCATCCATCCTCCGACTCCTACTGCACACCTTCCCAACACGGCGCTTGAAACGCATCAGATTTCTCGTCAGTCGATCCTTGCGACCAATGCAGAAGGTCCCTGCGTGTGCGGATCAGGAAGGGGAGGGGAGGGGAGGGGAGGGGAGGGGAGGGGAGGGGAGGAGAGGGGAGGGGAGGGGAGGGGAGGGGAGGGGAGGGGAGGGGAGGGGAGGGGAGGGGAGGGGAGGGGAGGAGCAGCGGGAGCAGACCGGGAAAGTGATTGACTTTCTGATGTGCCTGCAGCTTCTTCCACCTGCTGTCATGCGGCGAGAGCGCGTGGGCCCACCAGCAGTTGAAATGAGAAGTTCGAGCAGCCGTCTGGAAGGAAGGTGAGTAACCCGCGTCTTCCGTCCTACTTGCTCGTTGCTCTTTCTTCCTAGCTCCCTTGTTCCTCCTTCCCTCTTCTTTCCTACTCCCTCTTCATGCTCCTCCTCCATGCTCCTTCTCTTTCCTTCATCCTCTTCCTTCAACTGCTCCTACTTCCTACCACTTCCTCCTTCACCCCCTTCATTTCCTTCCCTCCATCTCATTTCCTGTCCCCTCCTCCTCACCGGGTTCTGGTCCTTCCGCAAGACAGCATAACCAGCATTCTCGTGGGCTCTACGAGCCTGCAAGGAGTTCAGGGAGGGCAGCAGCGGGAAAGAGGCGAAAGGCACTGGAGAGGAGAGAGGAGGGGCAGTAGGGAAGAGGGGTACAGGCACTGGGGAGAAGAGGAGGAGGAGGAGGAGGAGGAGGAGGAGGAGGGTAAGGTGCAGGGACGAGGGTCTACCTGTGAGCTCTTGTTTGTCATCTTGAGCTTCATCCAGCCTTTCTCCTGCAAGAGAGAGAAGAGATCTCTCCCTCGACTGTCCTTCCATGCATCCTCCCACGAGCTGATGGGACATCAGTGAGAGGAGCAAAGAGCGAGGAAGGTAGAGCAAGGAGCAAGGAGTCAAGCGCGAGGAGCAGGAAGGAGGAGGGAGAGAAGGAGGAGGGAGGAGCGAGGAGGGCAGAAGGGGGAAGGGCAAGCGAGGACGAGGAGATTGATATCATTCAACAGGACCTGGTCCCATCCTTCTTGCTCCATGATTCTGAGATCGTCTCTTCTGTCGCTTCCTCCTGCTTCCTGCCCTCCTCCTTCTTTTCGTCTTCGTCTCCACTCTTAACCTCTCCGGCATTGTGATACCAATCGTGCAAGAAATGCAGTGAAGGAGGACGCCCGAAGAAGCAGCTGCATGCAAACAATCAATTCCTCTCCTCGTCCTCGTCCTCGTCCTGAAAATCCTCTCCTCCTCTCTCCTTCAACTCTCTTCCCTCACCGCCTCCCAAGGGCTTCTCCCTACCTGTGCCAGACTCTTCCCTTCAGCCCGCTGACATCGGCAGCGGCGACTTCGTCCAGCAGCTGGTCGACATCCTGCTGAGGTCGCACGTCAGCCCCCGGAACCTTGAGCTCAGGCTTCATAGGCCACCTCGCCAGGATCGACGACTGACTCGCTCTCGCTGTCACTCCTGCCGCTGTCTTGCACGTCACCTGCTGCCTCATCAGGACTTTGCGGGGGGGGGGAGAGGCGAGAGGGGGGGGGGAGGAGATCTCACTTTCGTCATCCTCGTCGTAGTTTTCTTCTCGGTTGCAAGAAAAGGTAAGGAGGGACCTTTGAAACACAGGGTATGACAACCACCTTCCATCTGAAGATCGCGGGAGTCTTGCGAGTCCCCATCGTCGTCGCACTCCAAGAGGTCAGGCTGCATTTCCAACATGCGGCGAGTCAGAAGGGGCAGGAAAGGCGCAGCCGCTCTTGGCGCTTCCATCGGCCATGCCACCAGCCACGTCACCACGAGGACCCACCTGTGTCAGCGGTGAATCCATCCTGGAGCTGTGGGTCTCCTCGCTGTCTGATTGGAACTCCTCCTCATTCCCCCTCGCCGCCACCCTCCTCTCCTGTCTCGTCTCGTTGGAGAATGCAGGGAGGAAGACTGAGACTGAAGGTGTCAGGATGCGGAAGCTGGAGCGAAACATGGGGGTGATCACCGTTCATGTGCTTCGGGTCCTTCCTTCGCTGTAGCAAGAGCGTCAAACAAGGTCGAACTCGAGTCTAGGATCACAGTGATCGCCTGCGACAGCTTCCCGTCGTCGCTGGAGCTCGTGGCTGCGAGGAGAAGCATCAAAAGAGTCGCAGCTGGGTTGAGTTGGTCGTTACATGGCAGGGTCTGACTGTGATCAGAAGCCGCTTCCTCCTGCACAGACTTCGCCCCCCTCAACGGCTCCATGGCCTTGTCCCATGTCCTCCCCGAGGAGATGGCAGCTGTACCCTTGTACAGGCTGTCCTTTGGTAGAGTCGTGGAAGAAGGCCAGGAGAATCTCTGCAGAGACGAGTCCCCTGGTCTGATCCAGCTGGGTACGAGGTTACCTCCAGGTCCGTTCACTGAGAGCTGAAATCTCCGAGTGATCTGGTGGAGAAGTCATGCGCACGATACCACACTTGCAATGTGTGACACATGATGAGGATGTTGAGAGAGGGAAGTGGTGAGGAGAGGGATAGACGACAGGGCAGGCCGGAGGTGTTGAGGGTGGGGGAGCGAAGGGTAAGGGGTGGCAAGGAAGAGGAGAGGACAGAGGACAGAGGAGAAGAGAGCAAGAGGAGGGAGGGAAGAGGAGGAGAGAGTGAATAAATTTTCAGCATCACCTGATCTCGATGAGATTCTTTGGCTGCCCTGGAAGGATCCTGCAAACCCTCGTCATGCTTCCGCCTGTGCGAGGCGCTAGTGGCCGTTCTGTCCCGCATGCTCTTGTTGGTGCCGAGGAATATCTCCGCGACTCTCCCCGTCTTGAAGAAGGTCCGGTGCAACCCGTCGTGTGCATGGCTGTCAACCCTCCCTCGGAGGATGTAGGGTTGCCACCCTGTCGGGCGGGAGGGCGAGCTCCGGTCCCTTTGCAGCGCGACATTGGAAGAGAGAGGAGACGAACGTCGGATATTGCTTCCTGACCTTGCTGTAGAACTTCCTGACGTCCCCACCCCCTTCAGAGTGAAGTCCGCCGCCCCCCTCCTCTCCCCGCTCATGGATTCCTGCGCCTTGCAATATCCAAGTGCGCCGTACCAGCGTCGTGCTGAGAAGGCAGGCTCATACCATGAAGCTGCGACGCTCGGCTCGTTGCGGCCCTCTTCTTCTCTCCCTTCTCTTCATCTTCTCCCTCCTCTCCTTCTCCTTCCGCCATCCCCGTCTCTCCTCCCTCCCGACAACCGAACGCCTCTCTGCATTTTCGAGAGAGTTTGTGCCCTCATCTCCACCACGGCCCCGGGGCTCACTGTCACCTGACTTCAGCAGTGATTTCAGCCTCAGGGCCCGGGCCGGCAGCCGCCGCTGGCCCGGGCGGCCCGGCCCGGTTTGGTTATAGCCTAGCCTTTAGTTAATAATATATTCCCTCGAGGGACTTCTGGTACAAAAGCCTACATGCAGTTTGTATTCACGTTCAAGGTTGTTTCGAAATGATTTCGGAAACATGAGCGGCTCGGCTCGGGCCGGGGCCCTGTGGCACGCGGGACGTCTTCCGAGCGAGTCAAACAGTCACGGTACTCAGAGATGTGACGCAGTGAAAATTTTAATCGCAGGGCGAGGCCACGTAGTAAAATGCGACTGAACGAGTCAGCTAGGCCAAAGTCCAGATCTCGAGTTCGTCTACTTTGAAGGATGGTGCTCCTGAAGTCAGCAGATGAGGTACGCCATGGTTGTTGAAGGTGTTTCCGATGCCGCCGCAGGAGCTCGAACTGTTCTTGTTGCAGTTAGTAACGATTATCAAGTCCCTTTGACCGAAGTGGTAGATGTTGCCGTCGCCAAGCAGCATACCGTGATTGTTCATGCCGGGTTTCATACCACATATCTTGAAGGATTGCTCATCAGTCAGTCCTGCTCGACGAAGGCTGAACAAGAAGGAGGAAGCCGAATGGATGTAACCTGTTCCCCCAACTTGCCACACGTCTGTGAAGCCGCCGAACATGTTTCCTTGCCCATCCTTCACCATCACGAGCTGGCGCTGGACTACCGGCTGGCTTAACTTCTTGTGTATCTCAGCAGCTGAATAACCGTCCTTGCTGCCTCGCCAGACGAGCCTCCACTTGGTTTCCACAGTACAGTTTGACAGGTATGGCTGCAGCTTCGAGTAGTGGCGGGAGAAGATGGAATCAGGGAGACGAGGGTCTAGGTTTCTTCCCTCCAGCTCGTCCCAGTCCAGCTCGAAGAAGGCCAGCATCCGCTTGAACGACGCCTCCTCCGTGGCCCTGACCTGGAGCATGGCAGGAGGAAGCCCTTTCACGTCTTCCTTGAGGCTCTCCTGCAGCCTGCGAGTCCGGAGGTGCGAGACGATCTTCCCGAAGCAGTAAGGGTTCACGTCCAGGAAGATGTCTCCGTCGTCGTCCAGGTCGCCCTCCGGCACCTCTCCATTGCCGCTCGCGTATCTCTTGTAAAGCTTGGAGCCCTGGACAAGCGCCAGCGTCTGTTTCATCGTGTAGAGCTTCCTACCCCCGACGTTGAAGAACACGACCTTCTCCTGACTAATCGCCTTCGCCACTTCCTTCATGTACGCCTTCTCCGCCTTGAGGTCCTCTGCCTCCTCGTCCAGCACTCGCGCCTCCTGGCACAACTCCACTCCTCTCGTCAGCAGCTTGTACTGGAAGGCCTCGAGCGCGTCCAACTGCTTCGTCAGCCCTCCTAGCACCTTGCTGCAGTCACGAGGGATCCTCTCTGCAGTAGGCGGAGCCTCCTTTGCCTTGTCCAGCTCCAGCGACACCTTCCACACCTCCAGCTCGGCGACTTGGAAGTTCGGCTTCCCTCCTGTGAGCTCGTGAGGTTGTCCGTCCGACTTATCATACGTGTGCCCCAGGTTGCACCGACTGATCGCTGAACTCTGACATTCGTTGGCAATGCGCAAGTCCGCACCATCGCCGTACGCGGCATAGGACTGAGGGTCATTGAGGACTGCCTTCTCCTCCTTTCCCGGCAGCACCCGGAAGAGCTTTAGGCCTGCTGGGTCCTGAATCTCTCCGGAAGAGAGCTTGAAGAGAAAACTCTTCCCCGACCTCGAGTAACTGCCGTTAAACTCTCGAGCTGCGTCCGAGAAGCCTCCGAAAACGTTTCCGTCAGTGTCCCGCACGATCGTCAGGGTGTTCGACTCTCCCTGGCACTTTTGCTGCTGCGTCCCTATCGAGAAGCCGTCTCGGCTGGCCCGGTACAGCAGCTTGAAGTCGCAGCGTTCCTTCCCACATCCGACGGCTGACGCGATGCTCTGAGTCATGGGTGGTCTTGCCCATGACTTGAGCAGGCCCTCTTCGACATCCATCTGCTTGTTGTTCACGATCACACCATCCAGCCCCAGCGCTCGCGTCAGGTATCTGAAGCCGATCTCATTCTCCCCATCCACCTTGGGCGGCTCCATCGGCATCGGCGACTGCTGCATGGCAAGCTCTCTCTGCCATAGTCTAGTCAGATCGCTCTCTCCTCTGCGCCTTTCTCAACTCTGCTTCTCCTTCCCCTCCCTTGCCTCAAACGCCTTCTTCCCTTTCTCCCAGGAGGTTACCAGGTAGTTGATGATAGGCTCCAGCCAGCTGGCGTCGTAGTCCAGCAAGATCCGACCTTCGCTGTCATGCTTGTAGACGTGATCCCACCGCCCGCTGATTCCCCAGCCCGCCACAGACGTCAGTCAGCCCCGTCTCGCGCCCTCTCCCGCAGCTCACCTTAGCATCCACCTCAGCTTCGACGGGAAGCCAGTCACTGTGCTGCGCTTGACATCAATCTTGGTGCCTCCGACGTTTAGCTTCACGATGCTGCTGGGTCTGAGCAAGAGGAGAGAGTCTTTCTCCTGCTTGATCCCCTGCTCTCGCAAGCTCTCGGAGAGCATCTTGGCCTTCTCTTGCTCGAGCTCTGCTCGCCTGGCAGCAATGCTGGCGGCAAGGTTGATGACCTCATGCTGAGCAGAAGTGCAGGTCTCGAAGACGTCGTCGACGACCTGAAGGAGAAAAGAAAGGAGGGTGTGACTGTAAGATACATTTACAAGGCAATGGTGATGCTTGTGACAATATGATGCTGTTATCGATAATGATATTGAACATGATGTTGAGCATGAGCGGCATAATGTTTGAGATGATGAATGTTCGAAGACATTTCAGTATCTTCGCTCACCTTAACTTCATCATCATCGTCGTTCACTTTCCTCTTCTTGCCAGGTCGCGCAACCATTTCCAAGTTCTGGATTCAAATTGAACCCAAACGGACCCACCCACCTTCTCCCCACCTGCCAACGACCCTCGGCGGGCCGGAAACCCGCGGCCGGTCAGCTGGGGGGCGGCGCATTCACTCAACCGTGACTAATGATGACTCATAACCTTGATAGAGTCACCGTCAACACGCCTGGTGGCCTTTGACACGCCAACCGCCTCTCACAGTTTGAAAATTTGAAAGGAGCGGTCAAAATGAGTCATCGAGACCATGATCAACGGACGACCATGCCGCCGCGGAGAAGGCAGGCAGGCAGGCAGGCAGGCAGGCAGGCAGGCAGGCAGGCAGGCAGGCAGGCAGGCAGGCAGGCAGGCAGGCAGGCAGGCAGGCAGGCAGGCAGGCAGGCAGGCAGGCAGGCTTAACGGGAGGGAAATATAGAGGAGAATGTAGAGCAGTGGCTAGTGTTGGTTTGCCATCATTCTGATTGTTTGCTGACAGTCGCTGGATCTTTCCTTCCCCTCCCTCCTGCAAGTCCTGAGGGGGGCGATGGCGTCTCTTACCTCAACGGCCGGACAGCAAGCGCAGCCAGGTGGACGGCTGGTGTGGGCATGGCATCCCACGCAGAGATGGGAGAGAGCAAGAGTCGTCGAAGAGTCCTCTTGCCGCGTTGTCGTGAAGTTCATGGAGACGGAGGAGGAAACGACAGCTGGTGGCGTTGAGACAGGCAGGATGGATACCGCTCTGCAGGTCACCCGAGAGCTTGTGAAGGAGGTCAACCCTGAGGACAACGACGATCCCGACGATCTGACGAGGTGCTGGAGCATCGAAGGTCACATCTACCTCTGACTTGCTGACTCTTGTGTGCAGGTTGACCCTGCTCGACGAGCCGAACTTGCTCTACTCCCTCAAGAAGAGGTTCAAGACAGAGAGGTCAGGCTACCTTCCCTCGCTTCTCCTCCTCTGCTGCTTTTCCCTCTCCCTCTCCCTCTCCCTCTCCCTCTCCCTCTCCCTCTCCCTCTCCCTCTCCCTCTCCCTCTCCCTCTCCCTCTCCCTCTCCCTCTCCCTCTCCCTCTCCATCTCCATCTCCCTCTCCCTCTCCCTCTCCCTCTCCTCCCTTCCCCTCCTTCCCTCTTACTCTCAGAGGAACCTGAACTTGTTTCAAAGGTTCTACACCTACACCGGCCCCGTGATGATTGCTGTAAACCCATGGAGCGGAGGGTCTTCAGCCATGACGGCACAACCGTCAGGTGGCTCCTTTCTTCTCCTCTCTCCGATGACAACTCGTCAGATTTCTTCGGAATCCCAATGAGCTCCTCTCCTCCTCATCCGTTTGCCATTGCTGAGGAAACCTTCAGGCATGTCCCATGGCGACGGCGATGATGATGGAGGAGGAGGAGGAGGAGGAGGAGGAGATGAAGATGATGATGATGGAGGAGGAGGAGGAGGAGGAGAAGATGATGATGGAGACGATGATGACGATGATGATGTGGATGACGGTCGAGGGTGTGCGGGAAAGGGTGTGTAACAGAACAATACAGGAGGATGATGGTTGAAGATGTAAATCAGTCCATCTTGATCAGCGGAGAATCAGGAGCGGGAAAGACCGAGACTACGAAGCTCCTCCTGTTCCACCTCGTCTCCCTCCAAGGCTGCAGGAGCTCTCCCAGCAAGTCTGGCTCAGTCGTGAAGGGTCTGGAGCAGAAGGTGCGTGCGGATCCTTTTGACCCGTTCGTCGTTCGCGACCCTCTCCTTGGTTCCTCTCCTCAGCAACTGCTACCTGTGTCTGGAAGCATGAGATTGTACCTTCCATCTTGTGTCCTCCTCATCCACCTCCTCCTCCCCGCCAGCCTTCATTCCATTCAAATGGTCCAGCATAGACGCCCACTTCCCCTGAATCCTCCTCTCCTTCAGGTGCTGCTGTCCAACACGATCTTGCAAGCCTTTGGGAACGCAGCGACTGTCAGGAACCAGAACTCCTCCCGCTACGGAAAGTTTGTCTCTCTCTACTTCTCGAGGGCAGACAGCAAGTACTCGTTGCAAGGATGCTCCATTAACGTCTTCCTCCTGGAGAGATCCAGGGTCGCGCACGTTGAGAAGGGAGAGCGAAATTTCCACATCTTCTATCAATACCAGGTCTCCTTCCTCTTCCTCTTCCTCTTCCTCTTCCTCTACCTCTACCTCTACCTCTACCTCTACCTCTACCTCTTCCTCTTCCTCTTCCTCTTCCTCTTCCTCTTCCTCTTCCTCTACCTCTTCCCCTTCCTCTCCTCTACCATCCTTGACTCTTGCTCGATTTCTCCTTCCTTTCATGAACTAACTTACACCTTGACGAACAGAAACACATGCAAAGTGCTTCTCCTTCATTCCCTACATTCCGCCTCCTGGGAGGCAAAGAATTGTTTCCCCCCCCTTCGTTCCTCTTCCTTACATGCCCCAGTAGGAAGCGAAGACAACGAGAGAGATGGCAGGTCAACGCTAGAGAGCACGAAGGAGGCGATGAGAGGAGGAGGGCTAACGGAGGAGGAGGTTGACAACGTGATGAGCACCGTCGGTCTCATCCTCTCCTTGGGGAATATCCTCTTCCTCCCTGTAGAATCCAAAAACTCCACTGGTAACAAGCTTTCTCCGCCTCCTCCCCTCCCCTCCTCTCCTCCCCTCCCCCCCCCGCCCCCACAACCACCCCCGTTCTCATCCTCCTCGTTCCTCTTCCCATCTTCTCTTTCCTCCTCCGTTTTGTGTGCTCTCGTCGCCAGCCATGACGGTCGGAGCAGAAGGAGCGCGAGTCGACCGAAGTTCGAGCTCGCATGCGCTGCTGGCAGCGGCGGCGTGCTTGCAGTGCTCGTGCTCGGAGCTGGAGGAGACGCTCTGCACGAGGAAAGTGCGGCTGGCAGGGGAGGAGGTAGGGGTGGATCGGTCAGAAGAGCGAGCAGGGGAAGCAAGAGACGGGATGTGCAAGGTAATCTATGAGAGATTGTTCAGTTGGCTGGTCAGGAGGATGAACCTGGCTCTCCTGTCCAACGTCGTGAGGAGACAAGTGAAGGAGGAGGAGGAGGAGGAGAAGGAGGAGAGGGTGAAAGAGGAGGAGGAGCCTTTGGACGAGGAGCAGGAAGTGCAGAAAGTCCTAGAGAGGTGCGAGGCGAGGGGATGTAGCGTAATCAACGTTCTCGACATCTTCGGCTTCGAGTCGCTGGAAGTCAACGGGTTCGAGCAGCTCCTGATCAACTACGCAAACGAGAGGCTGCAGAGCTTGTTCAACAACCACATGTTTGCATTCGAGCAAGAGACGTACCGAGAGGAAGGGCTGACCTTCTCCCTCGTGGACTTTGTTAGTAACGAGAAGAGCTTGAAGCGATAGGTTGGGATGTTTGGGTGGAGAAGACTGAAGGTCTGACTTGAGAGGTAGAGGACAGGCAGACGGGGCTGCTCACGCTCGTTGACGAGGAGATCAGGATTCCAGGTGACGAAGTTGTGAGAAGGAGCAGAAGGAGCAGATCTTGTAGTGGAGATGATGACAAGGAAAATGGATGTTGATGATGATGGCAGCAATTGTGACAGTGCTCGTGATGGTGATGGTGATGGTGATGGAGAAGACGATGATGACGATGTTGTCATCTCATTGCAATGATGGTTAACCATGGTGAATTGACGACGACGACGATGATGATGGAGAAGATGATGCTGCATATGATGTAGAAGTTGATCAAGAAGTTGATGTTGATGATTACAGGCGGATCAGACGAGTCTCTCATGCTGAAAGTCCGCACGATCGTCGCCAGCAAGCACGAGAAGCTCACGGTACCCAAGAGGTCGAGCCTCACCTTCGTCATCAGCCATTACGCCGGTCAAGTCTGCTACAACGGGACCTCGTTCGTGGACAAGAACAGAGACGCTGTGGGGAGAGACGTGTTGGACTTCTTCTCCAGATGTCACTTCCGATTCTTTCGCCTCCTCTTCCACGAGATCGCCGACGTCCACGGGGGGGGGAAGCAGCCAGTCGCCGACTGCTCCCGTGGGACGAGCAAGAGCCTCGTTGCCAAGTTCCGCAAGCAGCTCACTTCCTTGGAGGGGATCATGGGCTCAACGCAGACCCACTTCATCCGCTGCATCAACTCCAACGAGAAGAAACTACCGGACACCTTCGACGATGTGTTTGTCCTCAAGCAGATCAGAGCAACAGGGATCTTACAAGCTGCCAAGTGAGTAGATTGTGTCGTGCGAATCTTTTCTCTTTATTCTTCCCCCTCCTTTGCCATCATCTCCTCTGAAACCACCTCCTCCTCTTCCACCATCATGTTTCTCCTCCTCCTCCTCCTCCTCCTCCTCCTTCAATTCATCATGATCATTGTCATGGTCGTGTTCTTCTTCTTCATCCTCCTCCTCGCTCACTTGCATTTCCCCTCTTTTCTTCGTTTCCCCGCAGGGTCGCCAGCATCGGCTTCCCCATCAAGATCTCCTTCCCCCGATTTCTCAGCCGCTTCTCTTGTCTCCTGCCCCCAACCTCCCCCCAGCAGGTCCTTCCCAGCACGTCGACCCTGTCGAACTCCAGCATCGACCCCCAGCTCGGTTGCTAGCTGAGAACGTGCTCCTCTCCGCCGGTTTGACACCCAAGGACTTCCAGCTGGGAAAGTCCAAGGTCTTCCTCCCCTCCCTGGTCTGGTCCCAGCTGGAGGCCAGGAGGGAGGACAGGTTGTCCTCTTCTCTGCAGGTCATCTGCGCCTACGTCAAGAGGAGGGTCCTGTCCAGCAGGCTCCGGGCTGCCCGCCAGGTTGTCAAACGGCTGGAGCAGGAGAGGAGAAGGGCGGCGAAGGCCAGCTGCAGCCCGAGCTGTGAAGTCGTCTCGTGCATGCAGCTGTTCGAGTTCCCTCCCCTGCCGGACCCGCACACCCAGCAGGAGGAGCACCAGCACCAGCACCAGCACCAGCACCAGCACCAGCACCAGCACCAGCACCAGCACCAGCACCAGCACCAGCACCAGCACCAGCACCAGCAGGAGATCGAGAGACTGCGGCGTGAAAATGCGGAGCTGAAAGAAAGATTGCGGAGCAGGAGGCCAAGGTGAGAGCCGGGGAGGAGGAGAGACAAAAATTGTGATCAAGATTTGTCAGTTGGCACAAGTCCAGCTGCTCTCCCAGGAGCAGGTGGAGCAGGGTGCTCCTGCACGGCAAGAGGAGATGAGGAAGAATACGAGCGAAGTCGACGATGCCTGGAACCTCCGCGAGCTGGAACTCTTGCAGCAGGTAAGCTTGTTCCCCTCTTCCTCCTCCTTGCTTCCTTCTCTTCCTCCCTAATCCCTCACCTCTTATCCTTCCTTCCTCCTTCCTCCTTCCTCCTTCCTCCTTCCTCCTTCCTCCTTCCCCCCTGCTTCCCTCCGATCTTGTTGCCCTCGTAGATCTCCATGCTCGAAGCTCGCCTGCTGGCTGCCGAAGACGCTTCCGTAAGCATCGACTGCCTTCCCGCTGGGCCTGACGAGAAACAGACGGAGAACGCCATGTCCAACTCCCTGCTGCAAGCGGTGAGAGCAGAGGGGAGGGCACAATGAAGATATCTGGAACGGAAAAGGATCGTTGTGAGGAGGAGAGGGGCAGGAGGAGGAGGAGGAGGAGGAGGAGGATTCATTGGGGAAGAGCTGGAGGAGGCTGAGAGATCGCAGGGTCTTCTGGACAAGCTGCTGGAGGACGCAAGCAAATGGAGGATGCACGCGCTAGTGGGCTCGAACCTCCTCCGTGCATGCCCGCATGTAGAAGAGTCTCCCGTCCTCCACAGAAGCTCCCCGTCCGTCTCCTCCTTCTTCTCCCCAGCAGGAACAGCAGCAGAGGTTGCCTCCCCCTCCACGAACCTCAAGCGCCAGTCCCTCGTCAAGAAGCTCGCGTCCAAATTCCAAGTCTTCATGCCTGGCAGGTGATCCGCTGCCCCTTCTCTCTCTCCATACCCCCCCCCCTCCCCTTCCCACCTCTTTTGAACCCTCTCCTCCTCCTCCTCCTCCTCCTCCTCCTCCTCCTCCTCCTCCTCCTCGCTCTTCCGGTGACGCAGGAGCAGACACTCAGAGGGCAAGAAGTTCGCGAGGAAGGGCATCAACAAGGAGAACAGGTCCTCTCCCCCTCCTGCTCTTCTCGTTCCCCTCACTGCTGCCCCCAGGAGCGTCGCGCATCTCCGAGTCTCCTCCCCTCAAGACTTCTCTCGTCCCGGTCACCATCGCGTCGCCCTCATGCCCCTTCAGCTCGCATCATCCCCATACGCGTCATCGCCGAAGCCATACGAGTAAAGGAAGAGCTTACGAGCTTGACGGTGAGCGATGGGAGAAAAGGAAGAGGAGAAGAAGGGACAGCGGAGAGAAGGGGGAGGGGGAGGGGGAGGAGGAGGAGGAGGAGGAGGAGGATGGGAAGTGAGCGCATGAGCGGCAACTCGCGCGGATTCAATCACTTTAACAAGAAGCACATCCATCAAGCATAACACACAGCAAATCTCAACAAACATGACGCGTCATCATTGACTTGCCCGTCACCCAGCAACGGCTGTTGATCGCCAACTGCACAGATCTGACCACATCAACCCGCTTGTATACAACGATCGACACTTTCTCATCAGCACAGTCCCTGCTCAGTCATCGTCCTCGTCCTCGTCCTCGTCGTCCTTGTCTTCGTCTCTTGGACGAGCGCTGCTGCTAGCGCCTCCATGCCCCTGATATTTAACCGATCAGCGCGATGGGCAGCAAAGTAAAGGGGAAACAGGAAAATGATGATGATGAGGTGGTGGTGGCGGCGGTAATGGTGGTGGTGATGATGGAAAGAGAGGAGGCGGTGGGGGGGGGAGGAAGAGGAGGAGGAAGACAAGGAAGGAGGGGGTGGAGCAGGAAGTTTACATGTGAAGGAGCTTCCTGGTTCTTCTTCTCACAAGCGTCTATCCACTCACAGAACACGTCGATGGGTTCTGTGAGAGCTAAGGAAACGTCATAAGGTCTTCTCGACCATCTCACACCCCCAGCCCTCCCCCACCTGTCACGGTGGTCGCCCAATCCTGACCGCACGTTGTGCATTTGACAGTCGCTAGCTTCGCTTTTTTGATGCTGCCAGGACCAGAAGTCAGGAAATCCACCCGACGGAAGGGAGTGAAGGAGTAGAAGGTGAATGAGAAGAAGGAAGTGAATGAGAAGGAGGTGAATGAGAAGAAGGAAGTGAAGGAGTAGAAGGTGAATGAGAAGAAGGAAGTGAATGAGTAGAAGGTGAATGAGAAGAAGGAAGTGAAGGAGTAGAAGGTGAATGAGAAGAAGGAAGTGAAGGAGTAGAAGGTGAATGAGAAGAAGGAAGTGAAGGAGTAGAAGGTGAATGAGAAGAAGGAAGTGAATGAGTAGAAGGTGAATGAGAAGAAGGAAGTGAAGGAGTAGAAGGTGAATGAGAAGAAGGAAGTGAAGGAGTAGAAGGTGAATGAGAAGAAGGAAGTGAATGAGTAGAAGGTGAATGAGAAGAAGGAAGTGAAGGAGTAGAAGGTGAATGAGAAGAAGGAAGTGAAGGAGTAGAAGGTGAATGAGAAGAAGGAAGCACAGGCTTACATTGCAATTCTGATGCAGCCTTCGTGATTGCAGAAAGGACAGTCGAACTTCGACATGACCCTGGTCACAGTAAGAAATTGTGTAGAGGTCGATGCGTTGCAAAGGAGTGGATAGGATCGTGTCAGAAATTCGTTTGCATTCAGCAAAGCAACATGAGGAGTACTCATAGAGCCCGTATTATGAGGATGAAAACGAGGAGCGGGAGCAGGAGGGAGCAAACAGCAAGATCAGGAGCAGGAGGCAGCAAGAGTGGGAGGATGGGCAGCAAGAGGAGCAGCAGCAATGCAGGAGGAGCAGGAGCAGGAGGCAGCAAGAACAGGATCATCAGGAGCAGGAGCAGGAGCAGCAGGAGGGTGGTGCAACAATAGCAGGAGCAGGAGCAGCAGGCAGCAAGAGGGGGAGCAGGAGCAGCAGCAGCAAGAGCAGCAGCAACAACAGCAAGAGCAGGAGGAGCAGGAGCTGGATTTTGTGCATGTTGAGCAGGAGGAACATGAGGATGAGCTTTAGGAGATGAGGTGTATTAGTGGGAGGGGGGGGGAGGGTTGTATATTTTTTTTTTTGGAAGCTGTACTATTTTATATGCTGTTTTTTTTTGCTT